AACTATATTTATAATATACCCCTCTAATTAGTTAAGAGCTTACTTATAATAATAAAGCTACTTTTAATAATATAAATCTAGTAACTATATCTACTTAGTTTATTATTTTATTATATAGCCTACTACCTATAGTATTTATAGCTACTATAGATAATTATAGAGAATTAAAATCAGCTTAAGTAAATACTATATCTTAAGAATAATTACTCTCTTATATAGATCTACTATAGCCTAATATATAATTTATAGTTTTAGTATATTATATACTATATTAAGTTAATAAATATAGAAATAGCTCTTAAGAATTAATTATTTAAACTTTATATTATTTTTAGTTATATTTAGATTAGAGTATTAGTTAGATTAAATCAGGTTTAGTATTAGTATATTAGAGTTTATTTTAGTTTAATCTAGAATTATATATATTTAGAAATAAAAAAGTTAGTTACTTTTAAGATTATAAATTAATTTATTTCTATAAGTATAGTATATATTTACTATTATAGGAAATTTTTATTAGAAATAATATAGAATTAATATTAATCTAATATCTATTTATATATACTTAGTTATACTATATAATAATATAAACTATATATTAATATTATATATATTTACCAGATTATATAATATAAACTAATTCTATCTATTTTTTACTTTACTACTTAAAATATCTTTATATCTAGTATATAAGCTGAATATATTAATAAGTATAGATATATAAGAGCTGGAAATAGCTTCTTTATACCTATACTATAAATAGCTTAGCTATTTAGCTATTCTTAGCTCTATACTAGAAATATACCCTTTTATATATACCTCCCTTATATATACTCTATATATATTATTCCTATATTAATATTTAAGCAGTTATTTTAGATTAGGAATTACTAATTTAACTATATTAGCTATATCTAGACCTAGCTATTTTTAAACTATAGGGATATCCTCAGACTATAGAGCTGTTCTCAGACTATATAAATATCCTTATACTATATAGCTATCCTAGTACTATATAGCTGTTCTCAGACTATAGGGATATCCTTATACTATATAGCTATTCTTAAACTATATAGCTATTCTAGTACTATATAGCTATTCTAGTACTATATAGCTATTATAGTACTATATAGCTATCTCTATAATAACTATTAAAATAACTTAATTATCAGCTTTTATATTTATCTCTATAATACTAATAAGGCTAGTAGATATAGCTAGCAAGATATATAATATATTCTACTAGAATATAGAAACTGGATAAATAAATAAATTTAGTAGAAACTAATAGTATAGGTTATAGATAAAAAGATTATTAGGTTATCTATAAAAATCTAAGGAAAAGAAATAAATAGAGAGAAGAGATAGATAATTTAATATAATAAATATTAGAAAAGATAAACTAGATTAATTTATACTATATTATATAGTTATATTTATATAGCTGCTCCCTTTACTAGAATATATATTTTTATAGGCTGAGCAGATATAATAGAGGTATTTACCAGGTTATTAATAACAAAGGTATATATATACCCCTTAATCTATACTTCTAACTTGAGTATAGCTTAGTATTAAGCTAGCTGAACTATAGCTAGTTCTAATAGTAAAGTATTTATTACTGCTTTTCTTATAGTTATAGTAGCTCTAACTAGTAAAAACAGTATATAAATATTAATAATATAAACTTATAAGTTTAAAATTTTATCTAGGAGCCTAGGAAATAGTACTATCCTTATAGTTTTAAGCTAACTAAGCTAGTTTACTAATATAGAGATATAGGTTATACTGCTTTCTAAAGCAGGGATAAACTTTTTATATAGATCTACTAACTGAATATAACTAATCTAACCCCCTCCAGCTTATAAAACTTATTAAATAATTCTTATTAGTAGTATATAAAATTTCTTAGCTTAATACTCTACTTATTATTATATAGTATAACTAAGTATATATAAATAGATATCAGATTAATATTAAATCTATATTATTTCTAATAAAATTTCCTATAGTAGTAAATATATACTATACTTATAGAGATAAATTAACTTATAATCTTAAAAGTAACTAACTTTTTATTCTTATTATTTCTAACTAATAATAAATACTTTTCTAATATTCTAGTCTAATTTAATCTAATATTCTAATCTAAATTTAAACTAGATAACTAAAAATAAAAATATAAGCTTAATTAACTTTTAAAGATTATTTCTATTTTAATTATCTTAATATAGTATATAATATACTAAAACTATAAATTATATATTAGATTATAATAGATCTATATAAGTAGATAGCTATTTTTAAGATATAGTTTTTCTTCTAGTTAGTTTTTATTCTCTATAAGTATCTACTATAGCTCTAAGCAGACTATATAATAAAGTAATAGACTAAGTAGATATAGTTACTTAATCTATACTATTAAAAGCAGCTTTATTACTATAAGCAGGCTTTTAACTAACTAGAGTAATATATAATAAATATAATTAGTAAATAACTATCTTATATTATCTCTAATAATAGTTATTATCTCTTAAAGAGCTTTATTAAAAGTATTAACTAGGCCCTAAGAGATTAGAATATTTATATTAGATATAGCTATTATAGCTATTATTATTTAAATACTTAATAGATATCTAGTAATTAATTAATAATTAATAAGCTTAGTAAGTAGATATAGTTATTAAATAATAAGCTTTCTCTCTTAAGAGCTATAACTATAGTTAGACTATTTATATATCTAACTATATAAATAGCTCCTATTATTAGAGTTTTTAAGATATTAATATCTATATCTAAACTAAAAATATTTAATTTTAACTTTATCTTATAATATTAAAAGTTTAGATATAAACTACTAATTATATTTTTAAAAAATATATACTAAATTATATATTATCTAATCTTAGAATATACTCTTATTTATAATAAAACTAATAAAAAAAAAATACTCTACTTATAACTTATTATCTTACTATTATTAAGATCCTATTATTATATCCCTTAATAAACTTAGAATAAGAGAAAGTATTAAGTTAATAATAAAACTTTCTATTAGCTTTAGCTTATATCTATATTTTCAGTACTTGGATAAGTTTATAAAGCTGCTAATACTATATAGCTATAGTATTTATTATATATTATTATATAGAAGTATAACTAGTTAGGGATAATATAGCTTTAGTAATAGTATTATAAAATTAATTCTATATAAATATTATCTAGCTCCTTAGACCTATAAAGAAAGTTATATAACTTTATACCTAGCTAAGTAAATAATAAAGCTCTATTCTTATCTAACTCCTAATAGAGAAAATTAGCCTTAAGGATTTCTTATTTAACTAATATATTCCAGGTATTATAAACTCTAAATATAACTATAAAATAAGATAGCAAACTATAATATATATCCTACTATAATAGTAAAAATACTAGTACCTTTAATAATAACTACTAGGGTTATTCCTAGTTAATAGATATAAATTAGCTATTAAAGCTATTAAATTTATAGAATAAATATAGATCTTTAGATAATTTAGAATTAAGATCTAATTAGATAAAGCTCTATATTAGAAGAAGACTAAAGATATATTAAATATATAAATAAGGAAACTATCTTATAAAAGTCTAAGAATATATATATATTAATATAAGAACTACTATCTATAAAAGCTAGTAAGTAGATATAGATAGAGATTAAAGAGAAAGAAGTAAGACTTTAGAGATAGCTAGCTAAGTTAGTATAATATAGTAAAATAAAGTACTACAGATTATCTATAGTACTTTAGCTGTTTACTAGATCTTGCTTACTAGGTATAGCTATATAATTATATAGCAGCTAAAACTGAGTAGGATTTAATTAATTAATTAATTATTACTAATCTTATCCGCTTCAACTATAACTAAACAGCACAGTACTTTAAATCAAATCACGATATCGAAGACCTAAAGACCCTTCCTAGTGCCCCTATATAACCTAAACCCTGCCCTATATCTACCGCTCTCCTACTTCTAAATATATCTTCTTTTTATTAGGGTTACTACTACTAAGTCTATTCCTAGTATTACTTAGCTCTATACTATAACTATTTCGCTATACTAAGTAGAATACTTACCTATTATACTAATTACCTCTTTTAGCAGTCTACTATAAAACCTAGTATTTTATTATTTAGTTATACTACTTTCTCTTATTTATTCTAAGAATACTTACTTATTAATTCTTATTCAGACTACGTAGTAATTATAGAAGATTTATTATCTACTATCTTCTCTTTGCCTAACACCCGTTTATTTCCCCTTCTAACAAAGGAAGGGTCCATATTGTCTTTAGATGGAGAAGTACCTGGGCTGCTGCTGAAGGGTTTCGGCCCTTTCCCGGCTCCTACCTTTGCTTCTGGGGTGAAAGGCCGTTGCCACTACTGCCACTGCCATCAAATGTTGCCCTTGAAGTAAAACCGAACTCATCAACGAGCACGACCACTATGTCATGTCTGGTGTTCAGGCTCCTTCTCCATCAAGGCGTAAAACTATAGGCGCCTGTGGCACGAGTCCGATATGGTAAGAAGGGAGTGATGCTGTCTGGGGGCCTAGATTCGTCACTGGAAGCACAGAGGTAATTGAATAACCGTAGATGTATTGATCTCTAGGAATTCTTGACTAGAAACCGGCGTTCCCTCTCTGATAGGCCTCAAGGCGGTCTACCCCCGACGCCATTAGCTCTTCCCAGCAGGAAGAAATTGTATTACGAAGACATATCATGCCTCCTTGCTTTTTCCCTTGCTGTCTACTTCGTGCTGTCCTCCTTGTTGCCCTCCTGGTTGTCCTCCTTGTTGCCCTCCTGGTTGTCCTCCTTGTTGTCCTCCTTGTTGCCCTCCTGGTTGTCCTCCTTGTTGTCCTCCTTGTTGTCCTCCTTGTTGTCCTCCTTGTTGCCCTCCTGGTTGTCCTCCTTGTTGTCCTCCTTGTTGCCCTCCTTGTTGCTTGTTGTCCTCCTGCTTGTCCTACATCGCATGTAAACTCCACTGTTCACCGGAAGATAGGGGTGTGAGCTTATTTTGTGTTATTGTGCCACCATTAATGATGGCTTCGAGCGAGCGAGCACCATGGTGATATGTCCAGTCTCTTAGAAGGCCCGGGAGCGCTTCGTCAGACACAGTAATGCCCTCACCCCTTTTCAAGGTAATGCGCTTACCGATACTTTTCAAGATTGACTGAAGGAAGATAGCTCGTCGGATCATATATATTTCATCGGAGTTGTCGACTTTGTTATATCCCCGGATATTAAGCTGCACGTGCAACCTGCTCACGAAATCCGGCTTTTTCACTGCCCTGGCAGCCTTCGCCGCTTTGGCGTCTTCTACAGCCTTTATCTCGTCCCCAACTGTCGTTGAGGACCCTTCAGGGATTGGGTCATTGCGAACAAATCCGCCAGGAATGAGCTGAATTTGGTCATTCTTGAACTCATCAAATGTGGCTGCGGTACCGCCGATAAAAATGAAAATGGCCCGGCCAATGGGTCTGCTATAGCCATGGTCGAAGAAGGTTCCATCTTGCATTGGGGCCAGGAAGAATTTGAGCCAGCCCAGTTCTCCATTCAGGGTCGTGTCGAACTCGTCAAAGTAGACGATGGGAATTTGGCCTGACACGGTCTTGTCCCGAACAGTCTGGAAGGCGACCAGAAGGTTAGAATAGTCCAGGAACTGCGAAAGATTGTATTCAAGTTCTGGGTATGTACCGGATGCTCCATGGGTAGCCTTCTTCATGATCTGCTTGATTCCAAATGATTTCCCAGAGCCTGGGGCACCGAAGACTCCGATCGAGAGCGGTCGCTTCTCTGGAGTTTTAAGATATTCCTCCACACGATTTGTGATTGCGTGAAACTCCTGAATCTCCGACCGATCAGCTACGACTAATTTGCCGAATGTCGCTCTTGGGATAGAGGATAGTGCGTCTTCAATTCCTTTGCTGACGATGTCTTTGGCTAGATCAAACATTTTTCCATCCGCGTAATTGCGGGCCAATATGGACCACGTATCGGGAGAATCGGAAGGAGGGACTTCGGAACATGCGAGTTGAACTTGTGCTTCACACACTTTCTTTCCCTTCTTACAAACTTTCTCCTTACAATCCAAATCCACACATACTTTCTCCAACTCCGGGTAGTTCAGGAGTTCGTCTGTTAAGGAGAGCCCAAGGCCAGCGACATATCGAGCCGTGCAGAAGCCGTGTTTGATTGCTTTCTGCCAAATTTCCCAGTCGGGAACCGAATCAAGATCCTTCACTACAGGTATCAAACCAGCCAGAAATGCTGCTTCGAGTGCTGATGTGTATGGGGCGTGCGATCGAAGGAAATCGCCCTCCCCACGCCTCGGGCAGAAGTAGAGACGGTTCGATCCGCCCTGCAAGACCATCGCACCCACATAGCCGAAACGAATGATAACCGTGATGTTGTCTGTTTTGTTCGGGGCAGCATAACTGAATGCTTCACTTAGCTTGGCCGCCATTGTGTTAGCAGCAGTTTTCTCCCAGGATTCATGTTTACTGATTGTTTTCCCATTGTTCCGTAGATCATCAACGTTGATAACGACGAGTAATCGTTTCAACGTAGACTTCTGGATAATCTTGAATAGACTCGACTGAGAGTCCATGTTGTTGAGCGAATTCGCCTGGAAGACGACGAGGGACGGAGTGTACCCATCCAGGACCGAGTCTTGCTTCGAAAGCAGGGCCTCCTTGGGGTCGTCAACCACTAACACACCGGGTGTCCCATTCGGAGATGTCTCATCCGAAAGCTGATCTGAGTCACGTTGTCGAGGGTGAACGGTGTCAATGAGAAGTTGGCGATTGACTTTGTATGTCCCATCAGGCCCACCAGACAGCTCCGTCACTGAGGAGATTCCGGCCAGAGAATTGGCGGATACATCTCCAATGGTTTGAAAAGATGCAGCATTCTCTCCCTCCTTCAGGAATCTGCATAAAAGCCTCGGGCGACTATCGATCTTTTGAAGAAAGGTTTTATCCTCGCGCTCGAACCTAAACAGGTCGACACGATCTTCGCCAACCACTGTAATTTTGTGGGCTGAGCCTCCGGGCATGATGGCTAGTACTATTTGAAAACAATATCGGGTTCAAAAACAGAGAAGATATCAGGGATAGCTGTCTGGCCGTCTAGATAGTGGACTTAATGCTTGATTTCTTCTGTCTAGCCCTATTTATCATCATGAGGTTGGGCTAGGTTAGGCTGCTCTCAGGCTCCCTTTTCAGGCTCTGTTAGGCTCCCTAGCATATCGGCTATTGTAAGTCTCCTTTATGCCTTAAGGAATTTTCGGTGATCTGTCAGGCTCATACCATGTGAAAGAAAAGGGGAGCAGTGAATGGTAGGAGTAAGCCTATAGCTGTAATGTAGGGTATCTATCACATTGGGCTCTGCCGACTATTGCCTAAAGACAGAGCTGGCATTTGGCCAAAACCAGTCCTCCAGGCCTCAAGTCTTCGTCATTTAAGATAAAGAAGAATCGAGAAGCAATAAATGGTAGGTTGGTGGTGATTTAGGTATCAATTTAGGCAGGGCAGGCTCGCGAGCCTGTAAGGACCTTTGCCAACCAAACTGTTGCAAATGATATCTGACAGCGCGCTCGTCTACAGTTGCAGCCTAATTAGACCCTCCATCAATAATCAACGAGAGTTCTGAGGCCAATGGCGGGAATCCCCGAGAGGGACTGCAACAACGCAGGATCAGGGACCTCTTAATTTAGAACCAATAGATTATACTGTGGAGGACTATCTCAGGGTCCAATGCGACGGGTTGTGTGACGATCGAGGGGAGGCGAGAGAGAACTCATGCCAGCAGTTGCGGTTATGTCCTCGCCGAAATGGTCTGTAGATATCACACCAATGAAAAGCTGTGGAGGAATACGCCAACCCAAAGTTGACAAGTGTTCCCGTCCTACTCGCTGGTAAGTGCGATGTAGGCATTACCGCACCACGCACAACTTCAGCTTGTTAATGGTGCCCAAAAACCATCATATTGCATGTGGTGAACGCGTCATGCAGAATAGCTTGTCAACGGTGCCCAAAAGCCATCGCATTGCAGGTGGTGAACACGTCACGCAGAATCAGCTGTCCCTACTCGAAGTCCTTCTCGTACCTGCGCCTATCTTTGACACCGCCAAATGAAACAGAAGGCTAGGAACTTGTCTGCGTTAGTCGGCTATCTTCAGGATCCAAGGGTGGCGACCCAGTCCAGTTGGGTGAAGCTTGGGCTGCGCGCATTGAACAAATGCTATCCTCCAAATGATTCTGCTTCACTGGGCATTCTATAGATGCTGTAACCAGCAAAATGCTTCTGTATTCGGTTAGCAGCTATCGCATCACTGGCGGGCACGATGACTTTCCACCCTGCTACTGCTCCGGGTGCTATGATACCAAGTATATCATTTGTACAGCTAGCTGCGTCGTTCCGGCGCATCCCAGTCAAGGAATATCGGACCTCGCTGGAGTTGGCAATGGCTTTGGGTTAGCATGTATCCCTTTGAATACCGCTTGGATTTTGCTGTATCGCTATGTACCGTGTTTAAGCTCCCATGTAGTATTTATCTCGTTTACCGTATGTTGCTGCTACTTCAGAGGGTAATGGTCCGATAGCGTCGCCTACGTAGCTGCCTGGTGGGCTGACTCATGTCGCTGGGAAAGGTTTCGGAGCAGCTGAACTGTGTGGACACGAAATGCAGGCTGGAAAGTTGCTCTGCGTCTTGAGCTCAGCCATTTCTAAAAAATTATCATTGGGTCTGATCAGCCAGAAATCGTTCTGAAAGGCATTGGCAGGTCCCGAAGGGGGCTGGTCTCCTGTAGAGTACTACGCTAACTGCCTTAGTAGTACGATCTATAGTACCTATAGAGTACTATACCTAATACCTTAAGAGTACTATCTATAGTATCTGTTTAACTAGCCCCTATATCTAGCTAACTAATATAAGGTTTACTAAAACTATACTTATTAGATTTAAACTAGGGATTTATCTAGATATCCCTCTAGTACTATAACTTATATCTCTCTAGTACTATATCTTAAGAAGTAATATAATAAAAGATTTTATATCTTAAGAAATAAAATAATAAGAGATCTTATACTATAAGCTAACTTAAAATCTATCTACTATTATAAACTTATATAATTATAAATCTAGTTTATTATATACTAAAAACCCTATCTATATATTTATTTATTTATTTTTCCCTTAGATTAGTTAATAGTATAAATATTATATATTATATCTATAATCAGTCTAATTTTAATTACTTAAATTATTTATTTTATATATTTATTTCTCTATAGATAAAGTATATTCTTTCTTACTAATACTTTTTATAATTATTTTAACTATCTATCTTCTATATTTTACTATCTTATCTATATATAATATTCTTAAGATTAATATCTAGATACTAATCTACTCAGATATTTTTATATTCTATAGTAATATTATTAGCTCTATATACTCTTATAGTAAAAATATATCTAACTTATTTAAATCCCCCTATTACTTTATACTTAAAATATTAGTATATAATACCTTAAAAATAACTAAAGATACTACCTCTAGGAGCTTTACTTAATATTACTATAAGGATTACTAGCTATATAACTAATACTAATCTTCTAACTCTTTAAGTTCTTAACTTAGTCTATTTTCTAAGGCTATCTTTAGCTATAATAATACTAACTCTAATTATTACTCTATTATTATTAAAGTAATTAACTTATTAGAAGAGTAGGATAAAACTCTATTTATTTCTTTAAAGAGATTATATATCTTAGAGACTACTAGTTAAATAGTAAACCTACTAAGAAGGAATATAATTATACCTAAGCTAGTCTAGACTAAATAGAATATTCCTTATATAGAAGATCTTATAGACTCTTTAACTATATCTATCTCTCCTTTAATAACTATATAATTTAGAGAATCCCCTCTTACTTTAGTTTTATTCCTAATATTAGATATTAAACTTTAACTTTATTCTAACTATAAATATAAATAGCTATTCCTTAGTATATTAATAATAGTTATTTTATTCCTTATATAGCTATTTATTTTATATTTTAATATTTTATTTTACCTATACTATATAATTAGTATATACTAATTCTAATTCTACTATTAAAATTTCTAACTATTTATACTAAATCCTAGTAAATAATCTATTAAAAATAGCTAAATCTAGATTTTATTTTTTAAAGTTTTTCTTAGATTAACTATAAAATAGTTTAAGTTCTCTATATAGATATATCTTATACTCTATAATAATAAAGTATATTATTATAAAACTATCTAATTACTTATAAACTATATATAATAGTATATAGTACTAGATACTTTCTCTAAGCTAAAAATAGACTGATTTTCTTCTTCTTTTTAATCTCTTTATACTCTATTCTATATATAGAACTTAATCTATACTATACTTAAATACTACTTAATCTTAATTTCTTATATACTCTTTAATACTACTTCTTCTATCTCTCTAGTACTATACCTCTTATCTCTCTAATACTATATATCTTACCTTACTAGTACTATCTATAGCTTCTTTCAAATACTATACTTTATATTTAAGAGAGATAAAATATATAATAGATATCTATACTATATATTAAGTATAAGGATTATAACTATTATAAATAACTTTATAGTTATAATAAATTCTAAATTATAGACAGTATCCTACTAAGCTTAGATAAAGAAGTTAAGATAATAGAGAATTATTAATAGTATAGCTATCTCTTAATTAAGAAAACTAGATATAAAATAGAGGCTAAAATAAACTATTAGCTAAGTCTGAATAATCTAAAAATACTTTATTCCCTTATAGCTAATTTAATCTCTATCTAAACTCTCTTAACTTATATTAAGAGCTAATAGCTCTCTTACTTATAAATCTATTTAAGAGGTAATCTATTAACTCTAGTATACTAAGATAAGATAGTAAATATACTATACTACCTAATTACTTAATATATAATCTTAGCTAGTATTAGCTACCTAAAGATTATTATACTATCTTTAGTAATTACTTTTAAAATACTAATCTTACTATATAGTAAGATAATATTAGATATTTAGTAGAGTTATTATCTTATAAAAAAGAAATAGAAAGAATAAGACCTCTAGTATAATATTAAAAATACTAAATAAATAATAACTATAGAGGATTAAAATAGTTTAGATTAAATAGCTAATAAATATAAATATACTGTTTGGATTATAATCAGACTAAGAGTAGTAAGTATATAATAATAAGGCTAGAAAATAGAAGAGAAAAGAAAACTGTAGAGATATATAGCAGGGGTAATAGGTAACTAGCTGCTTTATAGATAGTATAAAAGCAGTAAGTAATAATAGGGCTGAAGATTTCCTAATATAGTATCCGCCTAAATTAGCAGGCTAAACCTGGTATTTCTAAAGGCAGGCAAGCTGTACTATCTTTAACTTTTAAACTCTATTTCTACTAAATAAAAGTTTATTAAATTTTAATCTAGATAATATTAAATCTAGTTTTACTCTATATTAAACTAGTTTTTAATATTAAAATATATATCTCTAAATTATAATTTTTAGTTTAGATATTATAAAAAATAAACTTATATATACTCTATTAATATAAAAATAAAAGTATATATAATTACTAATAATAAATTTATAAAAACTTATATATATTTATAAAGATTTATATTTTATTATTAAGAATATTATAAGTTTTTTCTAAATAGCTATTTTTTTTATTTTATTATAAATTAAATATTTTTATTAAAAAATTACTAAATATTTTATTTAAAGTTTTATAAAATAATTTATTTATATATATAATTAATTAATATATTTATAAACTCTTAAAATCTCTTTTTATATTATTTAATAATTCTTAATAAGATTTATTTATTTTTTATTAATTAATTTTAAATTTATAATTTTTAGAAATTTAAATAATTTTCTAATTTATATATTTTTATTCTTTAGATTTTTCTAACTTTAGAAATTTTATAATTTTATAAATTAAAAATTTTAAATTTTATTTTTTTATTTTTTAAAGTTCTTTTTAATATAATTTAATAAATATAAATCTATTATTTTATTATAAATAAATATTATTTTAAGAATTTATATATTTTTATAATTTTTATTAATTTTATTTAAAAATATATTAAATTTATATAAAAATTCTTTAAAAATAAATTTAAAATTAAAAATATTTTTTATTAATTATATAAGTTTTATTAATTTAAATTTATTAAATAACTCTTTAAATTATATTTTAAGTTTTACTTTTAGTTATATTTTAAATATTATTTTAACTATATTATTATTTTATTAATTTTAATTAGAATTTAAAATTAGCTCTATATTAATTATTTTATTATTATTATAACTAATAATTATAATTTTTATTTTAATAATATAATTAGAGTTTAGTTATATAGTTTAGATTATAAAAATACTTATATAATTATAAAGTTAAATATATCATTTACTTTATAAATTATATTTTAGAACTAATTATATAGTTTAAACTATAAAGATTTCTATTTATTTTTCTATAAAGTTATTCTTAAGCTTTTATATATAGTTTTTTATTATAATATTAAATTAATTTTAATTTCTTTATTTTATTAATCTATAAAATAAATAAATATAATATTATATATAATATTTATATTACTATTACTAGATATAATCTATTTATAAAAAAATATTAATTATTATTTTTCTTATTATTTTATAATTATAAAAATAGTAATTATATATAAATAATATTTATTTAATTAAAGATCTATATTTAATATAGGTTTTTTTTTCTTTTAAATATTATTTATCTATAAATTAAATTATATTTAGTAATAATAATATAAATATTTTATATAAATTAATTCTATTTAAAGCTATTAATTCTATTTAAAGCTTTAAAATATTAACTATTAGATTTAAATAGTAATTTTTAATAATAAAAAAGTTTATATTTTTAAACTATTAAATATTAAAAATTAAAAAAAAAAAATTCTTTTATATTATAATAATTTTTACTTTTATTAATTAATTAATTTATTTATTTTTTAAAAACTATAGTTTTTAAAACTTATTATTATTTACTCTAAGTACTAGATCTAAATAAACTCTAGTTCTTTTTCTTTATTACTAATAGAGGAAAACCTTATATATAGAATAAAAACCCTATTCTATTTATATATTATATAGCTTTATATAGAAGCTAGTTTAGCTCTTTATTTTCTATCTTCTATATTTTATATTCTTTATTTCTATTTTAACTCTTATCTATTAGTTAGTATTAATAAAGTAATCTTTAGTTTATATTCTATATAGATATAATATAGTTCTATCTAGAAACTAATTTTTCTATAGTTTTTTATATTAATTTAAATAGAAATTTATTTTCTTTAATTTAATTAGTAAGTAATTTTTCTAATATTTATTTTTTAATTTCCTATTTAGAAAGTATTTAAATATAAATTCTTTATTTTTCTTATTTATTAGATATCTAGATTAGTTTCTATATCTTTCTAATATAATATCTAGTTAGTTTCTCTATTTATATTCTTCTTCTACTTTTTTATTTATCTTTAGAATAAGAAAAATTAGTTTTAATTCTAATCTAGATTAGTTATAATATAATTTCTAGATTTATTTATTATTATTTATATAACTCTTTAATATTTAATATATTTCTTTTATAAGCTTCTAGATTATTTATCTTATCTTTTATATCTATAATATCTTTTATTCCTTTTAACTTTCTTTTCTCTTTTCTCTCTCTTTTTTCTTTATATAATCTAATCTTTAAATAAGTTTTTCTCTCTTTTTTCTAATATAATTTTAATATAAATAAACCTTAAAGTAGATCTTATTTTATATTATTTCTATTTTTATTCTAACTTTTTTTTATTCTATTTATTTTTACTTATTTTACTATATAAGCTCTTTCTATTCTATTATCTTTTAGTTTATCTCTAGCCTAATCTCTATCTAGTTCTATCTCTAGTTCTTACTATCTTAAGATATATTATTAATAATATCTTAATAATATAACTATCTATAGTTCTTCTACTTATTATATTCTCTAATTTAATAAGTTTCTAATTCTTATCTAGTTTAGATTTCTTCTAATTCTATAATAGATCTTATTATAAAGTTCTATATTAAGTATTACTTTTTTAAAACTATTTATCTATTAATAAGTTTATTTCTTTTTCTAATTATATTTAGTTCTAATCTATATAATATCTAATTAATACTCTCTCTATATAGTATATCTAGTATATTTAAATATATACTATTAATATTTTTACTAATTATAAAATCTTTATAATAAGTTTTCTATCTACTTCTATATTTTCTTTAGATTAATTTTTTTATTAATTTTAATTATAATAAGAAAAGTAGAATACTCTTATTTTAAAAGCTATATAGTATTATTTTAATAAGACTATTTATATCTCTACTACTAGTAAAATATAGAATTATATTAATATTACTAATTTCTATAGTTTAATTAGATCTATTTTAATTTTAATCTAAGTTCTATATAGTAAGAAGATTAAGGAGATTATTATTAAGACTTTAGTATCTAAGAATAAAAAGACTTATTAATAGATAATATCTCTTAGTATATAGCTTAATATTATTATTACTCTACTTACTAAATAGAATATACTTCTATATAGTCTTCTAGATCTTATAGCTAATTTTATATTAGAATTAGTTTAGATCTTACTTAATACCCTTATAGGTATATCTCCTCTGAATAGATAGGAGAAGTATTTTTCTAGTAAAAACTAGGAAGAAAAAATAATATTAGAGGAGAATTAGCTATATTTTTAATCTAGTTCTATACTAGTTTCTATTTAGATTCTATAGTTTAGAGAGTTTCTAGTTTATATACTTAATACTAACTTCTTACTCTTATATTTTTAAAACTTAAAAATATTATATAATATTTTATAAAAAATTTATAAATTTTAATTAATTTAACTTAATATATTTATTTATTTTTTTCTTTTTAATTAATTAATATTATATAAAACTTATAAATAAAGCTTTATTTTATTATATAAAGCTTAATCTTATTAATTACTAGTATATTAATAATCATTTATCTTACTTATTCTCTTTACTGCTGCTTAGTTTATTACAGGTTCCGATATGCCTCTTATCATCGAGGACGATAATCGCTAAGGTTGGGGTGTATATACTCGAACCTAACGGTCATTTGTAGTAGGTCGAGTTGGGCGGGTTCAGGACCAGATTCAATACTCGTATAAGCCGCCCCAAGGATGCAAATTTCCACCTTTCTGAAGCTGAGCAGCAATGATAACGTCAGCTTTCATCCATATGCATATTGTGGCGTCGAAGAGGAGAGCTGAGTGTGGGCCAGCTGACGGTCACGCTGGTTGTTGACAGGGACCACTGCCATCAAAGCCCTACAGACGCAGTGGTCTGATGTATTTTCCCCGGAAAGTCGCTCTTCAGTCACTCTTCAGCCGCTCTCGCTTCTCTTGATATGCGATATCTTCTCCTTCTTACAGTTTTATTCTCGCATTTTCACTTCATTTCTCTTACTTCCGCATAACACAATGGTCCGTACTCTCTGCAATGCCTGCACAGAGAATATCTTCCGGGGGGAGAAGAACTGCCAGACACGTGGCAATATGGTCACCAATATGGCTCGCCATCTCAACTCTGCGGAAAAGCTGCTGGATGGAGCTGGAGTAGGGTGCATTTTCTGCGTTCAAATCATCCAATATCTGGAGATGGGGCCTGGTGTACCTCAAAGTCCGGCGCGTTTCGAAACGCGTCGCGTGTTCTACGAGTACACATACCCAGAGATCATCCAGTTCTTTGTTGAATGGCAGGGAGTTGAAGAGAATGAACCCAGTGAGCGCGAATACAGAGGCCCTACATTCGCCATGGTGCCTATCACTCCAAGTTTGTTTCCCCGATCCCGCGGATAAGCTATTTTAACGGAAGTTGACAATATAGTGCGGGGCATGAGTCTGAAGCAGATGTACCCAGAGATCGCTTCCAGGTCTGACTCAGATGAGACGATGCAACTTATGAAGAGATGGTATCGGAACTGCTTGCATGACCACGGATTGTGCTCACGACGCACAATCGGTGGTGATGAAGTGGAAGACGGGTTACAGCTCCCGACTAGACTTATCGATATTGGGTCCGCAGGAAGCAAAGAGTTCCGGGTCGTAATGGAGACGGATGCTACAGGCCCAGGGAAAATATCCCATGGCTATGCAACGCTGAGCCACCGTTGGGGCTCGGCGACGTTTTTGTAAATGAACGATAATACCGAGGAAGCTCTCATCGCGGGTCTGCCCATGTCCAAACTCCCGAGCACCTTTCGGGACGCCGTACTTGTGCTCCATCAACTGGGCATCCAGTATCTCTGGATCGACTCGCTGTGCATAAAACAGGACAGTCGTGAAGAATGGTTAAGGGAGGCCCCGAGAATGCAGCAGGTCTATGGAAGCGCTGCAGTGAACATTGTGGCAGCACATGTTGACAATCCTGAGTCTGGTCTATTTCACACTCGCGACCCGAGCTCGATCGAATCGACCATATGCCGAGCCGAATGGGATGACGAACCAACGAAAGACTATCTCATTTGGAACCGGAAAGAATTTGACAACGACTATACATCTGCGCCTCTGACGCAACGAGGCTGGGTGTTTCAGGAACGGCTACTGGCTCCTCGCATCCTCCATTTTGGCAAGTCACAGGTATATTGGCGGTGCTCTGCATTGTTTGCCTCTGAGAGCTGGCCGTATGGTACATCCAACTTCTCTCCCTCGTCTTCAGTCTCGCGGAAGGACGCCGACATGATCATGCATGGACTCAGTCTGGACAAATTGAAAAAGACCCCGGGCGGCAGTACTGATGCGACGACTCAAATCTACCATACTGAACTATGGGCGGATCTGGTGGCGAAATACTCCTCATGTAAATTCACCAAGAACGAGGACAAGCTAGTTGCAATGTCGGGGGTCGCCAAAGTGTTCCGTCAATCGCTCCATGAGGGAGACCGGTACCTAGCTGGGCTATGGCGATCTGAATTGCCCAAGCTTCTATGCTGGAGGAGATCCGTCAGGAGGAATGAAAGCGACATAGTAGCGACGCGAACACGACCAAGTGAGTATCGTGCGCCCTCGTGGTCGTGGGCCTCAATAGACGGGCCTATCTCTTATAGCTTCTTACATAGAGGGGCCAATATTGGTGGAAGGTCGAAGGTACTTCTAATGGAGCACTTGGCTGAGATTATAAATGCATTCACAGTGCCATTAGACAAGGATGACACGGCCCAAGTGAGCCATGGGGTTCTAACCATTCGTGGGAGACTCCAACCGTTCCGGCTCCTTTCTGCCCAGGGAGCAAATATCAGGTTTGAGATCGGTGGCGAAGTTCGATTCAGCCCCGACAGCAGGTTCATCGTTGACGCCCTGCTCAACGAAAACGAGCAGCTGGAGGGGATGGAGTTATGGGCCCTATTGGCCCGATGCTATATTGTGAACGCTGGCTTCGTCGACTTATCTTTCTTGGAATGTATTGTTTTGAGGAGACAGGACGAAACCCAGAACTATCAGCGTGTAGGCATTTTTACTACCTGCTACGGGGAGGTGGACGGATATGAGCCTCTGCACGACCATGTTTTTGGAGTGTATGCTGATGAGATTAGGACCGAGTCTGAGGGAGGGTATGTTTTTCGAGCAGATGAACAAGAATCTGTCACTGTTTCGGTTGTATAAAGAGAGGTCTCTTTTTTCTCGCTTTATGTACAGTCTATCTCTTCTTTCTTTTCTCCTGTTCAGTCTTTATCCCTCCCGCCTGTTTGAAAATGATGTTGCGCTGAAAACAAAAGCACAAAAACAGGTTTATTGCGTGGTTCCAATTTGCAGCATGATTCCTAGACCGAGATAGACAAGACCATGCTCTCGATCTGCCTCGCGAAACATCTTAAGATAGTTCTAGTCTGCCAAGTATTATGAGTAAAGGCCTCCCTTGGGTTATATAACAGTTAGATAACTTATACTAAAGAGGGAATCTAGGGTAAATTAAGGATATAACTAATAAAAAGAATTCCAAATAGGATAACCAGATTATCTTAACACTATATATATTACTACTAATATATAAATAGTAAGAAGCTAGTTTAAATAAAAATAATAGTAATTATATTAATAACTATCTAAGAGAGTATTCTAACTAATAAAATAAATATATATATACTAAGAACTTTACTTTTATAAGCTTATAAAGGATTTTACTCCGAATTTTATCTTTTCAAAGTAAAGTTAGTCCCTATTATTCACTAAGATAGGCTAACTATCTACTTACATATAACATCCTATAGCCTAACAGAGATCTTTATTTATAACAGTTATAAAAGGTAGAATCTATATTCTTTATTTTATATAGTATCTATCTACTAAATTAAGGAAGGTTAGTATTTTATACGAAGTTGTTCCATTAAGCAGCCGTTTGGCAGACTTTCTGATCACAACCTAACTGGGGTATCGAGGTGAAGCACCGTGGCAGAGTTTTGGCCAAAATAACGTGGTAGTGTGGAGGGCTATGTCGCATTTGCGATGGATAAAATAATAAATTGCGTTGAGTCGTATGCAGCGACCAGAGACGCGCGTAAAGTATCCTCACTGAAGATCACTGCTGTGCCGCGAATGTGGCGGATCCTGAACAGGCAGTTGATCTGTTGTGGCAAAGGCTATGCAGCAACTGGGTATGCCTCACCGGACTTGGCAGCAGGTCGACCAATGTATTTGAAACCTCTTTTGGTCGCAGCAAAGTCTTGACAAAGTCAACGTTACTACCAAACGACGTCCTAATCTCATCATTTTGACCACAACTCGGACAACCTCGCTATGGAGAAGCTTGAAGTTTTTAGAAGAATGGACATGAATGCTGTGTGCATGTCCTGCCGGAGGCTCTGGGCTGGTATGAGCCAGTTGCCGACTTTTATAATGGGCTTTGATCGGAATTTCAAGCAGATGCAAGACGCGGCCGCAGCCGGTTGCCATTGTTGCGCGATTTTTGTTGCCAATGCTGAACTTTTGGAAATGCCGAAATACAAGCGCACCCGGGAACTCATGGATACCGGTATAGCCCGCGTGCTCATGGTTCCTGCTGAGCACTATATTGCCTTAGCTAGTTTATCTGGTTTTCAGATGAACACTCCATTGCGTTTCGTCTTGAAACCAGCTAAATGTAAGTAAAAAGATAAAACCGGCGCTGTCTTATCATGTACTGAATTGTGCACAGGGCTCTCACCAAAACTAACTCACGTTAAACACGAGTCTTCCACTGGCTCTCCAACAAGCTTTGTTCAGGCTCGCGAATGACTTAGAAGCTGTCGAGAAAATCACCCTGCATGCCGCTCGCGGGATCAATATTATCGTCCAACTCGCCTTCTTCGCGTCGACTCTGACTCCCAAGCTCTAACACTAGAGCAAAAGAACTCTTACCCAGCTAGTATCAAGTACGTGACTTTGAGCTATTGCTGGGGCCAAGAAGTGGCACAATGCCTTAAAGTGGACAATGTTGACGACTTTGGGCGGGGGATCCCGTTCAACCAACTCGCCCAAACCTTTCGAGACGCTGTTACCGTTTGCCAGGAGCTTGGATTCGAGTATATTTGGATTGACTGTTTCTGTATTATTCAAGACTGTATAACGACTGGAAAGTCGAGGCGCTGCAGATGCAGCATATTTATGGCAACTCGGCCTTGAACATTGCCGCCACAGACTCCAAAAACTGCCACGGAGGACTGTTCCGGCACAGAGATACCAAGGTTCTTCGACCATTCAACTTTTTTATAGCTGACGTATTTCTCCTCGGGAAAGAACTAAATGTAGATCCTGCTCGAGAATCTGGTCAACATGAAGAATTCTTCAAAAATAAAAATCCGTCCCCGAAAGAGCGAAATGGACAAGAACGGGACCAAGAAGATGCTGAGGAGTTGTTGGAAGTCTTACAAAAAGATGACAACGCTTGCGCAACCATAAGCCTCTCCGATATGAGCCTTTGCTGGGACCGTTTTGAACAGGCACCTCTCAACCGCCGCTCTTGGGTCTTTCAGGAACGCCTTCTGAGCCCTCGCGTCCTTCACTTCGACAAGGATCAGCTCGTTTGGGAGTGCCATTCTCTGACAGCGTGCGAACGTTTTCCTGGCCTACAAGGTATTGATGACCTGGTCCCGGAGAACAAGCGTATCAGAGCATCCTTGAAAAAGTTGGAAAGCATGAAAAAAGTAGACCGCACTATGGGGCGTGAGTTCTACGATATATGGAGACCACTCATCAAGTCTTACACTGCTACTGGGCTAACAAACCTGACGGATCGACTGATTGCAATCGAGGGGATTGGGCAATGGCTCAGCGAGATTTTTGGATGCTCGTATGTGGCAGGTCTTTTCTCAAGAAACATGGAGAGTCAATTGGCATGGAAACCAGGCGAGGCGCAATGGGAAGAGGTAGGCACGAAGATGCAACAGCCAAGGATCACAATCGCCTCCTCTTGGACATGGGCCTGCTATCTCGGAGAAGTCGACATGCTATCTCGGAGAAGTCGACATGCTATCTCGGAGAAGTCGACATGCTATCTCGGAGAAGTCGACATGCTCTCCCAGTGGAAGCCTGTGGACGGTGATAGCAGCAGCGCTCGTCACCTGAAAGATGACGAGCTGAACGAAATTATCTTGTGCAAAGTGACCAACAAGGAGCAATTAGCGACGAGCTAGGATGCCTCAGCTAAGTTCGAAGAACTGTCTCTCAAGGTCCAATGTTTCATGGTCAAATTACGACTTATTGACTTTTCTGACGTCAAGGCATGGCCGAGGGGTCGGCAAGAGCTGGGTTTATGGTCTGAGGAGGTAGGGAAACCAGTCTACAGTTATGAATCGTTGCCCTTTGACGAAGACCGCTCCTTGGATGATCTCTGGCCATTGGTTGATTGGGGGGGAAATGCAGAAAACCGACGATTTAGACTCTGGGACGGAACTCCAGGTCAGGAAGTAATTGTATCTCCCATCACCACAACCCAGGAAGATTCATTCAAGGCAAGACTGAGCTTTGACAGTTGGAAAGACTTCCGAAAGAGACGGTCTCTCTATCTTTTGCCCTCTCACGAAGTCACCAGCTACGAACCTCAGGATATCTGGGAAAAGTCAAAATATCGCATGATCCAAGGCCTGGTTCTCGAGAGACTGGAGGAGGAGGGGAATCGGTTTATACGTATCGGCATGTTCCGTCTCGATGACTTTGAACGGCAGAGATTCTGGCGAGCAGCGATTGAAACAGACGTCCCCGAATTAACGAAGCATTTGTCAAAGGTGAGCACTTGGCCAGACCTTAGCTGGAAATTCAACCGTGGAAAGCCTTTCAAGTACGACGAAAGGGATAATATGCCGCAGTATCAGATAGCCATCGTGTAGACCCACTGTAGCAGTAGTGTATAAGGAGGGCAATGCCCCGGCTACTGATAAACTGCAACAAGAAATAATATACTCCATTCACCTATAACTCTACTACTACTACTAATACTATGGAACCTCATGCTAACCCCTACGGACCCCTAATCCTATTTAATAATCCCTACCTGTCTCTTTAACCCTCTACCCTCTTATACTTACCCTCCTACCCTGGAGCATATGCCCTGCACCTGTGTATATACTATTAGCAAGGAAACCTACTGCAGTCCTTATCTAGCACAACGCAGGTAGCATAGCGAGCATAGTGGTAGCCGCAGAGCAACATTGACATGTAGCCGGCTTGGCTGTCATTGGAGCTAGACGCGCAAGAGGAAATCAGCTTGCCGCTAGTGCCAGGATAGATCTAGTGAAGTCAACCATCGAGTCGCTTGTGGTATTGGATCACGGGCATTGCTGGAGAGTTACGGGATACCAGTCATTGTTGAGAATCCTGCTGTAGGGGAGAACCTCCAGGACCACAGCCTCGCCTGCCAGTCCTTTGAGGTTGATCCTGGCACCCCCTCAAACGATGTAATCCGCGACCCAAAATTGCTCCAGTACCTAATCGCTCTATACCAGGATAATCACCAAGGCCCGTTGGGCGGCAGTAATACTTGCGTTGCATATGTACCTCTGGCTGATCATACTGGAACATACTCAGCTGAGGCTAGGGAGGAATTTCTAGCCGCGAACCAGCAACATATCAAATCTGCAGAAGACAAAATAATCGCCGACATGATTCAGGCTGGAGACGAGCCGATTGTCGAATACGTGCTATTCCATGGTCAAACAAACACGGTCATTTACGAGCCCAACAGTTTGATCGACTACCTTGCGCCTGTACGGCCTGAAAATTACGTTACAGTTATGACAATGTTAAACCATCCCCTCTCGAGAGGAAACGTACATATTTCAAGCCCGGACATTCATCAACAGCCGACTTGGGATCCGAAATTTGGCTCAAACCCATTGGATACGGAAGTAACGGCGCGTCTCGTCCAATTCATCGACCGGATGCCAGCACAACTCCCTTGGCGCAAAAGTTGAAAGCAGGAGGCGCTCGGGTCCCCGATGTCAAGGCTGACAGCTTGGAAAATGCGATAGACGTTGTGCGCCAGAGTGAGATTGGCGTGTTTCATCCCTGCGGGAGCTGTGGCATGAGACCCAAGGACAGAGGCGGCGTTGTTGACACCAATCTACGCGTGTATGGTGTCAGAGGGCTGAGGGTTGTTGATGCTAGCATTTTCCCTCTTGTGCCTGTTGGAAACATCCAAAGTGCGGTTTACGCTGTTGCGGAGAAGGCAGCCGACATCATCAAGGCTGAACGCAGACAGTGAGCTCCTCGGAGAAATGCTGCCCGCCAGGAGACCAAGACACACCGGATTGGGAGGAGCTCCACAGCTCTGTTGACCCGAGATAGGTAAAAAAGCACTTGAACGGAAATCTACTGATCCAGTTCGTTCCCCTTGAAAGCCATGGAGAACAGTTACTCGATGTCAGTGGGTTGGCCTGGATTCAATTACAAGGGCCATCACGTACCACTGCTCATATTAAAAGTCTTGTACAAAATTCAAGAAAAGCTTCCGGACCGAGGTAGATTTGGAGCTGAATTAGGCGGGCAGCTGTAAGATTAGCTCTCTGGTGGTGTTACCGGAAACATCATTGGCGTCAATGACGACGTCATGATTCGATGCCCCTGATTGGCCAATTCAACCGAAGCCAGATCGCGATGAGAGATTCTCGGCGTCATCATTACGAAATTGGAAGTGGTTTGTTTCTATAACATATTAATCGTCCCTTGGGAACCTTTTTTCTTTCTTTGTACATACATGTCCAGCTGGTAGATAGCTCCAACCCGACATCTGTTCATCTGTTCATCTCACTCATTATTCACAATGATTCCAAGACAAACCGCTCGCTCAGCAGTTTCCAGGGCGGGGCGCTTTGCCCCAGCTCCTCGCCGTAGCCAGATCCGCTTCCAGTCTTCCTCCGCATCCTCAACATCCTCCACGCCCTCAGCGGGTGGCACTCCATGGGCAGCCGGTGTAATCGGTGGCGTCGTCGGTGCCAGTCTCTTCTACGGTGTCTACTCTTTTACACCGTCTGGTCGAACTGCATCCAGTTTGAACAAGGCTGTCATCGAAGCGGAGAAGAAATACCAGGTTGCCGCGAAGAAGCTCCAGCAAAAGACACCGTCTGCAGACGAAGCAATCGACTCGATCAAGCAGGTGGCATATTCCTACGTTGGCTGGGTCCCCGGAGGGCGATCTTACGTCGACGCCGCATTCAAGGACTGGGACAAGGTGCGCGAGAATCACAAAGATGAGGCCGATAAAATCATCACCGATGCGTACAAGCAATTCCAGGACGTGTCCAAATCTGGACTGAGCCTGGTCACCGCCACACGCGCCTATGAGATTCTTGCCGACCTGACTAAGAAAATTGCCAACCTCACAGGCGATGCCATTTCGGACATCCTCGACAATCATCCCGAGGTCAAGAAGAAGTTTGGAGGAAACGTTGATCAACTAAAGCAACTAAGCGAGAAATACGGACCGGAGGCCAAAAAGCAGGTCGACGAGACTTGGAAGCAGGTCAAGGATATCTTCGCCAATGGATTCAGTGAAGAGAACATCACCAAGGCACGCAAGCTAATCGAAGAAAAGCTGCAAGAAGTCCGCAAGCTTGGTGACCAGGCATGGAACAAGGCCCTTGAAGAGGCTAAGCCATATCTTGACAAGAACAGCAAGGTGAAGGAATTGGTGGAGAAGAATGCCGACGCCCTAAAGCAAGGCGACGTCAAGAAGCTTTTCGAAAAGGCCAAGTCTGCAGTGGATTCAGGAAACTTATCTGATCTCGAGGGCTACGTGAAAGACTTGACGAAACAGGCTCGATCATCTGCCGAGTCGCTGACAAGTGGCTGGGGCTCACTGGATCAATACTCGAAGCTACTGCCCAATGGCGAAGAGGTCATATCCAAACTGAAAGACCTAAGTCAGGTTGCTGAGAAGCACCGAGAGGAAGGCGAGAAGCTTCTACAGGAGACTGTGGAGGAACTGAAACAAGTTCTTGAGAAGAAATCCAAAAAGGCTCAAGAAATTGCCGACCAGGCTAAGAAGGAAGTTAAATAGGTATGGCATATATTGCATGTATCATCAACATTATTTGGAATGAAACATTAGCATAATAAATTCAAACATTACAACGCACGGTGGTGCTCATCAAGCTTCATTATTAGGCTCAGTCCCACGCCTATGATCACTTTTACAGAATTTTTTCAGCTCCAAAGTCCTTCAGCCAGTTTAAGATATTGCTTTGAGGACCATATCCAGTTTCGCAAATCATACGAACACCGCAAGGGGGCGAGAAAACATTATGTTCAAGCCTGAGCGCCGTTTGACCGCTGGACGAAGGGCGATTATTTGCATTCGGCCACGAGTAGACGTGATACTAGAGCTGTGCTATGCCCCGGGTAATATCTGGTAGAGTCTACTGTTCTAGTGATTGGGGTAACCGTTTTCCTTAAACTTGCGTAGGTGTGCCTGTTGAGATTTTACCTACGGCGGATACGCGATCATCACCCGCAAGAGTAATCGGGAGCCCGAGTGTCAACCGTTAGATGTCCGGGTAGGAGCTAACTATCTCTATTGGAGAGGGTAAGTAGCATGGGGATAATCAGATGCTTATGGGTAGTAATCGGATACCCGCTACGGCTGACGATTACCATTTAGTGCCATGCAGCACCTGTTTACACACCCTTAGGTGAGATCATCGAGACGCCTACAGTACAAAGAGAATGAGTATGGGAATTGAATTGATTATGAATAAACCCTGAGCACAGAGAAACCGCGTCCCAAGGATTGGCGAGTCAGAATTCATCTCAACACCATTTCCATATGCATGTATTCTAGACTGATGTCGACCGATGGCAGTTACCATGTCTGGGAACATCTACGTGCCCAAATTCTGGACGTATGTATCTTACTCAGCGGCTTCCCGTTCGTAATCGGGGCCATCTTATTAGTCGCTAGCTCGGGCACCTGTTTTCAGCTGAACGTTATTGCATCTGTTGGAGCAAAGCTTATATTCAAGTACACCCGCCCCCTCATCTGCCCAAACTCTCCCCAGTCTTACCATCAACCACCAACATCTAAAGATGACCTCTACACTTCAAATGGACCTGTACCGCACTGGGGCTGGGCTGTTCCTCTTCTGCTGCGTGTGGGGATGCTTCATTCCCACGACGACATACAAGCGGCTCGGTTTGATGGCTCATTCACAAGCAGCTTCAATGGGCACAATGGCAATCGCTGCGGGAGTTCTTGTCCAACATCTAAGCACGCCGCTACAAGAATGGGAGGCCCGCATTATCTATTGGGGGGTATGGGTGTCATGGCCGATGATCTTCACACAGATCGCGGCAGCCTACTGGGGTGCCAACAAGATGCTTCCTATTGTTAGTTCCAATTCACCTCCCTGGCCCAGCTGAGTGAACACGCTGACAATTTGCCAAAGGCTGGGGAAGCGGCCCCTGGAGCGTCCCCGTGGAAGGAAAACGTCGTTGCAGCCGCTCACATTGCAGCGGTACTCGGTAACATCCCCGCATGGGCGATAATTTGCTGGAGGCTCTAGTTGCATCAGATTTTGTGTGCCCGATTCTGAGATGCTTTCGAAAATCAAAAGAAATAGCAAAGATAATATTCGTCAATCATCACATCTGGCTTTTGTCGTCATGAATAGTGTATTTTATCTTCGCTCTGTATATTTACCTCGTCATACACCTTCACTTACTCAGTTGACATCAATCGAGCAACCAACCATCGGTCCTTCGCTAGCGAACGGCTAAGGATGCCTCCAATTCCGAGGCAATCCTTCTACCGGAACATTCCTAAGAGTTAGAGCTTGAAATCAGCACCAAGAACTTGCACGACGATGAGATATCGTCCTCGGGAGGCACATTGCGGAAATCTTGTTAGCATTGTCACTGTTGGCAGGTAAGCTCCTTTCTCTACCGTCCAATTTATCAGGCTCCCTCTTCTTCCTGTAGCTGGTTGGTAAAGGATGAAGTTGGCATGATTTTGACCATCTCGCTACAAAATATGGAGGGAGAACCATCAAGATCACAAGAGACAACGAAAAACAACATACAGGCGATCAAGCAGAAAGGGTTGGAGAGTCGGGCCTTTGAGGCTACGAGACCAAGCCCAGACTGTCGGGGGCGCAAATTTAAAAACACGGGGCACTAGACACCAGTTTACATGCATCTTCATTCATTTAGGATGCTTTATCCCACGGTGACATTCATCCCGCACTAGCACCAGCCCTCGTTTCCGTGATACACATCCCGCGGAATCATGCTTATCCCACTTCCATTTATCCCACTTGCCCCGTGGGGCCCTGCCCGAAACCCGCCCTGACGAAGAGGATGCCGAAAGTGCCGCCATAACTAGGGATCAGCCAAAGAACCATAGAGTGAAACGTCCCAGTTAGATAGGTTCTAAAGGGATTACAAATTGGATTCGCATATTGATGCCGGAACTAAAAGTATAGATGACGTATCCCACTTCCTAATCACCGAATGCAAGGGCCCTCGGCCGTGTTGTGAATAAGTATGACCAAGAAATTGTAGGTCTTCTTTATAATCTATTGTGGGATAAACTTCTCGAGAGTTCTTCTCATACATATATATCACAGGAAGCTGGTCGTTGTCCAAACATCTCTGCATCAAGCTCAACATTGACACAACAACCAAGAAATAGAATCTTCTCAACGTCTTTAGACCCCAACGTCTTCAATCAAAATGATCGGAAAACTTACCCTCCTGTTGGCCGCTGCAAGTCAGCTGGTTCTTGGCGCATTCCCTCTCGTCGATAGAGCCACTGGGAAAATCGAGAAAGCACCTTATTGCCCTGCACGACCTGCCTCCCCCGAATTCCAGCGCGCTGCCTTCACTGAATTTCTTCACCAATTCTTTGAGCAACATCTGGTCAATGAGTCGCTCACAAACTTTGCCAGCGACGAGTACATCCAGCACAATCCAGGTGTGCTGAGCGGCCGCCAGCCCAGCATTGATGCTCTCGGCGCCGGTGGCCCTTATGACTTCAGCAAAGGCAACGTGACCATTATGCACTACCTCTTCGATAGCCCCTTCGGCACGGTCCACTACAGAGTTGATCTGCCAGGCCAGGAGCCTACCGCCATCACCGACATCTGGAGGTTTAATGGCACATGCATTGAGGAACACTGGGACGTGATCCAGACTCTGCCCAAGAACGCTACCAACCCGCTTGCTCTCTTCTAGGTTTATCTATAACCTCTGACTCGCTCTCTGACGGACAATTATACTTAGGGGATATTGTGATATACGAAGCTATTTTGGTGGCTGGATGAGAAATTCTCGCAGGGGTCATTTATTTGTACACAGAGAAATAGCCTTGCTTACTAATTACGAATGTGATTCCTGCTATCAGCATTTGGTCTTTTCAAAAATCACTAAAACACGTATTTTCCTTTCCTGCACTCTAAGGGGGTGAGAGACAGACTATCACGAGCAGACAACAACTCTACTGAAACTACACGTCGAAGTGTTCATCAGTCTCGAGGCTAACTAGCTAATTCATCTGAAAAGAATAGAGGGGGCTCCTGAAAATCTGACACTAATGACTCAGGTTTCGTTCAAAACTCGTTCCTCCCCTGGTCTTGTTCATAGTACTACACAAAATCAGAAGGGTGTTCCGCCCTGCTCAACTGTATGTGATCCTGCGATGCGACTTTATGTCGGATCTTCTGAGCAAAAATAACCATATAGCAGGTTTATAAGATGAGAGAGGTCATGGTGTTTTCATAGCTATCCTATGTAGGAAGGGAAGGGAAGGGGCTGCATCTATGGGCATCATCAGCCGTTATGTTATTGTTACTTACCCCGCGCAGGTAGAGCATTGCCTTGGCCATCGGCACTTTTGTCCGATCAACAATTGAGGACTGCGGCCATTGAAGCCCGAAGCGTGATTTCTCTACCACAAGCTAGTGCTTTACGGGTGGGGAGATAACAACTTCGGGCTGACACTGCATAATATCTGTGGAGACGCAGAGATAAAGCTCCTCGGACCGGATGGTTAACTCATGATGTACCTATTTTCCCCCATGAATAATAAAGCTAGGTCCTGTCTGACCTCCCCGCATCTCACCCACCCATATTTTGGCTTCATCCCAGCATCTAAGATACTCCATTTGTCCGCTATGATGCCTTTGTCACAGTTGCATCCCTTCGATCCCTTAACACCGGAGGATATCACATTATGTGCCAATATTCTCAGAAACGCTATCCCCGGCGTTACGTTGCGCTTCAAGCGCATCGATGTGCTAGAGCCAGTCAAAGGCGAGACTGTGGCCTATTTAGAAGCAGAGCGAAGTGGTAACGCCCTTCCTCCAAAGCCTGCCCGACTTCTATTTTCCTACTTTCATCGTATGGATACGGGCGTATTTCACAAGGCAGTCGTGAATGTCAACGGACAGATTGTGTACATCAAGGAACTGCCCAAGGACATCCAGGTATGAGTGTATCCACGCGATGCAACCTCCCATGTTCCTAGGCGTATTGCCTCCCTGCTAACCGAATCAGGGGCCTGCCGATATTGATGAGTTGATTGAGGTCGAGGAGGCATGCATGAAGCACCCGGCTGTCCTAGCTGAGATTGAGAAGATGCAACTTCCCCCAGGCTATAAAGTCTGCAATGACCCGTGGATTTATGGCACAGACAACGATAACGAGACACGACGCCTAGCGCAATGTTATATGTACATCATTGAGGTCGACCACCCAGAATCCAACCACTATTCGCTCCCATGTACCTTTTCTCCCGTCTTCGACCAGATCACCAAGGAGCTAGTTCGCATGGATTATCTGCCTACAGGGGCCGACGGTCAAGTCCAGTCCACGCAGCCATGGAAACAGGTGAAGGGTGTGCAATACGCCCATGATCTACTCGACGAACCCATCCGCACTGGTTTGAAACCTTACGTTGTTCAACAGCCCGAGGGGCCATCCTTTACCATCAACGGAAGGGAGGTCCATTGGCAGAAGTGGAAGTTCCGTGTGGGCTTCAATAATCGAGATGGCCTTGTTCTGTACAACGTCACATTCGACGGCCGCCAGACATTTTATCGACTTTCCATGTGCGAGATGACAGTCCCATATGGGGGTATGCACAACCGAATTCCTCAAGTCCCTATCAAATCGAAGGCAGTACATCCAGCTAACCTTTCCAGATCCCCGAAAGCCATTCCACAGGAAGCAGGCATTTGATGCTGGAGACGTTGGGTTCGGCATAACTGCTAATTCACTCGCACTCGGTTGTGATTGTTTAGGTCACATTGCCTACTTCGATGGATATCGCACTGACTCTAAAGGAAGCCCTGTTCTTCTGAAGAGCGTCATCTGCATGCATGAGCAGGATAACGGTCTGCAACACAAGCATACAAATTACCGCAATAATGTAGCCACTGTGGTGCGGAACAGGGAGCTTGTCGTGCAGATGACATGCACTGTCTCCAACTATGAGTACGTCCTGGCATGGGTGTTCGACCAGGCGGGCAATATCGAGCATGAAGTGCGCGCCACTGGCATCCTATCCACGATGCCTATTGATAACCACGATGGAGTGAAGGTTCCATGGGGCACCAACGTCGGGCCGGGTGTCATGGCTGCTAATCATCAGCACCTATTCTCTCTGCGGATTGACCCGGCAGTAGACGGACACAACAACACAGTGTTCTACGAAGATAGCGTTGCGCTCCCCGTGGATGCAGAGCTCAACCCCTTTGGGGTGGGGTACGTCTCACGTCCGACCGTCGTTTCCAAGGCTGGCTATGCAGACCTGAGCGTACAGAATGGTCGTGTCTTCAAGATCCGCAATGACAGCAGCATCAACCCAATCTCTCTCAAGCCAGTAGCATACAAGCTTCACGCGGCCCCCAGTCAAATGCTCCTCATGGACCCAAGCTCCTTCTCAAGCAAGCGAGCTGCCTTTGCCCGGCACGCTATCTGGGTGACCCGGTACCAGGACGACGAGCTTTACGCCGCAGGAGAGTTCACCAACCAGAGTCGTGCTGATACGGGTCTCTCTGTGTGGGCGGCTCGGGATGATAACACTGAAAATACAGATGTGGTGCTGTGGCATACTTTCGGGCTGACCCATAATCCACGGCCGGAAGATTTCCCCGTCATGCCGTGCGAGAGGATTAGTGTGATGCTCAAGCCAGACGGCTTCTTTACCAAGAATCCGGCGCTTGACGTTCCGGCTAGTACTCAGAAGTTCAACCGATCTACGCTGCATGAAGAGAAGCAGACAGCGCCTTGCTGTGCGCCTAAGCTTTGAAGGGTGTTGTCAGTGATATTGTTTGCTTCGTTCTCAAGTTATAAGCCATAACGGCTAGATGTATATCTCAAATTCACTGAAGAAAATATATGAGAGTAGTTTGACTCATTTCAATATGTCTCTTGAATGGTTTGATCTCCTGTGCCCGAGGCCAATGAGAGCAACAGGCATGATACTAACCTAGTATGTTTTATTACCCTAACAAGCAACCTAGAGAACTAAACCAGAACTAGTATAAATCTTCTCGAGGTCTGTGGGCTAATTTTGTACGTAGATGGCTTAAATACGATACCACTCATGACGGGAGGGAAAGCAATACTCCGCTATCCTGAACGTTTTCCTCTGGGAGAAAAGAGGATGATTTTTTTTACGGGATAGTGGCGGCTATGATGGTATTTCGGTAGTCGTGAGTTCGACAGTCGGTGTGCTTGCTTAGATTGTCTCAAGGCAAAATCTCAAAACTAACACGACGGGATATCCTAAACCAACGTCAACGACGTCATCTGCCTGGAGATCTCTTGTAAAAGAAAGCAGCTTCTTCAGAGCGTCATTGTCATTGAGGCACTCATGGCCAGTGCAGCCTATGCCAACTGGCTAGCAATCCCAATCATGAGCACATATTGCAGCGCCAACTGCTATCCCCAAAGGAGCAATAGCACTAATAAAGAAGCTCTACCATTTGCCGAGTCCATCACGAAGATAAAACCGGGTCTGTTTTAGCCAACCGCACAGTCCGTCAGTAGGCCCAAGAAGGATTTGGCTAGCAACGCAAAAGTGGATGCTAATTACACCGACTTGCTCGCAGTCAGTCAAACGTAACCAACTCATTACTTGTCTGCCGCCAAATAATGAGTAGCTTCTAGGGCGGTGATTCGATCAAAAGGCCCAGCCTATTCGAGAACAGCTCTAAAAACTTGACTTACATCATTCAAGGCGACAGTAATCAAACTGTTGAGATTTGATTTGGGCGCCATTCGCGGCATCTCCGACCCACAGCCGAAAGGATGTTTAACTATATCAGGAAATTTGTTCATGAACCATTGCAAGGGCTCAGGGCCGGGGGCCATAGCGTGCTCGCTTCTCAGCTGGTCAAGCCTGCTCTCCAGCCCCCCTTTTCTCGAGCTAGCAAGTTTTCATATGATGTATATTAGCTCTTCTCGGCAGACCCAGGGTCTCTCCCCTCCTCGGCGTCAGTTTTGTGCTTTGTGTTGTTTGTTTGGTTTGCATTGATACAAGTCGACCGTCTCGACTTGTCAGCTAAGTCTCCTCGTATGGATGAACGCGCGGCCCTGCTTCAGTTCCCAGGAGCTGGCTCCATCTCCGGCGACAATTGTGACCATCACAAACAGTTCTGCCAACTCGTTGGTGTCCGCCCAGTCGATCACCCACACGACGAGCCGCACAAACCTCGGCCTCAGTCGCTCTATGGCCGCGCTCTCCATCGCCGGAGCGCCCAGAACTGCACCTACATGTTTACCGCCACCTTGATCAACACCCTGCTGCTCACTCAGGTGGTTCTCGGCGCCGCCTTGACTGGATTGGGAGCCAGCAACAGCAGTAGAATCCTCATTACCGTATTTGGTGCGCTCAACACAATCATCGCCGGCGTCGTTGCATTCCTCAAGTCCAGAGGCCAGCCTATGCGTGCTCGCATGTTCCGCGATGATCTGTCCCGCGTAGTTGACGAAATAGAGAACTCGGCTGTCATGTGGTACGGCATCAGCGGCGCCGCGCACGGGTACGATGCGATTGATACCGATGAGCAGGTCACAGTGCGCAGCGAGGTAGCCCGCCTCACTCGCCTATACGACAAGGCCGTCAAGACGAACACCATGAACGATCCGGACATGTACTCGGCGGGTGGCATGGATCAGTACTCTGCCGGTCTCAGGAAGAACCCAACACAGGCCCAGCCTGGTCCCAACTTCATCGCCGCCGTCGTCCCTACAGAATCTGGCCCTGCTCCTCTCCCTCCCCCGCCTGCACCGGCACCAGCGCCGCCCGCCGACCCGGATGCCAGTCCTGCGAGCAAAGCACCCGAGCCAGCCAAACCCAAGGAAGGAAGCAAGCCGCCCTCTACCACCGAGTCTTCAGAGAACAGCAACAAAGCCAGCACCCCTCCCCCGGCCGAACCGTCACCATCCGAGCCAACACCCGAAGACAAGGGAAAAGAGGCAGCCGTCGCCAGCTTGTCCGCTTCAGCCGCACCTCCTCCAACACCCTCCCCAGCACCGCATACACCCATGGACGATCCCGACGCAAGCCCTGCGAGCTTCGGCCATCTACCAAAAAGGGAAGAGACCAACAAGACTCTCGTCGATTAGACAAGTCTTGAAGCATCCTCGAAATGGTCCCTTTGCCACGAACAGACACACCAATTTGACAAGACTTGATGTGGTTACCCATGATTTTTTTTTCTTGAAAGCGTCAAGCCGTCATGACTTTATGAATTGATGCATACTGGTTTCAAGTTCTTGCCGTTAAGTTAAAGATATCCTCACGCTGAAATTGAATACCCAGAGCTCGTACTCTAATGATTGTTAATTCCTTGATCTGCACTTCGATCCGTGTGACTGAGTCGTAGGAAACTTTTCAGTGGTAGCGTCGAATGGCGAGTCATTGACACACCAAAACAATGCACTCCGTAGTACACAAGCATCGTTTCTCTTATCAGAGGCGATACCTTCTTTGGTAGTGTCGAAGCTCAAAATATTCTGGCGCAATCGCCTTCGTTTCGACGGACTCTAGTGATGTTCATCACCAACAACCTGGGTTCATGCGCCTGGCAACCGAACCGAAGGGTGAGAAGAGGAACGTCACTATGTCTTCGAAACTGCAGTTCTAAGTTACCCAATTGTTTTCTTAACCATGCCTAAAAAGGAACTCAGCTCCAAACCTCACTCGGAGAATGGTATTTCTGAATGCGATGGATGTCTGCAGTTACTCCGATCGGCCTTGTCATTGGGCACATTGCACGTGAAGAGTGGGGCACAGTTTACTTCCATATTGGCTACCCTATACCTCGCTGTTGGTGCAGAAAACTGGAGGGCAGAGTGAGGCCGTCGCCGACCATGCCATCAACACATGAATTCTTTTGACTTGGGTGTTTACCTCTGTGTTTCATCTCAAACCCTATTTCCCACAAAGCCATCATGGATATATCAGCTGGGGTGGCCAGCTCCAAAAGGTCTGCAGCTCCGTACATCGTCGAGCCTCTCTCGGCCCACACGCACAGTTTAATCTTACTCCATGGCCTGGGGTCCAACGGAAAAGAATTCGGCTCTGAACTACTCAAGACGGGCCTCAGCTTTGACGGCCATAGCTTATCGCAACTACTTCCGGGCGCGCGATTCATTTTCCCAACAGCAAAGCGACGTCGCTCAAGCGCCTTCAGTCGCTCTAAATTGACGCAATGGTTCGACATTGCGTCTTTGGATGATCCATCCTATAGGCAGTATACCCAACTTGAGGGTCTCGAGGAATCGCTTGACGAGGTGCTTGAGCTGCTTAGTGTAGAGGTAGGCAAAGTCTCGGCACAGAATGTTCTTCTTGGAGGCCTCAGCCAAGGCATGGCAATGTCTGCCATTTGCTTGCTTTATCTGGAATTTTCTTTGGGAGGGTTTATTGGCATGAGTGGATGGTTGCCTTACAGCAAAGACCTGCAGCAAGTCTTGAATGAGGATGCTGAGAATGATCCGTTTGGTGACGAGGACCCTTTCGATGTCCCTGATAGCAGAGAATCGGAAGAGCAAGAACCAATCCACAAAGCGGTGGATTTTATTCGGGATCTGCTTGGAGGTGACCGCCAGGCTCTATCGCGGAATGCGCTTGCAACGCCCGTTTTTCTTGGGCATGGCATGGTCGATGAGAAGATTGTCCCCGACTTGGGAGAGAACGCATGTGATACCTTGCGAGAAATTGGATTTAAGGTCTTGTGGAGGACTTATCAGGACCTGGGACATTGGTACAAGATTCCTGAAGAGATCGATGACATTCTAGCTTTCATGCGTACCGAGATGAAGTGGCCAGTAGGGAACAATTAATCACTACAATCGGGATTAAGATGTGGTGATGATGGCGGGTCATCCATCAACATCACTACTGCTACTCCGGTTGAACATAAATTTCCGTGAACTGGCTGGGATTTAAGCTTGCATCAAGAGAGTAACGAAAACGTGAATGAGTGAGATGTAAATTGATAATGACTCTATTCCCTTTATTCATAAGTTTCTATTTTTTACAGGTTCGTTCAAGTCTTTTTTAGCTCAACCGATCCTTGCGAGCTAGTGTTTTATTGCCATGTGTTTTATAGACGGCAGATACTTCTCCTCTTTATATCCCTGGTAGGGGAACCTTCTGACCTATGCTAGCCTTGAGGCTAATATTTGGCTCTATTTATGCTCCTTTGTCGCACGTGTCTTCCCAGACATCAACCTTGCAGCGAGGGGAACTGGCCAGGCAAGCTGATCCGAGGGATCTTTCAGAACCAGCTCGCCCGACGTGATGAGATCCACTGTCGCGACAGCAACATATCCCCCGATAGCTGTCAAGACATGCCACCTGAAGGTGTCACATATTGTTAGTCTATGTTTGCTTCATGAAAGATAGGAGAAGGCATACCATCCGTGTAATTCCAAGAGGAATGCCAAGGGCAACCCGACGGAGCGGCGCGTATCGATCAGTACGTTGCAAACATACTGATCGACAAGCCATACGGAATAGCCGGCGGCAAAGCAGACTGACTGCATATTAGTCAATCTTCTCCATGACTGGTTCAGCGAGAGGACATACCAAGTCCAAATGTCGAAATGTTTTGGATGGACTTTCTGACTTTTGGATCAGGGCACTGCTGAGGGATGATACGCCTTGTCCGCGTCACAATTACGTAGATGGCCAGCGCAAAAGTCGTCGCGTGGAGAAGAAATTCGTCCATGACCATGTGAGTGACCATGACGACGGTGAAGAGAGTGGTGAGAATGGCGCCCACCAACCTCGTCTTTTCGGGGGTGGCGTTGAAAGTAAGGAGGCGATGTACCAGCGGCGTGGTGAGAAGATGCATCGACAACTCATCGGCTAAGGGACACGGGTGTTAGTATGAAATGAACGAATTGTAGGGCAGGCAGGTAGTGAAATCTGTTGGTGAGATGTTGGGAGAGTCGAGCACATACACATCTGCGTGTGGTATTTCAGGGTCATGTGATACCCCCCAGAGCATACGCCTATACCGATCAAGCCATAGTATAAAAGCACAGGGGACCTCGCATTTTTCCTCTGGCGGGTATAGAAAAGGCCATAGCAGCCATATAGGACTGCCGTTTTGTTAGCTTTTGCTCGTGAGGATTCTTTTAGGGTGGACTGACTGAATGTAATGCTACTTAGTGTGTTGATGAACTCGGCAATATACCGCGTGATGGCGTAGTCCTAATTATTATTGACGAATGATTAGTTTGTGGATGGGAAAGAGGTGACCCAAGGGATGAGTCAGCGAAGCATACTTCTTCACAAAAGCTGGAGGGGAGATCTGATTAGCATGTCGGCTCAGCTATGGAATGGTAAACTGGGTGGACTAACTTGAGATACGAGGTTTGGGCACCCCAAAATGGCGCGTGTGCGTGTGATGACGTATCCATTTCTGCTTCTCTCCCACCAGCTCGGAGGCTCCCAGCCACCCGCAGACGGCCCTACGGTGCAGGAAATTCAATCGGCGTCGCTCTCTGCGTGCTCTCTGCGTGCTCTCTGGTATGCTCTCTGGTGTGTAGGTAGTATCGAGGTGGGTAGCGCCAATGTCGGATGCTGGGCGATGAAAAACTAGTCGAACAAGCCACCTTTCCACAAGGACAGAGTGTGGGATGAAGGATCGCGGACAAAGTCACAACGGGCAGCACAGGCGGGATAAATATTATTAACGCTAGACGCATAATTGGACGGCGCTGTGCCGTGGTTCCGACTCTCTGATCCGAGCTCCCCGCAGGCTCCGAGTACGTGGCTGTCAGAGTAGGCACATGCCAAAAGAACCAATAGTGGATTTATATTGCCTGTCTTGCCCAGAGACATGCATATTAATTACGATGGCAGCTCCGAATAAGCAGCGCGTCCGTCGAGATAGGACTGGTTACATGCCGATTGGCTGCCTTTGTCTCATCCTACAGGGGCTGATTGGGCTGACTTTGTTGTTCCAGGGAGACGTGCCCTGGGTGACTTGGGGCCAGATTTCATCTCAGCGGCCCTTCTGGTTGCGTGATATCTTGGATCTCTCTCCATCCTCGTCTCTAGCACACTGCAACTTGCAGATGGCACGACCAGATACATTATGAGTAGATAGATATCACCTCCGGACGTCCCGGACTGAGCCATCACCGGCGGCTTCTTGGGGAATTAGTGGAGTTAGCGGTTGGGCCCACTGAACAGCGCAGCAGAATGGCACCCAATCGCCTAATCGCCCCACGCTACAGGCCTCCGCGGCCCCCAGCGGTGTTTTCTGCTGTTTGTGATCGATCTTGATCGCTTCGATTCCAGACCGACTTGACGCCTTCTGTCCCCTGACACTAGCTACTGATCTAAGCTATGGTCTTTGAGCTATATTGCATAATAAGCAAGCCGATGTAAAGGTGAGGACCCATTTCCCGTTGACTTGAGATGGGGTGCCATGGAGACTCTTGGCTGCTAGTGGGCCGCACTCCTCCAGCTCTCAGTAAGCGCTGTGTAATGTCACCACCCGCTCTGGCGGTGTTCAATTGTTGGCTGTGCCAGCTGTCGGTGCTGCTATCGACATGGCGAATCTCAACCGTCAACTTTGCGAATTCGATGCTGATTTAAGATTTCGGGATGACGCAGGCCGCAGGATGCATGCATAATTTCTGCCAAATGGGCCAACCATCAATAATGAATTTCTACAGGGGTGGCTTGAACGTGCCGCCATTTTTGCTCGACGCATCGTCTTGGATTCGCGTTGGCTAGCCTCGTCAACTTTTTCTGATGGCACCAAAATTCACATTTGAGAGGCTTTCCAACATGATGACCTGCAGGAGTGCTTATATAATCAATCCACCAGGCTGTACGCACAGAATTATCGAGACAAGAAGAGCATGGGTATCTCATCGAACATCATCACCGGATACCGAAACATACATCCCACAGATTCTCTTCCAAGTGATTATACGTGTTGTTACCTTCCGTTATGGACTGTATACCCGATGAAAGCCAGTGGTGGACGGCACCTGAGCTTGAGCCCGATCGCACCTGGAAAGAACCCGAGGTCCTTATCATGTGCACATCCATCTTCCCCGAAGTTTCCTCCTCAGCCAGCGCTTATGATGTAGCCAACCGCAGGTGGTATGAGCTCAACATAGACACGGTTGTGCGAGGTGAAGAAGACTGGATGTCTGATGTGATTACCAAGCACATCAAGGCATATCATTCCAAGCATGGGACACTCCCTGACTTCAATGTGATCAACACCACACGTGAAGAATCTACGATGACCTTTGAAAAGAAGCCAAACAGAGTGGTTGCCAGGCCAATCAAAGGCAACTTTTGCTATTCGAGGGGCGAGTCAGACATTTTGCCCACCACCACGTTCGACCAAATCAAGAATAAAGTGCACCTGAGCTGCTCAGCTGATCGTTGCACTTGGCAGGGACATGACTGTGTATTTAAACGCGTTGAGTTTCAGGAAGACTTGGAAGTGATGGAACGCGAAATCAGACAAAGAGAGAAGCTCCTTAGGGCACTTGACGAGGATCCCAAGACAGGCTTCACGACCATCCAGAGCCGTTTTCACGTCTTGCCTATCCTTGCTGTCGTGCTCAAGTCTTCAGACACCGATGAAGTTTTGGGAGTACTGATGCCGTATGGAGGGCGGAGTTTGGAAGATCTTGCCGGTGGATATCAGTATGGCATGGGGTACCGCGGCGATTACGAAGACGAGGAGGGAGAGACTGACGGCGACGTTCAGAAGACCGGCGACGAAGCCAAGAAAACTGATGGTGAAGCTGAGGAGACTGACGAATTCGCCTTAGAACCAGCCTCAATTCCACGGCTGCATATCACAGAGACCCAAATCCAAGCTTTGGTGGTAGCTTTGTGGGAGCTTGCACGCGCCGGGGTCGTTCATGGTGACATTACGGATAGGAACACTCTCTGTATGGGAGATGGGCAGCTGGTTTTCATTGACTTGGGCGATGTGGCCCCGGATTACCAAGGTGATTCGCATGCTATGGGTCTTATGATAAGATGGGTGCTTGAGCGGGTGTATTGGAGTGCACCAACCACGGAACGGGTCCGTAAGGTTGCCCGTTGTCTTGAGAGCATCACAGATCAAACGTAGCCAGCATTGGCCAAAACAGGAAAGCAAAATAAATAAATACTGAATGGATTTATGGATAACAGAGGATGCAGTGCCTTGAAGCTCCAATGAGGAATTGGGAAGAAGTCGCCTCTTCGTGAAATAGCAATCGGCACATACGCTGCGGATAGCCCATTTCCTTTTTCAACTATCTCACAAGTGCAATCGTACATGTAGCAACGAAATCGCCAAATCCTAGACCGGATCGCAAATCACTTCATCATTGTTTCATATCATTATCCTTACTCCCCCTATCTCTTCGTTACTCGGATATGTCCCCATTGGCCTGGACCAAAGAATAGTAGATATAAATAAGAAGACTGGCTTCAAGAGCGGTTCGCCTCACCGCCATCTTGACGATTCAACGCAAGGCAGCGACTCTTGTTAGTACTGCCTCTGGTTGCTTCTTCTCAGGTTGCGGCGGCGTAGACTTCGAGGCTTCTTCTTGCCCTTAAAGACATTCTTGATGGAGTGGACCGCGCCCTTGACCTTGGCCTTCGCCTTGCTGACCCCCACCTTGACCTTGTCTGTCTTGGAGTTCCGGTTTGGGTCATAGTTTTTGTTAACAATGGACTTCATCTTCTGCACCTGACCGCTCGCCGCTCCCTTGCTCTTGGCAGGTTTCTTGTTGCTGACCACGACTTTGCCGTTGCGGCCGGGAGAAGCCTTGAACTGGCCGCCGGACCATTTCTTCATATTCGCCAGCACCTGGTTGGCCTTGTGTTTTGGCACCTCCTTGAGGTCTTGCGTGCGGGAGGTTTTGGCAAGTACGCTCCCGGTATATTTTCCCGAGTAGACAAGGGGCTTGTGGCCAGGTTTGGCGGCAATAGCCTGGGCGACTAAAAGGAAGAGACCGAAAAGCACGGCTTCGAAGTTGGCCATTATGATGGGATGAAGGGCAATGGTCAAGTGTCACAGAGGGTATAAAGGGTGCACTAATCAGAAACAAACGATGATAAAGGAAGGGGAAGAACAGTCCTTTATATGGCGTTTAGAGCAGGGCAAATATAAAATGATATTTGATGATATGCGAGTCTGGGGTTGCTGGATTAAAAAAAACTACATTCCGCGTGCTGGGAACGCCCTCGTTAAGTACTTAGTATGAGATGAACCACGTGTATCTGAAAATAGAAAGCCAAATTATGCCACACATTGCACGAGGAGGCCAATTTTGGTTAATTAAATCATCACACGTTGTGGTAGGTACTTTGGCTCCATGGATCCTCAGTGAAACACAAGTACGTTACTTTTTAATGAAACATACTAACATCAAAACAAGGCTCTTGGGAAACGTGTGACCATCTATTTTTGCCATAGGTGCTGGTTGAGGGGCTTATGTAGCCTTTGCTAGCAAGCCGATAGTATAGAGATGATCCTTCACGAACAAATTTGGGAAGTTAAGTGTGGCACAATTGAACACAACTGTAAGTTTAGATGCATGCATGACGTGACGAAGGATCACAACAGCCCAAAGGCTTGTATAAAATAAATTGATGTTACTAACCCAACGGGCCTTTCGTCCAACCCAGGCAATAATATTTCTCGTGTTGGCTACGCTGCTCTCCATCCTCCATCGCACTAGGAGCCACCAAGTCTTGCACAAAGGAAGCACAGCAAATGCTGTACAGGTTGTGAGGGGGGGCATGTTTGAGCCCGCCTTACATAAGCCCTTCTTTGTCCTACAAATTGAATGCTTGTTTTAGGACTGCTGGGCCCAACGCCGTATCGTCACCACCACAACCACCACCACCACCAACACTGTCGTTCGAGTTTTCCTCGCCGACTCTTCTACTCCCGCATAATTGAGCCCCGGGTTTTGATTCAAGCCGGAGCTACCAAGAGCTTCCACTGCCTCCAAGACCAATAAACTTCGAGGATAGTGGCCGCCGAGAGATATGGCCGTCACTGTCGATGCCTATAGATTCCATAGGTTCCCAGATCTTCCCCCGGAGATCCGTATACAGATATGGCAAGAGACGTTGCCAGATATTCCTGAACCAGCCCTCTTCTCCTTCCAGAAGGGAGGTTGGGAGCCTCAGCCCCTCGCAGAAGATGATGAATACTACAATGAATTCGGCGACAGCAATCTCGCCCTCATTTTCGATTACAAACAAGTCAAGGGCAGATATTTCATTCCCCTGGCGCTAGTTAACCAGGAGGCCTATGATGTTGTTCTATTCTGGGCACGCGAGGAAGGCTTGGAAATCACCTACACGAAAACCAAGCGCCTCCCAGTCTTTACTCGGCACTTTGACATTCATGATACCCTCTACATCCCCGCTGATAAATGGGACGAATTCATCGAAGCCCCACGCGCACGGATGCGTGAAGAGGACCTGCTTGAACCTGGTGTAGCTAAGATCTGCTTCACTCTGACGCAACTTGCTATCCCGGATACTGTCCTCCAGAGGAACATTTCCGCGCTTCGCGACCTCATGGACAATTTTACCCAAGTTAATAGTATCTTGGTCCTCTCAGAATCGGAGATCCCGGATTATACACCAGAATGCATGAATCAAATACCTCTAGCATGGGGATACCAGGTACACAGCAATGGCGCATACGCCTGGGATAATAGCGTCGATGAGTTTCGTCTCGACGGCTCGCTAGACGGCAAAGATCCCGCGACTAAGCTTATGATAAAAGCTGCAGGCAAAGTTGGGCGAGATCTCTCTGATGAAGATATGTCGATATTTAGACTACAGCGGGCTAAGATCATTGATATTGGCGTGCTTGGCCCAGAGGTCTTCAGCCCTAAGCCAACACCTGCCACAAAGACCCAGCGTCTGTTACAATGGCTCCGGAATAAGAAGAAACAGGGGAAGTGAGGGGGAATAACTTAGAATTCAGCTCTTCTAACTGGGCTACATGATGTTTACCGCTTCTTTCTCTTTTTGCCCCTTCCCTTTTTTCCTCTGTTGCGCTGGTAATAATTCATTAAACATTCTCTGGCGGATAAACAATGAGTTTCTCGATATCATCACCATGATAATCCTTTCCGTTAAACATAACGCCGATGGTGATCTTGTTCTTGCCTTTCTTTAAAGGCAGCAGTAGCGGCGAGGACAGAATGATGCTCTTGTGTGTATCTTTCTGGTATAGAGTGTGGACGGTAGACTCCTCATCGTTGACAATAACGCCGCTGACGCGCCGAAGCGCCCAAGTTCCGTTAATGCGGTCAGGGTTTCCGTAAGCTGCATTAGTTAGTATGGTAGTACGTAAATCGAATAGGCAGTTGATAAGATCTGAATCTAATGCTTACGTTGATCGCCGAAACCCATGTCATCGATATCTACCGTTGAGGTGATGTCAGTTGGAATATTCAAATTAATATTCGGCGTATTGTACGTACTCTGGTGGTAGAAGGAGACCCATTGGTCCTTGCCTGCCCCATCAACTTCAAAGACAACTTGGCTGGTGTTGCCGAATATTCCGGTTGCCATCACGCCGCTTCCGGCGAAGTTCTATTATCGGTTGTCAGGTCGGATCATCATCGTGCGATTGAATCACGGGTAGGGCCCGCTGAATCCGTCAGAGGGACACTTACGGCTTCCTGGAGATAAGCATCACCAGTCGTTCGGGCATGCCTAGCCCAATATGACCTGCCCTCTATTGGTTTCCATTCACCAGTTTTGCTTATAACTACAATCAGCTTTGGAGGAAGAAGACTTAGGGGAGAATCTCACATATTTAAATCAAAAACATCATGCCAGACGATGTTTAAAGTGCCCTTTCGATCGTCGATTTCCATAGGCAACCATGTGTTTCGGCTCTCTGAGTGATCTAGTGAGTCCCACTTTTGAAGATTGAGAAATCGTGTCAGCTATTGTCATCATCCAGACGTTGTGTATATTGATACATCATTCTCCGTCAGAGGATTTGATAGGCCAACTCAAAGTATCTCCCATGTAAAGGTAAGAAGTCTTCTTCGTTCCATTGATACGCAGTACGAAGCTCGACTGCGTGCTAAAGGTTCGTGTGTAAGGCGGTGCTACGAGGAAGGGCATAGACCATGGCCCAGCGAGAGAGTCAGCCCGAAAAGCAACGACGTCTGAAATTTGTCAGTCAAACTTGGAGGCAACGGTATCTAGATAGGTGAAGGATGTGAGAAACTGACTGTTAGGCCTGTATCCAGTCTTGTGGCTCATGATGGCGTAATAAGAATGCTCTGTTTGAAGGATCGTTGGAGCTTCCAGGTCGAATTTTGGGAAGCCATAAACAACCTCCTCAGGCAAGGTGATATTACTATTGTAGCGAGTGATGTATACATCGCGGCCCTCGACACGGTCGCCGTTGGAATGGAGAGCATACGAATGACCATCCTTGTAGTCGGTGAAGAGTCCAAAATCTTGAGACCAGTTTCCGAGGGGAGCAATTGCGTGTTGGAACTCATAGGGTCCATCAATATGATCCGAGGTTGCTAGGCCTTGAAGCAGCTTGGTGTATTTGTTGTCGTCGGCGTGCCAGTGCATCTTAGCTCAAAACGAAATCAGCCTATCTGAATCATCAAGCGCGACTAAATTCGATTTCACTTACATGGTATTTGCCTGTTTCCTCGCTATACACCACCTTAGGTCTCTGAATTCGGTTCTCTGTCGGTGAAAGCCAAGGATGGCCTTCTATCGGCGCTGGAGCCAAAATAAGGTCAGCGGCCCATTACTCGAGAACATCAGGTAGCGAAGAAATGATAGTAACAACAAGAACAAGAACAAGAAGGAGAAGAAAGACAATGAGAAAGATGAAAATATAACGAACTAGGACATCTTTGTCTCAGCCATCAGCAGAAGCTCGAAACCGGCTCGTAATACTGACGGCGCCAATACGGTGTTCTCGGACAATATCACACTTCGGCGGTGGGAGATCGAAAACGGCGATGATAGTATTGCAGCCAAGGCAAACTCAACCAACATTCTGATCGAAGATTGCATCTTCCGCGATGGACAGGGAGTTGCCATCGGGAGCATCGGGCAGTACGCGAACCGCTTTGAAATTGTTGAAAACGTCATGGCCCGCAACATCAAGCAGTATGGGTCAAACTACGTCGCCCGGGTCAAGACGTGGACTGGTGAGCAGAACGAGTGGCCGCCGAATGGCGGAGGCGGCGGCATCGGCTGTATGTTATCAATTATTTCCTATTTTCCCTCTCACGATGACATGTATGTGATCTGCTGACACATAATGCCTCCCACAGACGCACGCAACATCACCTGGGAGAATATCACCATCGAGGACGGCGCCAAGTCACCCCTCATTATCAATCAATGCTACTCTAATGTAGCCAAGGTCAACTGCAGTACGTCCACATTCGATATATCTGACATCAGATACTCGGGCATTAGTGGCACAATCAACACCAGTAGATATGCCGAGTTTCAATGCAGTAGGTCCCAAGGCGGCTGTGATGGTATCGTCATGGACGATGTTACGTTCATTGATGTCAGCGGTGATGAGGAAAAAGAGGCAACGGGTATCAAGTGCAGTAATCTAAACGATCCCGAAGAATTTGAATGCTGGGCTGGGCCTTGCTTTGAGTCTATATATAGGCCCTGTAGTCTGAGGTGGTTGAAGAACCCTGCTGTCGACCGGCCGGCTGAGGTCCATTAATACATGACTGTTACTAAAGCGATGATGCCAAATTAAGACGGTATAGGCTCTTGATTGTTGCTATATTGTGGACTAACAGTCATAAACTCGCCCTTGTAACAAAGATGTAATAGCTATTTGACAATTCAAGGCCGCCGGCCCGGGGTTCATCTTCCGCGCTTGGGGATCCGGTCCGGCTGACAACCTCTCAAGCATTCGCCGGTGTCGGAGTGGAGATAGCCCCAGAATATTAATCTAGTAACTCCGCTAGAACGTGTCCAATTCAGACGATTTCTGCCTCATGTCGAAGGGTAGCTCTGCGGCAGCACTACGCTTGCTTTCACGCCGCCAGAAGTTGCCAGTAACTCCTCGTCGGACCTTTGTATTTTCTCGCCCTGTCGCTAAGTTGCCGTCTAACCTCACTCGACCAAAGATGAGTCTTGATTTATCAGGCTTCCCAGCTGGAGCTCCCAAGAAGCCCACTTCACAACTTCGCTATGCTGATGTAGGTGTTTAGTAACATCTGTTGCCTGGAACTTGAAATGACTTTTAGTCAGATGCTTATATTTCGTCCCGAGTAGGTGGCTGTAACAGCAACGGCGAACGAGTTTGCCGGCATCTACCGCCACAAACAATACCACCAGCCCGATTTTGCACACACTCTCGACCGTGCTCGTGCTGCCGGCGTTGAAAAAGTTGTTCTCACTGGCATGTCGCTTTCAGATGTGACCACCAATCTGGAGATTGCTCGATCACGACCAGCGGGATCCTGCTTCGTCACCATTGGCATTCACCCATACCACGCCGCCGAGCCTGGCGCCGACGCGGAAAACTCTTATTATGCCAGGCTCGAACAGGCAGTTGACGAGGCCATTGCGGAGACGCCAAGTCTGATTGCGGCGTTTGGCGAGCTCGGATTGGACCACGACCGCCTTAACCATGCAGACAAGGAGACGCAAACCGCTACTTTCAAAGCCCAGCTTGATCTGTTTGTGAACAAGAAGTGGGATCTTCCCCTATTCCTTCACTGCCGTGCGGCTTTTGAAGATTTCGTGGCAGTCATCACACCCTATTTGGACAAGCTTCCCCGTCGCGGGTTGGTGCACAGCTTCGTTGGGTCCAAAGAGCAGATGGAGAAACTTGTCGAGATGGGTCTAGATGTCAGCGTTAACGGCTTTAGCTTTAAGGATGGGGAGAGTCTAGAAATGACGGCCGCTATTCCACTTGACAGTCTTCAGATTGAAACGGATGCGCCGTGGGGCGAGATAAAAAGCAGCAGCGATCTGGCCAAGAGATATCTGGCTAATGCGCCCGCGCTGCCCGCGAGCAAGAAGAAGGATAAGTGGGATGCGTCCGCTATGATCAAGGAGAGAAATGAAAGCGTTGCGATTGACCGAGTCGCTTACGTCGTGGCTGGATTGAAGGGTATCGAGGTTGAAGAAGTTGCCAAGGCAGCTTGGGAGAACAGCACAAAGATGTTTAGTTTATGACAGTAGGGAGTGGTGGTCTTGCATGTTCTGGAGGCTAGAGTTATGTAAAGTCTCTCGCAAGAGAAGCTGGCAATCTATAGATACTAGGTAATTAACATGATTTGTCTCGGCTTAACCGAGGTTCTATTCTGTCTATGCGTTCTAATGGTATATAATTCTAAAACTTTTCCCAATCTCTTTCTCTATTTCTTTGTGAGAATAATTCATTAATTCTTAGAAGCCTTCTTGAATGGCTTCTTCAGTTGCTCCACAAGGTTGCCCAACACCCCAAACACCTTTCCAAATCCAAAACTCCAGCCCCTGATACGGACAGTGTAGATGAAAAAGTACACCAGCGCCCAGTTGGAGATGCAGAAGGCAAGGAAGATGCCGAAATCTATTGAAGTACGGGTCAGACAGGCAATTCAACACAAACATATCGGGGGAATGATTGAAAACTTACTTCTCCATTTCTGGTCTGCATGGATGTTGAGTGTAGCGAGATACTGATTGCCGTTGGTGTATGGACAGTACATGCAGTTAGAGGTCGCTTCAGGGTTCAAAAGAGCGCCGCCTGCGATATCGGCAAAGCTTCCTGCGTAATCCAGACATGTCTGGTTTGGAGGCGGGTTGAACATGGCTGTCTCCGACGGGTCGCACTGTACTGGCTGCTTATCGAGGGTGGCAGCAAGAAGTCCGCTAATCCAGTATGTACAAGGGTTAACATAGTACATCCAGTATCTCCAAAATACGGGCAGAGTGGCATATGTCCGGACCACGCCGTTGAATAGACCAAACATGACGAAGAAGAACGGGAGAATGTTGGAGATGACCGTGAAGCTGGGGGCAAAGGCGCAAATCCATTGACCCCAGCTGTTCATGAAGAGAAAGATGAGCACCGTCATGAGGAATGTGTATCCGGAAACAGAACTCTCCTGTGGCATGCCGGTAGGCCAATACCAGAGGACCCAGTACAGGAAGGCTGACACGATGGCTGCCGGGATCTCGACGAGGATGTTCGCGGTACAGAAGGCGACCCAACCGTAAATTCGAGAAGGATACTCACGCGCCTGCCACAGTGCAAGATTGGTGTAGAACTTTGGTAGGACGCCATTGACAATGGTTGGAGGTACCATGACGATGAGGAAGCATGTGAAGACACGGTTCTGCATGTCTAGGATACTGTTACCGAGCTTCCAGAAAGTGAAACCGTTGAAAATACCCATTATGACGGCAACAAACAGTTTCCCGTAGATGTAGGACGGGTCGCGCCAGTACTGCTTGAACATCCGCTTTGTCAATTCAACAGACTGCAGCCAGGTAGATGCGGCAAAACTCTTGTGACCCTTAGCGGAAGCACTTCCTGCAGCCACTTCCTGTGAACGAGAACTTTTGAAGTGCTCGATATCCTCGAGGACCCGCTGGGCTTCGTCGCTCTTAACCCACTCATCGTTCCAATTTACTTTGCTGCCGTCAGCCTTCTTATGCGGTCTGGCAGCCGTCTCCAGAATGAACTCGGCCACGTTCTTCCCCGGAGGACAGACTGCTCCACGACGAGAGAAATAATCGATAACATCTTTCCCGTTTTCGCCAACGGGACCGAAATAGAATGTGTTGCCGCCAGGGTTGAGAGCCAGGACCATGTCGAATTGCTCGATAAGAACAGAAGAGGGCTGGTGGATTGTGCAAATAATCGCCTGGCCTGCCCTGCTAAGTTTTTTGAGGAACCGAACAATCGAGTAGGCCGATTGGGAATCCAGCCCAGATGTAGGCTCGTCAAGGAAAAGCAGCAAGGACGGTTTCGCGGCAAGCTCGACACCGATCGTTAGCCTCTTGCGTTGTTCCACACCAAGTGAGATGATGATAGCATCCTCGAGCTCCTCCAGTTCCAGCAGATTAATAATCTTATCGACATAGGCCAGCTTCTCCTCTCGGGGAATGGAGGCTTCCTGTCGTAGAAGAGCCGAGAACTCGATGGCCTCACGTACAGTTTGGGTGGTGTCATGCAAATCACCCTGCAGACAGAAGCCCGTGTTTCGTTGGAAATCAGGACCAAGAGCTTGGCCATCAACAAGCATCTCACCGCTGACAACCCCGACGCTCTGTCGCTGAGATAGAGTGTTGAGAAGAGTGGTCTTACCAGCTCCAGAGGCACCCATCAGTGCTACCATAACACCAGGCTTGGCATACCCGCTGACCTTGTTGAGAAGCTTCCTCTCGCTGCCCTGGTACGGGACAGTGTACTCGAGATTTTGCCATGTAAAAATAGACTTGCTTTCTGTGAGCTGCTCAAGCGGTTCATCGTCATCTAGATCCCGAGAATTGGATCTCGTTGTTTCATTCAGGGTGGCCGAGGAAGACTCCACGGCGGCATTTTCTTCGTCAGCGGGCACATTGGCCTTCTGGACCTTCTTTGTGGCTTTCCAGCTTTTCTTGAATATGAGAGCCCCGCCGCCCACGCCAGATGCAAAGTTGATTGTTTCGGTTGCGAAGATTGTCACGAGAATGTAGAGGACACCGAATGCGATGATAACGCCCCAGTTTCTCCAGAGATTGGAACGGCTGTAGTCGTACATGGACTGCAAATAGTCACTGCCCAAAACTTGGCGCGAGCCTACCGTTGCACCTGTAATGGCGCATCCTTGATACTCAGGCAAGACTCCGGGCCCCTGTGGTACAAGTTGACTTGGGGCACATTCCATCAAACGATTTGACAGCTCATTCGTAAGAACGCCCTCAAAAGCGTAGCTAATGGGGTTGATCCAGTATAGCCATCCAAACCAGATGTAATCTCCCAGCAGTTGCGTCTTAGGAATGACGTAGCCCGTGAAAATAAGAAGTAGGTTCAGCGCTATACCCGAGAATCGAACAGCAGTGTCAATCTCCGGTGACAGACTAGCAAACATGCGGTACATGGCTGTAATCATCACTGTTGCGGTGTAGACGAACAGGAAGTGGATCCAGAACTTGCTAGCACTGACGTCCAGCTGCATCATGAAGTACATGATCACGTCGAAGATGGCGACTTGGACCAGAATTACCGGAAGGTCGAGAAGAACCCTTGCCAAAGATACAGCGGACGGCCGGTAAAAGGCATATTCATTGTGGCGGCTGACGACAGCACGGCCGGACACGGCCTTGATGAGCTCAGATAGCTGGAGCCAGCCGAGGAAGACGATCGAGAAGAAGACGGAGCCGCCACGGGAGAATGCACCCTCGGTATTCGTAGGCTGTCCGTAGAACAGCGAGCCTACAATCAGACCGTTGGCGACGATGATGAACAGCTTTGTCCAAAGGGCAGTCGTGTCCCCAAGAAGCAACCAGGCCTCTCTTTGGGTGCAAGCCAGTACTTGCCTATAGAACGGAATTGTGTACGGTGATTTATCCGAAACATGCTTTGACTTGAATTCCTGGACGGCTCCTTCAAACTCTTTGGCATCCGCATAGTCGGACTTATGTAGTTCATCCTTGTAAGAAGCCACTTCAGCCAGCAGGTCCTTGTAATTTGTAGAGTTACGGAAGGCCGATTCCAATTCCTCGGCAGTCTTGGGAGCCCGGTGTTCGAAGCCTGGTCGGAAGCGGCGCTCGTTGGCGTCTGTGACAGCTGTTAAAAAGTCTGCGGTTGTTTGGCGTTCCGGACACTCGAACCCGAGATCAATGAAATACTGCTTGGCCTTGTTGGCAGGACCAGAGTAGATTTGCCGACCCTGATCGATGACTAAGACCTTGTCCATGAGCTCATAAATACCCTCACCGGCCTGATATAAGGTCACCAAAGTGGTCCGATTGCTGACATCAGTCATGATACGAAGGGATTTGGCATAATCTAGCGCTGTAGATGCGTCCAGTCCTCGAGTCGAGTTGTCCCATGCAATTACTGTTGCCTTGGAGGCGAGTGTCTCGGCGATGGAGACTCGCTTCCTCTCTCCACCGGATACACCACGAACGAAGTCGTCACCAACTTGGGTGTGCTTGGTGTGGCTGATGCCGAACATCTTCATCAATGCATTGGCAATGGTAGGGATATCCTTTCGGACGGCTTTCTTGCTCTTGTTCATCAGAGCAAATGTAAGGGTCTTCCACACGCTGAGCGTGGCAAAGTGGATATCATCCTCATCGTTGTAGGCAACCTCTCCCCTGTACTGCTTGTTTTGTTTCTCAGCTGAAATGCCGCCATAAGAAACGTCTCCTTGGACGTCAGCGAAGGAATCCCTTTTGTTGCTGATGGCTTTCAGGAACGTGCTGCAGCCTGATCCTGGCCTGCCAAGAACGAGCATCATCTCGCCATTTCGGACGGCACCCGTAAAGTCTCGGATGAGGTCTCGCGTAGGGGGTTTGTTGAAGCGGATGAATGGCAAGAATCGAGATAAAATGTTGTACATATCGGGACCAAATGTTCCGATAACAGCATCTGGAACGGTTCTGACAAAGGTTGAGGTACTGCCCACCCCCTTAACAGTGAGGTTTTCGTATACCACTCCGACCTTTTTAAGGGAGCCTGCTGCCTCTGTGCGTTTCTCGAAATGCCCTTCACGCATGAAACCCTCCAGGTCGAACTCATCATCTCTTTCAGTCGATTCACTTCCGTCATCCTTTTCGTGCTCCTCTGGAGCTTGTGATTTCGTCCGTACTGCAGCAACTCCAGTGCTGATGCGCCCAAGGATCCCGCGGCCTCTGCTGGCCTGCGAGTCGACGGTGCGAGTGTGGTGCAAGTCTGCAAGGTCACGCCCGAGAGCTTCGTATGCCTCGATCGCATCGTGTTCGTTGAGTTTGTTCACGTCTTGCTCTCCCCAGGTTCCTTCGCCGGCGCCGTCTTCGCTTCCAGTGCCACCAATGCGTTTCTCTTCATCGTCCAGCTGCGGGGATTGGATCGCTTCTCGGTGATGAGGGTGCACCGGCGGTACAGAATCCCTCGCTGTCGCCGACTGGGTTCGGCGAATAGCCTCACCATCGATCGTGTTTCCCCACATGTTGGGGAAGACAAGCTGAGCAGTCGATTGGGCTCTCTCCTATGGCCGGTGGGTGTTGGCTTATGTGGAATTGGCTTTGGCCGTGCTAGTTCGCCAGCAAGGAAGAATTTTCAGCGCGCACAGGCAGCTAGACTGGCACGTTTGGGAAGAAAGTTGGGTTCATGGGGGAAGATATGACTTTTCAATTCACTGGAGATAATCTTACTAGAAGCAAGCTCAGACCGATTTCTAATATCCGACCATATCCCCATCCAATGACAAATTCAAACACGATGCGAGATCCATTTCGGAGAAACTTACAGGACCCTAGATGTGAAATGCAACCCAACTTAATCTGTTCTAGGCCGGAATTAGGAGATAGTACATGAAGGGGGGGCATTGCATCATCCCTCAACTACGCCCCAAACTCCGTGGCTCCGGATTATCGCTTAGCGTATTAGTTGAAAATGCTGCGTATGTGTTGAGCAGGTTACAGAACGATAAGCAGCTCGTGGATTCAACCCACGTCACAGATTGGCTTGATATGAAACAGGGCGGGACCATCCTTGATACCTATATGGGGCATCATATGCAGGCGGCTTATGGGCGAGTGGATTAACAATCAGGCAGCGAGATCCGCGGTGAGATAACATTTTGCTGACTAGCCAAGTTAGATCTCACCAATGAGGATACGAGCAGTCAGGGGCCTCCAACTTGATTTCTCAGCAGATGGCTTACTCAAGAGCCGGCGGCTGTCGGCAAGTGGATTCTGTACCACTGTGAACAAAATTTCCAGTGCTCCACGGACCGCCGAACATTTGTCATTGACTCATATGCGATGGACGCTCTCAGAGGATCTTGTAACCGAGATAAGGTTGCATGCGTGGCCCCTGTGAATAATTATCTGCTCCTATCCGGTTGAACTATAGGGGCTACCGACCAACAGAGAATCATCAAGGCCATAAAGAGACGGGACATGAAAACTGTATCTCACTATGATCCTCCTCGCAACGGGAGATTCAGCAGGGACCCTGGGCAAGCCCCTGGCATCAGAGAAAGGTAGATCAAACCAGCGCCAAGATATTACGATGACTAGGAATTCACGGCGCAATAGGCAGCCCAAGAATTAATTAATGCGCAAGGTAAGGTGCAGTTCTTTTAAATTATCATTGTTGGCAATTGGAATGACTACAAAGCCAAGGGTGATCACGACGTTCGGTGGGCTACATGTCATATCACGCGCGTTCGCCTTATCTTGTACCCCATTCTTGTATCCCAGTAAAAGTCTTTCATCTGAAATGTGAGTTTGACCTGCCTCGAACGTGTTCTCTCTCCTAGTGCCACGTGTGTCACGTAGTTAGTTATTACTCGACGTCAAGTTCTTGAGGTGTATATCGAGCACATCTCTGGAGAGGTTCATTGCTTGGAGCTGGGGATGAGATCATCTTACCTCCCATTTGAGATTCATGCAGGGATCCCTGCCATTGTCAGTACCCTATAGTTGTTGCCACGAAGCAAACACGTTTGTCTCTGTTATTAATAGGGGTCTTCCATTCGGTTGTATATTCGCTCAAAGATGCTCCGAAAGAAGCCCTTGTTGGTTATGGTGCGGTTTAACTTGAACAAGCAGAAAATGAGCACAGCTGTGCTGTTCGCTTAATCACTTTTGTGTAAACCAAGCTGACAGGGATGGAGATTTGGAGTTGTCCCACTTTGCTTCCAGTCTTGGCGTAAGTTCCCCGCTCGGATACTGATGAGGAGGTTTGCAGGGAGTCTCCTTTCTCTATTGCTACCTTCATTATATTCTTCGGGTTGGGTACTATCCCGGCCATACATCCACTACGGAATGCGCCTTATCAATTGTAAAACATTGAAGCTGGAGTTCAAGGAGCTCCAAGATGCACCACCTTATGCTATTCTGTCTCATACTTGGGGAGATGGGGAGGTTACATTCGCCGATTTCCATCAGACTGGCCGTGAAAAATTGGATGGATGGGAAAAGATAGCTCTCACCTGCCAGCAAGCACTACAGGACGGTTTGGAGTATGTATGGGTTGACACTTGCTGCATCGATAAAAGCAGCAGCGCCGAGCTTTCAGAGTCGATCAATTCCATGTTCAAATGGTATGCCCATTCTCACAAGTGCTATGCGTTTTTGACCGACTACTCGTGCTCTGAATCAACCGATGAGGACTTTGCCAAATGCAACTGGTTTTCTCGCGGCTGGACCCTTCAAGAGCTTATTGCGCCAAGCACGGTCATGTTTTTCGACAAACACTGGCAATACATAGGAACAAAGAAGGATCTTAGCATTCAGATTTCCCAAAATACCAACATCAATGGTGATATCCTTACCACGATCGGGTTCGATGCAATTAGCACTCGCTTATATGCTTGCAGCGTGGCACAGAGGATGTCATGGGCAGCAACTCGTAAGACCAAGAGGGAGGAAGATATTGCATACTGCTTGTTGGGAATCTTTGGAATTAGCATGCCAATGCTGTACGGCGAAGGGGACCGTGCTTTCATGCGGCTGCAAGAGGAAATCATCAAAGAAACTAACGATATGACCCTGTTTGCCTGGCAGACCTCTGATCACGATCCGGTTAGAAGTTTTGACGAGATGCATCTTGGTGCCAAAACCTACAGAGGAATTTTGGCTAAAAGTCCTCGAGAATTTAGCGTGGCACACCAACTACGTCCTTTCGCAGATCTAAGCCTCGCTCCAGAGTACAGAATGACGAACAAGGGTCTTAAACTATCAAGCGAGGTGGTACTGAAAGCCCTCAACCACGATACCTATTTCATGCCACTCAATTGTTATACACTCAACTTAGCCTTTAGACACTGCGGCATATGTTTGAAGAACTATGGCGCCGGTGTATTTGCCCGAGTCTACCCGGACAGGTTGCTGTTGGAACCCCAAAGCGCTCAGACTACCCCTGGGAAGATCTACATCAGCAAAACTCTTTTACCAGCGGAGCTCCAAGCGCTCAAGCAACTCTCTCGGCAAGCTTTTAGGCTGTCCTACAAATTCAGTACCTCAAAATATGTTTGCACCGTTGAAGCTATTGAGCCACGCAACCAGTGGGTTCCGGCCAAAGGCTTTTTCATGCTATCTCCAGGGCAGTCGTCATTCACTGGATATCACAGAATCTTGTGGCAGAGGAAGGATAGTAACAATGTGAAGAACAGGAAATCAATTACTAGCGGCCGTTTTATGGCTTTATGCGGCTGGAACAAGGGTTCCGAGCCATGGTTTTGCCTGGCCTCAGCTGAAGAGGATCCGGAACTTTATAAGGCAGCTGAGACTATGGCTCTGGGTCTGGCAGGAGAGCTTGGAAAGCTAAGCAAAAGAATCAGGACGCCACTCAGATTTCAGTTCCCACCCAACGCCGGAATAACCTTGAAAACAGAGGAAGAGGTTGGCCAAGGCACAACGCTGTCTGTTTTTGATGTCCAGGTTTGGCTGGGGGTTGATAACTTTTTCCCTCATAATTGGCAAAACTACGGATATGATGAGGCACTAGTCCATTATCTGTAATAAAGAGGGGCTGGAAACTGAGCAGAAACAATTATCTACTTGAAACTCTGAACTAACTCTCAGTCGCTATATGTTTCTTTGGACGAGTACGGCCGCAAGGCTGATATAGAAGCTTGGCTGCTATCATTAAACGCGCAGAACCGATACATGTAAATTCCCGGTAACAATCAAAGAAGGGAAAGAGTTCCATATGATGGTTGCATAAACTTATTTCTCTCAAAATCAAATCAAAAAATCGTAAAGATGGCCGCGTCTGGGATCTTCTACCTGGCATTCAGCGTTTGGTTCACGTGTGAGTGCACATGGGAGTAACTCACCAGATAATTTAGGTGTGGATGGCACATGTCTTTGAGCCACATGAATCCAAATCCCGTCTCTTGAAACGGCATGTGGTAAACTCTCGCTGCCTGTTTCTGGGCTGTTTTCCTCTGGTTTGGGTATCAATCTGAAAATTTTCAAGCCGCCGATATCCGCTCTTTGTGGCCGTGATTGTACCTCTCCTTGAACATCCACCAGTCTTAAATCAATAGCTTGATACCAATTCCAGGAAAGGCACGAAACGGTTACATCCGTCGTGGGAGAAACTGTCCTTTCAATGAATTTATCCAGCATTGGAAAAATGAAATGGTTAAGAGTGTCTGCTAAGCCACTCTCGGATAAGTCCCAACGAATTCCTAACGCTTGGTATCTTCTGCTTGTCAGATCTTCGGCGAAGGCGATCCGTAGGTATTTCATAGATGGGAAGAGGGGCCTTTGTTCATCTTTCGAATTTAAGCCTTTCTTACTCATGAAGCCGTCATCAAAAGAGAGTGCTGCTAGGTCCCAAACCAATTCCAATGAAGTCATGTTCGATATAACCGTCGGAGAGAGGATATCGGGAAGGCTCCTGTGAAGCTGCATCGATGATATCTGAATCGTATTTGTGCTATAAAGCACATGGAGTCCTTCTACATATCTTCAGGCAGAAGTTAGCAACTTCACAGCGTTCCATAACACCCGGGGAGAAAGAATGGAGGCCCTGAATACTTACGCTTGCTTGCAGGTTAAAAGCCAGCCCATAATTCCAATATGGCACTTTTCAGGCCAACTCCCATCCCACTTGTCGCAATATCCGAATCCCTCGAGGCAAAGATCGTGCCCAAGGTCCAGATCACCCCGCCAGAGCTCTTCGTATCTGGCGCTAAGGATATATTCACTGTCAATATCTTCAGCCCCTAGACCAACTCTCCCGAATGATAAAGGTATGTTTCCATCAGCAACAGGCCGGAATCGATGACACACGCACCCAAACCAGATCCATTTCTTCGGGATATCTGTTCGAAGATGCGATTCCTCAAACCCGGCCAGCTTCTCGATCCCAGCGTGTGTGGCATACCCCTGCCTTCTTTCATGGGGAACATATAAAGGGTGCTGGTACTCCAGGCTCATGTGTAATGTTCGCTGGCCAAACGCATAAACTAGGATTTTGATTCGTAATTCGGGCGGGAGGCGAAAGAAGCCGCCTGTTCCAGCCGACGAAGTCGACGGTATTGCCAAGCTGACCGGCTGTTCTGCAGGTGGCTTGATGAATAATTCTCTGAATGCCTTCTGTCGTACTTTCTCCTCCCTCCTGCGTTTCCCGTACTTGGAGAAGGGTATTTTCTGGGCCGACAAATAGACAGCTTTGACCGTGAGAATCCCGCAAAACCACCCTGCTGCCTGGAACGTTGATTTGACAATGCCAGGGCTGGACCTAATCAGCCCTCTTCTCCGAGCCTCATCCCATATTTCGGGTAATACAAGGCCTTCATCCTCTAATATCTGGCGGAAGACAATCTCAAAGCCCACGTTATCCCGGAAATCGGACGCAGCGTCCTCAACGCGATCAGCAACTTCGTAGCCAACAATGCTTTCCAGAGGTCGGATAAATGAAAAATAGACCATTTTTGGAGATAGCTGCCCAAACAGGCGATTAACGCATTTTTTGTGCAACCATTTGTTGATCTGCGACCTGAGAGTTGGAGAGGTGAGACGTGTCATACGATGACGAATTTGGCGGTCGGAATGTCCAACTGGCGCCTGACACGTGATTGCGATGAAATCCTGTGCTTACCTTGTCTCGGAGGCGAGGAAAAATAAAAAAAAATGATTCTACGAGTAAATATATTGGCGCCTAAGAGGAAAATCGAACCATCGTTCAAACTCGCTTCGCTGGCCATAATGAATTTAATTATTTTGATTTACCATCGGCGTTTCCGTTACACTTACAGCATCGTATGTTATAAAGAATAAATTGGAAGTCAGATTCAATCTTCAACAAATGAAGAATCTCTAAACTACATTATGTTCTAGCACACTCATTGCGCTCATACGACCTGTATCGTATCGCACTTTGTCGAGGCTTAGCCCTCCAGTGAACACCTTGGGCCAAATCTTGTCAGATGCCTCTATTATTTGACACAAGCCCACCTACAAATCTGTTGCATTTTGTGCGCTGCCGTTTACGCGTAATTACCATGGAAACTGGAAAGAACCATCGTAATTCTGGAAGGTACCACTAATTTCCCTGGAAGCGGAATCCAGTGTCTTGAGAATACCGCTGACACTCTCGTCAACGGTGATGGCCCCGGTCTTGGACGGATCCTTCGCTGCATTTACCAGCCCCGTTCCCATATCCGTGAGGACCAGTCCAGGATGGAACACAAAGGCAGTAAGCCAAGGCTCTTCGATATGGACCCTTCTAATAAGCCAGTTCAATGCCGACTTGCTGGCTCCGTAAGGGCTGAACCTGGGCGGGAAGTGCGCCAGCTTTTCCTGGAAGCCGATGCTGCTAATGGCAGTCGACATCGCAACGAAGATGGGGTTGCCACTCTGAGCCTTCTTCAGTAAAGGCTGGGTTGCCTGAAGGAGGGAGATGGGAGCAACGGCATTGACGTTGAAATGATCACGGATAGACTCAGGGCTGGTGTTGAGAACAGTGTTGCCATTGTTGGCAATGCCAGCGTTTGCGATAACGACGTCGAGGGCAGAGATTCCGAAATCATTCTGCAGGCGGGAGACAGCCTCGCTGGCATCCGTGTCTACTCCAGAGTCCAGCTTGATCACAATAACCTTCGAGCCCTGCCCTTTTGGTAAGCTCTCCAAATCATTGGCCTTAGCAGGGTCGCGGACAGCAGCGACAACGGTGGTAGATGGGCGCTGAAGAAGACTAGCAGTCAACCCGCGGCCAATGCCGCGATTGGCACCGGTGATAAGGTAGATCTTGTTTTGAGACATAATGGGATGTTTGACGATAGGCGGGATGGCTTTGTAGTAGGTGTTTGGTTTAATACTTGGTAGTTGGTTGATGTGCTGATTGAATTTGGATAAATCTTGTGAGTGAATTGAGAGATCCTTATATAGATGGGATGGAGGGGCGAGACGTTGATTGAAAGCCCCAACAAGAGATGGTGTGTCTGCTTCAGCATTACGAATTACAAACATGCCTAAACGAATATCATGGCTTAAAGTTTGACTGCGCCGGATGGTTTCCTCCGATGACAATCTGCTTGGAAATCGCCACTGAGATATGTTGATTTGGTCATGATGCCGCGCTCTTCTCTCACCAAGATGCATCACATAATTTCTTTGTGGCGTCAAACCTACTGTAGCCTCTGCCATCATCGTAAAGACTGGTGGCGTTAAATTTCTAAGCCGAGGCAGCTTGGATGCTTTGTCACTGTGAATCGGGAGCCATGACAAAACCAGCCCGGCCAGTGTGATAAGGGTGGGCGCCAGGCCGAATAGTCGCAATCCAATCACGTTATTTTGGGATATTGGCATTTCTCATGATTATGGTATTTATCAATTGACCATGCCCTGCACCAAACAGGAAGCTAAAGAGGAATCCATCAATACTCAAGCCCAACAGCGTTCTTCCTACGTCAAGTTGCTCCTTGCTGTCAGTCGACCGGCTACCACCACGGACAAACTTCCGCCACTTTAGGAAGAAATTTCCGCCACTTTAGGAAGAAAAATGGAAATGCACCTGGCAGACCGGTTGCCTCACATCGTATGATCAGAATGTCTGGTATGAGAATGCTCAATATATTAACTACTAATTTTATATGTGACCTACCTGTTCCGCCATCGCGGATACGATCAAGTATCGACTTAATACTTATCCTCGTAGGATACCAAGCCCCCTAGTGGCTTGCCGCAAGATTTCCCTTGCTCAATAACTTGACTGCCATCTAGAACTTACTCTTTTTCTGGAGCCTGGTTCTTCTGGCCTTCTTCCGCATCCTTCGAGAGTCCCTTGTCACTTCCATCTCGACCCTTGATACTCTTCCACTCCATCGCCAGGGATCCAGTGATGATGCTTGCGCTGAGGGCTGCGACCATGACAAAGACGCAGGTGATTGAGAGATTATATGCCTTGATCACAACATCGAGCTCATTTGGTGGAACGATCTTGCGGAGCTCAGTGGCGCCTTGGTGCAGGACAGCTTCAGTATCCAGACCTGCGACCCCAGATAGTCTCTTCAAGAGCTCGTTGGCGAATATGTTTTGGCTCACGGAGACGAAAATGGCACCACCTAATTGTTGCATGAAGAACAGCAAAGCTATGCCGATGGGGACGTCGACTCGTGGCAGAACAGTCTGCGCTGCCAAGTTGGGGCCCTGGAAACCACACCCCATTCCGAATCCATAGAGGACTTGGTATCCGATCCATTTACTATGCCCTGAGCTTTCATCCAGTGTGGATAACATTCCGCCGCCCACACTACATAGAATGGGGCATATCAGCATGGCCGGGACGTAGTAGCCGATACTTTCAGTAAGCTTGGCGGACAAAATTGTGAAGATGACCATCGAGAGGACAAGAGGGATGGTCTTAATTCCCGCGTCCATTGCCGAGTCACCTTTGGTGGTTTGGAACCAGATAGCAAGGTAGTACACAGCGCTCATCATTGCTCCCGAAAGTAGAAACATGAACAGCATACCCCCCGCAATGGAACGGTTCAAAACGACACGCGCAGGGGCCATTGCCGTGGTTGGTGTCAGCGCCTCTACGACTATGAAGACGACAAATAGAACGGCAAATGTGACAAGAAGGCCTATCATTCTAGGCTCTGACCACGCATACGTTGTGCCGCCCCATTGCAAAGCGAGGACGAGGCATACCATCGATGGAGCAAGGAAGAATACCCCCAAAGGATCAAGGGCTTTGATCTGTTCCACGACGGTAGGCGAGCTCTTCTTTTTCATTTGATCAAAATTGAAAAGCAACAGAACTGCAACAAGGGTGAAGCCCCCAACGGGGAGGTTTAGATAGAAGCACCATCGCCATGTCCTGTGTTCAGAAAGAGTTAGCCTTTGGTGTTCAATAGTGGACTGCCATATAGGAGGGATAAACCAACACTTTGTCTGTAAAAAGTCCACCAATAACGGGACCAAGAACCGAGGCGAGACCGAAAGCCATGCCAAAGAAAGCAGCGAATGTAGGTCGCTTGCGAAGGGGTACCATCGGCATCATGATCATGATCCCTCCCGTGAATATACCTGAAGATCCGGATCCAGCGATGGCACGCCCGAGGATGAAAGCGATTGAATTCGGCGCAGCTCCGCAGATAGCTGAACCGACTTCGAAAATAACGATGGAACAGACGTAGGTCCATTTCGTGGAGTAGATTTGGTAGATGCGGCCGGTGATGGGGAAGAAAACGGCGGCGGTCAACATGTACGCGCTTCCGTACCAGCCAATATCGTTGATTGATTTGAACTCGTCTGTGATCTTGGGGACGGCGGTTGCGATGATCATTCGGTCCTAGATCCATGTTAGCTTAGTTGCGATCTGAAGAGGGCATGTAAAAGATTCGAGTGACATACTAATGCAACGAGGAACATCGACAGATACATGCCAATCAGGATCGTCCAGAACTTCAGAGTTTTTGGCTGGTAGTTCTTTTCAGCATCTTCGTACTCATTTTTATTATCCTGGGGCTCAGTAGCCTTTGAATGGATGTCCTTTTCTGCCAGCGAAATCTCATTGGCAGCAGTGGAGGAAGGCATCGTTGTTCTGGCGTAGTTGTGACGAAGGCTAAGTCAGCGAAGAAACATGATGTATGGTACAAACTTGCGAGTTAAAAGTCTATTTATTAATTTTCTAAAATAACACCACTCGTCATGCAACATTAAATTCTCAGGGACCCGGAGGCTACCATCTGAGAACTAAGGGCCATCGGAGCAGGTAGGGCAACATCAGAGGTCCGGGGTCATATGATCGGTATTTAGAATTGTCCGGGCGTGGCCAGGGCCTCACCTTAGGGCTGCACGATTGAGAGCTCTGTATTGTCGTTTACATCTAAAGCCCGACTGGTACTCCTGATCAGATATTCAATATAGATAACACCTTGGCTAGAACGCAGTCCAGGGGCGAAGTGTGCAGATGGTAACGAGTTACCAGCACCAAGTGTCCTGTGTACGATCACGCGACTGCTTTGGCCGTTTCTTCCAAGCTCATTCATTCGATAGCGAGAACCGAATTTCTGCCAGTGGATCTGCACAATCCAGGTCTTGATTCAGGTTCACCGGGTTTCTTCTACTGTCTAATAGACATTGACAGCATGGCCAGTAAACTGAAGTGCTTAAAACCCCCCAATGCAAACGAATCCAATCCATGGCACAATCTAGTCTCCGGCCTCGGGGCAGGAGGTCCAATCATGCACAAAACTGACTCGATAATGCTTTGGCCTAAGATGTAAGCTTTCATCGTACGATTTCTCTGTTTTCTGCCTCCTGAATTCTAAAGACCAAAGATCATTTTGCAGAAAATATAGTGGGATAGCTTGATTGGAATTTGACATAAATTTGATATTTTCAATAGCTTTACACCACAGATCCTTCAGGTGCCTTCACTTTATAGAGCCGTTCACGTGCTTTGTTTGCAACTCCCCGGTAGTATTTCGATTTCAATTGAGCAATTTATATCTTTGACAACCTCAAGGGCCATAAACACGCTCTAGTTTAATAAGCACATTTTTCATAAGGATCTGGATGGCGTAGAAGCCCCGAGCTGGGTGCGTTAATGCTCCCGTTCAAAGAGCCCAAAAATCAAGTATTGAAGCCTACCCTACACCATAGAATAGGTAGGTATTTATTATTCCGCTACAACGCACTGCTCGATCTCCTGTTATCTCTTTCTATAGAATTATAACTTAATTCTTAATATAATTAATTATTCGGCTTATTAATCTCATAATACGAACCTACCAAGATCAAACAATGGAGAGTACGCAACGGCTGCCATTTGTTTCCTACCTCTGAGGTTTGTTTTCATTTCTTCCTTGCCCACGCAAACTGTCTAGTCTATCATTGATTAAATTCTATGTCTTCCCAAAAAAAATGACAAATATTTTTACAGTGTTAATGCCAACAATAAATTTGGATGCTCCTTTACCTTGAGGTATTTATTTCCAAGATAGTGCAACACCTCAAATGGAAGGTTTAATAGAACTTCACGATAATATTATGTTTTATTTAGTTTTAATATTATTTGCTGTAAGTTGAATATTATTTTCTATAATTAAAAATTTTGTAAGTACTAAAGCACCAATATCTCATAAATATTTAAATCACGGTACATTAATAGAATTAATATGAACTATAACACCGGCTGTAACCGTTATTTACCTACGAAATCTTATGCTGTTGGGGGGAGTACAGAACGTTTTCTATTGGAGACGACACAGCCTCTGAAGAAGTTAAGGTAGAGCTCTATATATTACAACATTTGAGACTCCTCACGATGTGGCTTAGTCAGATCAGGCAGCTATTCAATATATGTGGAACATTGCTCGTATCATATTGAATCGATCGGATGACCGTGCATCCTCGCCAGGGATTTCTCCAAAGTCCATAAGCAGATTTGCTCCACTTGAACCTTTGGTCAACACACATCAACCTCGACACGTCAAATTACCGACGCGAAGATGATTATAACGGACCTCTTGATTAAAATTCAATCATTCTTCCTAACTGAGAGTCAGCGCAGGGCACAGACCATAAAGACTGAGCAACACGCGAAGGATATTGTTATTTATCTCCAGGAAGGCAACTGGGAATCACTGCACCAACAATTAGTCTTCCCACTCCGCCTATTCATCACCAAGCATGTCTTGGAATATGGGTGGAAGACCCTCACTTCCATGGCCGGGCCATTGCAACCGATTGGCAGCCCCGAAGTGCACGCTGGTTGGCCTTTGTCGAGAATTTCAGTGCCGCTCCAGTCGGAACGCCTCTCGCTGGCCTTAACGCTCTGGATGACGTGGTCTGGGAAGTTGATTACGCTGCAAGTAGGACCTCGGCTTTCTCATCCTTGGAAGGTCCCGCCATACGCATCTTCAAACTCGCGATTGGTTTCTTTGACTTTAGGCCACGGGCTGCGACGAGTGGGCGCGACCTTAACATTGCCACCAACTAGGAACCCTAGTGATGAGGGATTTCCCTGCGTGATTCTCATCGGTGGTTCTGGGCCAGTGGATAGGGACTCGACGGTTGGACCATCGAAGCCATTCAAGGACCTTGCATTAGGTCTGGCAGCACGTGACGTCTCGGTATGCCGGTTTGACAAGCGTGCCTCAACTCTGCTTGGGAAGCTCACGATGAGCAAGAAGATGGCCACTCTAACGGACGAGTATGTGTACCACGTTATAGACGCCATTCGGCAAGTTCGACGAGTCCCGGGGATAAATCCCGAGCGTATCATCCTTCTAGGTCATAGCCTGGGTACTTTGGTTGCCGCGCGACTTGCCTCGCTTGATACGTCATTGGCAGGCTGTATTCTGATGGCGGCACCTTCAGAGCCGATCTACAGATGCGCAATCAGGCAGCTTAGTTACCTTGAGTCTTCCGGCTCAAGCAACAAGTCAACGGTCGACGCGTCTGAGGATGTGCCCACCGAGAGTGACATGTTGAAGGACCTTCGGCAGCAGGCAGATGTGGCTGACAGGCCTGATCTAGATTTGTCCACTCCAGCAAAGCAGCTTCCTTTCGGGATTGGACCTGCGTACTGGCTTGAGTACCGCACATTTGATGTCATGGATACACTGAAAGATATTCGCACGCCCGTTCTGATCCTACAAGGCGAGCGAGACTATCAAGTAACTGCAACCGAGGACTATGCGAGACTGCATGAGAAGTTCAGTGCTCTTCCCAACTTCAGGTTTCGGCAGTTCAAGAGCCTTAATCATCTTTTTATATCTGGACAAGGTGCTCCCACTCCGCTAGAATATTTTAGTCCGGGGAATGTGGAGGTAGATGTAATTACCGAAATTCAGCGATGGGTACATGGATGATGGCTTTAAAATAAAAACTGCCCGTTATTTAGCGTTCCCTCAATTAAAGAAGGTTCTCAACCCTGCTTATTCTGATCATAGAGTGAGGCAACCAAAGGCTGCCCCATGTCCACATACCATTTCTCGTGAGTTTGTTATTCCATGTGCTTGTAAGGGAGCATCAAGACTTGATGTTCACTCTTCGGCTCAATATGACCATGTATAGAAAGCGTAGGAGCAAGGAATTGAAGGGTTTGAAGACCATTTTACCATTCTCCGTTACATCACTTCATCCTATGCAACGTACAATGACGATCTGCCGCGAAGATGTTCAAGGCTACGTTGATGATACGTAAGATAGCACGGATGGTCATATATTGCCGTCGCTCCGAGACAGCTGCACCGAAACCCCACCGCAGTCTATTTAGCCTGCTTAGGTAGTCTATGGCAAGGCAGTGATATGAACACGTAGATGACGGAATTCCGCCCACTTATGGCGGATCGATCTCAAATCCCCCCTTCCGCGGAATATGCTTTAGCGGTTGTCCATCCAATCTCTGGAAGACTAGAGAGAGAAATGCTATTATTCATTAGAAAACCAACGGCTTGATAGGAATATGCCTTTTGGTCTTGCTAACGCAAATGAAAGTCTAAACTAGAACTCCAAGAATGTGAGATTACCAATTAGCTGTGTGATTGATTACCAAGCATCGCATCATTCATGCGCCATACCAAATAAGCAGCCCAGGCTCGATTGATCGTCGATAGTTCCGGCTGTTCCACCTCTTAATCGTATAAAGAGTCCGAGACTCCGAGCAAGCGTCGGATCTAATTAACATCCAAGCAAACGGTGGCACATTTACATACTCTAGTATAACTTTTCGTCTTGTTCCAGTTACCTAGTCACCATCAGTCGGTTTGATATAGCAATGGCAGGCCCAATCGCACTGATCCTCGGCTCCGGGCCTAGAGTTGGCTCCTCTGTCGCCAAATCACTGGCTGCTAAGGGCTACCAAATCGTTGTCACATCGAGACACGGCACTGGGGCCAAGACCCCTGAAGGTTACCTTTTCCTCAAGGCAGACTTCAGCAAACCTGAATCCATCCCATCCGTCTTTGAAGCGATTAAATCCCAGCTCAATGCGTCTCCCAGCGTTGTAGTCTACAATGCAGCTGCCGCCACAGCGCCTCCTAAACAAGATTCGGTCTTGTCACTTCCACTGGACACTTTCAACTCGGACCTCAACGTGAATACGGTCAGCGCGTATATTGCAGCGCAACAAGCAGTTCTCGGCTGGGATACTCTGCCTGCCGATGCAAAGAAATCGTTCATATACACTGGGAACATTCTGAATACCTCCATTCTGCCGGTTCCATTTGTCCTCACCCTTGGCACGGGCAAGGCAGCCTCCGCATTCTGGCTAGGTCTGTCTGATGCAACCTACACCCCCAAAGGTTTCCGGTAAGTAGAACCTAAGCTAAACCCCCATTCCCACCTAATGAGTACTCTAACATATACACGATTTAGATTCTTTTACGCGGATGAGCGCAATGAGGATGGTACACCTGTGGGCAACAACATCGATGGTCCTGCTCATGGCGAGTTTTATGCCCAATTGGCCAGCCAGGAACAGAATATTCCTTGGCACGCCACCTTTGTTAAGGGCAAGGGTTACGTTGAATTTAAATAATGCTGATTATTGATGGTTTGTATAGGACTTGACTGAAATGGTTATTTCCTGTAACTGTAACTTATTTCCTCGAAACGTTCGTATCGTTAATTGAAGCTTCACCACGCTCATACTGAATAGATCATGGGCAGCTTTAACGCATGCTCAAGGGCAAAACATGTGAATACCTCCCATTGCCTCGTGAAAGTGAACAACGTGGCTATAAGACTAATCTGTCAGATACCATAAAAAATGAATGCGGATTGCGCATCACCTCCACACTGTGCAACGGGTAAGAATCTTGAAGACGCTTGACGGTGGGGAGGCGGCAGAATCTCGAACGATGGTGGCATGCAAGCGGCGCGTCTCCAAGACATCATTCGGAGCTTGGTTGTATGCAAATGATCGCTCCAATTAAGACCTCGCCAGGATTGGGATGTTATTTATCCATCTTCTTGATTGCTACAGGCTCTCAGTCGAGCGGGAGGAGTTGAGCGCTGATATGAGAGAATGTGATTTTGATCTTATACTAAGCCGCCAAGCTGCGCATGAAGAATACCATCACGGGTGGCCAGCCTTTTAAAATACCAGCTTATATACCCTGTATAGCTCTGATATAGTTTTTATTTAATATAATATAGATGGTATATAGATTATAAAATAGTATTTCAACTAAATAGTATTAAACCAGTAGATTAGTTTTAATATAGAGATTAATTTAAAAAAAAAAAAATTTCTTACTTAAAACTAATTCTATTAATAATAAAATATAGTAGATTATGGAGTTACTACTGGTTCTACTACTTAGTGATCTAACTTACCAGCTTATAGCTAAATTATTCATTATACTTACCTGGATTATAGTAAAGAGAATCTAACGTCCCTGCTTAAAGCAGCCTGAGGCTGTATATATTGCTTGCATTCAACTGGATCGCGGTCAGCAAGATCAAGGAAGGGTCTAACTTACCTGCCTTTAGGTGCGGCTCTTGATCGTATTTATCTGGATAGCGGCGGATAGAATCAAGGAGAGGTCTAATTTACCTGCCTGAGGCTACAGCTGTTGATCCTATTCGCAAGAGTCAGTATATATAGGATCTGACTTACCTGCTTAAGGCTGCAGTTGTTGATCATGTTTATAAGGGAGAGCTTGAATTAGAAAAAAAGTTATTATATTAAAAAAATCTATGCTTGGAGCTTCTCTTACAGTATTTAAAAGAGCTATAAAATAAAAGGGTTGTATATTTACATATGAAAAAGGCCTTGAATACATGACATAGACCTCAATAGGAGGAAAACTAGGTACCTAATAAGAAGGTAGACAACCTTCCTGCTGCGAATTGTTTAAACTCGCCTTCTAACACGACTAACGATCGCTGCGGACCTAACCAACCTGTTCCTCATCAAAACAGACGATCGCTGCGAAGCTGGCCAGCCTCTCCGCTATTAAGACGAGCGATTGCTACAGGCATGACCCAACTGTCTCTCGTCAAGACAAGCGATAGCTGTCAAACTGACCAGTCTGTCTGCTATCAAGATGGGCGATCGCTATGTGGCTGACCGATCTGTCTGCTGTCAAGACGAGCGATAGCTGTGAAGCTGACCGACCTGCCTGCTATAGTGACAAACGATCGGTGCGTGGAAGACCTGACTCTCTTCCGCCAAGACGAGTGATTCATGTAAAGCCGGCTTAGCCTACATTCGTAGCGACAGCTCATTCATGTCTGCGATAAAGACAAGGGATTACTGTAAGCCGGGTCTAGCAGTCAGCTGTTATGACAGCTAATTCCTACAGACCTGACTTCTGTGTCTTGCGGCAGGACGAGCGATCATTATAAAAGGTAGCAGGCCAAGCAGTCATCCGTAGCAACAGCTATTAAAAGTTATCGCTACAGACCTGACCTCTGTGTCTTGCGGCAGGACGAGCGATCATTATAAAAGGTAGCAGGCCAAGCAGCCATCCGTAGCAACAGCTATTAAAGTTATCGCTACGGGCCTGACCTCTCTGTCTGCTGCTGAACGAAGTCTTCGCCGCAAAGTGGATTCAAGTGGTAAGTGGTTAAGTTATCCCTTTAAAATTTCGATCCTGCTTTTCTTTTAGGTTCTCAACATCTGGGGCAGCATCCAGAACTAGGTCAGCAATACCCAGATAGTCCTTTTTCGCTGCTCGCAGCAGTGCTGTCTTTTCAAAACTTTCAATGAACCTCGCGACAATGTTTTCATCAGGTAGAAATTGTACCAAATTCATTTAGGCCCCAGGCGTTAAAAGCTTAAGGGGTATAGAATCCATTACATCTGGAGCCGCCACATGGCCCTACAGAATCAGCTGTTTGGAGATCTCGATATATCTAGCGCAGCTTGGAAAAGGAGTGTGGTTTTCTTATCGGTCAATGCCTTGGTATCCGCCCCATTTCTTAGCAGTAAATCAACTCTGCTTCGCATGGCAAGACAGAGAGACCTGCATTATATGGAGTTTCGTACTTGAAACGAAGGGAATCGGTTCGCATTAGAGCATAATTAAGTGTAGTTCAAAGTATCTTGTTCCCGATACTGCCCCTCAATAGCCAACGATTCCATCCACTACTTCTCATCATTTTCCAGCGAATTTCTTGCTTGTGTTTGAAAGCACGAAAAATTAAAGGTAGCCAAGAGATGCCTGCCGTGATCAATACCTTCCCTTCTTCCCCTCTTGGAGCGATGCAGCTCGCCGCGTGAGCTAGACGTTCTATGGCTGGTGTCGGCGAAACTCGTAATACTGGGATACCCAGCTATGCATTCATCATAAAAAGGCGACCCTGTTCATAGAGGAGCGGGTCAAGTCGGATGGCCAGGTGAAGAGGGCAGCTTTAGTAGTCATTCGACGCGCACCTCGTCCTGACGGCGAGTGAGTCATCGGCATGAAGGTTTATAGCATTTTCTACCGTATGACTACAGCTCGGACTAGCGAAGCTTTTTTTTTTAAACGTTTTCGTATTCATTGTGTTGAATCATTGGGTCTGACATCTTCTTTTGTTGTAGCTTTCTATCAAAACTCTCTCCAGTCGAATGGCCAACACCGAGGGCCTGACAGCCATTTGAATCCCTATTTCCATTTGATTTGATAGTGCTCCAACTTGTAGTTTATTCCGAAGATTCCTCAACTGTAAGGGTGCCCGTCTTTTGAATCAGGTATTCTTCAATCGCCACATCTTTTCCTGCTTCCTTGCCATAGCCTGACATTTTGATTCCACCGAACGGATTTTCAGCACCAGATGAGTTGCCTGTTGCAAAACTATTAGTATGAAAATGGACAAATCGATCGAAGGTAGGAGGTTTTCCAACGCACCTGTATTGAGCCCGATCATTCCAGCCTCCAGACCTTCTAGGAGCCTCCAGGTTCTGCTCACGTTTCTTGTGAAGCAGTAAGCGGCCAACCCCATTGATGTATCGTTAGCTTTCTCTATAACCTCGGCCTCGGTCTCGAATTTATAGAGACCTAGAAGGGGTCCAAATATTTCCTCATTGGTCGTCAACATATCAGATGTCATACCGGAGATAATGGTCGGCTCAAAAAAGTACCCTTGCAGGTTGTCCGGCCTTTTCCCACCACAGAGGACCTTCCCACCTTTTCTAACCGCGTCTGCCACATGCTTTTCGATTTTCTCGATTCCACGGCCAATAGTTAGCGGACCCATAGTCGTCCCTTTATCAGCGCCATGCCCAACTTGTAGCTTTTGCGTTGCTTCCAGCGTCTTCTGGGCAAAGGCGTCATACACGCCACTTTGAATATAAACTCGGTTGGCGTGCGTACAGGCCTGGCCGGCAGTCCTCCACTTCAGGATCATTAAGGCTGCAATAGCCTGATCCAGGTCTGCATCATCAAAGACAATAAACGGGCAATTTCCTCCAAGTTCCATTGTTACCTTTTTTAATCCCTCGCTGCAATGCCTCGCAATAATAGTACCGACGGCGGTACTCCCAGTAAAGGTGACCTTGCGAACTAAGGGATGCTTGCAAAGCCTTTCGCTGACTGAGGGTGTATTAGTATTATCTGTAGAGATAATATTAAGTATACCGGCAGGTAGTCCAGCACGGAGAGCCAGATCTGCTAAAGCCATCACACTGAATGGCGTTTCTGGAGATGGTTTGACAATCATGGAACACCCGGCTGCCAGAGCCGCGGCAACCTTGCGAATAATCATCGCCACAGGGAAGTTCCAAGGCACGAGTGCAACACTCACGCCAATCGGTTGTTTAACAACAAAGGTACGGCGGTTGGAAATAGACGGCTGGGCGATTGAACCACGGATACGCTCTGCTTCGCCTGCGAACCACCACGCAAACCCAAGAGCATAGTCGACTTCACCAATAGCTTCTGCTATTGGCTTTCCGGTCTCATATACAACAATCTTGGCGATGTCCTCGCGAGCCTCTGTGATAAGCTCATGCCATTTCAGTAGAATCTTCGCACGCGAACGAGGATTCATTTGCCTGTATGACTTGAAGGCAGTATACGACGTCTCAACGTACTGGTCAACATCATTAACCTCGTTATTGGCACATGACGCCCAGACCTGGCGGGTACCGGGATCTATAGCTGGGTGAGTATGTAAGGGAGACTTGGTGGTTGATACTGGCATTTTACCCACCCTCTACATCGAATTTCTTCCCAGATTTCGACTGTACCCATTTTCCATTGAGTAGTGACGCTTCATGGAGCAGGGATGGATCGTTGAGCTATGGAGGATGGTGTTAGCTGAATGGTCTAGCAGCATGAGCATACAATAGAGAGTCAACTGACAGTAAATGGTAAGCTTGTCATGTTGAGTTAAGGTGTATAGCCTTGAAGACGTGGATAAATACTTTTTTCTTATTCATCTCTACTGTACAGCAGAACCAGAAGCATTTAAATCGTCTTTGATCACCCGGACACGTACAAACACTCCGAGATCGCCAGAGGAAATATGATGTTGCCAATCCCATGGCAATGATTATCAAATGAAATCGTTATGTAATGATCCAGTCATGCGACCGCATTTGTGATTTATAGAGATCTTTCCGTTCCGCGGATGTTTGGAGGGTGGATTTTGGGGTGGAGCATTGCTGGCTTCCGAGAACGGAAGCATTGAAAGAGCCGCCCGGTCATTGAATTCTGTGCTCGCACCCACGACTTACATAACAAAAATATTGGTCAATGTATCATCCAGTGAATTGTTTGTTACACGATGGGGGGTGGTAGGTCGCCGCCTGTCCGCCGATTGGGTTGATGATGCCCACGTACGTATCCGGCGATCGCCGTAGGTAGTAGAGCGATGATCGGCGATTTTCCTAATATTACATACAAGCCATACATTTATAAAGCCAGACAGCCTTTAGTTGGATGAATAGCTAGTACGTTCCGCATCCGATTGATCATACTTGACTTTGCAGTTATCTTTTTCATCGTCATTGTTCTCTTCAATAGTCTTGTCACTTGGAAGATTCGCCAGCATAAAAACCAGGGCCTCTGAGCAAAACAGAAAATATGTCAACGAGGGCTGAGAAAGTCTCCATTGCGGTCATCGGTATGTGATAAACTTTCACGCTTCCTGGTACAGAGCTAATCTTCATATTTTGATGCTGAAGGAGCTGGCGGCGTAGGATCGTGCTTTGTGACCCAGCTTGCCTCTTTGGCTAAGAGCCGCCCTTCTCCCAAACTCAGTCTCATTTATCTTGCCATAATCGATAGGGCGCTCTATCATCAGGACTATGCGCCAATACCGTTCGATAACGCACTTGAGGAACTGGACAAATTCGGATTTGAGCCTCCGAGCATCTCCAATATTATCCATTTTCTCTCCAAGGCCCCTGATAAGGTGGTGGTAGTTGATAACACAAGTTCTCAAGCCATTGCAGAATCCTACCCTGCCTTCCTAAAAAGTGGGATCAGCATTATTACCCCAAATAAAAAGGCCTTTTCAGGAAGCAAAGAGCTCTGGGAAGATATATTCTCCTCAGTTGGACCTCAAGGTCAAGGCCCTTTTGTATATCATGAGTCGTCTGTTGGTGCCGGTATGCCAATTATCTCAACTCTTAATGACCTTGTGGAAACTGGTGATAGGGTCACCCGAATCGAAGGTGTTTTTAGTGGGACAATGTCGTTTCTTTTCAACTCGTTCGCACCTATCAACGGGGAGGGTGGCTCCTGGTCGGCCAATGTTATGAGGGCTAAACAGCTTGGATATACTGAGCCGGACCCCAGGGATGATCTAAACGGCCTCGATGTCGCAAGAAAGCTTACTATTCTTGGGAGACTGGCTGGCATGTCTATCGAGTCGCCAACCGCGTTTCCAGTACAGAGTTTGGTCCCCCAGGAGCTCTCCGGATGTACAGAATTCCTTGACAGGCTGCCCGAGTTTGATGATCGGATGGACAAAGAAAGAAAAGAAGCTTCTAAGGCTAATAAAGTTGTCAGGTTTGTGGGAAGCCTTGATTTGGTTGCCCAGAAGGCCAAAGTAGGCATGGAGTGGTTCGAAAAGTCTCACCCCATTGCTGGACTGGAAGGTAGCGACAACATTATTAGCTTCCATACCGAGAGATATGGCCCCCTCCCTCTTACTATCCGTGGAGCTGGGGCTGGCGGAGATGTCACGGCCATGGGAGTTTTGGGTGATCTTATCAAGATTTTGCGTCAAATTTAGTATTTTATCAAGAATTGAAATTGGTGGCCAAAGGAGTGAATAAAGCATAGTTTATTACGTTCGTCCCGGAAATACTGCATGCAGTTTCATCTCTAGGCCGTCATGAAGTGCGGATTTTATCAAAGCTTCGTCTGTGTGGGAGTTGGCGAAGACCATGTTCTATCTAGAGGCCTAAAACTCGAGGATCGCATGACTGAAGGAACTGGTTCTTTTTGAAACTCGAGGCAGCTGCATATTTTGACTGCCAGATGTCCCCGCCCGGGGTAGATGATATAGCTGGGTCAAGACGGGCGAGAGATCGCAGTAGACGCGGGTGTACTAGAGATGGGATTTTGCAATCTGCACTACCCTGCTAGTCAACCGCCTATTTATGACTGAGCCGGGCTTGGTAACGATACCAGCCAATGCCCTAATCCTCAATGACTGTCTGCTGCTTTGGTAAACAACATCGGTGTTGTTGAACAGCCTGTCTGCTGTCAAGATAAGCGATCGCTACGGGCATGACCGAGCCATCTTCTAACCCGACAAGCGATTGATGTGAAGCTGACTTAGTTGAGGTAGAGAATATCAAGAGAATAGAAGCAGATTCTTACTGTCAACCTCGTGGGCATTGGCAGCTCTTAAAACGCGCATTGCGTCCCCCGTGAAGTGGGAACTAAGCTTTGTGAAATCCAGCATTTCGTCTTGATAATGTTCTCAATACTATTACGAAGAAATGTAGGACGTGCGAGGATGGCGGCACCGGCTTACTGCATGGTCTCATTACCCTTGGGAAGAAAAGATTACTCAAATTGGTACGTTCATCGCCCGATTCATTTCGTACGCAGACGTTTTCTACGGCATCGGCCGTCCAGTGGAACAGACCTCCTCGTCGCGGCCCAAGCAACACTGCTAACCTTTGGACGCGGCCGAGCCGGTCAACAGGTGTCATCGCCTTTGCCAAGTGTCCATTCACGTTGACAAGTGTACCTCGCTTCAATTCTAGCGGCAAAATCATTCCAATGACAGATTCCCACAGTTGTTGTGAAAGCGTTCCCCGCAGGCGCAACATCCGGTCGTCTTAGCGTACTCACTGGTCATGCATCTTGCTCGAGTTAACTATTTTTGGAATAGCTTACCCTCAAGGCGTGAATGACACGATAATTTTACGTCTTGCACCGATCTTTGATGTAATGTGGTGAATTCCTTCCGCGGAAGGCCGCCTATTCGTCCCACCTGATGCTACATTGTCGGTGGAATCTAGTCTCAAGGCACAGGGGAAGAATCTAGGCCCAATTCGTGGTTGGATGATAGATAGAAGCAGGCCCTTCCATGACTCAGCTAGGGAGGTTCGCCGGGTACAATCTCAAAGGTGTTATAACTCTGGCAGTACAGTCACGGATCGCTTTGTCACTCCAATAAGCAGCACAAGCTCTCCTCCCCACGCTTCATGTCTATGATGATGGAACAAAAAAGACGAAAGCTGAACTTGAGAGGATCGATAAAAGGCGAGTTGACATAGGTAAATTGAATAACTTAAACTCAGTCGTACTGGCTCCCTGTAGGAAAATCCACAATCGCCGATCGCAGAGAGCGTTTCTTCGCAGACAAGGGGAAACCCTAAGAGAGCTACAGACTCGCATAGATGTATCCGAAAGGACAATTAGCTAGCAACTTGTTCACTTGCGGGAGGAGAATCGTTGCTAAGATCACATATTACTCGAGTTTTACTTTAGCTTGAAAGACTCTAGGAGACTGTAGAGAGAACTTCTAACTCCTTCTCTTATATCCTTCCTTTATATTAATGAGTATTCTAACAGTACTGAAAGGGCCACTTGGAGTATAGCTACCGACCAAGACTGGCTGGATTTGGTAGCTAGCCGGGCCTATCCTTACGATCCTTACGATAACTTTTCTACTAGTGGTCTGCCTAATTTTCACCGATTAGATTCGAACATGGCCCAAGAAGAGGAAGTGGAACCGTTAGAGGCCCTTGGCTTAATGGAGTCTTGTTTAGAATTATAAGGCGCCGTAAATGTTTGGGAGTTGAGGGATGACGCCAAGCTACTTAGTCCGTCAAGTACATAACTATATACATAAGAATGTCTCTATTGTGCTCAGCATGGGAGAGAGTGAGCTATGTGATATTAACAGTAATGTTTTACGTTAACCTACTAATGGTTTAAAAGCCGGACCCGAACTCACGCATGACTGCCATCACCAATCAAGCAGATCCGTGATCGGCGAGTCAGCTGCCCAGTAAATATCCACATCCCAACTTGGAAAGTAAAATACAAGACGACCTTAACCCATGTGATTGACTGGGGACCCGAAGAACCGGTAGGAATACGAATCTATCCAATCGTTGACGTTTCATTAAGAATGTATGACCACTAGCTCGAACAAACGTCTCTGCATACTGGTCTGAAAGGGCCTTTTTTTTTTTATATATAATATCTCTTGTCCGCACTCTCCTTGCATCAACTTGACTCATATTACTCAAATTCCATTTGACAATAGCCCAGCGTATCAGACTCGGGGTCATTAACGAACACTTTTAACCAGCTTTACCAATTCATCCGGCTCTCCTTGGCACAATGTATCTCCGCGAAGTGCATGCTGAGAAGGATCTTCGCGTCCTGCGCCAGCTCGTTCGGGAAAATCCTCTCGGAATGATAACAACTGCTATCAAGTCTCCCCATTTTCCCTTCCTCCAAACAAGCCACATTCCTTTCGTTTTGGAGGTAGAAGACGAAGAGAGCCAAACAGAACTTGGGCGACTAAAGGGTCATCTTGCCAGGGCCAATCCTCAGAGCAAAGCTATCATCGAGGAAGTCAATGATCGGCACACCGAGGACGCTGTCAAGATACTTGAGAATGACGTCCTAGTCATTTTTAACTCGCCCATCCAATCCTACTCGACTCCCAAGTTCTACACGGAGACGAAGCCCAGTACAGGAAAAGTTGTGCCGACGTGGAATTATGCTGCCGTCCAGATCTACGGCAAGGCTACTGTCTATGTTGATTCTAAAGCGGCAGAGACGAGCGCATTCCTTGACTCACAGATGCGTGCTCTCACTTATCACAACGAAGTTGAGCGGATGGGATACGATGGAAAGGGTGATAATCCTGGGCCATGGGAGGTTTCGGACGCGCCCGAAAAATACATCGAATTGTTGAAAAAGGCCATCATCGGTATCGACATCAAGATTGAACACATGGGTGGAAAATTCAAAATGAGCCAGGAGATGAATACTGGAGACACCGAGGGCATCATCAAAGGCTTTCGTAATTTGGGTACGGAGATGGGTGGAAAGGTTGCTGACCTAGTGGAAGAACGCCAAGCTCTGAACAAGGCCAAGGCCGAGACATAGACGCACACGGTACCAGCTTAACTAGATATCTCAGGCTATTATGGGAGTGTGGAGGGACAAAGAAATCTCACTCCGTTGATTGACCGTCCGGTGTCTATCAATGGTCCATTATCCTCTGATCCAGATTTGACCTCTTGAGTGAAGTTCTGAGCATGGTTGAATAGGCAATATCCTTATGGAACCCAAAATCCAGTGCGGAGCGACAATTGGATTTTCCGGGCCTGTATACTGTCTTCGATTTCCGAGCTCCCAGTAGCTGGAATAGGGGCAGCCCACTATATGGTGATGTGTATTCGAATCTGTTGGAGGATATCTTAGCTTTTATTTAGAAGAATAACACATAATATGAGCCATTTCGTAATTTATAAAGTGGATTGCAGCAATTTCTTTCCCATAGCTTCTAAACTGCCTCATCAAGAGGATCCCAGCCGTAACAGAGCCTCAAAGGCCTGCAGGATGTCTGACTTCAGGTCCTCTACGTCCTCTACCCCACAGCTGACCCGGAGCAGCCTGGGGTCTCGTCCCAGATCGCTCATCGCTCGCCACTCCATCAAGCTTTCCACCCCGCCGAGGCTTGTAGCATGCTGAAACACATAGAGCCTGCTAGGGAGAACTCTGGCATGCTTCTGTTCTTTCATACAAAGACCAAAAACGGGACCAAAACCACCTGGCATTTGCTTTTGGAGCCAGCCATCCTGCAGATCAGCCTCCTGTAGCGAGGCGTGCTGGACGTACTCAACCATCTTCCCAACAACAGAGTTGGCGTTTTTCGATTCACTGTGTAGCCATTGCACAAGAGCCAGAGCCGTTTGGGACTGCCTAGTCACACGTAGATGGAACGTTCGGACAGATCGAATGCCAAGCCAGCCCTCGAAGCTTCCCATTACGCAGCCCATGACCCTACGATCCTGCAGCAGGGTCTCGGTCCAGCTGGAACGGCTGGAGGGTATGACGAGAATCCCGCACAGCATATCCGAGTGGCCACCGACGTACTTGGTGCCGCTGTGCATCACAATGTCGACGCCGAACTGTAGAGGGTCCATCAACGGCGGCGGGGCAAAAGTAGCATCAACCGAGACATATGCTCCGACTGCCTTGGCTTTGGCCACGTAATAGGCAATATTGCGCGCCTCGCCAAATGGATTCACAGGGGTCTCGATATGCAATAAATCGCCAGCTTGGAGCTTGTCGAGATCGTCTAGAGTGAATTTCTCCACACCAGTGACTCTGTTCTGGAGAGCAATGCTGCGATGGACTCCATGATATCCATCGCCAATGAAGACTCGCTTTGGGTTGAGAAGAATCATGATGGCATGAAAAGCAGCCAAACCGCTCGAATAGGTGAGAACGTCCCCGCCAAAGAGGTTGCGCAGCACGGTCTCAAATCGACTAGAGTTCGGAGCAGTATAGCGAGAATATATGTGAGAGTCATACGGGGCATTGGGCTACCGGAAAGATGGTTAGAAAGGTAACAATTGACTATGGAAATTCTGAAAAGGCCATTCCACTCACGTCATCGTTCTTCATTGGCACTAGATCATCGGGGTTTCTGGCATATCGATAATTCACTGCCACATGCATGCCTGGTGCAATGGCACGGTGAGGGCTGTAGAAATCATCCGCATGCACAGCTCTTGTGGACGGTCCCATGAGGGGAAGGGCTTGGTTCAAGGCATCGGCCGTCAGAACAAAGTTGGATGCATTAGCATTGTCGGAGTTGGCTGCCATGATGCCGGAAGTCTTGGCTGTCATGTTCTAATCAGACACTGTAAACTGCTGATATACCTGGTTGATATCTTGTGAGCACACAACTTTATACCAGGGTGGTTAATCTTGGCAGGAGGGGAATCTCATCAAGATATGTAACGTTAGCATTGCCAGCTAAGGTGACTGAATAATTACGTGCGTGGTAGGATGACTACAGGAAAGTTTACAAGATCATCTTCCAGCCCGAGGCCGGAGCAGGGAGGGGCATGCCAGCGCCCACACTTCGCTTCCTTCTATGGGATTTCCCGCGGGGATGAGACATCGCATGCCGTTGGGGTGGAGTGACGCTTGTTGTCTGCGCCTTGTAGAGAGAGCAAATCATATCAAAATCCGGCCGACCCACCACTTCCGCGGAACCAGGTTTTACATGATTGGCTCCCGCTATGGCTTCAATTTCTCTCCTGGAGCTGGGAGAGACCCGAGGGTACGTACACCTGCTTGGTCTGGGGAAACGAGGTTCTGGCCAATACAGACCCAGCATGGATTCTCTTCCCCGGGTTTTTCTTTGTTACCATCTTGATCTAACCCGGGGTAAATAGACTTTCTCGAAACTCATATATTCAATGATAAGTGGAGGGGCGGCCAAGATCTTTTTCATTTCCCCCCCTCGAACTTTGTCCTCTGATACACTTGACTCAACAAGAGTGGTTTTTCTTATAACCTTTCTGGTCGAAATTATACCTACCTCGCAATGACATCCGGCGATAAAGAATCTCCAATGGATATGGAGGTCGCAAAGGAGGCATCGGTTGAGAATGTTCGCGCCAATTCGACTGAGGTTGCAACAGCAACTGTTGCAGGACACCTTGTCCCCGCTGATTTTTCTGAGCACCACGAGATGAAGCAAGGCTTGAACTCTCGTCATCTTCAAATGATGGCCTTGGCAGGAGCTATCGGCACCGGGCTATTTCTTGCCTCTGGCCGTGCTGTTGCACAAGCTGGTCCTCTTGGTGCGCTGATGGGATATACCTTTGTCGGGGCTATGGCAGCCTGCGTGGTGCTCGCTGTGGCTGAGATGGGTGCTCTCATCCCGCTCAGCGGAGGGATTGTACGGTATGCGGAAATATTTGTCGATCCTGCGCTGTCCTTCGCGAATGGTTGGAACCTGGTGTATAAAGGGTTGATTTTCATACCCACCGAAATTGTGGCTGCTTCTGTTTTGATGCAGTTTTGGACTGACCTCAACAGTGCTATTGTAAGTCTTTGCCATCCTGGCCTCACTCGAAACCCCTTCTCTTTTTAACCGAATGCTGCTAGTGGATTACCATATTTGGTGCTTTGATGGCACTAAGCAACTTCTTGTTCGTCCGAGTCCTAGGCGAGCTTGAGTTTGGCTTCGCGCTCATGAAGATTGCTCTCATCGTCATCGTGAATGTGTTGGCAATTGTCGTGGTTGCCGGAGGAGGGCCAAAAGGCGATGTAATCGGTTTCAGATATTGGCAAGGTTAGTGAAGACAGCAACGGTTGCAGATTTTTAGTTTTGCCTGTCTAACATCTCTATTTCGTACAGATCCTGGCCCGTTTGTTCAATACCTTGGCATCCCGGGCTCCCTTGGACGCTTTCTTGGATTCTGGACAACTTTCAACAATGCCCTCTATGCTTTTTCTGGCATTGAAAATATCTCACTGGCAGCTGCTGAGGTTAAAAATGCTCGTCGCGTCATTCCTCAAGCCGCGAAGAGAGTCTTTTGGCGGGTGGCCATATTTTACAGCTTGACCATCTTCTTGGTTGGCCTCGTTGTTCCTTCAACAGATGAACGACTTCTTCGCTCTAAAGGAGCTGCGGCCTCTCCATTCGTGATAGCCGCAAACCTGGCAGGCATCAAGGTGATTCCTCACGTCATCAATGCAATTGTCATCACCTCGGCCTGGTCCTGTGGGAACTATGGCATGATGAGCTACGTCCGCTACCTGTTTGGTCTAGCAAAAAATGGCCACGCTCCCAAGATCTTTACTGCTATCAATCGCTTTGGAATTCCATATGTATCCGTCATTCTCTTTACGCTCTTCATGGCTCTTGGATACATGACGACATCTTCCAGTGCATCAACCGTGTTTACTTGGCTTCAAGACCTCCTCTCAATCGCTATCTTGGTCAACTGGACTGTTATTCTCTCAACATATCTGCGTTTCTACTATGCCTGCAAGAAGCAAAACATCGACCGAAATGAGCTTCCGTACAAGTCGCCCTTCCAGCCATACTATTCTTGGGTATGCCTTACTTTCTTCATCCTTCTTCTCCTGACATCCGGATGGCAGACATTTCTCAAAGGTCGTTGGGATACGAAGACATTTGTCGCTTCCTACTTCAACATTCCCTTTGTCCTTCTCCTCTATTTCGGTTATAAGTTCATCAAGAAAACGAAAATCATTCCGCTTGATGAGGTTCCTATTCGACCCTTCTTGGACCTGGCACTTGCCGACCCCTCTCCTCCTCTGAAGCCGAAGAAGGGCCTGCGCAAGCTTAACATTCTCTGGTAGAGCTATACTTAATGTAGGGTGAGATGCTGTTGTATCTTGACGGACTTGGGAAGTCTCCCGTTAGTTCAGATTTCCCCTATGACGCGCTTGTTCATTCCAACACACCGATTGGGTGTAATAGGATTAGGATAAAACACATCTGCAAGTAGAATACCTATGCCCTGAAAAGGATCAAAAAGGGCGATCCTCGATACTCTGTTAAAATAGCAAGTGACTTCAAATGACTAAAGCTCACGAGTGTTTGCCTTATTACTGTTCAAAGCAGTGCTAATAAAATTTGAACTCATGCGTATTATCTTGTCTAGGTTCTGCAATGGTTATTTTCCGCAACTGGAATTGCCTGGCTCTTCTCTGTTCCCTTCGCTCGACGAATTCGGTTTCATGCCAGTTCGGTCCATACATACCTAGGGCAAGCTCCTTCAAAACCCAATTCTGTGCAAAGTTCCAAATTATTATCGATTTCAGTACGGCCTCAAAAACTGATGTCCTTGCATACTCTTGGTACCAGGGTGTTCTTGAGCCTCCTCGATCCCACGGTATCCTCGGCCCACATGCCGAGTTGAGAGTGCCTCGGCCAATGATATGGTTTTCCGACATGGATGGATGGAGCTCCGCGGAACCAATAAGTCCATGTTGGATGCTTCAGCTAGGTCTCCGAACTAACCATAGTCCGTCTGACGGCAATAAGCCATGCCGTGTGGGCAATAAGCCATGCCGTGTGCACTCCGACACATACCGGTATATAAAGCGCAAGTCTGGGGTCTAGCTTACCTCTTACTTATTACAGGCGTGTAAGAATCCCAAGCGATCTACAACTTTTCCAATAACATACTTGCAAAATGTCCACGGTCATTCCAGTCACCCCCGAGCCTGCGGCTCACTCGCCTGCTCCCAAGCTCAATGGGGAGGCCCTTCGATCCAAGAAATATTTCGACCAGCGTTCTGCGCAGGAGATGGACCAGCACCTTAGGACCCCTGAGCGGACATTGCAGGAAACTCTAGCCTGCGCATGTAGGCTGATTGCAGCCAAACAAGAGGATGCTGGGCTCGCGGGTCAAATCAGTGCACGCTCCCAGCGGGGTGAGGGCTTCTATTGGACCTTACGCTTTGGCTTGGGCTGGGAGGAGGCCCAGCCTGAAGACTTTATCGAGGTAGATGGAGATCTCAATACTGTTACGGGGACTGGAATGGCTAATCCAGCTACTCGTTTTCATTTATGGGTATATGCCGCCCGGTCGGATGTCCAAAGCATCATTCATACTCACTCCCCGTGGGTGCAGTCCCTCGTAGCCGCTCGACAGCCACTGGTAGTGGCTCAGATGGACATGACACCCCTCTACGACGACTGTGCCTTTTTGGCGGATTGGCCCGGAGTCCCGATTGCAGATCAGGAGGGGGTGATAATCACAGGCGCGCTTGGAAAAAAGCGGTCTATAGTGCTGGCGCATCACGGAATGCTCACCGCGGGGTCAACTATTCAGGAGGCAACCTATCTCTGCGTTACTCTGGAAAGAGCGGCTCGTATCCAAGTCCGAGCTGCACCTTACGGTCCTCTCACGCCTGTTGACGGTGATCTTGCAAGAGAAGCAGGTGGATACCTGATGAGGCCTCGGATTGTGAACGCAACATTTGAGTACTGGCTTCGTCAGACGCGCCCAATAGCGCCGTTGAAAGTCGCGTAAACGGCAGGCGACTACGGTAGCAAAACCTAACTGAAATTTAACATGGATTGTGCACTGTATAGAAAAACCTAGACCGAAATATAGCAGGTTGTACACTGTATAGAATTCATTGTGTTGAGCTGTCAGGCTCTGGCAGTTTCCAATGCTGTTGAACTTATTCTCTTTCTCTCACGTACACTGTATACAAGAGCCGCTACAGAATCTGGGTTAAATTAAATCACAGTTCTGTCCAAGTTAGCGCATATAACCAAGGGCATGTTAAGCACGAATCTTGCAGGCACACAAAATGCCGTAACTTTTTTAGTGTCCCAACGCCATCTCCGCTCCGGGCGATAGGCGAACCCACTCGCGCATATTACATATTCACCCCGCATTTCCCCTTGTTCCAGACGCATTAATACCTGCATGTCCCCCCCCAACACTATCAGCGCGGGAGGGGATCCAACCACCACTCTTTCATGACCACAATCAAACGACATTATATTAGTGACAGTGACCAATGGGGCATCGATCATTCGAATCGCGGCATGCACAATGTCTACGAGGCCCAAAGTTTCGGCAGCCTGTGACAACTGTCGTCGCCGAAAGGTGAAATGCGACGCAAACAACCCGAGTATTCTCAAACCCCGCTCCTTGCCGATTCTTCCCAAACACTAATTGTGTGGTTCTGCTAGTGTGTGGCCCATGTTCGATGAGAGGGGAGCCGGCCTGTACTTACAGCCGAGATAAAGACCGAAGAAAGTCCAAGCCAATATCAAGATCCGTGACTGATCCAGTATCCGGAGAAATACCTCCTCATACGCCGCAGTATCCAGCCATCTCACCGCGCGCTTCAAATCTTGGGGCTGAGATACGCATAGAGGCAACGGCATATCCATCGCTTGGCCTCGTGACTGAGGATCCATCGCTTGGCTCCATGGTTGAGGAACCCATCGCACATACGAACGCGAGTGCAACCCCTAGTTCAACCAATGCGACCACATCAACACATCTTGCAAATACCCCCGCGAGCAGACCACCTAGAAGCAAGAAAGATGCGGATGCCATGACCGGGATATCAGGGGACCCATCATCGAACATTGAGTTCTTCGGCGGCAGCAGCGCGGTCTCGTTTATGAGACAAATTAATTCCATAATCGACACTCGACTTGGCCACTCCCAGGCGGGAATAGCAGAAACGGACGGCTATCCACCATACAAGAGACAAAAAGCATCCCAGAATGACGAGCCTTTCGCAAACACATTTGAGTATGCGTTACCACAACGAAATCTTGCAGATTCCCTACTTCGAGACTATTACGACCTTGTATGGGTCATTCTTCCTGTACATGACTGGACTATATTTCGGGAGGCGTATAATTCGGTTTGGTTGGGAAATCCCGGCTCGATTTCAGAACACGACTTTCACTGTATGCTGAATGTGGCATTTGCTTTAGGAAGCCAATTCTCCCGCAACATACACCCACGACAGAGAAGAGACATCGGCCAGAAGTTCTGGGATAGGGCTCAGGCACTTTTTAACCCTTACCTTCATTTCGGGGCATCGCTGGAGAGAGTTCAATGCCTCTTGATGATGGGGCTGTTTCTCCAGAGTACTTGTGAATCCCACCAATGTTGGATGATAATTGGTGCTGCTGTCCGCATGGCACAGAGTCTAGGGTTACATCTATCCTCATCCTCCAAAGATGGTGATGGTGCTCGAAAGGTGCAGATAGCACGAAGAGTTTGGCACGGGTGTGTATTCATGGATCGGTAAGTGCCAAGTCCCTGCGCTCATTTAATAGTCGAATTAAATTATGCTCCAAGAGTAAACTAACCAGACAGGGTGCTATCCATGACTTTTGGGCGGCCCAGTATGATTGCAAATTGGCTTTCTGACGCTGTCCCGCTGCCCCTCATGATTGACGACGACTACCTAGATATGGTTAACGAATCCTCGGCCGTCCGGCCAGATGGAAAGTCAACAGAGGTGGCATTCTTCATCAAGTCTCTCGAACTGTATAGAATCACGAACAACTCGCTTCTTGAATTGTATATAAGGCCACTGGAAATGCAAGTGCAAGACCAACAGCCCCTGGCATCAGTTCTCGAATTTGACAGCACGCTGACTCGGTGGGCTTGGACAATACCTGACCAGTTGTGCTACACACCAGAGGAGGGAAAAACGTACCAGAGCTTCATTCTTGAAAGACAGAGGATTGTACTTCGGTCGCGGTATGTCTGGTATCAAAACAATTGCCATTCTTCACAAACTAATATGCGCTACCGAAGCTATCTCCATTCTCGGATCCTGATTCTTCGGCCAGTCGTGGCTGAGGCATGCTTGAAGCAAACCCACTCCCAGAACTCCAGAGGTTACTCCTCGATAGATCGAAGCCTATCGCAGAACATGGTCAATCAATGCTGTACGCTGTGCTTCGAATCTGCACATGAACTTATCAACATAATTTACGACAACCTGGACCTCCAAACAGTCACTGGGCCTGTCCCCGCATGGTGGTTTTCCGTCTTATGTAAATTGAATTGAGATTTGATTGAGATTAAAACACTACTGATACCACTGGACAGTTATTTATACTGCAGCAACGGTATTGCTTGCAGAGATTCTCAAGCCCCCTGACCCAAGTATGCCTTCAGCAACCTCAGAGCACCGATCGCTAGGCTCAGAATGGGACAAGGCCATTGAACTACTCAAGGCCTATGCCCAGGTAGGTGAATCGGCAGAGCGTTGTGTGGCGGCACTAGAGATTCTGTCCTCGAAGATCCATGGCGGATCAGTGCAACCAAGCCAGAGAGCCAAGGGGATTTCGACCTGTGGAGGGCAACATTCGCATCAAGCCACAGCAGGAAACCTGGAAAACTGGGAAAATCCAGAAGCTCCCATTCCAATCGACCTTGGTGACATGGATTTCGATGTCAGCGACATGTTTTGGCTCAATGGATCTACTGCTGACATTCTTTTTCAATGAGCACTAATGGTATAGTTATGATGATCTAAAAGGAGATAGTCTGTCGTGGTGTGTTTTCATCGGGCAACAGTTCGGCGTCTATAATAAGGGGATCAAGCGGAATACTTCCCATAAGTGCAAACCAGAGACCTGCCCCGCGGCAGGTCTCAGCCATCGCACAAAAGAACGAGGAGTAGGTCACATCTCATAGTACCAGAGTACAAGAGCCGCCAAAAAAAAAAAGAATTTTCAACGAGCTTAATTCTATTACCGTCACCCGGCTCATAGCGGAGCAACTATCGTCATTAGGAAATGTGTCATTCACCTTATCGAATATTGAACAGTCAAACGCGCCTGAAGTGTCAGTTACTTGGAAAGCACTGACAATAGGATTCCCTTGAAGTAAATCGGAAATTTTTTCTCTTAAGTCAAACCTATATGCAGCTATCTTAGATTATTCAATACTAAGCGTGTAACAACCTCTCCGGGGTAGTACGCGCAATAGCTCCGTGGTCCGACAGCCCTGTATGTTGAAGTTCGGTGAAGTGTAGGCCAGGATTCTACCTACCCTATAGCCACGCCACCCGAGCAGGAGTAGGCTCCAGCCATAACTAGAGATCCTTAATTGTAGTCTCGAGATACGCTCCTTCCTCCTTAATCAAGCCCATTCACCTCAATTCTCGCTATCTCTCGAATACTGGATTAAAACTATATATAAACAGACTATATATTGTTCTTAGGCTAGTACTATATCTTTTTACCTATATTACTATCTATTTGAAGAATTAAGAAGATTATAGAGAAGCAGAGAATAATTTATAAGCTATTTATAGTTATGTAATCTATAAAGCAGAAATTAAACTAAATTATTAAAATTATAAATTTATTAAAATAATATAATAATTTTAATATATATTACTTTAGGTAACTAATAGATTAATATATACTTTAAATAGAATTAATTTTTTTTTCTTTATTAATGATCTAAAATACTAAATTCTTTCAGACTTAATATATCTATTTGAGTTGTACTATTAGCTGCATGAGTTTACGAGACATATCCCGGTGAACTATCAAGCTTTAGATTAGCAATTAAGCTCCAACACCTGTTACGGAAGGGGATCATACACTGCCAGACTGAAGTATCAAACAAGTCTGCGTACGTCGCAAGGGGAAAAGCTGCGAGAGGGCTCGGTGCATTCGCCCACGAGCCCTTAGTTTCCGACAGTGCGTCATCGATCATTCTGTCCAGTATTGCATCAGGACTTAACTTGGATTGCTTGTTCTGCAGGTACCAGCAGAGGAGTAATCCTTGGGCACCGCGTTAGAAACTATGCCTGGGAAAGCATACACAGAGGGACTTGGAACATACCGCCTTCGTAAGCTGAAATAGCCGATACCGGAGCAAATCGAAGATTTCCGAAGGACTTGATATACCCGAGACCTGTCTGACAGTCGGATCTCAGCATCTCGGCCGCCAAGACCAAGGCTTTCTCTAGATTGGCTGAGTGCCGTTCATGGAAGCATTGTTCTAGGCTTTCTTGACAATCCAAAAGCCCCGGGGAATGAAAAAAACTCTTCGCGGCCATCAATCGATGGCTTCCATAGAGGTGATATGTTATCGAAAGTATCATTGATCGTGTGGTATGGGCCATTGAGGTCATGGTGGACTCTATCAGGAACTGGCTGGATGATTGTTCTTTCCAGATCTCGTTGAGGACTTGAACCGACCTGCCCATCTTCTCGATAAAGCTTGCAAACAAATCTGGGTGCTGGGTTCCAACAAGCGACTCAAAGACACAGACGTGGCAAAGCACAGCCGAAACAATGGTTGCAAAGCCAAATTCGGTGTCATACAAAGCCACCTTGCATCCCTCGAGGATCATCTTCATAGCATCAGAGCTGTAGATGGTTTCGTTGGGCCTTTCCCAGCTGTTTTCGTCCTGTTGCCATGATGCTGTGTTCGAAGGCAGCGGGAACCTAGCGTCTAGGATGGCAAGTGAGAAACATCCGTCCCTACTCTTTGAGAAAAACCCAGCACCAAGAATAATACCACCCGCGAGACATCTGAATTGAGGTTAGAGCTCGTGCACCGTTCAAGCACACTGATATGCTGAATTGGGAGCTCACCTATTTAGCGTCTCTTGCTGTACCCATTCCTTGTACGTTGCTGCCTCCGACATCCCCACCTCTCTGAAGGCCTCGTCTGCAAGCTACGCACGCTCATGTCAATCGTCTAAGGAGAAAGGTGAATGCTCTGCAATACGAACCTTCATAGTTTGGCTAAGTGTTTGAGCCGCTCGGAACTCCATCTGTGAATCTCCACTGAATGCTCCAAAATAGCATATCAGAAGACTAGCCTGTAGCGCCCACAGCTGAAATTCGTTATCCCTCTGCCCGATGAGGACCATCTCTTCATGCTAGCAAAATTGGTTAGAAATGATTATAGCTGGTAGCAGCGCTCATTAGGAGACTGTTCATTTTACCTCTCTCATCAGAAGCGAGGCAGCAGTATGGAGATCCTGTGCAACGCTCGGCTCGTTGGAATACAATGCACCACATGCCATGATCTCGACCAGAAGGGGAGCTTCAATAAATTTTAGCGCATCAGTGCACGTCATGATAGAACATCGATAACCTACATGGCGTGGAAGAGATTTCAAACGTCGGTACGTGTACGATCGGCAAATGCGGAGCCATATACTCGAAGAACCCCCTGACAAATCGACTCACGGCGAATTTGGACGGAAATCGGAAACGTGATAACCTTTCTGTGGTGTTGAAGGAGTCGTAATTTAACTTCGCTTCTTCGTACTTATCATCATCGATGAAGAAGGCGCCTCTGCTATTGGGTGGACAGCTCGCCGTCGAAGAGCTGTTGACAGGAGAAGGAAGAGTCTGCAAAAACGAGATGCCAATGTCCTTCTGCCCACGCAGAGCCGTGGCCAAGTCGTTTGTCGGCGACGGCACGAAATCAGGTTCAAAGATCTGTGAGAAGGCCCGGTCTGGAAACTCTCCAGTTCCCCAGATATCGAACATGTTCTGGATAGACGCGGTAGGATCCTGTAGGCACAGGAGACTGTTCGCATCTGGAAGAAGGTTGGCAAGGTCGACAGCGCTGTCGCCCAAATCTTCGCTGGGCTCTCCCTCGGCGGACGGCCGCCGCGGCGAACGGGTTTCCAATATGCCCGGTCGTCGGTGTTCTTCGTCGCCCGCGATGCTATCCGAGCCAATTGGCGCCTGTCTAGACGGACGGCGACTTGGAGACAAGTGACTGGGAGAGCGAGCCTCTTTGCGTCTCGGCTCCTTGCCTGGGTGGAAATTCCTTGTATGGCGAACGATTACGTCTTTGCGCGACGATGACAACGGACAATATAAGCAGGAGAAGGGCTTCTCTGGTCGATCTACCGGAGCCGTGATTCAGCCAAAGGGTCCTCTTCTCTCACAATATGAGACTTACGGGTTCTCTGATGGCGCCTTAAATGCGCGGCGCGGCTGAACTTGGCTTTGCATTGAGTGCAATTGAAGCTGCGGGAAGCATTTCCAGCGGTGACACCCTCGAGGCTGGCTTCTTCACGTGGGTCCGCATCCGGCGATTCCGCCATCACCATGTTGGATCATGTAGTGCTTATAGGATGTCAGCCGCGGAGCGTCAAGGTCGTCTTGCAGCGACAGCAGTCGTCATAAACAAGTTATGCAAAAATGGAAGAGGAAGCGGGAAAGGAGCATCAAGACGTGGTTGTAGCTGGGAGGGTGGGAGGCGGGGTATGCAAGGATAAAAGGTCCAATTGCCGACCACAGCCGAGTAATACATGGGGGGCTATATAATTAAGTTGCTATTTATATAAGTGATCTATCTCCTTTAGTTGTCTATTATTTTTATAATAAGTAAAATATATACTACTAGATACTATACTATATAAAACTATATTTAGTTATTATTAGTATATAGTAACTTTATAATTAGCTATTATAATTTTCTTTAAATAATCTATAGTAGTATTTAATTAATCTGCTATATTCTGAATACTATCTTATTAATCTTTTTTAATTTAACTTTTCTATCTAATAAACTTTTTAATAATTTAATTCTATTTAATTCTCTTCTATCTGCCTAATAATACTAATAAAAATAAACTTTTATTTAACTTTAAGAGCTACTTTAGCTCTAATTAACTTAATCCAGTATATTATATACTAGAACTATAGATTATAAGTTAGATTATAATAATACTTAAGTACTAGAGGAATATTATTATAGTTCTCCCTAAGTACTCTATTTCAGGCTGAGTTTATTAATATTATCTAGCTGGCTTAGAGATAGAGTAATAGTCCTAGTAGGTATAGCTACTAGGTCTATATAGTTAAGAATAGCTTTATAGCTATAAGAAAGCCTGTAATAGAGTACAGGCTTAGATAATTATATCGGATATCAGAAAGAAGACCCCGAGGGTTATTACTAATAGCTATTATTATATATATAAGGGCCCGGTTACTTATAATAACTAGGCCCTGGCTGCTGGGGATAATAATATCAGAGGTATTTATTATTATTATAAGGAGAGATCTGGTTACTAGTAATTAGTAATAATAAGCTTAGAGAGGTATTATAGTTAATTATAGATAATAAGTATTCCCTCTTAGAACTTATAGCTAAGTTATATACTTAGTAAGCTCTTTTTAGAGTTTTTAGAGATACTATTATCTTACTTTAGCTTATATAAATAAAAAAGTAAAAAAAATAGAGTTAAAGATTAGATATAGATTAAAACTTAGTTAAAAATAAATTATATAGATCTAGTTATATATAGCCTGATCTTAGGATATTCCTTATATATAGTAAAAACCTTAAAAAAAAAAAAAAAAACTAGATACTATATAATATATTTTACTTTTTTTATTATTTAAAATTAAATAATTAAATATAAGATTAAAAGAAATAATTTTTTTATAAATAAATATATATATTTATAACTTTTTTTTAAAAAAAAGCTATTATATTATTTTTTAAATTTAAAGCTTTTTTAATTAAATACTAAAATATACTTATAGTAAATAGTTCTTTGCTTTAACTAATTTATATAGATTATATAATATCTTAGTTCTAATAGTTAACTAGAGCTATAACTTAGAGAGAGGAAATTTTATAAAGCTTATAAACCCGCTGGATAATATACTGATATATAAGATCGCAGTAATAGATAACCTATTATAGTTAAACTATATACTCTATCCCTCTTGACTGTATAAAGTCACTAATAGAAAGCATTAAAGCAGGGATAGGATAATCCAGTTTCAGTAAAGTATTCGATTTTCTATATAGAATTTAACAATTACCCTGAGCATACTATCGAATTTATACCCCAACGACATAATTACTCATATTTAGCAGCCGACTTTGTCCAAGGGGCTTGCATTACTAACCTATAAGTCCCAAAGCCTGGGTCTTTTGGCTTCCTGATGAGAAATACAATCATCGAGACCTTGCCCGGAGCCACCTTCACGCCCGCAGACCCCAGCGAACAACGCTTATTCTACCTCCTCTCGCCATTTGATCCGAACATGAAATGTCGGGTACACAAACCATGAGCAATAGGTTTCCATCGTTGCTTTATCATCCAAAACCAGATTGAACTGGCGGACAAACTGGGGAAGGACTTTGTTTACTTCGAGGAGGCCAATGTTCTTGCCGATGCAAGCTCGAGAGCCCCCTCCAAACTGGACATCGTTAGGTTCGCTATCGAGTTCTCCCCTAGGTGCTAGACATACCGTAAACATCATGCCATTCTGAGCTTCTCCGTCAACCTCAGACCGTAGCCAGCGCTCTGGTCGGTAGACTTCCGGGTCTGGACCGAAGCCATCTTTGTCATAGTGGAGCACCCAGGAGTTTGCCCCGACATGGGTCTGTTTGGTCATTGTCAGCTTGAATATGACATTCCAGCGCATGTAGACGAGAGATAGGATAATAAGATGAGAACGGGGGATGGTACAAGGTTGATAAAAGTTGATCAACTTACCCCCTCTGGAAAATTAATCCCTGCGAGCTTCGCCCCTCCTTTAGGGACCACTCTTGGTAAGATTGTTCCTACGGCGGGATGCATGCGGAAGCCCTCTTTAATAACGGCCTGGAGATATGGCATGTTTTGAGCTTCCTGAAAAGTAATTGGATCTGAGATTCGACCCTCAGCAGTCATCGTGTCAAGCTCATGGCGAAGCTTCGCGAGTTTCTCTGGATGTTTGTAGAGGTAGTACAGGGAAGAGCTAAGCGTAATTGCGGTGGTGTCGGATCCTGCTCCAAGGTTGCTACCAGTAGCATCTTGAATGTTGACCATGGTCACCTTCTTGGATTTCTGCATGTCGAGCAGCTTTTGGAGGAAAGTTGTGTACTCGGTGTTCTCCGCAGGTTTGACGTTTTCTTCGCGGAGCCTGTCAATCTGACTAAAGGTATGGACTGCAAGTGCTCGGGCCTTTCCACTTTGACCCATGGCCTTGCGAAGCAAGGTAATCCAGGGGTGCAACTCGGGCAAAAGTCCAATGTGAGAAAGGTAGTCGAGCGTTCGGCGGACGCCTTTGGTAATTCCTGTCCGATCGCATTCGCTTTCCATCATGCCGAAGTTCTGATTGAACTAGACCAAGGTCAGATTAACTAGCCAAGAATTCAGATTGCATAGACGAACTGTGATCTGGCCGATAACATCGAAAGCGTATGACTGCATAAAATGGGGAAGATGAAGTTGGCGGCCCTCATTGGCAAATTGACGTAGCTTCTTGGTCAGCACAGTTGTCATTGCGTCAACAGCCTCTTCGTATGTAACCATGGCCGACATAGTATATAGAGACGATATCTTGCGTCTTCTGTCCCTGTGTTCTTTATCATCAATTGTTGGAAAGACATTGTCGACTAAGGGATCTCCGGTAAGCATAGGTGAGTAGAAGTCACTCTTGAAGAATTTGCCGCCTAGCGCGTAGATAGTTTTGACATCCTCTGGCCGACTGAAACTGTAGCGGTTTGGCGCGACTCGAACGACCGGGCCTTGTCACATATCACATCAGGGTTCTGGTCACGAAGACAGTAGCTGGGCACGTACCGTATTTCTCATGCAGGCTGATGAAGTCTAGGTTTGAATGACCTTTCCAGAGGGAATGAAACTCCCAGAGACGAGTTACCCGGGCCAAGAATGGGCCAGGCACTTTCCTAAGGGGAGAGAACAAGAGGCCATAAAGTAGGGGAAGTACCCAGTACAAGAAAACGGCGCCCAAGATGTAAAGCAGATGCTTTGGAGTAAGCTCCGTTGGAAGGCTTAGCGAAGACATTTGCTCATCTGTCTCCTCTCTTGAGGTGAAAAGAACGCTGCTGCCAGTATGTCAAGCGCTCGATTACTGGCTTATAAGACCAAGCCAACTAAATGTGGGCCATCAATTCGCGCCATCCAATGCAAGCCACCCAAAGCGAGCCGCTCAATGTGAGCCACACAAAACGAGCCACTCAATGCGAGCCACACAAAACGAGCCACTCAATGCGAGCCACACAAAACGAGCCACTCAATGTGAGCCACACAAAACGAGCCACTCAATGTCAGCCACACCGCCACCTGTCAACGATGCAGGGGTATGGTGTGAACTTGAAGCGGCCATCTCTTAAGCCGGCAAGGACCTCCAACCAGGTCACTCCCGAGGGGGTCAGGCCAATTATATTTATTCTTTTGAGAGATACTTAAGACAAAAGGGCGTCATTATGGGCATTGTATTTGGGTGTGGCATGAGACGAAAAAGCGCGCAGGCTATAATACGTATTACATATATACTGTGTATGCACGCGATACCAACCCCCCCCATCGTCACTTAGTCTTGTCTCGGGAGTAAGTACTTACAATATAGTGTTCTGACAGGTGAGATCATTCTTACCACATACTTTAGTTAATCCAATAACACACCACATTTGACGAGACATCACGCAAACTTCTCACTCAGCCTCTATCAACCGGTCCAATATTTCCTCATTCTTCGGCATCTCAAGTTCAGGATACTGTTTGCAAATCTTGTGCTTAAGGAGCGCCCAAAGGCTCTCAATGGGGTTGAGATCGGGGGAGTACGGAGGCCAGTATGCTAGGATAAGACCCATTGAGCGTATCTCCTAAGCCAGTCATGCATGATACGAGGTATAAAGGTTAATCCCTTATCAATCTGTAACGTCATTCCCTCATCTACAAGTTCAAGAAGGTGTTGCTTGAGGCAATCGAGCCGAATTCGAGCCGTAACCCCGCCGGGCTTGGATTTGGAGTGTCTGATCCCTTGCTTCTGTAACCACTTAGTTAACGTCGTTCTATAACAACGCAATGCGTAATTTTCAATCATTTCATAGATGAAAATGGAAGGTTGGTTTCGGCGGCTCTAAAAATATGATTTTTATCTCGTTATGATTTAATTGTTAGATGCCCAGGGCGTGGCTTATCTTTTGCGCTTTGTTGGCTCCATGAGCGTCCGCAGATCGCGTGCTTAGAAATGCCCTCTTTGGACGACTCAATTTCGACGGGCTTGACGCCTGATTTATACATACGTTATATTCTTTCTTATAAAAGGTCCGTACCAATGTAAGGTGAGTTTGGATTTTAAATAGCTATTTCAAAATCGCGGTTAAGGAGCAAATCTGAGTGCGTCGCATGTTCATCATCTATGTTATTCCTTTCGTACAAACAGCAAGGTCCAGCAAGGGAACACGGAGCCGTCATAGTAACTAGACTTGATGCGCTGATGGGAAATCGCCTTGGCCCGCCCTTCATGGACTCATGAATTTCCAATAATCCTTTGAAATCATCTAGTTCTGGATCATCCACGGCATTTTTTGATCAGCTGCTCCAGGAAATCAAATCCTTCTCGCTGCAGATTCCATGTCCTAGATCCCACCTGCATTCTGGCAGTAAATATGTGATCCTCTTTAGGAATTATCCGAAAGTCGGATTTGACGCCGTGTTGAGACAGCGCTGAGAACAACGCCTCGCTAATGTGTAATGGGACCATCCTATCCTCCGCACCATGCGCAATAAAAGTCGGTGGAAAGGAGGGACTAAGATTCTTAATAGGGTCGACCTTATCCCAGTCCCCTGAAGGGTACACTGCGTCCAATACAGTACCGTTCGCAATTTGCGTGGACACATATGCTTGCCGTGGATCGCTGAAGTCCGGAGCACCTTTGCGTTGGCCCTCCAGCGAGACGCCTCCCTCAATTGGTACCGGATCTTCCTCAAAGACCTGATTCAAGAATTGAGAGGAGAAGTCAGGGAGACTGGCCTTGATATGTGGTACCTTCTCTCTCCAGAAGGGATTCGAGAAGTTGCATGATCCATACATATTGTATATTCCTGCCACTGGACGAGGAACTCCGAAGCCCTAGTATATGAGTTGCACTTCGATTAGCAATGGACAAACACCACCGGCTTTGGTGTACTCTGATCAAAGTCGCTATGTCACCTCGTCGCGAATGGCCCACCTCTTTTCTCGTGTCACTTACCAAGCAGAGAGCCAAGGTTCCACCTGCAGATGTACCGAACGCAAACACATAGTCAAGATTGACCAAATAACGGGCTTCAGTATGAGAGGAGATGGCCTCCTGAAGCTTGCCGGCATGGATCCATTCAAGGAGATCGCGGCTATCTTGGATTGGCCCCTCTAAGATGTTTACCTGGGGGCATAGACGATGGTTTGGGGCCAGAACTATCCATCCTCGGCCTATGCAGTCTTGGATCTGATCTTTGTTAACCATCTTGGAAGACCCAAGCATGAAAGCACCACCATGAAAATCGATAACTAGGTCGAGGTGTGAAGTTAGCCAGCGCGGCCTCGCTAAAGCCATGTCGTGCGGGCATTGCGGCAGGCTCTACATACGAATTGGATATCCGGATTTGTTCCTGTTGACCGCTAGTCCAGGCAAGTAGATGTCGACATCAATCTCTTGATTGCCTACAGTCTTGTAGATCGCTCGGAAGGACTCGGGATTCGCCATTGCGGATGTACTCGACGCTAATACGAGCTGTGCAACGTTTAGCTTTATGACGGGTCGCCGCAGCTAAACACTCCGTGGGACATAGCTCGACTTATATGCTCAGGCTTATTACGGCGAGGTCGTTGACAGTTTGCTGGGCCGTGCTGTTCGGCTTCAGATCTCGGTGGGGCCGCATTGCGCGGAGTTACCAGTGGCACTGGAGCCACTACAGCCGTCAAGTAGTCAGAAGGCAAGAATGTAGAGTGTACATGTGCCTTTGATCAGTCGAGATCAGAGTATTAAGGACCCCAGGTGTTTGACTTCAATGTGGCGTTAGCCAGAATTGTCCCATCTCGGTGGCATATGGTTGAGGTTTTGCCATCGAGAGCCACCTAAAGGTTGCTCTCGGCATTGCGGCAAAGGAAATTGCTATCGTTCCACGGAATAGGCCCGGGTACTCACTCTATTCGACGTAAGCCAAGCGATTCAATGGTTGCAACCTTGCAACCCGTTGTGCAGCCCGTTGTACATTGGTTAGAGGATCATTAGTTAGACTCGGAGAAGATGTTCGGTACTCTCGGTGGCGCCTTGACGACCCCTGGATACGAAGTGGCGGCGAGTGGCCACCTGAGATTACCAATGGCACGGGAACGCATGAAAAGCTCCCTGTTCCACTTAGCTGCGGAAGATCTTCGCCAAGCAACTGCGTGTGTAGAGTGTCAGAAGGAACGTATATAAGCAGGGCCTTGGGTCGGAATTTTGGACCGTCGAAATTCATGAACAACTGCTTCCCATCAGCATCCAATCATCTTTCCTCCACCAGATTCTTACACAGATCACCACAATGAGCAACGCACTCGGCCTCGACCAGTCTGAGCTGAGCAAGCTGCTTCAGACGACTGACCTGGAGTCCAAGATGGATCAGTTAAAGCGTTTCCCGAATCTTTCCATCGTCAATTCTCCAGTCTCCGCAACGGTGCGAGCTAAACAGCAGGCCCTCAATATCGGGGAGGAGTTTCAGTTTGGGAAGGCAAATGATTTCCACACTGGAGTCAATGCACCAACTCGGTTCGATGCCGAGGTAGGCTCTTGCATCGTTCGAGGGCAAGTCCCACGCGAGATCGACGGTACATTTTATCGAATAACCTGTGACCCCATCTACGCCAATCGAAACGGAAAGGATATCTGGATCAATGGTGATGGTGCGATCCATGCCTGGCGTTTCTCCAACGGTGTCGTCGACTTCAAGCAGAAATATGTACGCACTCCGCGATTCGTCTATGAGCGCGCAGCCCGGAAACCACTGTTTGGGACGTACAGAAACCCATTTGCTGGTGATGAGAGGGTGTTCAATGATATTCAATCTCCTGGGAACACCCATATCCATCACTGGCATGGCTGGCTTCTGGCTTGCAAAGAAGATAGTCCCCCAATCGCCGTGGATCCGGATACTCTGGATACCATAGGTACGTCTTGAACATCCTTTCAAGGCTAGAAGCTCATGTCTTTGTGCAGGCATCTACGACTTCGAGGGGCAGCTGAACCCAGCTAAGACATTCACTGCACACCCGAAAGTTGACGTTGTCACTGGCGAAACCATGGCTTATGGTATGGAAGCATCTGGGATGGCGTGAGTAAAAGCCGTATCCCCCACCTGAGCTTGTTGCTGAATAATCACTAGATCCAATGATCTTGTATACTACCGTTTTAACAAAGAGGGCAAGAAGATCGACGAGTGCTGGGTGAAGACTCCAGATGTCACTTGGACCCATGATATGGTTGCAACGGAGAAGTTGGTTTCCTGAGCTCTATGCTTTGACGCTTGACTGACTTTGGTGTTTAGCTGGGTTATCTTTCACATGAGCAACTACCAAATTGATATGGATCATATGAGGAAGGAGAATGGTACCCATTTCCGCTTGAACAGATTCTTGGTGAGACACTGAAAGCGTTAGAGTAGCGAGAAGTATCTCTGCTAATACCACCAAGCCCAACAGATTTGGTGTTCTCCCGCGTCGAAATCCCAAACCGGAGGACGTGAGGTGGTTCGACAGCCTCAAAAACCACACGTGGGGCCACTTTTCCAACGGCTTCGATGGAGAGGACGGGTGCATATATCTGGATGCATACATTGCTAATGTGGATACACTCAACGCCTTTCCCAATATGCACCCGGAGCTTGACGTTGGGAAGCCAAAGGAAAAGCTAATCGGGAAGCTGGCCCGGTTCAAAATCGACCCCAAGGCTCCTTCAAACGAGTTGGAACTTCCGACTGTACTCAGCGAGGTCGCTGGCGAGATGGCACGTTGTGACGATCGCTTCGCCACTAAGCCTTACAACCACGCCTATGGATGCAGACACTCGCCTACCGGATTCGACGCTATCACCCACGTTGATATTGCAGCTGGCGTTACTAATATCTGGGAAGCAGGTGAAGGCGTTGTTGTCGGTGAACCTTGCTTTATCCCTCGCGGCGAAGATTCTCCTGAAGGTGATGGTTACCTGTTGGTGTGCACGCGGGACGTGGCTCACAAGCAGGCTCATCTGACAGTGCTTGATGCGACACAAATTACCGCTGGCCCCGTGTGTATCGTAGAGCTTCCATTCCAGCTTTGTGAAGGGGTACACGGAAATTGGGTATGCTTGCAGAATATCAGCCTTCTTTGTATGTACGCTCTACTAACGGTGATATCCAACTAGGTTGAGACAAAGGACCTACCAGTCCGCAGACCAATGGTAGACTACTCTGGTATGACCAAGGAGATTCAAGCCAAGTTCGGAACCGGTGCTCCCAAGCCCTACGACGAGTTTATTGGGAAGCCTGTCACCTTGACCCGAGCTGAGGCGGTTCCTAACCCTCGAGTCGCTTGAATCTGAGATGAGCTGTAAGGGAACCCACCTGAATTGTCTAGTTTGAACACTTCGACAAGGATGAAGGCGCCCAAGCTACTAGACGGTGGATAGATTCACTGTTGGGCTTGCGGCTGTGTGTCTACTTAGTCAACAATTGAGAAGCTATTTGGAGAGAGCTTTGATAGAAAGTTAAAACAAAAGAAGATGTCAGACCCAACAACTCAACACAACGAATAAGCATATTCAATACCGGAGAGAGTTTAATTGAGAAGCTATTTGGAGGGGACGTTGCACTTCGATAACCGAGACAGTCAAATTAAAAGCAATCGGCTACCATCTATTTTGGTGCATACAAAAATAGACCATCGTGCCAATAAAAATCGAAGCTATTAAAAAGACTCACCATAGGATTGATCAAATCTTACTCTGTGCGTGGCTTTCTGACCTCTCGACCGCTGTGTGTGCGCTGGCAGTGCTTTGTACGACCATGAAGTCCTCACTTTCGTGCTCTGACCTGACACCCAGCTCAATCACCAACTCGACCTCCTCATCCACATCCACCTCTATTCCTACCTCCTTTGAGTGAGGAAGAGCTTCTTCGGCCGCTACAGCCTCCGCTAGAGCCATGAATCGTCGGTTCGGGTTCTCGCATTTCTTTTCTTCCCTCGCCGCAGCTGGGCAATCTGCTCTTGGGCTCTCGTCTGGGTCACAAAAGTGCTGGTTGGAGAGCTCCGAAAGTCGTCCGATATTGGCGAAGCTTTTAATTGCGACGTTTGAACAAAAAGAAGGCGTTGTTGAGACATTGAGGTTTGTACTTGCATTTAGAGGGACTGCCATCCTATAGGCCTAGCTAACACCTCATAAGCTATTGATAGTTACATAATCCACCAACCAGGGATGAAACCAGGTTGGTAAGATTACGAGCATTTGGGGATAATGCGGTATTAATCTCGGCGTGTATCACTTCAGGCAACAGATTGGCACATGCTTTAAATAGAATCGAGGGATCTCTTACCAAAACTCAGCCTCGCGGTCTTTTATCAGCCCAAACAAAAGAGAACAAACCTTCAGCATGCTGAACTATGGTCAACACTCCTGGCAAGGAGTCAGCGCATAGCCACGTATCAGGCCGCTTGACTTGACGCAGGGGAGGGCTGTGGATCGATCTGCGCCCACGTATTCGCTGCAGGCAGGTGAAACAAGCCAGCGACTGGCTCGTATTGACGTTTTCGTGTCACATCGTCATCTCTGCCCTTTTCTTTCTACCTCCCTTGCTGCACCCTCCGCGTCAGCTCTGTCTCCCAAATCATCTCTGCACCATGAATTGGAAGGGGCTGCTGGTGACAGCCTCATTGGCAGCCATTCTCCCATTCTCAGGGGCGCAGCAGGACACGAACCCATGTCGGCAGGTCGCGAAGCAGCAGGTCGAGGCTCGGGCTGGTGTCAAGCTGGACTACACCAGCGACCAGAAGTTCCTGGTAAGGTTCGACGGCGAGACGGCATACAAATGCATTACTTCTGTGAAGATCGACAATGATGCCGCCTCCACGATGATTGATGTCCTCAAGAGATATTTCTCTTTCCAGAGCTCAATCGCTTACCTCAAGGATCCTCCCAAATCATACCAGCAGCTGCCTGTGGATGTCATGGGCCGGTTCGATGAAATCAAGACCAAGATCGCGAACAAGAACTACACCAACCAGTACGAGCTGGAATTGGACATTCGCAGCATTATTCGCGATGCTCACGATGGCCATTTTACCTATAGCGCTGGTATTCTCGGCCTGTTTACGTGGTCGCTCAACGAGTCAATCGTTTCTGTCTCACCCAACGGCCGGGAACTTCCCCAGGTTTACGCCTACTCTGACATTATCAATGACATACAAAACGCATCACCAATTGTCGAATTCAATGACAAGTCCGTCTTTGCATATCTTCAGACGTACCTTGAAGAGCGCAGTGATCCGACAACCGTTGTTGATCCCCACGCCGCCTGGAACCGATTGATGCAGAGCTCTGCCAGTGTCCTTGGGAAAACAGGCCACAAGCCATCGTCTTCTGTGGCATTCAATCACTTTCAGGCCACCCAGGTTTATAATGGTCCGTCACTCCGTGGGAAATTCGCCAACGGAACCACTTTCGAGTGGGCATACATGGCCGGCTCCAGCACCAATCTGACCAAAGCAAAATTCTTCGACGCCGACGCTATCTATCAGGGACGGGTGCTCAATTCAGAGTATGACGATGACGAGTTTGTGGTAAAGGCCATTGATGAAAGTTCGAAATCGGTTCAGGCCGCCGAGGTCACTTTATCAGCCTCAGCTACTACGTCCAACAAGACCTACGTCGGCTACCCTACCAATCCAGTAGTCACACAGGTCCAATTCGGGCTCGGTGGTGTCGTCTCTGGTTACGTTTTGACGAATGACTCGGTTGGTGTCCTCAGTTTACCAGGCTTTCGCAAAGCAGACGGGGCCAGCCTCGCTTCTTACAGAACAGCGGTGTCGGACTTCATCACAAAGGCCAAGAAGGCCGGCGTGAAAAAGGTCGTCATCGATCTGTCCGGCAATGGAGGAGGACAGCTGCCCCTTGCCTTTGACATCTTCAACATGTTCTTCCCCTCAACCAGGCCATCCCACCTATTCAGAGCTCGTGCCGTGCCTGAACTGCTTACTTACGGACGTTTCGTGACGGGAATCACCATGAACAAGAATAAGCTGTTCAACTCTAGCACGGTCTCTGTAGTCACGGATGAGTACACCAACAACAGAGTTTTCAACGCCGATTATTTCCGCAAACCTGGCAATGCCAAGTGGGCTTCCTTCGATGAATTCTATGGTCCTGTGACGATCCATAACGACTCTTTCACAAACAACGGGCAGTACGAGTACGGCGCTGATGGCTTCAATATTGCCAGACGCGACGACGCCTCGCCACCATTCAAGGCCGAAGATATCGTCCTGCTCACCGATGGTGTTTGCGCCTCTAGTAAGTCTTCACAATCCTTTTTAATAGCCGATTTTTAACATAGTGAAATAGCCTGCTTTGTCTTCGCTAGCTTAATGAAGACCGGTGCCGGTGTAAAGAGCGTTGTCGTCGGCGGAATCCCGCAAAACAGCCCGATGCAGGCCACATCAGGCACTCGAGGCAGCAACGTGCGTGATCTCTCCTTCATCAGTGATTCGACTGAAATGGTGCGCAACTTCGCCCACGGCTTTACCGACAAACAGATGAAGGGCCTCAACATCACGAGTGAGGATCTCTCAAACCTGCTCCCGCCTCTGGATAAGGCGCCCTTTGTCGTCGGCAGCAGTGCTGGGGTTAATATTCTCGACACTGTCTTTCCCAGCAGTCCCGAGACACCCCGCCAGTTTGTCTATGAAGCTGCAAACTGCCGTTTATTCTGGACCCGTGATATGGTCCGCGATATCACGCGACTATGGAGCACTGCGGCCAAGTACGCCAGTGGTGATGAGTCGGTCTGCGTCTCCGGCTCAGTCGATGGGCCCGGATCTCGGGTTAATGATACCATCACTGATAGTCCTGGCTTTTCGTACTCTACAATATGGCAGAATGTGAATCAGACAAATATCAGCAAGGCGGATAACTCTCCAAACAGTAACAGTGGTGGGGGGGATCAGAACCAGAAAGACGACGATTCATCAGGGCATCTCCTTCAGCTCACTCCAATCAGTCTCGTTGTCATGACACTCACCCTTTTGCTGGCTATTTGAGACGAGCACAATATTTCCCTGTGCTCCAAATCTCTCCAGACTCAATAAGTCGCTGATTGGTTCTGCGTTACTTTGAGACCCAACCCCGATTTCTCCCATAGTAAAGAAAGAATGCCACCATATTGGACTAGCTGGCCAAATGGCAGTTCTTTGAACGTTGAAATTATATAGATAGATCTATTATACCACCTCCGTTGCGTTTAATCAATGCATATAGAATATATAACCTAGGAACAAATCTAGTAATATTGTTTCTTCTTCCGGTCTCTTACTTAGCTTAAGAACTAAGTCTTCGGCAACCTATCTGTTATCCTGTATTCTTTTGAATAGTCACTTTCATGCTCTTAATTATTTTCCCCTATATCCATATAGCGTGGCCATGGTGCATTTTATTGCTCTGCTGGTGAGCGCTAGGCAAACCCCATTCAACAGTACACGACTTGTCGATGGAAACCTGCTGGCCCATCACCCTCCATAACTCCCAACTGAATAGCTTGCAGATACGCATTTGGACCATCCTCGTGGGACATCAATTCACCTTGTTTCTGACTCTCTGAAATCAAATTTCTGCCTCGAACAAACATGGCCTCCTCGTATTTTCGGACAGCTTGGTACAGACCCTCAACCCCATGGGAAGCGATCTCGGACACAAGGGTAAGAGCATCCACCATGGCGCAGTTAACCCCTTCGTTCACATACGGAGTCGAAGCGTGGGCAGCATCGCCTGCTAGTGTCAGGCCTGGAACAGATTCCCAGCCCAGGGCATCGGGCGGGAAGTAATAAAGCGGTCGAATATGAAATTTCTCGCAATTTTCGATCACCTTCTTCAGCTTCACATCCCATCCTCCGAAAAATTCTTTGGAGAGAAGGAGCCGGCGGATATTCGAGAGGTCCGTTAGGTCGGGCGATACCAAGAGAAAGTCTTCTGGAACAGAGATACCAAGGTATAGTCGATAGGACCCATCACCTAGCCGCTGGATGATCACTTGCTTTGCACCGTCTAGAATTGCGGTGTCGTTGGTGCCGAATTCGGTCATGATGTACTGATACATGGCATTCTTGGGATCTATCCTCGATTCGATGAAGTATCTGCCTGAATATCGTGGCTTGCATGAAGTAATCTATCGCTGTTAGGTCTCATAAAGTAGATAGAGTATCTTTCATTTGCTTACCGATTGACGCACTCCGCTCCATATACCATCTGCGCCAACGACAAGATCAAATCCAGCTGCTGTTAATCCATTTGCGAATTTCAAGACCGGTTTACGCTTGGGACCCAATTCCACACAACTGACTCGATGACCCCAATGGATCTTCCCTTTTGGTAATGATTGCAAAAGCATTCGTTTCAGTACCAGTTGGTCGATCTGAGGTGGCCCTTGACCTAAATGCTCGTCGTCGCCACCGACGTCAGCCCACTTCTTTCCATGTCTATCATAGATCGCCAGCTTGTCGTCTCCCAACTTTGCGGATTTAAGGAATTCATCTAACAAGTTGGCCTCTCGTAGCGCTCGCTGCCCAGTGTCCTTGTATATGTCGACAGAACCACCCCCGCACTCAAGATGCTTGTCCTCTTCCCCCTTTTCGAAAAGAGCGAAATCGATTCCTCTACATTCCAACAGTCGGGAAATTGTCAGGCCGCAAAGACCTGCACCGATAATTGCAATCCTAGGACTCATTTTGTGCTGTTGTCGAGGTTGAAATTTGGGTCCTGCAGCATCGTTGAAGTTGCACTGAATATGGGGTTGAGTGAGGGGTCGGGTAGAGTAACTGAACGTTGAATCATTTATCCATTCGGGGAATATGTAATTCTGACCTCAGCTAGCACTTTTAGTTCACATATTTGCCGAATTTGCCACAGCCCTGATGGGTGCCAGACATTCAACTTGTCGATCTTCCGTTTGATAGCCAGATCGGAAGTCCGCCCCTACTCGTTAGCCAAACTCTGCTCCAGCAGCTGTAATTTCCTTCAAATAGCCAGTCAATCAGTGTAAGGCAATCGAATTACCTCATTACAATGCAATTTTTCTTTCGGGAATCCAGACTATTAGCTCCCTTCGACAATTCAGCCACACCAAAGCGAGTTTTCCATCGCCAAACCTAATGTAGCTTCGGGCTAAGATTTCAGACAAGCTTGGCGTCATTGATCATTTAGCGTTTTCTTGACAATACCGAAAGTTGCTGACCACGTAGAAATATCGATGACGTATTTATAACTCTTCTCCAGCTCAAGGGGTGTCTGGAACGCGGTATCGTTCCATGACCTGGATGAATATGTAAGACGGTACTGATGGTGTCTAAGCTTTAAAACCATCAAACTGCTGGAATTTGAAAACTTCAAAGGGAGCTATACGAAACAGTTGAACCAAACTTAGTGTGGTGGATTTTACTGTGTCTTTCTCATTGAGATGTGGTTTCAAATTGGTCTTTCAAAGATTACAGTATTCCCATGAACTGCTGTTTGTCCATGTCGAAGGTCTGGCTCGCTCTCCGATTGGCGCTTTTAAACTGTACCTCGGTTAATCTCACGAGAGAGATTTAGGCAAGAAAATGAACGTCGGTGACGGCTATTATTTCAATCAGGGGGTAATGAGGTACGACTATGAGAACAGCCTCACAAAAGCATTCTGACGCTATGAGCCTTGCATATGGATCTCTCTATTACATGCCATAACGGAGAGAGTTTTTGACAGAAAGTTAAAACAAAAGAAGATGTCAGACCCAACAACTCAACACATTACATGCCATAGCCCTTTCTGTACTTCTTATCGCCCTCGAGGCGGAATTCGTCCAGGAACTCTTCGACGTTTGGCATGTACGGATCGTTATAAAGGTGCCCTTTCCCGACACCGGTGTTGCCCACTTTGCAAAACTTCTCCAACAGGACATGCTTGTCCGACACTGCCGCTTTCATTTCATTCAGATGGTCCTTTACGGTTTGTAAACGCGGTTTCAGAGCCCGCGTTTGTGGGTTATTTTTTGCCTCAGACTTGTTAGCGTAGTAACTCCTACCAGGATTCGCCAGGCCATCGCCAGTGATTGTGAGCGAGGCAATCCCTGCAGCGAGCACTGTAGCAACCGAGCTTCCAGATATGCTTTGAGCGAGTTAGCACCAAGTATCACGTCCGGTGAAAGTTCCATGTGACCAGAGCCAGAGATTGACGACTTTCTGGAGGTATGTGACAGTACTGCAGACAGTGCTGGGTGGTCGCTGGAGAGAGGGTTGCAACTCACGTCTCTGTTGACTTGACAAAGGGCACTACACCGGCTTGAACATCCTTACCCGCAATCTGATACGTGTAGCTGTTAGGGTCGGCGTCTCTTAACAGTTGGCCGAATTCGTCACAAGCAGCGAGAACGATGAGATTCCCGCAATCTTCCTTTGCCTGCGTAAGCAAAGAAGCTGGCCAGGCCTTATGGACTTTGGATCCCTCATCATGCGTGCTGCATAAGGTGACAACTTCATTTTCAGTGGCCTTCATCACAGCGTTTTGTAGTTTCTTATCCGGATCGCTATCCACTACGAAGCTCATAGAGATAACATCGACCTTGCAGTCATCAACTGCCCAATCAATTGCCTGACAAATATACAATGTCAGCAGAGAGCGGCGAGGCTGTAAAGAAGGTAGTGGATGCGCCGAAGCGGGTTTGATAGTATACGAGTTTGCCATGGGGAAAATATCACACCTTTGCGACGCTCGCGGCGTTGATGCCAACTGTCGTCTCCGCGACTCTAGCCACATACAGATCACAGTAGGGATCCAGTGCGCAGATGAGATTTGCCATTTGCGTCCCGTGCGCATCCGATGGGAACTGCCAGGGATTGAACCGTGAGCTGCTCTCCACAAAGGACTTTCCGCCCCTGATGCGATACCACAGGCCTTGCTTGTCTCCATTGGTCTTTTGCTTTGGGTTGCTCGATAATGGAGCTTCCCTGGTCGACTGTGGGCTTTGTGTACTTTTGACCTTTTCAGAAGTCGTTTCATTCTCGTTGAGACCGTCCTCTATCACACTAGGTAGAGATTGAGAAGCTTGCAACACGGGAGGAACGCACAGAATACCGTTGTCGAGGATAGCTACTTTGGTTCGCTTGAATTGACCTGAACGTATGCCTTCATAGACTTTGCCACTCAAATCTTGGACCAATTTGGCCAGTCGAGGCGATAGGTATTGGGTTCTAGCGATTGGAAGTCAGCTCTGGAAAAAGTTGGGCGATCACGTCGGAACGACAGAACGTCCGACAGTGTCGTGTACGAGGGAAGTGACTTGCATCTGGTTAGGTCCGCCACGGCTGGAGTCGAGTACCATGGCGTTTCATTAGGAACGGTCATGATGAGATGCTTCTTCTTATCATCACTGACTCTTCTATTACGAATGGCAGTGATTCCACGTTGGATGCTGCTAAGCGCTCTTTGGACCTGCGTTCTTGTGCATGTTTCCTAAAGCCAAGAGGGTTGTCAGCAAAATACGGCGAGGTTGATTCGAGAACATGCTTACACGAACGACATGTATGCGAAGCTTCTTAAGCTAATAGTTGTTTCCACGCAGGTCAGAAAATAATCAGAACCGCTAAATACCATAGCGAGGTAGTCGACAGTACCAGAGGCAGTTGAGATAGATGAACAAATAACTCGCAGAGAAAGCATAGGGCACGGGATCTGGGAGGACATTGCATTATCCGATTAACACGGACTTACATTCTTCAAGCTCTCGATACCTTGCGGGCTGAGCCAGTGGTCAAGGACTGACTGCTTGCCGCTAGAGTAAATATGCAACTCTCGAATCTCGCTGTTCTGAAACTCCTTCTTGCTTACGCCTGAGGGATTCTTCATGGGTGGGTCACGCAAATTTGTAAAACTCAGGTCGAGAACTCTCCAGTCCAGTTTTTCAACGCCGAACGCCTTCAACCACCAGGCCATCTCAACATCGTCATGCGGATTGATCAAGCGGTCGGGCACGATAAGCTCGATAATCTTGTCGACCCTTTTCTTCTCCAGCCAGCGAAGGACTTCAAAGACCTCTCGATGGGGTTTTCTCAGATTTGCATTGTCCTGGTACATCTCCCTACCTGCCGGCTTGACGTCAAACTGCGGGAAGGCCACGTACTTGAGTGTTTTTTCGAAGCGGATAATATCCTGTCCGCCTTGCTCTTCCTGAAAGAATATTGAGTCGATGAAGTCGGAAGCACTGTAGTTATCAGAGCTGAAAGATGAGATATCAAAGCAAAGCTCGTTAACTGGAGATATGTTAGATTGTACCATGGGTAGACTCGAACGAATGCTTGCTCCGGAAACCTAGAAGGAAGCACTCACAAGGCTCTATTTAATGGAGGAAGAATTAGTATGAAGATGAATCTAGGTGCAAAGAGTGTGTCGACGTACCATGTGATCTGTGAAGGATATCAGATAACTTGTCAATTGGTAGTTCACGAGTCATCTTGTCGACCAGAAAATCGCGAATATCGCCCCGGACCTTATCAGGCTTGCTCTTACGCAACACGAATTTCAGTTCATTCCCTGTAGACCTTTCTCGCCTGTGATTGTTATACCAAAGAGGGAACCTGTCATCTCCATCCGACACGCCATTCACCCCAGGGACACCATCGTCCGCAGGAAGCTTCACAGCTACTCCAAGAGCCTGGGGATCCTCTTCGACAAACAGCTTGATAAATTTCAGGCTTCCATAAAGAACGGCCGTAGCGAGAAGACACACTTTGGTCGTGTTATCAAGAATGTTCTTATTGACTACATTCCAAACAGACGTCAAATTCCCCCTGATGATGTACCTGATAATCTCATGATCAAGAACACCCTTGGTGGCTTTGGCAACAAGATATTCCAAGATGTTTAATCCTGCGTCGCTTGCTTTTGAAGATTGTCCTGCTGTGCTGCCAGGGAGCTGTTTAGATGTTTCATAGTTCTCCAGAGCGCTCTTCAAGCAACTCGTGGACACAGGCACCTCACGCTTGAGAAACGCTTTAACGGCAGTGTCGAGATTTTTCCTAAGCGCTATATCAAACGCTTCGTCGGGCGCTCCTTGATCGCTTGAGATTGCAATTCCCGTGACGGTCAGCAGTTCTTCCAGAGTCTTAAGCTTTGCCGCCTCAGAAGTCTCGAAATCCTCAGAATTCTCAAGGGCCAGACGACAAATTGATTCGTTTTGAGCATAGCCTTTCACCACACTTAAAAGGTTGAGATCATCCAACTTGATTTTGCGCCCTTCAAGGTAGCGCAGCTGGTCCGGATTGTTCTCGAGATCCTTCTTGATATCCTGACCGAGATGGATATCAGAATCCTCCATGGGACGCTGCAAGAGAACTTTCTGGTCAAGGACGACTCGGATCCTATCTAGCATGAGCTTGACGAGCTCGTGGTCACCCTTACTGACCGCTAAGTGGAAGGGAATGGACGTGTCGGGATAGAGAGCATGTTGGCTTTTGTGTGAACATTGCTCTTGGAGCCAGCAACCCTTGCCCGTGTTGTACTTGCGCATGAAGGCTAACACGGGCCAGTGTTCAACAATCGTCTTGCAAAGCATTTGAGCGATATCTTTTCTTCCATCGAACCCTTTCCTCAACGCGCCACGGGGGAGGGCCAACCGGAGACAGTGATCCATCTGGTTCATAACTTTATCCTCGCCATTGTCCTGTTTATCGCCACACCTGCGATCCAACGAGATCGTATCTGCCTGGGCGGTACCATATTTGAGAAATTGGGTGACAGCGTCTTTGAACTGTTCACGGTCTTCTTTGTACTGGCTTCTAATCTTGTCTGCGATGAACCTGAATATTTGTGGTTCAGTGGTATCAATGTCGTCACTTTTGAGTCAAGCTGAGAACTTGAAGGCAATGAAAGCTAGGGATGTCGGTCACAACTTTATAGAAACTGTCACATCTTTGGCCAGCAGTTTTTTAGGTTTCAAGGATAACGTGTTCAGGTGCCTAGCTGACACCCAAACAACACAACAGTAATGTATCTGTCCAGAGACGGATGAGGTACTCGTACAAGCGGCTAAGTGCGGCAGCAAAGGAGGATGAATGGTTCTCCCCTCTAATACTTGACTTCCCCATGATCTACATTTTCAACAGAACCTCGTATAAAGTACTTTTAAGTACCTCCCCTGCTTACACTTGCATCAGCTGCCATGCAAGAGGTCTGTATTGCACTACGCTAGTCGGCATTACAGACAGCTTACATGTACCTATGCATCGAAACTCGCGTCCACTGACACAACAAGACAGGGGTCGGTCAAATAGGAGGGTGGGTAGCTGGGAAATCCCCATGTTTTCGTAAATATTACTCTCGTTTTTTTTGTTGCTGTTGCTGGTGTTGCTGTTGCTCCACATGGGCATCTGAATTCGACACACTCCCACCTGAATGGAAAGCGAACGTAGCTCTCACACGCTTACAGCAGTACGGTATCGCACTGTCGTGTAGAGACTCAAAAGCATATGAATTCATTGGCATGAATATGGAGACTGACCAGCCTAAACTTCTCGATGGGGGATCACCCACTGATCATGGAGCCAATCTAGAACAGCCCTCAAGCTCGACTAGATCCGGAGAGGCCACGAGTGAGCGATGGTCTCGCCCGGGTGAAGATCCTTCCACTGAAGCTGAGCCTCCAAGGGCTGACAAAGATACATCCGTAGATATTGTATCAGGTATCCTTACATCTGTCGACGAGCAAAATGTCCAGGCAAACTTGCCAAATGCCGAAGAAGTGTTGATGGATCCAACAGACACCCATGACAATGAGTCTGATCGCCGCGATGGCTCGACCAGGCTGGAAGCACTCCTATCATCACCCACACCGGAGCATGGATCCGCTTCTCTGTGGGCGGCTGCTTACAGCTCCTTGCATGAGGAAGATTCGAAACTTGTTGATGATTTCGAGTTGACCGTCTCTGGCTGGCTAGCCGCGAAGGGGTACAAAGATCTCTCAAATCTAAGGGATCATGGCTCTAATTCTACGAGAATTTACAAGAGATTCTTGAAGGGCCCGCTCTATATTGTATTCACAGACTTCTTGGATGGCTTTCGTGCGCCCCAAAGAATGATGTCTGAGTCACCACCTACGATCAAGCGGTCAGTAGAGGAAGCACCAAGTTCGCTGGCTGAAACGTCTTCGCTGCAAGACGGACGTATCCTTGGAGACGCTTATAATGAAGAAAAGAGCTCGGAACCGTCAGACCATGGGAGGAAGCCGTCGGAACCAGACCAACCTTCACCGTCCCAGACCAGAGATAGACAAGTCTCGACACCGCCTGGTATTGACGAACCGGGCTCTGGGCCAGACGATGCCCAGGCCTTAAAACATATATTCCGAAGCGCACTGCAGTCTTGCCCACATGCCTGCTTGACTTGGACGGTGTCCTATATTCTCTTGGAGGTATTACATGTCCCGTTATTCTCTTGGTCTCCGACATCTAGTAGCAATACTGATAATTCTATCGCCTGCAGAGCTTAGCGGCTCGGAGACCACGAACATCTAAAGCTCGCTCATACCACCTGGCTATCACCGAGATCATCGGCAAGGTCCAGTCATACTCCCAGCTTTTCAAGCTGCTGTGGTGGACAGACGAAGCGAAACAGCAGAAATTGACTGAAGGTCACCGCGTGAAAGCGTTAACCGACTTGTACAAGTCCGTTTTGTCATTTCTACTACGTGCAGCCACACACTGCATCCCAGAAAGCCCCAGTTATCATCCAGACTTTGAAGAGTCGACTCTAAGTCCCTTTCCTGACGAGAGACACTTTTTCAAAATTTTCGATGGATCTCCTCTAACGCATCGCCTCGAAGTGGCTCTAGACCTTGAAATGGGCCAGGAACCTGACATATCTGAGGACAGTGACATTGACAGAGCTATTGCAAAGCTACACATCGACCGGCTGCCTGCTACACTCCCGGACTCTAGCCAAAGTCACATGCTTAGAAGCGTGTGGGACTGGGCCAGCGATAGTAGCCAATTCAAGGCATTCTTTGACTGGACTGACAACCTGCGATGTCGCGTATTGTGGGTTGAAGGCATACCAGGCACAGGAAAGTCGATGCTTCTGAGGACAGCCGTCGACTTTCTTGCAACAGCTGATTCAGCCCACGCCGAAACCAAACGACAGGTCATATCATTTTTCTGTGACGACACAAAATGGCGGCAAGGAACTGTCCTGAGCGCCGTGAAAACTTTGATTTCTGGCTTGCTAGTCAATCAGCCCGAACTGCTTAAGCACCTATATCCTGTTCTCCATGAGGCCGTAGATCTGAGGGCAGAGGACTCGGCTCCATTGCTCTGCAAAGTGCTGCTCCGCATGGTCCAGGACAAACAGTTCTGTTCAACCTATGTAATACTCGATGGACTGGAGCAATTCACTCTAGACATAGACCAGCGCGTGCAAGCAAGAAACATTGGGGGAAACCAAGCAATTCATCATGACGGACATGCCGTGCAAGTTTTGAAGGGTCTAATCGCCGCAACGATCAAACTCTCCGATCGGATCAAGTGGCTCGTATCAAGTGAGCCAAGATACTGCAATACCGCGTTGAACTTGGGATCGGGCCTGGCGAATGACGGTCTCGAGCAGCGTCTGTCCTTGAGCGTAGGGATGTCCGAGCTAGTCCAGCGAAATGCCACCCAACGCATCACAAGTTTGATCGACGAGCCAGACGTCAACGGTCCGATCACGAGTCGAGCTTCTCAGCTCCTCGAGGACGTACCAACTAACTTTCTCTGGATCAACCTGGCTCTGGATATGCTTCGCACGTGTTCTACGCCTTGGAGTCTGCCGGACGTGCTCCACGATTTTGTCGAGCAATTCGGAACTGTGGATAAACTTTATCAAAGAAACTTCGGGCTCGTCAGTCTTCAGCACCCAACAGATCAGTCCTACTGCGAGAAGCTATTGTACACTGCCGCTGCAGCCTACCGCCCCTTGCTCATCTCCGAGCTGGTGGCCATCATCAAGCTGCCAGAAGAAGTACAAATCTCAATCCTAATCAGCAAGCTACTGCCTGCTTTTCTCGAGATCAGCGAGGACAGGGTCTACTTCAAACATCTTTCTTCCCGCATTTTTGTTCAAAATGAAATGAAGAAAGATCTTAACATCATCTGTATACGTCACCACATCCCAACAAAACACTGTAAAGATTGTAACATCGCCTTTAAGCATCACCGCATCCTAGCAGAACACTCTCTCAAGACTATTCTTAGTAGTGTTGGCTGTACACACAGTGAGGTGAACTCTGAAGCATGCACAGCCGAGCCAGGGACGGGGTCTGAGTACTCGTGGTCAATCTGGCCAAGGCACTTGAGTGAACTGTATAGCAACGTTGCCGAGGCTGCAGCAGTCATTCATCTCGCAGAGCATCTCTCGACCATCCATCTTATCAGATGGCTGCAGCATCTGGCTAATAAGGAGCTCTTACACGAGGCCGTATCGGAAATGTTTTGTCTTGCTAACGAAGCGAGAAGTGCTTTGTTCACAGATACGCATGCTCTGATGTCTGTGTATTATGACGAATGGTTGAGTCAAGTGAACTCGATGACGGGGAATCCCACTCAGGCTGCTGAAGAGAGAGTGAAGCGCGAGTTGCTGTTTTCTGACGAGTATCCCGTTCTGGGTGGAATATTGAGGCCACTTCTATTCCCTCATCTGAAAAGCTTGTTCCAGACCGGATCATCTGCGTCACCTCTGCGCCAACTTGTTCACAGCGATTGGGTTCGCGGCTGTTGCTTCTCTCCAGACGGAGAATTGGTGGTTTCTGTCTCCGACGAGGCGTACATCAGGCTCTGGGACACACGATCCTGGAAACTGCAGGACATCATGGGTAAGTATGACGAATATGCTCTTGGAGCTGTTATGTCTCCGGTGCCCGAAAGTGCCCCCGGGAACTTCTGGTTGGCGGCTTTCGACAGGAAGCACATCCGTGTATGGAACGTGGGTACTGGCGCCTTAGTGAAGACTCTATCTTACGCCGATGTAAACAGCAAGGGTGACTCTTCAGACTTTTCAGACTGCGACATTGAAAGCATTGCCCTCGCTCCTCAAGGGGATCTTCTGGCTGCTGTTATGGGTGGGAAGTTAGTACTCTGGTCGCTCCCTGAGGCATCAGATGGCAGAGTACTCGACAAAGGCGTCAACTCCCCATTGAGGCGCATCGTATTCGCACCGAGCAAGAGGCTTCTTGCTGCCAGCTTTTCGGACAAGATCAGGGTTTGGGATCTGGAAGATGGTGCCGGTCGTCTCGTGTGCTCTCTGCCCAAAGAGGCAAAGGTCGATCCCCCTGAGAACGAGCCGGTTGGTGAAACAACCTTCCCAGAAGACCCCGCAAAGACTGAAGATACTGGAAACGTCCTAAATACTGGTGAAGCGACCACTGAATTGGTAGAGCTCTCGAGTGATCTTGGTCCCAACGGCACTGGCCATTCGGCCTACATCGACGGGCTTGCTTTCTCTCCCAACTCCAAGCTTCTCGTCTCAGGATCTGACGACACAACAGCACGGATCTGGGATCTTGGGGAGGGCAGATCGATATGCACCTTAAGTTTTGACTCATCTCAGATCAACAGCGTTGGCTTCTCCCATGACGGCCGGCGTCTGGTCACAGGCTCGCAAAACGGCAGCATGGCTATCTGGGCGCCATCATTGCCGGATGGCTGGGAGGCCCTTAAGGCTCGAGAATACCCGGAACAAGTGTTTTTCGAGCATGACCGCGGTGTATCTATGCTCTCATTTAGCCCTCATAAGCAAAACGGCGACCTGATAGCATCCTCTTCTTACGACAGTCGTTTACAGATATGCCGACTCAACAAAATTGACAATGACTCGGACGCAGGCGGGCCAGAGTCGTCAGGTACCCAAGTGAAAGGACACCGAGAGCCAGTGGTATCAGTGGCCGTGTCTGATTCCGGGAACTTGATTGCGGCTGCCTCGCGATCTGGCCACATCTTGCTCTGGACAATGGTCTCTGAGCGCGGCCAGTGCTCGATCGTTCCGCGCAGCAATGGGACAGAATTTCATCACAATGCTTACGTATCCATGATGAGATTTTCACCCGACGAAAAGATGCTGGCTACGGGAGGAAGTGACGGTAGGGCTATCGTCTGGGTCATCTCGGCAAATGGGATGACTCCAACGCTGCTGTTGGAGCACAGCGACTATGTGCAGGCGATCCAGTTCAATCCCAATGGGCAGATGCTTGCCACGGGCGAGGACGATGGCACAGTACGGCTCTTTTCCCTTCCCGATGGGCTAGCCGATGGCAACTCCGAACCGCTCAACCAACACCCTCCCAAGCAAGACTCAGTTGCCCCCGATGTTGAACCTGACGAGCGTAGGGAACCTCCGCAACCCTCAGATTCCCCAACTGGATCCAGACCTTTTCCTTGGAAACCGACGAGAACCTTCAAGGGGCACACAGACTTCGTTCGGGGTGTCGCCTTCTCTCCAGACTCAAAGACATTGGCCTCGTGTGGCCACGACGAGCACGTCCTGATATGGTCGATAGAAGAGGAAGAAGTCGAGAAAGCACTTTTGCACGACATGTATGACAGTAATCAGGGCTTTGGAAGGCTATACAGCGTCGTGTTCGTTAAGGATAACACCAAGGTCTTGTCGTGCTCGCATGGTGGAAAGATTGCCCTCTGGGACCTAGAAGCGAAGGAGGGTGCCTGGTGTCGTGTACTGCAGCAAGACGACGTGGATGCCTACAGATCGATGCGCATCGACCCCGGGTTGCCAAACTTCTTTTTCACCGAGGTCGGCGCAGTGCGATATAGCCTTGATGATGGGGAAGGGGCCGACGAGCGTTCGTCTGAGGACTACGATCGTCCTCCTGGTTGGCCTCTACTGCGTACCGACTGGCAGACGAGCGAGATTTTCTGGGGCAAGGGGGAGAATGAAGAAAAGATCACTGTGCCCCCTTGGCTAAGACTTCGGGGCCCTGCTCTCTGCTACTACGTTCCTCGCAACAAAGTCATTGTGGGATGCCTTACGGGCCAGATCCTAGTTTTTGAATTCAACGACGATACTAGGCTGTCCTTAAATGAGCGGGGTGCCGAGAGGGAAGGTCTCGAAGCACATGGACATTGTCAGGGCCCAGACCAGCAGATGGAGGTGCCCTCTGAAGTTGCAGGAATTGACAAGGAAGATGCAGAACATGTTGAAGAAGTCTAAGGACGGGATAAAGCATTTATATGTTCACTAGGGAAGGCATGGTTCTCAATAGCAGAGGCCTAGTTAGGGAACGCCTACCTGCCTTACACCATAATATATTTGACGATGATGAAAAGTCAAAGCAAGAACTTAAGCCTTGATTAAGTATTTGGGGAAAGTCGAGTTTAAGAGACGTCACATTAAATTTCATGACCCTATCATAAACGCGTATGCCGAAATGCTGTGGTGCAGGATACCAAATGCGTCAGATCTAAGAGATATTCGATTCTCCTAGGTACAGAGGAAAACGTCGCGTATATAAGCAGTGTTCAAACAGTCGTCATTTGCTCACGGGGCCATCATGAACAAACAGCACGAAAAGATCATTCCTGAGATTAGGCAAGTGTCATTATGCCTGTAATTTTAATGGTTTACATATTTACCCAACCAGGGATGGCTTTTGAGAGCAACTGGTCGGTGACTTTCATCCCTTCAACGTCTGCATTGGAATCTATTGTCTGAGACAATAGCGCCAGCCATGCTGTCACAAGATGATCTCGATCAAGAATTAGACATTTTCCACGTTTTCAAGGAGTAGTCACATGACGAACCAAAGTTTTGATAAAACTACATCCCAAGGTTATCATGGACGTTGACGCCAAATATTTTTTATTACGCGTGAATTGTAGTGACTCTATATACGAAGATATTTATTCGTTGAATAGCAGAGATGTTGGTACTGCCAGGATGATACAAGAAAGGCCACATGACACATCATGCTCATTCTTTAGCAAGCCCCTCTACAACCTCAGCTGACACTCCTGACTGTCTTAATAGCCCTTGGCACCGATCCTTGATTTTGAACATGATCTGATATCTGGCGAGGACCTCTTAATCTGTGATAGGCGCGCTGTCTCAGTTGGGAATGTTGCACCAACGACAATATGCCACCCTTTCAGAAGTACCCAGCCAAACCAATCACCCATTCTGACCTTTTATGCGCAGAGTCACATCTTTTCGAAAAGATAAAGCTCTTCGTCTCTTCCATCTGTCTCATTAACATCACCTTCGTCTTCCTGCCGTTAGCTACTTAGCCTCCAGGTTATATACCATCTCTCTCAACTTGAGTTGAGTGTTCATCTACTAGCATTGATCACGGGAATTTATTGTTGTTCTTCTCCTCTTAAGATGCTTTTCTCAAATATAATATTGGCTGCACTCATGGGTATTGGCTGCGCAGTGGCAAGCCCGCTAGGAGCCAACGATGGTCCCCCTGATTTCTTCGATTTCTTCAAGCCTTCTAAAGTAGGGTTATACAACACTGGCACGGGCTCTATCGCTCCTGCTCCGGCTGGTGTGGTGTCCAAATTCCCTGGCGATAGGGGTCAAGATACCACCACGCTCGTGACTTTTACGTATCCACCCGAGGTGGCCGGGAAGAAATGCTTTTTTGCGTTCTATCTTGATTCCACGGCTTCAGTGAGCGGAAGCGGTAAAATTGACCTCTTCTCGAGCCTCGGTCCTGCTCCAGATTTCGCCTCAGGGTGGCCGCCTGGCAATCAGCGCGATCAACATATTGGGCGTCTTTCAGCTTGCTTGGGGGATTATGCCCGCTGGGATGCTACATATGGCAGCTATCTGACTGAGGAAACCGATTGCAAGGTTCCCGGTACAGTTGAGGCCTATGAACTTGTTGGGGTGTATGACGATGACTTCGTTTCATGGAATCCATCAGTGGCAGGGTTGGAAATCCACTATAATTAGTTCGCACTGTTATACATCCCTAAACTAAATGATATTTGGAGGCTTCAGATCTTTCTGTTCTCTGCCTCCCACTATCTTCTTGATAGCATTCTTGCTTTGATAGGTATGGCGCGAAAGTTTTTCAAAAAACATAGAGTTTGTCTCATGGCAGAGAACTAAATGTAAGGACTCCTCTTGCTGTTGTGTGGTAACAAGCATAGGCTCGGGTTATACATTACAATGAAGACGGAAAAAAAACTGAAAAACCACCCATCGCGATAACAAAAGATGCTGAGAAGTGGCATACAAACTAGCCACAGGGATGAGAAAACTCAGCCTAGTGATTATAGACAAGACCCCAAGTCCTTCCTGAAAGCTAAGAAAGAGAGACCTGATTCTTTCACTTCATATTACCTAAGTACCAATTGCTCCTTCCAGAAGATCGAGAAATCCATACTGATTGTCAACCCCAACCCCCCGAGAGTGATATATGCGAACCTGCTTCCCTGTGCGATTGAGACTCTTGAACTTTTCCGTGATGAAATCCAAGGCGGCTTGGTCATTTATGCCCTTGTATTGGCCATACACCTCGGAAAGAGGGCGTATTTCCAGCTTCTTCCAAAAGGCGGCCAAATTCGACAATACCAGCACAACTGGTGTGTGTCTCAACCAGTTAGAGTTGATTATAGAGTCAAACAAGAGTAAAGACTCGTCAAGAGGCCTGCATTCGTCCTCAAGAGCCACGTCGTATCGTGATGGATCCGCAACAAAAACCAATGCGGCAAGGTCCTCGAAGACGTGCACCCATCTCTTCCTTTCGGCACGGTTGTAAAGGTCGATGAAGTTCAAGATTTTGTCGCCTTCCTCGATTTGTATTTCTCGGACAAATACTCCGTGGTAAGGCTTCTCGAAATGAAACCAGTCATGCTCGGTGGCGCGATAACCGGGTGAGAACACGCGCTCCAGAACTTCCATGATATCGTGATCATCTGTGCATATGCAGGCCAGAAATGAAGGGCATTTATCATCAAGGACCAGGCGCTGAACAGCTGGAAAACTGATTCGGTGGGCGTCGAGCTGGTCGTTGAACTTGGATCCCCGAGCAATTTGGAGGACCAGCTCTGCTGCCGCTGCCTCATCATACTCCATGAAAGAGTCAATCTCGTGAAGTAGCTCCCTGATTGAAGCTATGGCGTCTTCATTTAGCCGGATATCTGAGGCTTCGCTCCCCTCCAGTTCGTCAAGGGCCACTTTTAGACAACGGATTGCCACATCCAGCACGGTCTTCTTGACGTCCGCGCAGAGGGGACCCTGCTCATCCAGCCGCAGTGGGTGCACCCTCAATCGCATCTGCTTCCACAGTATACGTTTCTGCTCACACGAGCCAATCGCTATGATGTTGAGGCGGCGTTTGCGCTCCTCCCGCTCAGTATCCAGGTACTTGTCAATGGCGAGAGATCGGCGCTGGCTCTCCACCTCGTCATCGCTGTCATCGACGCCCGAGCACAGGACGTTCTCCGGGAGCGCCCGAGAAAATAAGCCTCCGTAGATCGAGGATAGACTGGCATTCCGCCTGTGTTTAGCGCCCCTAATCAGTCCACTTTCGTCTGAGCTAAGGGGCTTGGGAGATGAAGCGCCGCGCGCCTGAGCTTTGCGATACCGCATATCGTGTGCTGGAGGTCGGGGAATTGAGGCTGGTGTTGCGGTTTCCCTTGGTTATCACGCACGGTGGCTCAGCCAGCCCCTGGATCTTGCGTTGGCAAAGGTTGAAAAGATGGCCAGGTGTCAGATCCTTCACCGATTGAAGCCTAGGTGGGTTTCACGTGTGCCTTGAGGCTGAACCTGAACCGGGGTCTGGAGATGCGATTACCCTGCATCCACCTCATACCCCATATTGTTGCCAAGAAAATCCCCCAGACATTCGATTCCTTTCTGAGCGGGGTAGCTGGAGAGCAGTGTGCTTATTTCAATCGTCTTAGCGAGCTGGTTGCACATGAATAAGTCTCTCCGTTAGGGAGTTGTCAATCTCACGGCCTCACGTGCCCAGAGACCCAATGGCAGGTTCATGTGAGGAGAAAACTGGATCTAAGTTGATGTCATCTCAGCTGGCTCAGAGAAATGAAAATCAATATTCTTGGATAATCTTCTCATGAATCTGGTGTTGCCATGCAAATGAAAGCTCCTGGACCTGAATGAAAACGGGACCCTTAAATCTACCTACACAACGTATGGAAGGCACGTTACTCGTAATTATATAAAAGCAAATCCCTAAATCTATAAAAGATAAATTAGCTTGTACCTTCTGAATATTTCATTGTTGAAGTAGTATACTTTTTAGGGTTGAGGAAAAATCAAAACATATTACTTGATTTAGAGGTATGACTTTTACCAACGAAATTAAGCTTATTTAAGTAGCGAGAATAGCGCCTTTTCATCTTCAAGAGTATACAGTCTTTCTAGCCTCTGAAATTCTTTTATTAGATGGGCCTATTATCATGCGATAAAACGAAGATGCCCGAAAGTGTACCCGAGAAGATACCCGGCGTATATTGTAATCCCCGATGTATATATAAAACAATGGGGATGTACTATAATAAGCAGTGGCTGAAGGACAGCAAATTACGCCTAAACCAATCAGACTCTGTCGGTTTGTCGGTTTGTCAGAGTAAACCAGGCGTAACCCGGGTCATCCTGCCGTAATTGAGTTATGGACACGAGGAAGAGAAGTGTGCCTAAGCCTCAAGAGAACGCGGCATCAAACGCCTTCGCTCTTTCAACAAGCTTCAGCATGAAACAATGCGCCAGAAAAAGCCTCAACCTTTCCATCCTTCAGAGTAAAGCCCAACTCATAGATAAGCTGTCATTTTCCATCGCTATGGGAAATCCTGCCACAGAAGATTATCAGCCCCCTCCCTACGAGCAAGCTACTCAAGGGAAGTCTGGCCCATCGCAACAAAATATCTCACATCATGACACCTCTTCTGCTAAATTTGCTTGCGTCACTCTTAACCAACACGATCGGATCCGCCTCATTAATTTCCCAGCAGACACCGTGACGAGCTTTCAGGATTTCCTCAAAACAGCGTGGCCCAAAGGAATACAGGAAGTACGCGACTACGGCCAATCACGTGAGTTCAAGCTGAATGGCTATCCTTGGTACCGAGGCGTTGATGGCTCCCTGGGCCCTGATGATACTTCGCGCCTCGTCAAGAAATTGCTGGAGGCGTTGTACAACATGGGATGGGTGTTGCATTCTGCCGTAGATCTTCGAAAACAAGGAAACAAAGGTTGTTTCTTCCCGTTGTTCAGCTGTGCCATATACCTCTCTAATACTTTTGCCAGATGTCCTTGCCTTCCGCCGCCAAAGCCCGCCACCACCGAAATGTGAATGGATTCACATCTCATTTGATAGTCACGACAGACTGACTTTCTTGGAACCACCCTCCCAAGAAATCAGGGTCGCTTTGCTGAAGACATTCGGCCGCGCCGTGAGCAGTAATGAGCTCACAAAGGACCATTTTGAAATAAAATTCCAGGGCTTTCCATGGTCACCATCTGGTGAAGATACTGTGAATACGCCTCTCAAGTTACTAAAGCTTCTAGAGACGATGGAAAGGTTCGGCTTTTCGTTATATTCGAGTTTAATGACTAAGAATAATCACGAAGGGACAGATGTAGATGACATAATTATGAAGCGGCAAATAGGTAAACACTAGAAATGCAACTATTCCACAGGTGATATAATACAGGTTATTGTCAGAGACATTTGACTCTATATGTCTGCTTGCTCTTCTTCGTCAGTATTTGTCTCAGCGTGTTCCATCATGCGGGATATTATCTCTGTGATATCCTTCCAAATCCGTTTGCGATTCTGCAATCCTTTGAGGTCCTTCCAATTCTTGACAATCTCGAGATACAGTTCATACCAGTTTGTCTTATCATATGGTAGACACACGGGCTGTAACGCCTTGCTCTCCTCCATACACGACGCCATTCCCTCCTGGTACTCATCCGTGTCGTGCCAAGGTTTCGCCGCAGGCGAGCTCTTCATCCACGTTTCTAGATCATCCGTTTCACTGGCTCGCAGCGTTTCGATTTTATTTTCCCGCATCTTCTCGTATTCTTCACCCCTTTTCGTTAGCGCTTGAAACCGGCCAGAATCAATAAGTGCCCATTTGTATGGATGGACATCGCCACTCCATGCTTCATAGATGAAAGGAAACTCCTCCACTAGAAGCCAATACCATACTGAGATAGGTAAATGACGGAATCCTCGCGACGACAGGCGCAGGAGTGCAATATCCTTGGACCCGAGATAGCCAACAATTGCTTGCAGTATCTCTGAAGGCAACCTCAGGAAAGGATCCTCACTTAAAGACTTGGCTAGGTCGCCATGGCCAATAAATGGACTACCTTGTATGCTGAAGTCTTCGGGGACTGTGCGAGCCGAATCACAGATCCGCTTAAATGTCGGAATGAAGATCGGATTAGCAACGAGATACTCGGCACCTCGATTGTATCGCCAATCACCCTCTTGGAATGAATCAACAACGTCGTCATTACGCTGGCAAAATGGTTCCGCCGTTCTCTCCGGATATTTGCAGTAGTAATCACGGAGGTTCATCAATTCTTCCGTGGCAACACGGCCGAGGGCTTTGATGCTGGCCCTTCTAAACAGTTCGAAACAAGTCGGGTGAAACGGGAGGCCAACCCAGATAGCCACTTCCTCAGACTGCAGACGGTTTTAAAAGTATTAGCCAACAGCATTCCAGTGGAAGACGAGCTTGGAAAGGGACACACCCTGAGTGTATAGTCACAATCATTTGCTGCCGTAACCCACTCGCTGGTTCCATGACGCACGGGAGAGAAACGATTGCTCCAAATTGGGTCCAGCCCTCGTGCCAAGCCTGTGAGGCAACAAGACGAATAATCTTCAAAGTCTTGGTCATCGTCAAGAGGCTCCCAGCCTTCGATCTTGCGCACAAGGCACTGCACAGTTGAACAGTCCCTCATCTCGCCAACTGATATGTGATTGCCATTGTAACCATCCAAATACTCACAATTTGGGCCGGCTATATGCTCGTAGTTGCACCGAAGGTCGTTCAGAGCCTTGAGCCCCATCTCACTGTCATCCAAATCTTCAATGATAGAGAGTGGCTTAAAATCCGTGTCAAGATCCTCAGCATTTGGCCCCGATGGAGAATCCAATGTGGGGAGATTTTCTGAGCTCTTGAATTTCTTCATGCTGCCTCCACTCAATCCAGGGCCGTACTCAAGGCCATATTCTGAGTTATTGCTGCTTGGTTCTCCTGCGAGGTCAGAACACGGTTCATCCTTGGTCGGGCTATCGATGGCATGAAGTTCTGAGTCCTGTCTTTCTCCCGCCGGTGTTTGTGCTCCAGGTCCACGATAAAGAACTGAGCAGTCGTAACCACAAGGCTCATGGTCTCTGGCATTGCTTCCAACCCATGTGGTACCGTACTCGGCCGAGAGAGATAGCCAAGCTGCCCCCCGTGGCTCTCTGCGAGTTCTTATGCGGCTAATGTTGAACAGAACTCCACATAGCTGACAGTAAATCTAAGGATAGTTCTTTGTAAATCTCAGATCATAGCGCCGACTGGACATAACCTCGGTTCCACATGAATGTACATACTTCGTGACCTACACATGGTGCACACTCAGTTCAGCTTTCCGTCAACAGGTCTTGATGCATTGTGAAGTTCCTACCCATGACAGCCTCTTTTTATGTCGACGGGAGACAGTCGACCGTCGTCCTTGTCTTTCGACACGTTGCTCACTAGAAAGAGGGGGTTGGGCAGTTGAAGAGGAGAAAAACCGTTCAGCAGTCGGTGGGGCGGTCTAATGGCCTCCATTCTACAACAGGACTAAGCTATTGAGCATGCAATATGGCTTAAGGTTGTCTAGTGAAAAATAGGCGGTCTGGTTTATTCGAACATGGTAGGATCAAGTGTTTAATCCATCCAAGTAGGAGTTCTGCGTGCAAGTGGTTGTCCATCCATCAACTGGACCAGCTGTCTGCAGGGGGCAAGCCCACGAACCCCATAATAGAGGCATTGTGCCCGCCAAAGCGTCCTCTGCTGACCCTGGAGATAGACCAAAGTCCACTTGTTACAGCGTCGAAGAGGTCAAGGGGACTTGGCAGTCTCCTGGGCTTTGTCTTTGGGTGAGCAAGTGTGAGCATCCTCTGTGGAATATTTGGAGAAAGGCAGAGAATCATATCTATCTAGTTAAGCGCCAGCCGCAAAGGGCAGAGATAGAGGCTTGTCCTTTGAGACGATAGAAGAGATGTGTTGGGCTGAATATTGCGAAGGCAACATTCGGTCTAATTTTGGGATGCCTTCTAAGATCGGGCTACTCCAACACCAATATTAGGTCCGCCTCATTCACATCAGGCGATCTGCATGATTAGCTGGCCAACATAAGAGCTCAGCCGCACATGGCTGGTTAGGTAGCGGCTCTACCCCTTATTTAGCCCGGCAACTTAATGCTAATTTAAATGCTCCTGGTATTTCTTTGAAAGGAAAGTGTTTGAAAACCATGCTAGGGCTTATTTCCAGCTGTTAGGGGCCTGGGTTGCTCAGCAGATTTTTATCAATAATAATGACAAAGCGGCATTGCAAACTGCCTCTATTTGGAAAGTACATGATTCTAGTACAGGCAGCAGTAAGAAGTCTAAGAAATCCGCTTACATACTATATAACCCTTGCTGTATATAAAACTACTTATTAATTACGCTATAACTCCTTCTATGTGTATTCTTTCTTCTTCGCATTAATCCATTATATAAGAAAATACCTTTCATTATACGTATCTTTTTTTCTAAAATGCATCTCACCAAGCTCATTTCCCTCTTCACCCTCTTCTTCACTTTTGCCGCTGCGCAGTATGCTGACGAGTATGCTGACGAAGCTGCCCTCGAGCGCCGTGAGATGGTTGAAGGTTTCCGTGAGGAATACCGGGCTGCCAGGGACCTAGAGCCTCGTGTAAGTGACTCTTTGACTCTTCGATTCTGTTTCCCTGTTCTTTATTCATAATAGGTTAGTGGCGCGATATGAAATGCGTATATTACCGTCTTCACGGCGGATATAGATGCTGTCTCTACGGCGTCACCCCGAAATGCGGCTGCGATAAATCCCAGGCGGGCAAGAAGTGCAAGTGCTAGAGACAAATGTTGGACTGTTGAGCAGGGCTCGGCGGCATCAGCTGTAGTAGGGTGCCTGATGAGCATCTACGGATACCGGCACAATATCGAATCTCGCATGAAAACTCTCCATTGCCTCGACTTATTTTGGACGCAACGTGGATTGAAGGGCTGTGTCGAGAGTGAGGTCGTAGGTAGAACAGATTGGTGTATATAATTGGGAATAAGTGATCCTGGTAGTGAAGAAATCTAGGCAATTTAGCTCTTCGAATGGATAACTCCCAGAAACCAAAGAGAAAGGTCCCCAGGAATACACGAATCTTTGGAATGGAAATGCCCGAATCTGGGCAACTACGATCTTCGCTAGGTTGATGCTTAAACTTGGAGCCTCGTTTTATTCGTCTGCCAAGCCAGCCCTTCTTCCTAGGTAATGTATATAAGGCATATATCTTCCGTATCTTCCATCTACGAACATAATATAATATGGAATAACACTGTAAGTCATCTTAAACCCGAAGTATCGTATATGAATTCTGAAGTCCCGGTGTTGTTGGCAGCTTTCATCCAGCTTCAGGTGGATGTTCACTCCTATCGGGATATACCGAGGCCACTCCAAGCCAAACTTGACAGGGACGAACTTTAGTTCGGAGACGGCTGTTTTCCCCTGAAGCAATCCCGCTGGGGGTACAACTAAGCCTTCGATCAGCAGCTGGTAACATGGCGCGCCTTGCGAAGGCGCCTTCAGTCCATAGCCACAACATGAATTGGAGGGTTTCAGCCATGTTTGATGAATATAATGGTGAGATCCATCGAATTGTTTCAACATACGAGTCTATCTCATATGAACAAGCCTATATTTATATACAGATCAAGTCTCGCTATATCCTGAGTTCATAATATTAAAATCTATTGTCTCCGAGCGGTCGGTCACTTTACAAACGCGACAGTTGGCTGAAAAGTCCACCAAAAGTTACTGAACAGGATAAAAGCCGTTAATTGCTCCTGTTACGGGCGAAATCACGGACAAGCGACAGGCATCAAGGTCAAGGCGGTCAAACGAAGGGCGAGAACGGCCCGTGGCAATTTCGATGTGTCCAGGGAATCAACACAGAGGCAGCTTACCTGCTTGGGGGTTTGAGTAGCTGGCTCGCACGGTGAGAGACAGCATTGGCAGATCTCAGACCTGAGGTCTAAACACGATGAATGTTTGCATCTTGCTCTGTGCGTTGAATACCCCCCTTTTTTTCTTTACCTCGATGGCGTATCCTGGGACGATTTTACACTTCACCCATCTAACCACTAGCCAAGGGCATCCATGCTTTCATTCCGTATCGCCAAGGGCAAGCAGTATTAATTAGAAGAGACCTGGGTCATCGGAGATAATTGAAGCGGTGTGCTGGATTCCGATCCAACAGCCAAAAAGCTCGCAGCAACTTGTTAGCCCGGTGGGAGAGTGCCCACTTCTCACTCAGCGTGGGATTCATGATGATCCATGACAGCCCCGGCTCGGCCCAGCGGGATGGCTGATTTTTCTATTCCTAGCTATTGGTTACTAAACATTGGGCCGAAGAGTATACTGTACTGACTGCTCGGCAGCTGTGGGATAACTTCGAACTGTTCCCAAAGCATAAAATACTATAACCTCCTGCATCCAGAATTCAGATGGAGCTTTGCTTTACTCTGGAACTCTGTACTTCTTATAATACACTCCTATATTTACACCTCTTTGCTGTAACGGTTTGGCATCATGTGCTATCAAATCCTGGCTTTATGGATACTTTGCCTCTCGACCTTACGAGTAGAGGCGACTTCTAAGCTGTTAGAAGGAGCAACTATAGTCTCTTTTGACGACGATACCAACTCCATCAACGTTATCCGCAACGGTTCATTACTCGTGATTTATGATAGGATAGCGGGGCTTAGCGCCGGTTCCGAGCTACTCAATACTCCTCCCGACGCGGAAACTGTTAATGTGTCAGGCCAAATTATCACCCCGGGTTTTATCGACACACACAGGCATGGACGGTCTACGGCGTGGAAAACAATCATCTTCAGCACCATGCTACTAGAATTCTTCGTGACGCTCCCCCTTGTTGGGTTTTACACCGGACGACGTTTATCTGAGCCAGCTAGCTGGGCTATATGAGACGGTCAATGCAGGAGTGACTACTACGGTGGATCATTCTCACCATAACTGGTCGCCTTCCTCTGCATGGACAAGCTATAATGCATCCATCGATAGCGGCGTGAGGGTATTTGGGGAGTATTCTTTCCAAAATGCGTCAGCAACAAACTACCCCGTCTCCAATCAGTCCGCTATGTTCCAAGAGATGGCAGAGTACACATCCACTCTGAAAATCTCTCCTGTACAGCTTGGAATCGCGTACGATGGATGGGCCCCCAACAGTAATAAAGCTGAAGCACAACGAGTGGCAGACTTGGCAAAACAGTACAATGTTTCAGTTGTCATGACGCACGCCGTTGGAGGTCAGTTTGGATCAGACAACAGTCCAGAACAACTCCAAGAATTCGATCTTCTGGACAGCTCTATTCCTGTCGTGTTTTCCCACGCGACCTATCTTTCAGACAAGAGCGCCGAGCTTCTCCGATCCAGCAACCAGTACATTCCTATAACGCCCGAGTCGGAAGCCTTCTATGGCCTTGGACACTCTCACAGCTTTGACCACTTGGACCAGACAGCGTTAGGCGTCGACATTCACCCTGCAATATTCCGCTGACATCCTCACTCAAGCGCGCCGATAGCTTCGAGAAGTCCGATTGCATTTCTTCAACCAGGTACTAGAAGAATCCAACATACCATCCAAGAGTCCCATGAGCGTGAACCAGGCTGGCTTTCTTCCTGTCTACACGCGCCGGAGGCCTTGCGCTGAGGAGGCCAGACCTGGGAACCATTCGCGTCGGGGCAAAGGCAGACTTGGTTGTATGGGACGCGGAGAACTCTCCCGCTTTTATGGGCTCGAATGACCCAGTGGCGGCTGTCATGATGCACGCCAGCATTGGGGACATCCTTCATGTGACCATCGATGGCAAGTTTGTGAAGTGGAACGGGCGCCTGACTGCGCAGAATTATCCACGCGTGCGAAGGGAGTTTGCTAAAAGTGCCGACAGGTTGCAACGCGTATTAAGGGATACGCCACTCCCTGGTCTTGAGGGGCAAGTTTCTCCTGGTGTTTATTATGCTGTTCCTACTTATGCTGATGGGCAGCGTGGTTCCGGCACTGGCTATCGCAGCCAGTTCTGGCGGTAGGGCGTTTGATGAGATATACCTGAATTATTACTGGTACATCTCAATTGTGGTCGGTGCCTGTATCAAGATGTGTATCTAGTTCTCTATAGACACTGCAAAATCACACCCCTTTGCGAGTTCATAAAGTGATTGCCAGTAGACTATTATTCTGTATTCAATAACCTCTTACACCCTAGACATTCACGCAGTATAGAAAAGCTCGAGTAAAGTTTAATTCCATCTTCAAATTTTTGCTCAATGCTACCTCCAAGAGTACCCTCGAACCTTTCAAGCAATTCGGAAACTTCGAAAACTACACCACGCTAATAATGGCTCTGTGGTAGCTGACTTAGACAAGTACTCTAAAATATAATAACGCATATTTGGTCCGAATATACATTTTTCCTATATAGATTCGTAAAATGAATATAGGAGTGAATCGACCTGTTAATCAAATAATAAGACAACTCTGACTGTTACTGTCGGCATATCAACGTCAGACGCCACGCTGGTGAATTCAATCAAAAGTTCTCCGCTATTGTCAATTCTCTTGCTATCTATCTCCGAGGCCCCCGAAGGGCGACGGAAAGGCGAAAAGCACATCTCGACATCAGCGCGGAATAAAGAGTCTCGCTTTTCAATATTTCCGATGGGCGGGACTCGCTTTTGTCAGCGATCAGCGTCATCAGGCAGTATCCGAGTGGGAGTTGATTGGTAAAGCACCTTCCTAGTATTGATGAAACGCACAGCTATTGGCAGGCATCCCATGTATGACAGAAGATCAAGGAGATGCATCGAATTAGTATATAAATAACCCATATCCTCTTGCTTCGATCATTACTCTCGGTATTTCAAGGCAATCTTTCTCTACAGCCTATTATCTTCAGACCTCAACTCGTCAACATGTTGTATTCCAAGACTTTTACCGCAGCCATTTTGGGCTGGTTTGGCACGGCTGTTGCAGATGGTATATCATTTATCATTGGAATCAGTGAGGACTTGAAACTAACTCTTGACTAGTTACGCTGATTGACCCAAATACACGGTTCTCAAATCTATCCCTTAGTCTCCCACCCTCCTCCGAGATCGTGCTCCAATCTTCCTTCTCCACCCCCCCTGACTGCGGCGAGACGAGCTATGTCGGCACCGGGCGCCTTTCTGGCATGAAGGCTTTGATCACTGGTGGTGACTCGGGTATTGGGAGAGCCATTGTGATTGCCTACCTTCGCGAAGGTGCACATGTAGCCATCAACTATTTGCCAGAGGAAGAATCAGACGCACAGGCCCTTGCAGACTTCCTTGAACCCGAGGGCTTGACCTTTGAGAGAATCCCTGGCAACCTCCTGAACGAGACTTTTTGCACTGAGTTGGTGAACGAGGCTCATCGGCGGCTTGATGGATTAGATGTTCTTATCAACCATACTGGGTAAATTCTTCATCTGTACTCATCTTCTGTGCTCCCTAAGCTGACCAGTCTGGGGGGATAGAGTATCTGGGATCATATCGGGCCCCAACTACCGCCCCATTGAGAAGATGGACACTGCCGAACTCGACCGGGTCTTTAAGATAAATCTCTACGCTCCCTTGTTCCTGACTCGCGCAGCTGTACCTTTGCTCCCCCCTGGAGGCAGCATCCTGTTCACCACCTCGGATCTTGCCGAGAATCCATCAAGCACCACCTTGATCTACTCCGCCACCAAGGCTACCAATGCGCACTATGTCAGAGCTCTCGCACTGCAGCTTGCAACCAAAGGAATCCGTGTTAATGGAGTGGCACCCGCCATAACATACACACCGTTCTTGGCTGCAGGAGGTTTCGATACAGAGACAATGCTAGCGATTGGCGCGTTGAACCCCAACGGACGGGTAGAGCAGCCTGTGGAGCTCAGCCCGCTTTATGTTGACCTTGTGGAGCCGTCAAAGACTTTTGTCAGCGGTGAGATATACTCAGCAGTCGGAGCAAACATTGCACTCTAAGAGGATAGGGTTCATGGTGTCGCTGATATTTTGGAGAGCTTCGAGCTAGAGATTATAGTGGTTATTATTATTAGCTATTAGTAGCTTATACTTATAATAAAGCAAAGATAACTATGGGTTATAATTATCTTTACTCTGCGGGCGAGAAGCCGATGGAACAGTCACGCCCCTGAGCCAGACACTAAGCGGCTTCGTTCACACCTCCTTTAGCACAGACTTGTTGGCTGCTTCTCTGAATCTCCAGGGCTGGGACAGGGCCACAACCCAAATCTTCAGCGCCACCCCTATACAAGTTCGATATTGGTCAACTAGGTGCCCTCAACATACACCCATCATAACAGGTAGAGATCACCGTATATGTCATGTCGAGGGGAGCAGTGACAAGCTTATCAATCTAATCAGATCGACTAAATGCCTCGAGGTACGTAACATTTTCTCTACTCCACATCAATACTGCATGTACCTGTACAGTTCCACCGGGGCTCATCCATGTAACCTGCAGACAAGCCCGCACTCGGACATGATCAGAGATGCAGTGAACGAATACAGAATGACATTGATGCGTCGACTGGTCGGTCATTTGGGTGCTAAGCCTTTATATGAGCAATCCTCTTCTCCACCCGCTTCGTCATGGCATTTCACTCACCAACAGACCGAGCCATATATTAACATGCCAGGACCATTATGTTCTCCCTCAACACATCCTGTTCCTCATCCCTTCAAGCACCCTTTGATACACCTTATTGCCTCTCAATCCAGACCAACGACTCTCTATCGATTCACCTATACAGCAAAATGCCTAGGCTCGCACATAGAGAGCAGCTCTCCTCCCAGTGGACATTTAAACAGACGGATGACCCGGACGAGGCTTGGCTGCCTGTAGCCCGCGTGCCGACTGTCTCGCACATTGATTTAATTGACAATGGCCGGTGAGATCCCCAGAAGCGCATGCAGGTTCCTCCCTTCCGTCCCATCTTAGCTGATCGACATCTTCGAGAAAAATAGCATCGCAGATCCATTCGTCGACATGAACGAGCTAGACGTGGAATGGGTCGGTGAGAAATCATGGACGTATCGCACCTTTTTCTCCAGCCCTGAGCTGCTCGCCGGCGAGTCCGTCTATCTCCTGTTCGGCGGTCTCGACACGTTCGCGACCGTCAAATTGAACGATAAGGTCATTCTCACGAGCGACAACATGTTCCTCGCCCATAGGGTGGAAGTCACGTCACTGCTTGCTCCAGAAAATAACACGCTCGTCATTGACTTCGACAGCGCCCTGCTTCGTGGGCGGGAGATCGAGAAGCAGCACGAGGAGCATCGCTACCTTGCGCACAACGGGGAGTCGGGGCGTCTAGGGGTGCGAAAAGCGCAGTATCACTGGGTATGTTGATGTATCAGATTAGAATCAATCGCCCTTTCTGTTCTAACGAGTCAACGCCTAGGGATGGGACTGGGGTCCTGTTTTGATGACTGCTGGACCGTGGAGGCCCGTCTCTCTGGAGGTGTCCAGCGCCTCCATCCAAGATGTCTTAACCAAATATGATGTCCAAGAAGATCTGAGCTCTGTGTCCGGAACAGTCAATGTAGAGTTTGATGGGTCAATCGACGAAGTTCGCGTCTCGATATCTCACCAAGGAGCTGCAGTAGTCGCTACATCAATCATCCCGACAGATTCTACTGCAAGCCTTGCCTTTGAAATTCGTTCGTCAATAGCCATCACATCCCGTTATTATGCAAGAGAAGAAACTGACTATAGCCGCGTCAGCTGCACCTAAATTATGGTACCCCAGGGGATGTGGAGACCAAGCAATCTACGACGTAGAAGTAGAGATTATCAAAGACCAAGTCACTGTCGACCGGTCGTTGAAAAAGACTGGCTTCCGTCAGGCAGAGCTTGTTCAAAACGACGACAAGCATGGCGAATCATTCTACTTCCGGGTCAATAATGTTGATGTCTTTGCTGGCGGCTCTTGTTGGATTCCAGCAGACAACTTCCTCCCAAGAATCACGCCAGAGCGCTACAGGAATTGGGTCAAGTTGATGGCGGAAGGAAACCAAGTGATGGTGCGGTATGTTTTATAATCAATCAGCCATATAGCAAACCCATTCGTCGCTAACCCTGTCATGAAGAGTATGGGGAGGCGGTGTCTACGAGGACGATTCGTTCTACGATGCCTGTGACGAGTTTGGCGTCCTTGTCTGGCAAGACTTCTTGTTCGCGTGCGGCAGCTACCCAGCATGGGAGTCACTCCGCGAGTCCGTCGACAAGGAGGCGAGGCAGAATCTCAAACGGCTCCGCCATCACCCCTCCATCATAGTGTACTGCGGCAACAACGAGGATTACCAGACGCAAGAGTACTACAAGCTGGACTATGTTTGGGAAAACAAAGACCCAGAGTCATGGCTCAAGGGCACATTCCCCGCTCGCTACTACTACGAGCATCTCCTACCCAGAGCCGTGGCTGAAGAAAACCCCGGCGTCATTTATTGGCCCAGCTCGCCCTTCTCTTCCAAGGGCAGGGAGGCCAATGACAAGAAGGCGGGTGATATCCATCAATGGAATTGTGAGTGAAGTACGATCCTTTGATGTCTCGATCACAAGCTCACCTAGCATGGAAGTTTGGCACGGCTATCAGGAGAAATACCAGTGCTTTGACAAGAACGGCGGCCGTTTTGTCAGCGAGTTTGGCCTCGAGGCATTCCCTCATCTCTCTACCCTCCAGTCTGTCATCACCAACCCTGCCGAACGCCACCCAAGCTCGCGTACAATGGACTTCCACAACAAGGCCCACGGGCACGAGAGACGCATCGCCACGTACATTGTCGAGAACTTCCGCCCCGCGACCGACCTCAAGGGCCACATCTACCTGTCCCAGTTGATGCAGAGCGAGGCTCTCCACTTTGCGTATCGAGGATGGCGGCGGCAGTGGGGAGACGAGAGGTTGTGCGGTGGCGCTTTGGTGTGGCAGACGAATGATTGCTGGCCCACGACGTCGTGGGCCATTGTTGACTACTATCTGAAGAAGAAGCCTGGGTTTTACGCCATCGCTCAGCAGATGCGGCCAGTCAATGTCTGTGTCCAACGCGAGCATCACGACTGGAGTGTTGGCCACGCGCGGCCGGCGAAAAGGTCTCCGTTCGACGTATGGGTGGCAAGCAGCTTGCGCGATGAGGTTGTCGGCGATGTTGAGATTCGGTTCATCTCAATCCAGAGCGGAAAGGAGATCAAAGATAGCATTCGCAAGTCCGGCGTGGTGATTGTTCCCAACGGGACCACGGAGGTTCACTCCGGAGAAACAGACAACGAAAAGGAGGAGCCTCACGTTATCGCAGTTCGTCTCTTTATAGACGACAAGGTGGTTGCAAGAGAGGTGGATTGGCCCCAGCCATTCAAGTATTTGACGTTCCCTGATCGAGGCGTTACGGTTCAAGCTTCGGAAGGCTCCTACATCGTCTCGGCCCAGCGTCCCACCAAAGGTCTGGTGTTTGATGAGGTCGACGGAATTACACTGAGTGATAATGCCATTGACGTCGTTCCGGGTGATACTCAGGTCATCTCCATCACTGGTGCATCGAGTGCCAATGCTGCTCCTGCGTATCAATACTTGGGGCAGGAGGAGAACCTCAAGCAAGTCGGGGCTCACCATCTTTAAGGGGTAAACATGGCTACGGTGTCGGTCACACATCAACTTGGACTCAACAAAATCAATTTTAGATTTCATCTGTAGTTGGACTTTGCGCAGTCTGAGGACCCCTATTTGATGGTCCCTTCGAGATGTTGTGAGGAGAGTGACAACCAAGAAAAGTTGAAGAATTGTGGTGGTTGAGCAGGAAACTTTGCGCCCCTGATGCAGCCAGGATCTGACGCAGACAGAAACCAAAATAAGACATACCTCTAAAATGAGAAGAGATATTACGGTCGGTCCTCCCCTTGAGTACATACGGGTTCAGTTTTCTCCTACTTCAGATCAAGTGTGACTTAAGATAATTCATGTCCCCTTACTTCTTGATCTAGGGTAGCTAACTTTTAGGGCTACAGGGATCTGAGAGTCTCGAGTCCGTTATTTTGGATGCTACCTGAGCCACTTTTCATGTTACGTTGATCACGCACTCGGATCCCGTGGATTCCGTGATGTGGGGGGAGAAACCGGAAGAGACGAAAGCTGGCTCTTTAACGCTCGAATTTTCACTTCCTCGTCTCGAGAATGATGGAAGATACTGCTCCGAGAAGGAGAAGAAACGGCATGAACAGAAAAGATCTACGGCACTTGCAGAGTGGGTTCCATTAGTGGCATTTTATTCCCACCCCTCTGCCCGCTTGCCACCGAATAGATCATCTGATAAGATGATGATTAGATTATCTCTCGTCGAGGAGGGATCACACGAGAATAGAGGGCGCTTTAGCAGCAAAGAGGCATTAATGGGCTATTGTCAGGCATTATGTTGGAGATCACCTGCCTGTTTGGAAGGATTACGGCATTAGATGGACATTAGTCAACCTTGGCCTTGGACACTGAGCGGTAGCTGAAGCCAGGGAAAGCTAAAGCAGCCAAGTGAACTGGAGCATCTCTCTGATTGAATTCGTCCTGCCGCAGGAGAGTGACGTGATTTAGGGGATTAAGGATTTGGTTGTGACGCGGGTGGCGGGCAAGGGAAGGACCCGAGCGCCTTGGCGTGCATTCTTGGCTGTTCTTGGCCTGCCAGTGTGAGCTGTGCCCCTGTGAAGTATCGATACTTCGGAAAATGAGATTCGAAAGTCTCTGTACATCCATACTTCTTGTTTAGTGACGATGCGATCCAGTGGAGTCTCTTGGAGGATGGAGGGTAGCAACCAAACAAAAGTGCAGTAGTATGAGTTCCGAATTCGGAGACATGTAGGAACAAGGCGTACGCGATGAACCAGATAGAGCTCTTTTTTTGAGAGCAATGCTAGGATCATTGGCTATGGGTGGAGTGAGAGTGGCAGTTGAGGAGAAATGCCAAGGGAGAAGCGGGCGCTTGATGCTATCTCGGCTGATATATCAATAATCCATCTTTGCGGCAGGTCCTCGAAGCCCACAACCCCCTCTAAGTGATCACTAACTTTACGTTCAGCCGATAAGAAATCATGGCTGAAGAGAAGCGAGTGTTGATGCTCACAAATGCCGAGCTTGGCCAGGCAAATATCTTCTTGGCCGTCAGCCATGAACTGGTCAGCCTTGATCCCTCACTGAAGCTGCATATAGCTTCATTTGCCCCTCTCGCGAAACATGTCAACTCAATTGGCATCTCATCTTCCTCCTCTGACGCCAAACCACACCCCAATGTCAACTTCATCCCGCTCCATGGCCCCTCATGGAAAGAGGCGCTGTTCGGGCGATCAGAGCACCAGTTCCAGGAGCTTTGCGATATGCCGCCGACGGTGTGGAATGTCAGCAAAGCCGCGAAGATGACTCGCATCGCCTGTCCGTGGACCTCGGAAGAAGTTTGTGCGCTGGTCAAAGAGATTGAGCAGATCATCGAGGACGTCAAGCCAACCGCTGTCGTCGTGGACAATTTGTTCACGCCGGCTGTCACGGTGTGCTACAAGGTGAAGCCCAACTGGATTGTCCTGTCACCAAACACGTACAAGGAGTTTATCCTGGCCAAACAGCCAGACCAACAATACTACTGGAAGTATCCGCCGTATGTCCCCCTTTCACTTTAACAGAGACCATTACAATGATAGACTTTGGATGACTGACCTGCGCAACACTCTCCCAGCCCACGGTCCACGGTACCATATCCCGTTCCATGGTATTACTGGCCTATTGTGTGGTACATGGTCAGGACCATGTACTTGAATCATGACGACACGTGGATGATAGACCACGCGAAGCAGATGAAGGAGAAAATCGACACCGACTACGCCGACTGGGCCTACATCTCCATCGTCCCCCCCGAGGGACTGAAGGTCCTTCTTGCCAGCCGTCCCGAGATCGACTTCCCCTTCGACGTCATGCCAGATCACATCACCGGCTGCGGTCCCATCGTCCTGCCCTCCCCTCCGCTCAAGAAGACCGACCCGGATCTCGACGCTTGGCTGTCGCAGCACCCGACGATATACATCAACACGGGCACGCACGCGACGTACACCGAGCAGCAAGCGGTCGAGATGGCCGGCGCGCTGAGACACCTCCTCACGAAGGGGGAAAAGAACAAGAAGACGCTCCAGGTCCTCTGGAAGCTGAGCAAGCGCGGCGAGTACGAGACCGGAGAGGGATCCAAGGTCTTTGCGGCGCTGGGACTCAAGTTTGGCGAGTTGGTGCGCATCACCGAGTGGATTGACCAAGATCCGATTGCCATTCTCACCAGCGGGCACATTGCCTGCTCGGTCAACCACGGCGGCGCAAACTCCTTCTTTGACGCGCTCAGGTAAGGGTTCTACTCAAAGCTGTTCGCTCTATAGGGATTTGAGCTAACCAATCGTCGTGATATACAGCGCCGGCGTCCCGCAAGTCATCCTGCCTGTCTGGGGCGACACCTACGACTTCGCCAAGCGTGTGGAATGGCTGGGCATCGGCAAGTTCGGCAGCCCCTGGAATGCGCCGCAGTGCTCTGCCCGGGAGCTGGGCCCCATCCTGGAACAGGTGGTATTGGGGCCTCGCTCCAAGTCGATGAAGGAGAAGGCGGTTGAGCTGGCGCAGCTGTGCGAGAACAATGGCGGAGGGAGGCGAGTTGCCGCACAGAAGATCTTGGAGATGCTGTAGGCGGAAGATACCATGGATACGACATGTGCTAGACCCTCAAAAAAAAATCGCAATGCGTCTTGATCTCCTCACTTGGTCTGGGTTCCCTCAGAATCGTTCTGGTGACTACGGATTGAAGGATTCTCTGCCACTGATGCCCTTGTGGCTGCTCCGTCACATCCATCATGCACCGTGAAATGTCAAATTTCTCGCTGGACCCCTACAGCCTGTTGACTGATCGATTAGATGGCATCTTTTAGCGCTTACATCTCCACCAGAAAGGTGGAATAAACCAGCGTATCGCGTATGGGCACTTGAGGTTATAGTGGGGGATCCATGACGTTAATATCGCAGCCAGCAGGGAGCAGCCCACACGCTGTAGGATGTCGATTTGACCAGGGTCCTCTGGAAATGGAACGAGAGGGAGAGCAGAGTCATGTTCAGCATTGTGGGCTGAGCCTTGGCATGGAGTTTGCCCTTTGCCTGCCGAGTTGGCCCCAACGAGGGCATGACAGACCACTCCGATGTCTTGATCCGACGGGTCGTGGCCAATATATCCAGGGCTGAAGAAAAGCCTGCCCTCGGCCCGCCTGATATGCTATCCGCTAATGAAGTATGTACAATGGAGAAATGCTAACGTTATTTCTGACTCTATCCGTGGTATCTAGCGCGGTGTAGGGGGCGCTCCACTGCTCACTCGTGTCCCCCGAAATGAATCTTCATTTCCAATTATCGTTGCCTCGGAAGTGGGAAAGACGGTGATGCAAATATCATTGTCCTGAGGGCAGCATTGGGCCAAGACGTTCTCCCAGTCTGACCACTCGGAAATTCCCGCTTCCACGCGTCCGGGAAAGGACCGCCGAGCGCAGCTCGATGCAGGTCGCTGAAAGAAGGGAAATGGTCGTGCCCATCATCTTTTCCTATTCCGTCGGTAGCCTATGCCGCAGCCAAGGCAAGCAAGGGCATCACTCTCATCGCGCCACTTCGTCGCCGATGGCTGGGATCGATGGGCGCGCTGATCACTTCACATGTTATTCACGAAGGCGAAAAGGGTGATCGGGGAATCACTGTGATTAAGAGAGCCTAAGCTAGGTATTTTGAAAAAAGTAAGGAGAGCCTCCCCCCACTGGTATCATGTAACGAAAAGAAAGGCCATCCTACCCCCCTACTGCATGCATTACTCCGTAGTGGGTATTCATCCAACAAGCTGATCTCCCGAGCTGAAACAGCCCGTGTATCAGACTCATCGCGAACCCGTCCCTGCCCATTTTCCATCTCCAATTTTTTCCACCTCGGGGTGTGTTCTTCGAACGCGACTAGCGCGATTAGAAGACGTTGCCCTTGGTCTGCTTGCCGCGCTCCTCCTCAATCTTGCGGATGTTGATGTTCTTCCATACGAAGATGGAGAGGACGCAGAGGGGCATGAGGCAGGCGCCGGTGATGACCATGAGGCGCATAACGTGGGCGTAAGAGTCAACAATGGCCTGGCGCTCGGGAGTTCCATCGGCGAACTCCATCTGCATGGTGATGTTGGCGAAGATGATGCGCGACGTCTCCTTGGCCGCCTCGGGGAGGCGGTTGTTGAGCTCGACGGGGAGGATGTTATTCCACAGACCACCGGCAATGGCGTAGCCGATGGCAGCGCCGACACCGCCGAAGAGACCAGCCAGAGCGTTGACGACGGCAATCTCCTGGTGGGTGACGGGGGCCATGATGGCGATGGAGCTACAGGTGGTGAAGAAGCTGCTGCCAAGACCGACCAGGAGCTGGGTCACCGCCAAGACACCGGGAGAAGCGTCGGGGCTGCGGTAGGGGATGAGCAGGGCTGTGCCGAGCAGCATGATGGGCACACCGGTATAGGCGGTCCACTTGAAGTCTCCAGTCCAGCTGATGACGCCACCGATGATGGGGGCAGTGAAGGTAGCAGTGAGAGAGTAGGCGTTGAGGATGTACAGGGCATTGGTGATGCTCTGGCGGTGCACGACCAGCAGGTAGGAGTAGTAGTATCCGTTCCAGGTGAAGGTGGACAGGAACATGATGCCGTACAGCAGGCAGGAACCGATGATTGTGCCCTGCTTGAGGTACTTGAATGGCAGGAACTGGACAGGCGCGAAGTTGCGCTCCCAGATGTAGAATGCGGGAAAGAAGAGCACACCGAGGACAATCATGGCAATGATGTAGCCAGTAGACCATCCGTTGGGGGCATAGGCAGCCAAGCTAAATGGGAGAAGGAGGAAGGACAGCCCAGCCGAGATGAGGAAGATGCCAAACAGGTCGAACTGGACAGCATAGTGCTTGAAGCTCTCGACCCAGGTTCGCCCGCTCGCGGCTCTAGGCTTCATAAGGCCCTCCTTCTTGGCCTTGCGCGACATGACCACCATGAGACCCATGGCGGGCGTGCTGCATCCGACCAGGATGAAGGCAAAGGCACCGAATGCCCAGCGGAAGTTGGAATGGGTGTAGAAGAGCTGGCCAATGGGGGCGGAGGCAAAGGTACTGGCAATGCGAGGGGTGCCGCTGAGGCCGATGAGGATCATGCGGTTCCTGAGGGTGGTGATATCGGACAGCATGACCTCAATCACGTACAGCACACCAATGTGGCCGGTCCAGTACATGACAGAGCCGGCGACATAGGTCTCAATGTTCTGGCAGGTGGCCTTGAGGATCATGCCAATAACGCACACGGTAAGCATGAAGACGAAGCCCTGGACACGGCCCCAGATATCAATGACCTTGGCGATCGTCAGAGGGATGACACCTCCGATGATGGTGGACAGGATACTGGCAATGTTGAGCAGACCGTGTGCGCCGAAGCCGGAGGTGATGTATGGGTTGAGGGAAGAGTCGATCCCATTCTGAAGATAGTCGACAAAGGAGATCAGGTAGAGCCTAGACAGCGTTTTCGTGTCAGTCAATCAATGGCACGCGACAATGGGTTCATTTGGATAGCAGAGCTCGACTTACAATGCAAAGAAACTCCAGAGAGTCGACTTGGACCAGATGCTGGTGATGGCTCGGACGCGCTGAACACCCTCTTGGAATTCATTGCTGTCCGAGTCAAAGCCCTCGTTGCTGCTGCTGTGGTAGACCTCCTGGGCACGAGGATCACCGCCATTGCCCTTCTCCGAGTCGAGATGAGCCTCGGCAGGATGGGCAATGTTCTCGTCGCTCTTGGTGACGGCCATTGTGGATGTGAGGATGAAAGCGATCCGTCTGTGTTCAACACAAGAGTCGTGACGGCAAGAAGAAAACTCCAAGCGGGAGACGGCGGACTTTATCAATCAAACCCGGGGTCCCTTTCTCGGCAAGTGAGACAGAGCAGATGAGCAGAGTGGGGGAAGCACACTCTGTTCTGCAGTATTATAGAGAGGGGTGAATTAACCGAGAGGTCGACCTGTGCCACTCCCGCCGTGCAGAGCTTATTATATCTACCCGAAAGGCTTGTCCATCAAGCTTGTTTGCTCACGAGGACCAGACCCGCCTCATTTTCTAGCCTGACCGGCAGGTTTTTCGCTCTGTCGTTGGTCCGTCGAGGCTAGAGTCTGGATGAAATGACACACGGAAACAGCCTTGGTCCCCCGCTGTCGCCACATGTACAAGCCTGGGACGAAAGCCGCGAGTCTCGAATGTGCAAAGTGCTCCGAGCCGGAGCATGGCGAGCGAGCAAAGTGGCATGGATGGACATGCATCCTTGGCCGAGGGGGGAGGGAGCAGGGCGCCGGGTCCAAATCGGGCCTTGGCGAGCCAATCCTTCGCCTCCAATATGCTTCTCAAGTGGCTTTTGGCCTCAGCTGGCGTTGGCCCTAAGATTGATCAGATAAGATCGATAGTCGGGGTCGTATGATAAACCAGGACGCAGCCAACCACCACCACCACCACCCCTTAGCCTGCGTCGATGCATGCACGGGAGGAGTCACTGCCAATCACACCGTCACGCTGGGCAGGCCGAAAGAAGCTTGCCTCACCCGAGGGCCATGCAAGCTGCCTATTCCAGACCCCAGTGTCCCTCGCGTAATTTCGTGATCCTGGTCCAAAACTCGCTCGCAGCGCCATCACGCCCAACGAGGGGAGCAGATCGCCCCCGCCCTCTATCCACATGCCTCTTTCCTAGCGCCAGAAGCTAGTTTGTGAAAATTCTAGGCCAAGCCGATGAAAAGATTTGCTTTTGATGTAGTTCACGCTGCCCTGCTGCGTTGGACCCTCGAGGCATTTCTGCTTACCCGCCCCAAACGGACAAACCACCGCCGTCTGTGTTGGGTAGTATTTGGTGTACGTACGTCTCTCCCCAGAACGGTAGCTATTGGGACCCTGGGGGCCTTGACCCTGGTCAGCCAGCTCCAAGCAAAAGCAGGCTTGGTCCCGTCTGTCCCGTGCTGTCACACGGAAAGCAATGAATCACAACTGCGGCTGGGAGCTCTCGACCTGGACCCTCTTTGGCTCCTGGAATTCTCCATGGCCGGACGACCCAGTGCCGATATTGAGCTGTTTGGCTCCATCCCCGTCTTCTGACCGCCATGGGAAATAATAGTGAGAAAAACTTGATCGGCTCGCCGCCAATAGGGGACCATACTACCGAGCAGAGCTTCATTTAGTCGCTGGCCAAGTTGGCTCCGTCTACGGAACTATCCATATTCCTCTATCCACTCGAGAGAGCCCTTCCCGGGCCTTGCTTTTTCCAAGGAGAATATTTCCCGCAAGCTAAACATTATGTAGGCTGACCTAAAACTCAACCTTACTCCCCATCCGTCAATAGTTCGAGGATGGCCTGCGTGGCAATTTCTCGGCCATCCCCACCGGCCTGGCATGCCTTTGCAATCACTGCGGCTCTCTCCCTGATTCGCTCCGCCTCCCGCCCGAGGACCACCTGCCTGAGCACGGGGGCCAGCTCGTCCTTGGAGAGACTGGGCGCGTGCTGCCGATTGCCGATCCTGCCAATGCCCAGATAGTCCACGCGGCGCGCAAAGTCATACGTATCGAACCAAACCGGAAGTACCACTTGGGCAACGCCGGCGCTGTTCTTTTGTCTTAGCACGATGCAGGCGGATAGTTCGGGCGAAGAGTAACATACCTTACAGCCTCGAAGTACGAGTTGGCGCCGCCGTGGTTCACGGAGCATATAACATTCTCGGATCTGAGGATGGAGATGGGCTCGGTCTCGAGCCAGTCTACGATTCGGATGCGGTCGTTCTCCGCGTAGCCGTTCATAGCCGAGGAGACCGCGCTCCTCTGGCCCCCTTCTTGTCCACCGGCAGACTTGTTCATCTTCCATAGAACCTGGATATCCTGCTTGGTTTTCTTGGCCTCGTCGAGGAGGGAATGCACAGCCGCCGTCAGCTCCGACGTGGCGTCCTTATCGTATATCACATGGCTGCCCAGGTTGATGAAGACTGTCGGCCGCCGCCTGAGCCAAGCAGCCAAGTCAGGGTCAGTCTCCTCAACGGGCTTCGCAACCCGGACGATTGGCCCGCAAGAGACGATATGGTCAGGGACAACGCTGAACGGGAAATCGTTGTGTGAATTACTTGGGAGGATGATCTTGAGGCCCTTGGGCGGGTCGTACGATACTCTCCCCCAGTCTGAATACGGCTTGTTTATCTTCTCTTGCATATTCATCGCATGTCCAATTACCCACTGGTCCTTCGCCAATTTCATATATTGCTTCTGAATATACCATGCGGCTGGTCGTAGGTAGAAAGGGACGGGATACGGAAGGAGGGAGGCGCATCTATATATCCGGAACCAAATTAGCTCACAACTCTCGTACGATAGATGCATGATGGATGTGTGATGGATGATTGAGGACGTGTTGCTTGAATTGAAACGTACGGAGGATGTTGATACAGGCGTTCGAATTCTGTTTGATAACCGAGAATGAACTCTCGATACGAGTTTGGCGATAGGACAGACCATTTCGGCTTGAGGTTGTAGCACACGGTGATGGCCGGAGTGAAGAGGTTGTCAACAATAACGAGGTCAGCGTCGACATCTTTGACCACCTTTTCAGTCTGCAGCACGAGGTCGACCAGCTCCTCTCTACTCCAGGGTGCTACGATCCGTGTCATCATCGGGGCCAACCGCGAGGCGTTCCGCCACGTTGGTGCGAGGGCACAAGTTTCCTTCCATTTATGTTCCGGGCGTTCGAATAAGGCCTCTTTCCATGTAGGACCTTTAAGTTCGTGGAAAGTCACTGCTCTTTGAGGGGTTGTGGTTTGGTTGAGTAAGTCGACCGCTTGTGAGAGGCCACCAAAGGAGGCGAGGTGCAGATCGTAGTCGTCCGTTTTGGCAAGGAGCTCCTGGATGACTGCGAGTTGGACGTTGGCCTGCCCAAGCTCGGCATTTGTGATGAAAAGAATCCGGTTTTTAGTCATTTTTCCACAGGAAGACTATCTATTGCCCATTAAGAATAAGTCCACTGAAATAATGGGAAAGGGGGGAGAGAGCCGGGAGAGAGTAGCAATATGATAGTCGGCCATCCTCATTTACTCAACGAGAGTGAGTAATCTTCGGACTTTATGCAGATACCATGCAGCAATGTTGCCATTTCTTGGCTCTTGGCAGGATCGCATCGTCTCGATGGCCGGTATTGCTATTCCTACGGGATCCTTCTCGGGAGATACTTCTTTCAGGTTCTTACAATGTCTGTAGCCTTATCCAAAGGATACAAGGCCTGTTTGTACAGTACATTGAGGTTGTATAGATACAAGGCAAGGGAGGAGCAGGGGTGTAGGCAAAAGTCCCTCTGATATGTCTGACGAGCACAATATCCACGCCTGTCAGTCAGAACCATGCGGATGAATGATGCTCTGAAACCTTCATTGGACGCGGAGCATAGATTACATGATGACTCAGGTTTGAATACCTTGAATCAGCACCCAGTTGATCAAAAACGTGGCGCTGAAGATCTTCTTGCACCATCTTCAGCCGCTCAGGATGAATATCTTGGCCCTGCGGGAGGGAGGAAGACCCGCCACGGCACATGAGAGAGCCCCGCCCAATTGATTGATAAAGAATTCGTCAAGCATGTTATGTGGTTCATCAGGATCACCCAATAGCTTCTCAGCCCGTCTACACCCCCTCCCCCTTCATTCTTATTCTCGGCTATCCCACATGCTATCCCACACGCCTCTCGCCCTGCTCAGGCCTCCTTGAAGGAATTTGCTGCCTGTAGGGGTGGCATGCTACCCGCACAAGTAAGGCAAGGTTGCATCACCTACACAAGCCAAGCACCTTATTTGGTTTTAACAGCAGGGTGAATCATCAAAACAGCTATACGAATACATGAAAATCCCTCGGAAGTCCAGTCCCCGCTATATGTGTCTCTTGCCTGTCCTATGCAGTCAATCTCTTCCCATTTAGTCCAGCTGCCAAAAGCAATAAATCAGCTAACTCTACTCTGTAGAGCTATCCATGTAGATGAAGGGACCGAGCTACCGTAGATGTGACGTAAAGCAGTAGCTTCCCTTGCTTTGGTTGCATTACTTGCTTCAGCTTGCCCAGAATCCGCTCCACGAGCTCTTAGCTGAGGAGCTACTTGCTCCGAAACCGCAACAACCCTGAATAATTCCAAGCTGCTTTCTTTCCTCCTTTTTTCTCATTCTGCGATTCCAATCGACAGCCCAGTTGTGCCTCGCTTTATACTTTACGTGGTCGTCACCCAGCCAGAGATCAATGCGATTAGCTTCGTCCTCGCTCGTTTCCACTCCTACGGCGACCTCCTTGTTCGGACTGCCTATGCTCATCACTTCGAGCGAGATACAGTACGAGCAGCAGCCCGAGTCCGAACAAGCTCCCCAAGATGCCACAGAGCGAGAAGAAGACGAATGGCGAGAGCCAAGTCACGGCCGTCGATTCAGAAACGGCAGATCAAAAACAGTCAAATGTAAGTGTCGACCAACCCCTTTATCCTTCGAGTCTGGACAGCACACTGACTTTCTCCATTTGGACAGATCTTCAAGGACTTCTTCATCTTCTTCCGACTTCTATTCGCCGCCCAGCCCACATGGATTGATTACTTTCTCATCGTCTTCGGCACACTCTGCGCTGCGGGAGCCGGAGTGCCCTTCCCCCTCATGGGAGTCCTGTTCGGTCAGCTCGTTGACGATTTCAACGGCGCCACTTGCGCTGCCGATGAGAACACCGCACAAGAAGGAGGCGATGCGTTCCAGTTCGAGTCGGCCATCAACTCCAAGGTCATCAAGACCGCCTGGATCGGCGCCATCGCCTTCGCCCTCATCTACTTCTACCTCACGGCCTGGGGGATCATCAGCCAGCGCCTCGCCCAGCGCCTGCGCAACCAGTACCTCGCAGCCCTCCTGCGCCAGCCTCCCGCCTTCTTCGACACGCGGGGCGCGGCCGGTGTGGTTTCGAGCAGGCTCCAGGGCGACATCACGGCCGTGCAGGCGGGCACATCCGAGAAGGTCGGCACCATCCTGACTACGTTCAGCTTCATCATCACCGTGTTTGTCATTGCCTTTTCGCAGCAGCCAAGACTTGCCGGTATCTTAATCTCCATGCTCCCGGTGTTTCTCATCTCGGCCGTTCTTGGTGGCAGATACCTTTCGAAATACGTGGGGAAGCAGAACGAAGCCTCCTCCGCGGCCTCCTCGATCGCCTCCGAGGCATTGGAGCACATCTCCGTCGTCCAGGCGTTCAGCGCGGCACCACGTCTCGAGTCTGTCTTTGGGCGGCACATGGCTCAATCCCGCAAGCACGCGATGGTCAAGGCGGCCGTCGCGGCTGTCCAGACTGGGATGCTCTACTTTGTCGCATACTCGGCGAATGCATTGGCCTTCTGGCAGGGTAGTATCCGAATCGCTGATTCCTTGACTGACGAGAACGGGAACTCGACAATTGGGCAAATCTACGCCATTGTATATCTTCTCATTGATGGTAAGTGGTCGATATCCAGCTGCGGAAGCTCTCAACGGGCACTAACATGAATGGAAAACAGCTTGTGTCATGCTCGGTGGCATGGCCCCTTTGCTCCCCTTCCTGAGCGGCGCCGTCGCGGCATACCGACGGTTGCTGGAAGACATCGAGACGCCCTCAAACATCGATGCCACCTCGAGCGAGGGCAAAAGGCTTTCCCCTGGCGGCTCCAAGAACATCAGGTTTGACAATGTGTCGTTTGAGTATCCGTCCAGACCTGGCCAGCAAGTCCTGAAAAACCTCAATCTTGACTTCCCTGCTGGCAAATACACCGCCATCGTCGGTCTGTCGGGTAGTGGCAAGTCAACAATCGCGTCTCTGGTCGCTCGTCTGCACGATCCGACCTCTGGGTCGATCAAGATTGGCGACGATGACCTCCAGAGTCTCAACGTCAAATCTCTGCGGAGCTACATGACTTTTGTCCAGCAGGAACCCACCCTCTTCGACTGCTCCGTCCTAGAGAACATCGCCTTCGGTCTGGTCAACTCCCCTCACCAGCAGCACCAGCACCTCAAGCCGTTCCTCGGCGGGCCTGAACTCGCCCGTCTAGCCGCCAAAGGTCACGACGCCCTGACGGCAGCCGAGTCAGAGGGCGCTGATGTCGCCGGGGTCGCTCGTCTCGTCCGTCAGGCGGCCGAGCAGGCGGACGCCGACGGGTTCATTGGCAGACTGACATCCGGTTACGGGACCTCTGTCGGCACGCGGGGTACGCTGCTGAGCGGTGGCCAGCGCCAACGTGTCGCTCTTGCGCAGGCTCTGATCCGAGAGCCGGAGATTCTGATCCTCGACGAAGCGACGGCGTCGGTTGACTCGGCCAGCGAGCAGAGAGTCCAGCAGGCTGTGGAGAAGGCCTCGTTGGGCAAGCGGACAATCATCTCCATTGCCCACCGGCTATCGACGATTCGCAATGCGGACAATATTATCGTTCTAGAGGCCGGTGAGATTGTTGAGCAAGGGACTTATTCGGAGCTCATGGCCAAGGAGGACGGCAAGTTTGCTCACATGGCAAAGTTGCAGCGAGTGGACAGCAAGTCTCAACCGGAATTGGAGTCCATCTCTAGCAGCTCTCTCGATCATACACATGCTGAGAAAGCTGATGAGATCGCGGTCAAAGAGGATACTATTCGCAGTTCCGATGAGAGAGGCGAAAAGACTGACGGCAAAGAAAAGGAAGACGACAAAGAGACACCCGAAGAGGACACCGTCCAGCCATTCAGCGGCACCATCAAAGGCATCGCATGGCTCATTCGCCCGTCTCTGGGCTGGTTCGTAATTGCTCTTATTGCGGCCGCCTTTGTCGGTGCAACGTTCTCTGGCTCTGGTATCATATTTGGGTTCACCGTCGGAGCTCTGAACACATGCGGCAACACTGCCAGCAACATCATGTCCATGGGTCGATTCTTTGCCGGGCTCATCTTCATGCTTGGAGGAGTCGAGCTTATTGCCAACTTCCTCGCATGGTGGGGGTTCGGAGTTATTGGAGAGCGCATCCTCTACTCTCTCCGTATTCTCTCATTCCGATCATTGCTCGAGCAAGGCCTGGAGTGGCACCAGTCTGAGGGCCGAACACCATCCGGGCTTCTGTCCATCATCACGAAAGACTGCATGTCGGTCGGCGCGTTCAGCGGATCGACATTCGGCACCGTCTTTGCAATCTGCATCAACGTGGTAATCGCCATCATCATCAGTAACATCTTCGCCTGGAAGATCGCCCTCGTGTGTCTCGTTATGATTCCCATCCAGTTGGGGGCAGGGTTCATGCAGCTTCGTATGCTGGCGCGGTTCGAAGAGCGTCATCAGCAAGCCTTCACCAAGGCCACATCTCTGGCACAGGAAGCCATCCAATCCATCAGAAGCGTCGCCGTACTCTCTCTGGAGAAGACCTACATGGACACCTACCACCGCTTGCTGGAAGCCCCGAGGCGGCAGGTTGCCCAATCAGCTGCGACGACAAATATTCTCCTGGCTATTTCTCACACGATCGGAACCTTCATCAACGCGTTGGCCTACTGGTGGGGCTCACAGCTCATCATGAAAGGAGAATATACGCAGAAAGACCTGTTGATTATTCTCGTAGCAATGCTCACGAGTGCTCAGCTCTGGGGGACCATGTTTACTTTGGCTCCCGAGTTCTCTCGCGCTCGTCTTGCCGTTTCCCGGGTCATGAAGATTATCGACTTGGGGTCCAGTCTTCATGCCGGCAAGCCGTCAAATCCCGACGTCGAGAATGGTTCACCAGAGAAGAAGAGTTCCTCACCGCCCCCGTCACCCAAGGGCGGCGCAAAAGTGTCGTTCAAGAACGTTGCATTCTCCTACCCAACACGCCCACATGCTCCCATCCTGAACGACGTCACCTTTGATATCGCCCCCAACCAATTCTGTGGCCTCGTCGGGCCCTCCGGTGCCGGCAAGTCCACCATCATGAGTCTCGTCCAGCGACTCTACAAGCCTACGGGGGGGGCCGTGATGATTGACGACAGAAACATTGCCGAGATGTCGGAGTCCTTTAGGGATGGCATTGCTCTGGTGCCACAATCGCCTTCCCTATTCGACGGAACTGTCAAGTACAACGTTGGATTGGGCGCCGTGCCAGGTCATGAAGCCACAGATGCTGAGATCGAGGAAGCCTGCCGCCTAGCTAATATCCACGAAGAGATCATCGCTCTGCCTGATGGCTATGATACGGAGTGCGGCGAGTCGGCCTCTCGATTATCTGGTGGACAGAGGCAGCGTCTTGCCATCGCTCGTGCCTTAGTTCGCCGACCCCGTTTACTACTCTTGGATGAGAGCACGAGTGCGTTGGATGCGAATGGAGAGGCGGCACTTCAAGAGGGGCTTGAGAGGGCATCAAGAGGGACTACTGTGCTGGCTATCACACATCGCTTGCATACGGTGCAAAAGGCTGATATCATTTTCATGGTTGAGAATGGGCAGATTGTAGACAGTGGGAAGCACTCTGAACTCATGGAACGGAATGAAGGATACAGACTTAACGCGATGCAGCAAATGCTGCAGTGATCACAAGGCTTCTTTCAGATGGGAATGTTGCAAAGGTTGTGTGAAGGGGATGTGCAAAGTGGGGGATGAGAAGCTAACAAGCCTCTACAGGCTAGAAGAGTGAAACTCGACTATGGAGGCATTGGGGTAAGAGCGTTCTGAGTTAGTTTCACAGACAAGGGAGATACTCTCAGAATAATGAGTGCTTTATCCTAATACATCAAAGAGGCACAGTCTCCATGAGTAACTGACCATCAAAATAGAGAGTCTTTGTCTTTGTCTTTGTAAATATACGAGATGGTAGCTATTGTAAGACAAATTCGCCGAGTGACTCAGAAATTATAGTCAAGTGAACCGCAATACGAGAGCATCAGATCCCCTTGCTCCATGGGGTTCACCCAGGCGGTCAACTCCAAGAACGCGATACTGTCCATGCCAAGTATGTCCACGCTCTCAGCCAAAGCGGTGTAGAGCAAAATGTAAAAATGCCTTCATCCTTCCAGGGTGATTGTCCGCCGTGTTTTAGACAACAGACAAGCCGGAAATAGGATCTAAGCTCCCGCATCCGGTTGTGGACGATGCCGCGGGAAGAGAATGCGGCCGGTGGGTCTGGCCGCAAGCGACAAAAGTTGACTCTTCTCAAATACTGAAACATTCAAAGCGTGTTTGTACAGCATAGAATTTCCGAATCAGGATCAATTCTTGTTCTAAAACCAAATACGCATCCCTTAAATATGATGTGTCATGAGGGACTATCCAGGGTATCGAATTTTGCGCTTCCGACCAACCCAAGGGAGGCCAACAAGGTTTCACTGGCATGAGATATCAGAAAGGTTATGTACGGCGAGAGGTTATCTGCTGAAAATATTTTATCTCGCCATATGCGAACCTGATTGTACCTTCCTCGGTGCATTCTTCTCTTCATCTTATTCACGGGATCACCAGGCCCTTCCTTCATCAGTGCCCCAATACCGTCATCAGAGTTGACGCCTCAAGCTTCAAATCCAAGATGGAAGCAGAGGGCGACAGACTACAAATGCTCCGGGCATTCGAGGGAACCAGAGAGTACTTCACAAAGCCGGCCTTTCTCAAATTCCGGGCCGCCTACCAAGTAGGAGTGCTCCCCCTGGCCGTGGAGCAAACGTTTGAGAAGCTGTCACTCCGCCAATATCAACACATTGTACGGCCGCCAAAGACCATCGATCACTATTTCGAAAAGACCAGCCACATATTCACCAAGAAGTTCTCTTCCCAGTTCAAGGAGAACTGCCGAGAAATCGACCACATTTTCGGGGATCCGCTGGCAGACGACTTCTTCTCATCGCGCTCTATCTTGGAATGGACGCAGATTCTGGTTGCCAATACCATTCATTCGAAACTACTTCCAGCTGTCGTTGAGAATTACTCCCCCAAAGAATCATCGGAGTCATTGGGCACTACCATTGTGGTAGAAGAATATCACAAGCCTCCTAGCGAGGGAAGTGACGGTAAGAGCGTCACACAGCGCTCCGAGAAGAGAAGCCTAGCAAAAAGATGCTTCCAAGAACCGAAACTAGCCGTGTCTAGGGCATTTTCACTTCTACGTTCTACACGTTCCTAATTATCGGCTAGCAATATGAGCTCATCGCCCAGGAATTATCGAAGATCTCAAAAGTGTCTCTTCAGCAACTACAATAAAAATTCGACAAGATATCAATGGAGGAAGGTGCTGAACGGCATCTGGTATAGGTTGATATACATTCAAAACTTTTGCTCTATCTCAATCTAATACATTAATATTATAAAACTTCTTTTTCTACCGAATTGCACTCAGTTGATCCAACCCTTGGGGCCGGCCCAGGTGCCCTTGACCATGGAAGAGTAGTACACCCAGGGGAAGAAGTCCTTCTTCAGGTAGTAGAATGAGCGGCGGGGGATGGCCTGGTCGATGTCGAAGAAGTCGCCAAAGGTCTCCTGGGGAACTCCGCCGTACTTGAACTCGGCAAGGAGCACCTTTCCGTATTCAGTCAGGAGAGGGCAAGAGGTGTATCCGTCGTACTGAGCATCAGGCTCCTTGCCCTCGACGACCTGGAGAAGGTTGCGGACTAGGACGGGGGACTCGGCGGTGATGGCAGCAGCGGTCTTGGAGGTGGGAAGGCTGGAAGCGTCACCAGCGGACCAGACGTTACCAAACTTCTTGTGACGAGTTGTGGCGTCGTCGACGTCAACATAACCAGCCTCGTTGGCGAGAGCGCTGTTCTTGACGAAGGCGTGAGGTCCCATCTTAGGGGTAACGTGCAGGAAGTCAAACGTCTTGGTCACCTCCCCGTTGGGGCCGGAAAAGACAGCCTTGTTGCCATCGACAATGGCAGTAAGGTCGTGCTGAAAGAGACCCTCAACACCTCGCTCCTTGCGGAGCTCCTCGAGCTTGGCGCTGTACTTGGGCACACCAAACATGACGGGGAGGCCAGTGGCGAAGCTAATGTTGATATCGGAAGCAGAAGGCTTGGCCGGATCGTAAGCGCCAGCCTCCTTCCAGTGGTCGAGAGCGAGCCACATGATCTTCTGGGGGGCACCGGCGCACTTGATCACGCCTGCGGGCTGGGTGAAGATGGCGGTTCCCTTGCGAAGACGCTCGATGGTGCCAAAGACCTTGCTAACGGTATCATAGCCGTAGATGGAGGAAACGAGAGAGTCTTTATCGGCAAGCGCCTCAGGGAGACCCTTGACGCTGTCATAGTTGATATTGATACCTGGCGCGACAACCAGCTGCTCGTAGCCGATCTTGTCGCCATTTCCAAGGGTGATGAAGTTCTGCTCGGGAGTGAACCCGCCAACAGCCTGGTTGTAGAACTTGAACTGGGGGTCGACGAGCTCCTTCATTGGCCGCCGAAGCTCCTCCTTCTCCTTGAGGCCACCGCCAACTAGAGTCCATCCAGGCTGGTAATGGTGCCACTCGGCAGGGTCGACAATGGCGATATCATCCTGGGCAAACTTGCCCGAACGGAGCAGCTGGTGGCTGATGGCAAGACCAGCAGGGCCACCACCGACAACAACTACCTTGTGGCTCTTTGAGATGGTAATGACAGGTGCGGGAGGTGGTGTAGGAGGGGGTTTGGGAGCCTCTGGTGTGGGATCGGCCGGCGCAGGAGAAGCTGGCTTAGGAACTCGTGGTGGAGCAGCGGCCTCGGTCGCAAAAGCTCGAACAGCAGCAATTGAGGAGCAGCGCTGGTGAAGCGAGGCAGCGGATGACCGCGCAAAGGCGCTGACACCGAGAGAAGCCCGGCTACGAAGCATGATTGAGTTTTCCCGAAAGACAGTCAAGTGAAACCTACTACTTCCAAGTGCAATCTCGCCTCATCAGGCGGTCCCAAAATCGAATCATCTCAGCTCCCCTCCATGAGGCAGCAGGAAGATACTTCTGCGTCACGTGAGCCCCATTTCGGCCATCCTTTAGCCCATTGCGTGATGCTTTTTCTGCCAAACTGGGACAAGCGTCTCAGAGTCAACTTCAATTCACGTGTTAATTCGTATCAAACAATGGATTATTTTATATCATAAATCATCAAAACGTCAAAATATTGTCATCATTACTTGCTCCAGCCTCTCCCTTCAATTGCGATTCCGCAACTGGCGGACTGCTCAGCTCAAGCCTCCCTTGGTCAGCCGCCATGTTCACCTTGGTACCTGGCCGACATCCGGAATCCTGCGGGTCGGGCGAGTAAGTGAGGTGATGAGGGTCAGCCGTTCATGATATTATTGAACGTAACCGACGGCTGGCAAGCACAGTGAGCATGCGATGGCTTCCTTCGCAATCCCGACCCGCAAGACCTCTCGCTTTCGGTGAGAGGATTCCATTTTAAGGCAAATATGCAAACGAGCCACTTTTTCTTCACCCTGGCAAGATCCAACTGTGTAATTGATGTCTTTCAGCAACGAGGTTCACTCGCTCCAATTAGGAACTCTAAGACATAATGTTGGCCGACACTCATTATCCAAACTCTCTCCATGTACTATGAAACTGTAGAATTGGGAGCATCAGAGTTTTAATAAGCAAGCCACATCACCCTTGAGACCTTTACAATGAATGCTGACCTTGGGCAAATCCATAATAGAATAGGGTAGTCCCACGACAGGAATCATTTCGGCCACCATCGCCCAGATATCTGCAACGCTTTAGACATTGACCAACTCATCCAGGAGAGAATTGGTCACTTTAATAACATCGCATTCTGTTAGATTTTCAATATGTCTTATATATCATCAATCTGAGTTTCCGAGCGTCGGTTTTCAGGGCATGTTCATCTTCGTACAACACGATCTGGTCATAATCCGAATCATAGACTTGGCAGCCTATAAGGTTTCTATATGGTAACCGCGCATAAATTTTGAATTGGTAAAATACATACCGGCGAATATGACAATAGTCGACAACTCAGACATCACTGATTAATGATCAGCTTCCATAGGCTGTTCTGGGGCCATCTCAATAACTCGGGAGAATTCTCCAAGACAATTCAGCCATCTCACAAGGACTTTGGGCCTTGCGCTTTAGGTGGTGCGTTTTCAGTTGGGGGCGTTATATAAGACCGGGCGCATTTCCCCTGCATCTTCATCACACTCTCCTTGACTAAACGTAAAGAGTCGACCAGATATAAGACCGTCGATGCACGATAATTTAAGCTTTTGTTTCATGTTTAACTCTGCACTCCATGTTCAAAATCGGAGCGGGGGTTGTGGTGATATTGGGGCTATTATTAACCAAAACAGTAGGTAGTATCAGGATCTCGATCGTGTTTTGCATCGAGCCACCGTCTCGTGATAAGCTAATTTCTCAATAGTTGGGATTATGCCCATGAATTAAATCTGTACTCTTCATCTGAGGTTGTCAGGTTGTTCTAGAGTGACTTGCAGAAATAGCCAAGGTTGTTGGATAAATCGGCGATGGGAATCTTGAATAGGATGAATTGAAACTACACGGCCATGAAATCCATGTAAGGAAAGAAGCCATGTTATTCCATCTAAAAATCCCAAGATTATCCTTCTGAATTTTATAAGAAGTAAAGTTCCGGGCTATATGTAGAAGAATCATCGCTCGGGGGGAAAATAGTATAGCTCGCGATGGTCGTGTCACCACCCATCATGGAGAAGTTGCTTGCTATAATGGTGCACATGGGCTTACTCAGGACCAATCAGTAATTAACGATTGAATATGCACCAAGCACGATGCATTAGGAAGGGTGGAAATGTTATAGTTCAAATATTTTGATTCAATTGAATTCAGTTTAATTCCAATCCTCCACCAAACGCCAGGCTAGCCGCCCAGTTAAGCTGGGCATGAAGTGACAGACCATGTTGTACGCCTCTGTATAGTAAAAACGCCTGACAAAAACAAAAAAGAAAGAATACACTAGTAAATATGGTATCGTATCCTGCGTTATCCAAAGCGACTCAAGGGAAAAAAAGATTGACGACGAGTCCGTCAAAGCTTATGCCCCGTCCGTCGAGGTCCTTCACCAGCAGTAGGTTTGGCGGTCGCCGGTGAGCCAGCAAGTCAATCCTCACGGCCGTCGTCTTGCACACGCTTGACGACCTCGAGGAGGCTGGGGTAGATCTTCTCCGTGGTCTGAATGCCACATACCTTGGCGACGACGTCCTCGGCGCTGTTGTCTGCCATGATCTTCTCCAGCTCCTTAGACTCCTCGTCCTCCTCGTAGCCCTGGAAGCGGAAGGCCATCTCGATGGCATCGAGGAGGTACTTGATGGGCTGGCCATTCTCGGCCAGCTCAGCGGCGGGGCCAATGAAACGCTCCTTGCGAGAGAGCTTGCGGAGGGGAGCACGGCCGACACGCTCTACAGCATCCTCCAAGTGAGGGTTGCCAATGCGCTTGATGATCTTGTTGACATAAGCCTCCTGCTCCTCTTCAGGAATGCCGTGCTTGTTTACGATGAGGTTCTTAGTCTCTTGCAGAGCACCGCGGACCTCGGCAAGGATAGTCTTGTCCTGGAGAGCATCGAAGACAGTGCGCTTTCTGCGGTTGTAGCCGTGGTAGGCAGCGGTGGCATGGCCAGTGTTGACAGTGAAGAGCTTGCGCTCAATGTAAGGGCCAAGGTTGCTGACCCAGTTGATGCCGACAATGTCGGGGATACCGACGTCCTCGAAAGGAGTCTTGTCAACGACCCACTCGAAGAACTTCTCGAGAGTTACGTCAAGGCCGGCGTTGGGGTCTTGCGCGGGCACAATGCGGTCAATGGCAGAGTTGGCGTAGCGAGCGCGGAGGTGGTGGTCCTCACGGCGATCCTCGGCGGTGTTGTTGATGATGAAGCCGGCAAGAGTGTCTGTGGCGCCAATGGCATTCTCGCAGGCAATGACGTGCAAAGGCTCGGCATCGTTGGAGCGAAGATCGATGCCCTTGGCGATGACAGGGGCGATGAATTTAAGGATGTTGGGACCAACAGAGCATGTGACGACCTCGGCCGTGCGGATCTCCTCAATCAGGTCCTGCTCGTGGGTTCTTGAGTTGACGGCGCGGTAGTTGGAAATGGTATTCTTGGTGGTGCCCTCTGAGCCGACCTCGATGACATGGTACTCGGGGGTCTCATTGAGCTGGTTGATCAGGTCGCCATTGACATCAGCGAAGACGACCTCGAAGCCGGAGTTGTGGAGGAAGCAGGCAACGAAACCGCGGCCTAGAAGGATGGTTAGATGCTGATTTTTTGCAAGAAAGACACTGGATCAAAGAGGAGCATACCGATGTTGCCAGCGCCGAAGTGAACAGCCTTCTTAACCATGATGGCGGTGGGGTTTGTATGGATGTAGGTGGATGGATTTGAGGCAAAGGCGAGATGTCCCACACTGCTTGTTGGATGTGGGGAGTGATCGGAGGAGGAAGATTGAAGAAGATGGAGAAGAGGAAGAGGAAAGAGGGTTTAGCGCTCTTTAGCTAGTTTGATGATTTAGGAATGATGAGAAATCTGGAGGGGCAGAGCGGGCGGGAGCGTGTTTATATAAATGGGCTCGGGCAGTGAAGGCGAGGGATGTGGGCGAGGATGGGAATGATATCAGACACGACATGACAGTCGACAATCGACCTGGCATGGAACCTGCCTGGTATGGGGCCGAGCGAGATACATTACGTCTACCTACAGGCCGCCAGCCGATATGAACGCCGCCGCCAGACTCAAATCGGCCGCAGGTGCGGTGGGTAAAGGGCAGTGGCATCGGGGCAAGAAGCTACATAACTACATGTGCAATCGAGGGCAATGCCAATGCACCAAGGTGGGACCAGCAGAAGCCACCAGGGCCACTGGGAGGAGCAAGGGGAGGGAGGCATGGAGGGGGAGGGGAATGGGTGGATGGGATGGGTGGATGGATCCATCATCCGCCATCAGACGTACATACATTCATACTACATCCATCCATGCACAGCAGCCCGTCCAGTGAGATCGATCAGCCGGGCAGGCAGCTTGGTCGCCTAAAAGAGGCGGCTGCAGCAGCACATGCATGGATCAAGGGCGATGGCTGGCTGATTGATGGATTGATTGACTTTTGTCTTGTCTGTTAGGTTTGTCTCGACGCTCCGCTACGGCCGACGCAAAACATTGCCTTCACAGACAAACAGACAAAGAAGTTGCATTTCTCGCGCCCATTGACCGCCGCTAGCCAGGAGCAGCCCTCTGCGATGTCCATCGTCATCGTGCCGCAGAGGCTCTTCTGGGGGCCGCTGTCATCATCATCGAAGCAGACCCCTCGCAAACAGGGCAGTAGGGACCAGGGGTCCAATTTTTAGTGATTACCAGCTCTGTACTAACGCATGGAGGAACCTCGCAAAGTGCCGTCGACAATGTCCAGCTCTTCCGCATGTCCTTCGGCGTTTCTGAATGATGACTCCTCGCTCCACCGTATCTGCTGCTCTGCCCAAGCATGTACACACGTAAGATGCATCCGACGAGCCCATGCCCGTTCGGTGCCCACCGTTACATACCTTACAGTGCATTATCTCCCGCAGGCGACGAGTCATTCAGAGACCTGGTCTCATGAGTCCAGACGTCGGCGCCAAGACCAGCCACGAGCCCGCGTGTGCCTTTTGCTTGGTTGGCAGTGACCATTTCTTACGGTGGATAGAGCCACAGAGTTCACACATGCATAGGAACAGCTGCCGACTGCATTCTTGCTCCTCCCCAGAAATACCACCGAAATCCGAGACAACTGTTGCTTCCTGACCATTACCTTCGGCCGGTCGCTCGCCGCTTCACATATTATACCTCATGCTGAACGGGGTTAATACGATGATGGAATGGACACAGCGGATTGGCTGTCCCCTGAGGGGCTCCCCTGTGGATCACTGTCTAGTACGGTGACAGTGACGAACGGTGCCCCCTCAGCTCCACTATGCAGCCCACCGTCAGTGGTCCGTCAGTGCCACCGTCATTGCAGGAGGGAGCCCTTTCCATCATCGTGCTTCCATCCTCTTCTCCACCCCTCCACCACCATCCAATCAGCCCGCCAGCGATCTCAGCAACCGCCCTCGATACTCCAAGTCGTAATTATTACATACTGCTCCCAAAATGGGGGGTTGCGAGGAGGGGCTCTACCAACACTCGAATCACGTCGAATCTGGCCGCCATGGGACGGAACCATGACATCACTGAAGCCGTTCGAGCGACCGACCTCACGATGCTGCCCTCGTCCTCTCTGTCTCTGACTCGTCCCAGCCCAATCCAAACTAAGACCGACCGTCTTAGGTAACAATGGCTCGCGATATGTTGGACAGGGGCCGTCGCCGCCAGATAAGATACCCCGATCCAAATGGCCGGCTCAGACTCGCCCTGCCATGGTACTTCGGCCCGTCACTAAATAGGCTCTACTCGCCCGCAAGTGTAAGCACCGTACGGAGAATGTATGGAAGAATTCCTTCTGATAATACCGAGCACAGTGCTGCTCCTACGCCGACCTCGCCGGTACCAGAGTTCTAAGACCCGGGGCGAGACCCCTCCTAAAGGCCGAAACTGTCTTGGACCAAGCGTCGACAAGGCCCATCTGCGTGCGTTTGCGCCCGTTTGTCGCATCGTGCACACTAGACCGAGCGCTGGTCCATCAATCCATCGCCGACAAGGTCACGATAATAACTCGCGCCGCCTCATCAGCAAGCCCCAACACTGCCACACCTTGCCATGTCCCTCCGTTTATCCATAGGTCATCCTTCCACCCGCGACAAGTGCCAAGAGAGGGTGACACTCGCCCGTTGGGTCTAGCCTGGCCTATATGCCTTTCTGAGGCGGGCAATCCTCCGGCACATGGAATAATGGTGCTGTAAAGCCACCAATATCTTAGTAGCCGCCGGTGCCGTCCCCCAATGATGGGAATATGATCAGCCGTTGTCAAGGCCTCACAATCATATCATATATCACTTTTCCCAGCAACAGCAGGCTCGGGTGATACAGTAACAGGGCCATGACGACGACGGCAAAAAACAGCCAACATCGAATTTCCCAACGCACTCCCCGTCAAATGAGGTTCCATTGCCATAAGAAACGGTACGTATGATCTCCGTTTTGGTCCTTGTACATCGTTGCATGCATAGAACCTGCAGCTCTTGGTATTTATGGCGTAGCCCTGAACAGCCGACGACCAACAGACCCCGGGCAGCGGTTTCACAAGCTATGCACCCGGAGGCAGGCAAGGCAGGTCTCTGTATTTTCCCCAAAGATCAGCCATCACCACGACCCGGTTTTAGCCGTAGTGGCCGTGTGCTCGCTCGTTGACAACAGGAACAATGCCGATCATCAAATGAATGAATGCCAACAAGCGATGCTGCCCATCTCCATCCAGAAACCGGTGAGTGAAATTGGTCACAAAACGGCATGCGTGACAGTCTGGTGCGTCGCTCGCCTGGGTGTTGCCAGAAGGCGCCACGAGCATCCTATCCATCGTTCCACGGTCCCTGGCCATCCATGTGCACCGATCTATTGTCTCATTTGATGGGGGGAGGCCAAGAGCAGAGCCACACTCCAACTGGCGTTACACCGAGCAGACGTCAGTCGCCCTGCAGCTGCTCCCCAACAGAGAGCCAGAGCAAGCGCCATCGATCAGTGGACGGAGCCGAAGCGGCCACCAAGGGTCCTCTCCAGGAAAGCAACCCAGTGACGTCTACGTTGGCTGGGCCTGCCCCATCGGATTCCTCAACCGACGGGACGAACATATGCATGCATGCATGCACGCCTGCCTCGCTATTGTTATCAAAGTCGAACCTCAGTGAATCCCAGCGTTTCCCCCTTGCTTCCCTCGGCACTACTCTCCATCTCCCCGACTTGACGCCAGGACCCAGGCCGTAGCTGCATCCCCAAACGCCTCGGTCTTTCTCCCGCGGCTGCAGGGCTCGCATGGGCCAAAAGTCACGATCAAAGGGTCCCCGGCCAGGAATATCGGTCTCGCTCGCCAAAAGCGCTTCCGTTTCAAACTGGTCCCGCCCCCGCTACCACCCCCAGCCCGCCCACCATGCAAGGCAAGAGGTGCGCCCGCCGGGGGAGGGTATGAATGGATCAAGGGGGATGTAAAGGGGCCGAGCTGAACACATCACCAGCATCGCCATGTGCAGGAACGAGGCGTGAGCCGGAAGTATAATTCATGTGCTGGACGTTTCTGCCCCCTTTACCGGACAGGAGAGGAGAAAATCGCGCGTCGCCCGGTACGAGTTCGCTCATTCGGGATCTTACCTTTTTTTTTGGACATGTTCCTGGGCCCTTTGTAATGCCGTGACCGAGGATATATCACGGGCTGACATCTCATGATCTTTCATCTCGCTCGATGGATATCGTGCCATGCCCACGTCCTCCCGCCCTTTCCCATCCAGTTTTTACCCCTTTCCTGTGCTTGTTTCATCAACCCGCGTAGAACATCCCCCCGATCCGCGCAGGGTGATCCTCTCCGTCGGAGTCATCTCGGGCTCAACCCGAGCCGTCGCAAATCAGCCAACTCTACAGCCTCACTTTGCTTCCCATAATAACCCGAAAGCCCAGCGACCGCGTAATTTGCATCCTTGGATCCAGCCCAAGCCCGGCCGTGCCAACTTCCCCGGCCAATCACGGCACCTCGACTTCCCAACCAGGTAGTTTCCTGCCTGGATGCCACTTTTTTGATGGGGCGGAGGGAAGGCTGGCGCGTCTGCAGACACATAGCTCATAGTTGACTCACGGTTTGGGGGCCAGCGGCTACTAAGAAGGAAGCGTTACCGCTGTGCTTGTGTGATTCCCTCCTGGTGATGAATGTCGTAGGAAGCTTGTCAATCTTTTGGCATCCCAAGCAGCGTCTGGCTACTAGTAAGCTTAGTTTTCTCAACTCGGTGATCGTCGATGACTACATCACGTATCCATCACGTTTGAATACGAATAATTGTCCATTCCCCCAGAGAGGGAAGCCAGTATCGTGTTTTGAGAGCTTCATTAATAGTACTATGTACAAATCATGGCATCCAGCCTCGTTACGCGCTCAGCCATGCCACCATACCTCTTGCAATTTTCTCTCTTCTTTCCCAGTGTTTGCTCCTTTGGTTTTCCAATTTGTGCTATTGTTTTGTTTTCTTGCGCTCGTTTACAAAATTCATAATCGTCACTTCGCAACCATGTCTCCTCCAAGAGACGTCGGCAATCTTTACCTTAGATCTTGGAGTACTTCTTGAAAGCACCGATGAGACCGCCGGTGGAGGCATCGTGGCCCTCGCCGTTGCCGGGCTCACTGAGCTCAGTGAGGATCTTCTTGGCCAGGACCTTGCCCAGCTCGACACCCCACTGGTCGAAGCTGTTGATGTCCCAGATGGCACCCTCGGTGAAGGTGAGGTGCTCGTAGTAGACGATCAGGGCACCGAGCTCGGCGGGGCCGATGGCGCCCCCGACGAGGATGGAGGTAGTAGGGCGGTTGCCGAGGAAGCGCTTGTGAGGGACGAGGTCCTCGGGGGCACCCTCGGCTCTGACCTGCTCATCTGTCTTGCCGACCATGAGAGCCTCGGCCTGGGCAAAGTAGTTGGAGGCCAGCATCTTCTGGTGGAGGTTGTCGGAGATGGGGTTGTGAGACTGAGCAGCCAGGATGAAGTCAGTAGGGATCAGCTTGGTGCCCTGGTGGACAAGCTGGAAGAAGGAGTGCTGGGCGTTGGTGCAGGGCTCTCCGAAAAGAATGGGACCTGCCGTCAAGTTAGTACCATATTACACTTTATCGCCTAGTCATGCCTAATTTCCAGGCAAGGTGCAGATTCACGTACCAGTGGTGTACTTGGCCGAAGAGCCGTCGGAGGTGATGGTCTTGCCGTTAGACTCCATAGACAGCTGCTGGAGGTAGGCAGGGAAGCGGTGGAGGTACTGGTCGAATCTATTTGGATATACCGTGTTAGAATAGCAGATAATTTCGCAAGCTCTCACTCGCTTTCATGCATAGCTTCAACAAGAAACTGGGGATGTACGTACGGAGCAACCAAGTGGGTTTGGGCGTGAAAGAAGTCCGAGTACCAGACGCTGAGAAGACCACCAAGAACGGGGATGTTCTCGCGGAGAGGGGTCTCGCGGAAGTGCTTGTCCATGGCGTGGGCACCGCTCAAGAACTTGTGGAAGTTGTCGTAACCGACGTAGAGGGCAACGCTCAGGCCAATGGCGCTCCAGACGGAGTAGCGTCCACCGACCCAACTCTCGAAGCCGAACATGTTCTTGCTGTCGATGCCGAACTTGGTAACCTCGGGCTCGTTGGTAGAGAGAGCGACGAAGTGCTTGGCGATCTCGCCCTTGCCGTCGGTCTTCTCGAGGAACCAAGACTTGGCAGTGTTGGCGTTGGTGGTGGTCTCGGCGGTGGTGAAGGTCTTGGAAGCAACCAAGAAGAGGGTGGTCTCGGGGTCGGAGGCCTTGAGGGCCTCAGCCATGTGGGTGCCATCAATGTTAGAGACGAAGTGAAGAGTCATGTCGTCGGCACCGTAGTACTTGAGCGCCTCGGTGACCATGACGGGGCCGCTACAAAAAGCCAATATGTCAGCGGATCCAAGAACCACTTCATTCCTCGCCAAACGTTGGCAAGCTTGGGTTTCACTTACAGATCGGATCCACCAATACCAATATTGACGATGTTGGTGAGCTTCTTTCCAGTGAATCCCTTCCATTCGCCACTGCGAACCTGCTCGGAGAATTCCTTCATATGGTTGAGAACCTCGTTGACACCGCCAGCGTTGTTCATGACGTCCTGTCCCTCGACCGTCATCTCCCAGCCGCCAACGTTGCGCAGAGCAGTGTGGTAGACGGCGCGGTTCTCGGTGAAGTTGATCTTGTCACCACGGAACATGGCATCACGCTTTCGCTCGACGCCAGCCTGCTCGGCGAGCTTGACGAGAAGGTCGAGGGTCTCATCGGTGAGGAAGTTCTTGCTGAAGTCGAAGAGGATGTCGGCCGAGGCGTCGCTGGTGAAGGTGCGGGAGAAGCGGGAGAAACGCTCGGGATCGGAGGCGAAGGCCTCCTTAAGGACAAAGTTCTTGCCGACACCGTCACGGTGAGTCTGGAGCTCTGACCAGGCTGGGAGGGTGTTTGTGGGAGCCATTCTGACGAGTGGTTGTGGTTATCGTAGGGGGAAAGGAGCTTCGAAGACTGCCGCGGGAAGCTGTTAGAAGGTTTGTTTGTACAGAAAAGAAGTTGGTATTTCAAAAGCCATCAAACCCAACAGCCAGATGAAGCTCCATGCCAAGGAAGCTGGTTGGCTGAGAGCTGAGAGGAGCTCTCGGAGGCTGGTGGGGCAATGAGGGGGTGGAAAGCTTGACGGGAACGGCGATAGCAGAGAGACCAAGCACATGGGAACATACCTTGACTGGGATGACCAATTGGATTCAGACGCGAGACAAAGCTACGTCTGTTCCTCGGAAGCAAGAGAGCTAGATGGGCAGAAGACTCTGGGGAGAAGAGGGGGGAGAGAAAATGAATGGAATGGGCAGAGGAGGGAGGGGTGATGGCGGGGTGATGTATGTGTTGGATGCATGAGATGGGCCACGGCATGGGTTGGCTGTCAACCTGCCAGTGGCCCAGTGGACCAAGCCGCCGCCGCCGGGCACCTAAAACAGCAACCACCTCAGGCTTCAGGTAGCGCTACCTGCTCTCTACCTCATCGCAGTTTGTTCCAGGTCAGTCCCGGTGCCCGTGGCGGCGGTACTTTGAGGGTGCCAGGTACCCCCACCTGAAGCTTCAGCGAGGGGCGGAAGCGAGCCGCTAAACAAGCAGCGACCCCACTAAGCAGGTATCTCTGTACTGCTAAATCCGGGAAGCCATCGCTAACCTCCACTGTATTGGCAGCTCCCACCAGCTAAACCTCCAGCTCTAAGCCAAGCAGGTGCCTACGTAACGCTTAGCAACATCCTACTAATAATCGATGCAGAGCGAATCACCAGAAGCAGCACAACGACGCTCAACCATCGGACCTCGCGGATGGAAACCTGACCCCTCATTCCATTTGCGCCCAAAGTCAGAGCAGCCCGATAGCCTCATCATAAATAATCGGCTGTCAGCGCTGACTGAAATCACCTAATTCACACCCACTCAGCCCATCACCACGACACCAACAGCCATCATCAGTTACTAATCCCGGGGCCTCACCTCATTCTCGCCCAGGGCAGATTTCATGCACCGTTCCCCCCGGCGCTGGGCCTCATTTCTCCGACCATGCCGTGCCTAGCCCTTTTTATTCCACATGCACCATCAGATCGGTACTATTGGGCGGTCCTTTCCTGATGTACATATCGTCGCATGTAGAATCGCAGATCGTACATACATGTAAACGCGCGAGATTGTAGCCCGTCGGCGGTGCCCCTCCACCACCCCGGACAACTGTCACCCTCCTTTTCCGTACTTTCTGCCCCGCCGACGGACTTGTTGCTACAAGAAAAGAAGGAATAACATATGAAGAAAAAAACCAAAGGGGGGAAATCAAAACAATGTACATGGTATGCTTTGTAAACTCCGTTGCTGCGAGAACGAACGGCCTTGGCCCCAGTTTACGGCCCGTCAGCCCTAGGTGATGCTCTGAATAGCAACTAGATAGATTGCGCCAGCTTCTTCATCCATCCTCCCCAATAGGTGAATAGAATTGCAGGTGGGACACATATTGAGTTTTTGTATTTTTTTTTTATCATCTTTTCCTTTTCCTTGTCTGGGTATTCCTCTACCTTGTCTTCGGTTTCACTTTACACCCAACCAAGCTGTATAATCTCATCATTCATGAACCTGAAACATATCCCCAATTGAACGTAGGATTCCAATCACCTTCTCGGGCCTCTTCTCCTACTCCAATGCTCCCCTCTTTCTCATGTTGAAAACCGGCTACGTCTTGAGCGAGTAAACGTCAAAAACAAAGGGAAAGTAAGCAATAAATTCGAAATCGTACGTCATGGCATGTCCCTTGCTGTAACAGTGTAAAGAAAGCGCTTCGCTAGCACGAGTCTGCTTCTTCTTTGGGGGTTGCGGCCTTCTTCTACCCCCAAGGCGGCTGTCGTTTATCGTCTGTCCTGCAAACTTCCAACAAAGGAAGGATCCTTAACACTTCCTCCGGCATCACCTAGTCCGGCGATCGGGCGGTTGTAGCTGAAGCCCTGGAACTGATCCTGCATGGTCTGCGAAAGTGCGTCGCCCCCAACGAAGGAGTCCTGGGGCGGCTTCGATGTGAATTCGGGATCGACATTGCCCACATCAAGTGCATCGGTCTGTGTGAAATGTCATGTTAGTGGGCCGATATTGATTCACAAGGGAGGGGAGCCGGATCCGGGGTCAGGGATGCTGGGAAAGGGGGAACTTACCACAGTGGGCTTGAATGTCGGCTCATACTTGCGCTGCAGCAGCTTCCTCCAGTCAATAGCATGGAAGAAGGGGTGAGCTTTGATCTCGGCAGATCCGTTAGCACCCAGTCGTTTCTCGGGGTCACGGTTCAACAGCTTCGTAAGGAGGTCCTTAGCCGCCGGTGGCACTGCGTCGGAGAAATGAAGAGGCTCAGACAGAATCTTGCGATACATCTCGTTGGTGTTTTCATCGTAAAAGGGTGGGAGACCTGTCAACATCTCGTAGAGAAGGACTCCCAGAGTCCACCAATCCACCGTTTTGTTGTATCCCCGTCCCATCAGTAGCTCTGGCGCCAGGTACTCCGGTGTGCCGCAGAAGGTATTTGTTTGATCCTCATCCTTCATGTCGAGCTTGCAGAGTCCGAAATCGCAAAGGGCAATGTGACCTTGGTAGTCAAGTAGAATGTTCTCGGGCTTGAGATCACGGTAGATAACGCCAAACCCGTGCAGACACTCGAGGGCGCAAAGGAGCTCTGCGGTATAGAATCGCGACCTATTAACGTCGAAACGGTGATCTTTCTGCAGGTGATGGAATAACTCGCCGCCATTGACGAAGGCCAAGACAAAGTACAGCTTCTCGGGAGACTGGAAGCTAAACTTGAGGGGCACGATGAATGGGTTGTTGATTTGTGCCAGCACATACCGTTCCGCCATTGTGTGTGCAACCTCTGACCTGGAAATGATGTGCGCCTTTCGGATAGTCTTGAGCGCATAGATACGGTTTGTGTCCTTCTTGCGCACCTGCATCACCTTGCCGAAGCTGCCCTGGCCGATCACGGTGAGAAGGTCAAAATCCTCGATCTTGAGCTTTCCCTCGCGAGTCTCCACGTACTCAACCCCAACCTTGATTCTTCCGGTGCCGTATTGAACATCCGCCCACTGCACGCCGCTGAAGCCCTCCTGTAGCGAGTCTGAAGCAGACTTCTCTCTGTCCTTCTTGCTAGCCTTGGGGTCCTCCGATTGGTGTTGTCGAGGCTGGAATCGGGGGTTGATTCGAGCGACTCCCAGGAAGATGTCTTGACTTCGGCCCGACCCCGGAGGCGCTGACGGGTTTCTCATGTAGAGGTGGATGACAAGCTCCGTCACTCGTGACACGTCGAACTTGTACTGTGTGCTGCTGCCCGCCCACAGCGGGTTCTCCGGGTTGCCCTCAACCGAATTGACAAACACCTGCAGCTTGTCGAAGTCGAGCAGCGCATAGGGCATGTACTTTCCAGAGACACGCCCATGGTTGGTAGGGATGCCACTGAAGCCGCCGGCCGACGAGTGTGGCCTGGCTGAGCCGTTAGCCAAGGATCCCGCCACTCGCTGCGACGACCCGGGTCGGACTGATCCACTCAGGGCATTCCCAGAGGAGAGTGACCCTTGGTGTTGTGAAGCAAAGGCTTCTCGGTGCGCATCGGGGAGTGAGAAACCTTGGCCTTCGTGGAGGGTGACGACGAGGATGCCGGGCTTTGGGAGTTTCACAATGGGAGATTGTGTCAAGGCTTCTGAGGCGGCTGTGCAACAACGAGATTATGTCAGTATGATGGCACACGCGAGCTGGGGCAAGGGTGGAAACAAGGTGTGAGGCTGCGTGGCTAACCGATTGAGCTCTCCGGGGTTGGTGTGGTGGCGCCAGTAGAGGTACTGGAGCGGCCTTTGTCGTCCTTGTCGGTGATGGTCGACGTCGAGGGCGTCCGGGAGAAGGCGCCAGTCAATGGACCGAGGTGCGTCTCCTTGAGCTCTACAAGAGGGGTGCTCACGTAAGTATATAAACAACACGTGCATGGTGAAACCTGAGTGAGGAACTTCAACATACTCTTGGTAAGTTTCCAGGACATGATGACGGTCAGTTCTGGGCTGGGCTCTGTATTCTGTATATAGGTATATGTACGTATGCGTCTATGTCGCGGGCCTCGAGAGAATGTGCAGGAGTATATAGGACGGAAATGTCTATGGCAGAAGCAAGCTGAGTTCCACCACCTCTAAATCGGCTTTGGTACGTCTAGCAGGATGCGCGAGAGGAGGTCGAGGGGATAGGAAGCTGCGAGAGTAGGGGTCCCTAGGACCCAGGCTGGAGATGGGGGCAGAACCGGTCAATTGTCGCTGGCTCGCTTACGAGGCCCAAACCGATCGAGAGCGAGGCAAGTCGAGCCGGGTCGAGTCGAGTCGTATGCTGGAGGGGTAGCTGCTCGGGGTCGAGTCGCAGCGGAGGAGGGGAAAGAGAGAGAAAAGGAGGGGAAGGAAAAAGAACTGGGCCCGCAGATGCTTCTTCTTTTCCGGGGAGGGCAAAAGACGAAGGGAGATGTAAGAAATGAGAAGAAGGAAACCAGGCCGTAGGGATGGAGGTAGATGATTACGGGCACGGGGTCTTGAGGCGATGCAAAAGCCGCTGGAGATGGCAGGCTTGTCGGTTGGGCTCTGGTTGGCTGGATCGCGCAAGCACAGGCGGGCATCCACTGAGGCGGCGACTGGCAGTGAGGAGGAATGGCGGCCTGCCAACCCCGCAGCCAAGATAAGATAAGCGCTTGTGCGTCTGCTTCTGCTTCTGGGCAAACGAATGCAACGCAGCGCTCGACGACAAATGCAAGCAGCAGCAGAGTCGATAGCGCCCGCTTGCTGACCAGGGCAGACAGCGTGCGGGTAGTTGGCCGGTGAGGGGAAGCAGACTAGGGGGCAATAGTGTGGGAGGCCAACCAAGACGGATGCCGTATTCCTGTTGCTTCGTCTTGTGCTGGGCAGGGACAACGAGAGCAGTGGACAAAGATATACGTATTCTCACATGCACGAAAGACTCTGAGCCAGAGAAAAGGGGCGTGGAATCCACGGGGCCCGGCTCTTCGTCATCACAAGCTGAGAGGACAGTGAGCGCCGCAAGGCCACCAGCACATTCAGTACACTGTATCTAATGATCTAACTACTGTGCGAGTGTACAGCCGCCCAAGCAAACATTGGCCTGGGGCCCTGATTTCAATAGCTCCCCCTCCAGTCAGCCATGGCCGGGATAGTGGGAGGATGTGAGGCGAAGCAGGCTCATCATTGGCAATCTGCCCAATAAGATTCCTGGCTGGCCTGGGAAGTGGGGATGGGACCAGACGCGTCCTTGAGTTGAGCCACAGCCTTTGGAGCACTAGAAGCATTTCCAGCTGTGACAGCTACTGTAATAGTACTAGAAATTCCAGGGGTGCTTCAGAGGCGCACTGTATCATCATGACAGTTCTCCCATATTACCAAGCTCGATGCTAATAATATGTGATTCCAAACCCGTATTTCTGCTCTGACATTGACTCGAGATTGCATAGCTATGCTGAGGCTGCACAGCCGACCCAAAGATAGAATCCATCTGGCCCTTGGGCTCGTATTTCTGATTCATTACGCGTTAGGAGCCAAGCATCCCAATCAACACGATGGCAATTCGTGCGCCGAAAATAGCTACTTCTTACAAGCCAAATCAATCAAGCTGTGCTCGAGTTAGTGCCATCCGTGTTGTCATTCGAAAGAGGAGCAAGAGATTGGGTGTGCCGAATACTACTCAAGTCAACACTTGAAGCTCGCTGTGGCTGAAACAGAGCTCGTACGGAAGACTCGTGGCTGGAGACTTTGCAGCCCGATAATCCAGGCACACATTTCTGGCGATGTGGATAGCACCAATGAGCTCTGTGCATTGGTATAGGGTAGGTAGCAACACTGCTCCTGCCGCCCTGGAGGCCACAGTGGACAGGGGCTCATCACCGCCTTGGTGCTACCGTGGAGCCAAGGCCACATCACAACTTCGTCCAAGCTAGAACCGCTAATCTTCCCCCAAGTCCATGGTTCGAGCTGCGCGCACATCAGTCGCTCTCCAGGCTTGTGGTCCGCTGTTCCTATCCTTCAATCTCTCTTGAACCGCTTTTGCAGGCTGCTGGTTGTGCCTGAGCGCCCACAGCTCCCTCGTTCCCAACACGAGCGGTGTCCCCTTGGAATAATCCGTCGCAATTCGAGGCACCTCCTGCCATCACCCCCGGCATCTCCCCGTCGTTATACGCTTTTCTCCTCTCGGATCGCTCGATAGAAGCTACAAATTGGCTCAATTGATATCACCATGAGGCTGGATGTGAAGGTTGGTCTAGCCCAGACTTGCTGCCATTTTGGACACCATATATGCCCCGCCATCATGCTTCCAGATGCTCCCAACCCAAGCACCGGCAACTCGCTCGACCCGGATTCCATGCTAACTCTTCTCCAAATATAGCGCCAGCTCTATGCCCGCAGCGAGCGGGTGAAGGGCATCGACTTTCACCCTCAGGAGCCATGGATTCTCACGACCCTTTACAGTGGTATGTTCGGACAGCCTGTCATTTGCCTTCCCCTCCCTTTCGTTGCCAGGAACATCTCCTAAATTTGACTTTCGCATTCTAGGACACGTCTACATCTGGTCGTACGAGACGCAACAAATTGTCAAAACCTTTGAGCTCACCGATGTCCCCGTCCGTGCCGGTCGATTCGTCGCCCGCAAAAACTGGATTGTCTGCGGTTCCGATGACTTCCAGATCCGAGTCTACAACTACAACACCTCAGAGAAGATCACCTCGTTCGAAGCACATCCCGATTACATTCGCGCCATTGCTGTCCACCCTACGCAACCTTTCGTTCTTACCGCTTCCGATGACATGACCATCAAGCTTTGGGACTGGGAAAGGGGCTGGAAGTGCGTGCAGACCTTCGAGGGCCACAGCCACTATGTCATGGGCCTCGCCATCAACCCCAAGGATACCAACACATTTGCCTCGGCCTGCCTCGACCGAACCGTCAAGATCTGGAGCCTTGGCTCTCCCTCGGCCAACTTTACCCTCGAGGCTCACGAGACCAAAGGTGTCAACCACGTCGACTACTATCCCCATTCCGACAAGCCCTACATTCTCACGACCTCAGATGATCGCACCGTCAAGATCTGGGATTACACCACCAAGTCGCTGATCGCCACTCTGGAAGGACACACCAACAATGTCTCTTTCGCTTGCTATCACCCCGAGCTCCCCGTCATTATCTCCGGCTCTGAAGACGGTACGATTCGCATCTGGCACGCCAATACTTATCGCTTTGAGCAATCGCTCAACTACAGCCTGGAGCGCGCGTGGTGCGTCGCTTATCAGAAGGGAAAGCAAGGTATCGCTGTCGGTTTCGATGATGGTGCCGTGGTAGTGAAGTTGGGTCGTGAAGAGCCTGCCGTGTCCATGGATGCGTCAGGAAAGTTGATTTGGGCGAAGCACAATGAGGTTGTGTCATCCATTATCAAAGGTGGAGGTAAGCTTTCTCCTGAACCCCGAGGGGTATTGGCCTGTGGTTAGGTTTATTTTCCCCTTTACTGACCCATCCCCAGATGCCTCTATAAAGGACAACGAGCCCATTTCCCTCCCGACCAAGGATCTCGGAACCTGCGAAGTCTACCCCCAGACCCTCCTCCACTCCCCCAACGGCCGATTCGTTTCCGTATGCGGTGATGGCGAATACATCATCTACACTGCCTTGGCATGGCGCAACAAGGCATTCGGTTCTGCCCTCGACTTCGTGTGGGCCTCCAAGGAGAACAGCAACGACTTTGCCATCCGCGAGTCAGCCATGAGCGTCAAAGTTTATAAGAACTTTGTAGAAAAGAGCGAGGGTCTAGACGTTGGCTTCCAGGCTGAGGGGCTTGCCGGTGGTGTTCTTCTCGGTGTTACCGGACAAGGTGGTATTTCCTTCTTCGACTGGAATACCGGTGGTCTAGTGCGACGCATTGAGGTTGAGCCAAAGCAGGTACGTCATAGGCAACTGGCCAGGCAATACTGCGTTTATGTCAGGTACTAATAAGGATGCAATAGGTCTACTGGTCAGAGAGCGGAGAACTCGTGACCATTGCTTGCGAGGACAGCTTCTACGTCCTTCGATTCTCGCGCGAGGCCTACGTTGAGGCAGTCCAAAACGGCCAGGTTGACGATGACGGTGTCGAAGCAGCCTTTGATATTATTACCGACATTGCTGAAACGTATGTGATTATCGCATTGGCGCCGGTTCATGTTGCTAACATGCATGTCTAGTGTTCGAACCGGAGAATGGGTTGGAGACTGTTTCATCTACACCAACAGCACAAACCGACTGAATTACCTCGTGGGCGACCAGACATATACCGTATCGCACTTCGACAAGCCCATGTACATCCTCGGCTACATCCAGCGAGACTCACGGATCTACTTGGCCGACAAGGATGTGGGCGTCACATCCTTTGCGCTTTCTCTACCCGTTCTCGAATATCAGACCCTGGTGTTGCGTGAGGATATGGAGACAGCGGCGGAGCTCCTCCCCTCGATCCCCGCGGACCAGCTCAACAAGATTGCACGATTCCTGGAAGGTCAGGGCCACAAGGAATTGGCATTGGAGGTGGCCACCGATCCCGAGCACAAGTTCGAGCTGTCCTTGGCTCTGAACCACCTAGACGTCGCTCTGGAGCTAGCAAAGGAGGCCGATGCAGATCACAAGTGGAAGACGGTTGGCGATGCTGCTCTGTCAGCCTGGGACGTCGCTCTTGCCGCTGAGTGCTTCACCCATGCCAAGGATCTCGGGTCATTACTACTTCTACACTCGTCAACGGGAGACCGTGACGGACTGGACGCCCTGGCCAAGCAGGCTGAGGGCACGGGGGCTCACAACGTTGCCTTCTCGAGTTACTGGCTCCTGGGCGAGATCGAGAAGTGCGTCGAGCTACTCAAGAATACTGGCCGCCTAGCCGAGGCCGTCCTGTTCTCACAAACCTACAAGCCTAGTCTGACGGCGTCGGTCGTGTCAGATTGGAAGGAGAACTTGGACAAGAGCAAGAAGGGCCGCGTCGCCAAGCTGATTGGCGTACCGGGTGAGGACGATGACCTGTTCCCTGAGTGGGACGAATGGCTCAAGCTTGAGCAGGAGGGCGGGAACGTCACCGAGATCGCCGAAGAGGAGGCTGCCGAGGAGGAGGCTGAGGAAGAGTAGGGAAGTGACAAGGAGGGAAACACTTGATGATCAGACGCCGCCAGGGGATGACGGGGAAAAACAAACGTCATCCAAACGGCGAAAGAATTGGTTCTATTTTTGCGCGGATGGCATGAAGCTCTTCTTTCTTCTTTCCATTCTTTCTTTGTAGCATGTGATATGGCCGGTGTCAAAAAAGTGGAGGGTGGTAGTCTTTGGCTGTGTTTGTTCACTGGTTCGCCGCGGGTTCCTGGAGGGACTGGGCTGCTGTCCTATGGAGTAGGGGCTAGGCTACATCATTGAGGGAAGGGAAGGGGAACGATGTAGGATGAAGAATCTATAGATAATGAAACTGTTATGCTGGTATTACTTAATTGAGGATTGTCTTTGTGTATGGAGGTTTCGTTGGCAGGACATGCTGATGTGATGACCGCTCGTGGCTACCGGGTGTATGGAGGCGAGATCCAAATCACTGGTGGAACTTTGGAACCCCCCACCATCGGGTACGGTAGATCTAGCAATGACGACATGACGAGGCACTCTGACTATATCTCCCCTTTATCCCGGGTACAATACCAGCCCTGCATATATATGATCCCAAGGAAGTGAAAGCGACGGATGCGAGGGCTGGGGTTCCTGGTATAGGGTAGGCGAGACAAGAGGCAGTATGGCTGAGCTCACATTGTGGAGTCAAAATAAGCGACACGTCCAATCAGCGATGGTGTGGAACAAAGTGGAGAGTCTGAATGAGGATTGATCTGAGGATGATGGATGATGAATCCGCACAGCCCCAGCTAGTGAAATGGGCGATGGCGATTGGTCCGGTCGCCAAAGCTTGTGCTTTGGATCTGATCTGGTTCCCGGCCTGGGCTTGGAGCCACCCAAATGGGCCATCAGGCTTCAAATTAGCCTCTACGAGTGCTCAGTCTTTCTCGTGCCCCTGGTCCTGACAGCCCCCAAAGCAGCTAGAGAGCCAGAAATGCCGGCTCAGCCAACGAGGCCATCCCCGTCATGCTCGGTACGGGCTCTCCCACCGTCCCATCTGGCGGAGTTGCGTGTGCTGTAGACGGTTGTGACGCGGCCCCGGCGCAAGGCAATGTGATATTATAATTTTAGAATCGACAGGGCTGGCCGAGAACCGAGCTTGCGATATGGATTCAGGGAGCATATAAGAGACGTGGGATCGTCCCGAGCTGGAGTTGATTCATCCTCCCATATCTCATCCATCAGTCTTCTCTCTCTCGTATATAAACCAATCCAGCCATGACCAGCCCTACGACCACCATCGCCGAGCTGGTATCCAGGACTACCGAGACTGCCGTCGCCTCCTGCACCACTGCCGTCCCCGACGAGAACGGCTATGTTCCCTCTGACGCGTGCAATGCCAACTATGGCTTCTACCCCAGCTTTGCCGCCAACTGCGCCTTTGCCGTCGTCTTCGGCATCAGCTTCACCGCCCACTTCGTCCAGGCCATTGCGTGGAAAAAGAGGTTCTGCTGGGTCCTGCTCATGGGTGTCTCGTGGGAACTGCTCGCCTTCATCCTTCGAACTGTTGGAAGCAAGGATCAGCAGAACACGGCATACGCCATTGCCGGGGAGCTCTTCTTCCTCCTCGCGCCTCTCTGTAGGTTTCTCCCGGATTGCCGTCCCAAAAGCCCATGAACCTGGACTAACATTCCCCGAAAACAGGGATCAACGCCTTTGTCTACATGACCGCCGCCCGCGTCGTGTACTACGCCGTCGACGACCAGTCCGTCTGGCGCATCAAGGCCACCTGGCTGACCCAGATCTTCGTGTGGATCGACGTCGTGTGCTTCATCATTCAGGCCGGCGGCGGCGTCCTCATGTCCAACGATGGCGCCGAGTCCGACCAGAACCTCATCGACATCGGGAAGAAGATCTACATGGCAGGCTGCGGCGCCCAGCTCGGCTTCATCATCGTCTTCATCGGGTTGATGGTCAGGGTCTACATGAAGATGCGGGCCACCCCCAGCCTCGAAGCCAACATGTCCCGGGCCATGCTGCTCTTCTGGACCTTGATAGGCGTCCTCCTCTTCATTGTGGTGAGTGTTCAAACCCCGATGTTTATAGTAAATACAAAGCTGACCTGCAATCACTAGATGCGCATCATCTTCCGCCTCGTCGAGTTCGGACCCGGCGCCGGCTCCGACAACGAGATTCTGGCCCACGAGGCGTACGCCCTCTGCCTTGACGCCCTCCCCATGACCCTCGCCGTCCTCCTCCTCAACGCCGTGCACCCGGGCTGGGTCCTCCGCGGCGCCAACAGCGAGTTCCCCCGCGCGACGCGCCAGGAGAGGAAGCTGGCCAAGGCGGAGAAGAAGGCGGCGAAGCAGCAGGCCAAGCTGGATAAGAAGTCCGCCAAGGAGGAGAAGAAGCTGAAGAAGCGCGGCGACGCCACGTTTGTCGCGCTGGATAACGATCACAGCTCGGTTGAGGAGGTGGAGATGGGACCGAGGCCGACTGCGCCGCTGCAGCCGTACAGTCCGTACGGGGGGCATCAGTCTGAGTATGCGACCTATGAGGATATTGGCGATAGCGGGCGTAGGGTCTGAGTCAAGTTGCTTCTGGACTCATTAATTTGTTGGCTTTCTGCCACTCATGGATAGCCGATGGGGTAATGGAAGAGCGTTCATTTGGATTTAGAGTGGAGGGATGATTTGGGTAGCGTTCGCTTGCTTAGAGTTTGGTCAGCGATTGGATTTTGGGTATAAGACAACATAGACATAATCATAAAAATTTTTCAAGCAAACTCATCTGGCTGCAATAAACCATTCGAGACTAAAATTCCAACCTTATCTGCGCGTAAAGAAATCCTGACTGTTCTTGATATGACCGATGTGAAGTCGCAGTCTATTTCCAAACGTATTGTCCCCCATATTCGCCATGACGGGTCCGAGGTTCTTTTGTGCCTCGGGTTCATACCCAGAATTTCCAACCATCATATCAGGCTCATCCCCCGTCTTGTTCTTGTGCCATTCTAGTCTGTTCGATCCTGCTGTGTGCGTGCCATCCGCTGAATTCTCGTCCGCCAAACCCCGTACAAGGACATCTTCTGAATCCAGTAGGGATTGCCTCGTTGCATCATGTTGCGTGAGATTCTGCTCTCTGGGCTCGAGCCGCTCGGCAAGTACGAGTTGCTGCCTGCAGAGCTCCTGGATAGTGTCATTAATCCGCTGCAAATCACCCCGCGCTACGCGGAAACCACTTTCGAGATTACCGGTGAGCCCGATGTGGATAGTGGTGATACACACGTGTAGCTCGCCCCTCGCATGGGCAAGACGGTTGAGAATATCATTGACCTGTTTGTCCCTCTCATCCCCGCTGATTAGGGACTTGCCAAACTGTTGAATCTTGTGCCTCTTGGCGTCTTCCTCCCTCTCATCTAGGGCGGCCTGAAGTTCCTTTTCGATAAGTACAATATTCTCCATTGGCTGCTTGATCTTGTCCACCTGAAGCATGGGCTCCCTGTTGATGTTATCAAGCGTTGCCAAGGTGGAGTCGATTTGTGTCGACATGTCGCGAGATATCTTTTCGGCCATGGTAACGCGATCGCGGGCCTTGCGGATGGTATGAATGAGCTCGATGCTCTCGGAGACTAAGTTGGTTCCACCAAAGATGATGCCTGACTTTTCACTCCCAATATGAGGTCAGAATGAATAATGTTCCTGAAAGAACTTGGGACTGGGGGGCTTCACCATGTTATTGGTGCGTTGTTTTGTCAGTAGATGATTCTGTCATCACAAACGAGATGGATGTAGCGCACACTAGGCATCAAGATCCTACTAAATAACGTGGCCGGAGATAATTTGACACGAAATACACGACTTGGGCCGCAAAGATTTTCTCTTGGGCATGCGTCAGTGGCTATGCCGGAAGTGCTGGCCATTCTGCCATGCAGTCATCGCCTGATCGGGCCGAGTCGAACTCTGCACTTCTATGGCCAAGCAACGATCTGGCGTAAGTATTACGCTCTCTTTTTTATTTCTTCTTTGGGCACCAAGCCAAAAATATAATCACAGCGATTGCTCGTCATGGGCACACAAAGAGGATGTTCAACGCCGGGATATCCTAGTACAACATGAGAAGCAAAATGGGAACGTCTATAACTACTATTGTCACACAGAGTACATTTGGAGATGATGCTACTATTGTGGGCAGTGTCACCAATAATCTGAGTAGTGATCTGCTTCCCACCGCAGGCGATGCCACCTACGACTCCTACGGGGAGCAGCATAACCCGACATGCCTCACCAACACGAGAACTCAGCTCCTCCATCAGATCCAACAATGGGTCAAATCGCCGACAAGTGAGTCCATCTTTTGGCTCAACGGGATGGCGGGGACGGGGAAATCGACTATTGCCCGCACAATGGCGAAATGGCTGCGCGAGACGGAAGTCCGCAATACGGGAGACGGCAGTACTAGACTCAGTGCCAGCTTTTTCTTCAAGGAGGGCAATCGAAATCGCGGACATGCCCGATTCTTTTTTACAACCATCGCATCACAGCTCGAAACATTGGACGCCGATCTAGGTAGTCTGATCGCATCAGCCATTAGGGCAGACCCAGGCATCAAGGACAAGGCGCTGAAAGTGCAGTTTAACAAGCTCATTAAGCAGCCCCTGCGTGATGCCCAAAAGCCCATGATTATTACCATCGTTGTCGATGCCATGGATGAGTGCGATGAGTGCAACGATGCGAAGCTCATCATCGATTTGTTGCCGCAGCTGAGCAAGATCCCCTCCTTCACTATTCGCGCATTTCTTACAAGCCGGCCCGAGTTACCAATTCGGCTTGGCTTCAAGGATCTTACCTGCAAGTACCATGAGATCGGCCTCCATGAAATCTCACGCTTTCTTATTGAGAAGGACCTGACGACGTTTTTCTCTCACGCGCTAGGAAGAATCAGAGACGAACAGAATAAGATCTGTTGGCCTGGTGACAAACTTCAGCCAGATTGGCCTGGACCAGAGAAGATCCGACTCTTGGTCGGCATGGCTAGTCCTCTGTTCATCTTTGCCTCTACCATTTGTCGCTTCATTGGCTCCAATGGTGGCTCTCCAGAGGAACAGCTCGACAAGATACTGGCGTGCTAGCATACTATGCAGCTGAAGGGCGTTTATGCGCCAATTCTCAACCAGTTGCTTTGTGATGTGACGGAAGAAGACCAGCTAGGCGTAGTAGAGGATTTCAAGAAAGTTGTTGGCTCCGTGATTTCACTCTTTGAGCCTCTATCCGCAAACTCCCTTTCTGCACTCCTCGAGGTTCCTCGACGCAAGGTTGACCAAGTATTGCGTCAGCTTCATTCTGTGTTGGCTGTCCCTTCAGATCCAGATGCCCCGATAGAGGTGCTGCACAAATCATTCCCCGATCATCTGTTTTCCGAAAGAAGGAGTGGGCAGGAACCACGCCAGTTTTGGGTGGATTCTGGAGAATCTCATGAGAAAATCGTCAGCTGCTGCTTGAAAATCCTGGAGAGCGGCCTACCGAGAAATCTCTGCCTACCGAGCACGTCTAGACCAGACTCTGTAAGCATGGCAAATGAAGTGCTTAAACTAGTCCCATCTCACGTGCAATATGCTTGCCGGAATTGGATCTATCATCTGAAGCATGCAAACTGGACACCTCGTATTGAAGGACAAGTCGATTCCTTTTTCGAGAATCACTTTCTCCGTTGGGCTGAAACACTCCTCTTCATCGACTCACATTGGGGTACACCGACATTGAAGCAACTTGCGAATGTGAGTTTGTCCTTTTATTAGCGTGGCCGAATAATAGGAAGACGAAACTAACAAAATTCCAATAGAAGTCTGGTATGGAACTCGATTTGTTTCTCGAGAGAACCAAGCGATCCGTCCGAGCAAAAATTGAAACACCCAAGAACTACCACTTGGGAGGGGACTGCTCAGCCCTACCCAGAGTCCCACATGAACCGATGTTGTTGTGGCTGAGTGCAACATTGACCCCCTGGTATAACTTCTACTGCCGTCCGTCTTATTTGCACGAACAGGTCCCTGGGGATTTCGATATGGTTAACCTACCAAAGAGAATTACTTATCAGTATACGATATACTAGTAGTAGTTGTTGTTGTTGTGTATTTAACGCCCGGGGATCCCTGGTTAGGGCAAAGGGCGTCTAGTTACTTCAATCTAGTAGTATATACAGACTTTATACCCCTGTAAATATTCCATAGTCCTAGGTAGCTAGCTAGAATAGTTTTATAGTAGTCAAGTTGTTTTGTTTTCCTTACCAGACATCGAACATCAATCAGGTATTCTTTTTGTTCCAAGATTTCTGTGAGTATAGGTTTGTGGCCCTGGCGGGTGCAGACCTTGTCAAAGAAGCCGCTTTTGGTTCTTGTAATAAAGTTGTTCCAACTGGTCGTGTACGATATTGTAGATAGAGAGACTCATAGTAACTACCTGAGGTATATGTGTTCATGAAAGATAGTTGATTTAGCTACACAAAGATTGTGCGTCACAGCAGTAGCCAGTTGGACCGACTTTAACAAACGCTCGTCGCGGTAGTAGATGTGTAGGTCGGCTTCATCGTAATCCCCTCAGCAGTGCCTTAGAGAAGCAGAGTTTGCGCGGCTAATGTAGCCCGACTTCTAGGTCCTATCTATTGATTTCGAAATCTAGCAATAGGAAATAAACAGAATGCCTCTCTTGGGCGAAGAGAACCGCCAATCTAAGTGGCTTGGCCGATTGATCGAAATGTAACGAGTAAGTTGGTAGCAGAATCTTACTACGGGATTTCTCTACTTGTGCCATGGCTGATCTCTGTACGCTGACTCGCCTATATTGATTACAGCTAACATTACTGATGAAATACAATGGAGAGTCAGCATAGAAGTCATAGTACCTCTAGTTGCCTTCATGTAGGCTACAATGCTTTTCCATTGTGTTACGAGGGGAAAAGAAACAGAAGATTTCTGACAAATGACGGCGACTAAATTTGCTCATCTCCTGTTCGTTTATGCTAAGAAAATTCTTGATCCAGGCTACCATGCACAGATTACTTGATCGATCTTGATTGCTGCAATCTAAACCCCGGACAAGATCCACAAAAGCTGGCTGCTGAACAGGTCAAGAGATTGTCGCGAGTTGATGTCGGAATGTCGGTGATTATATGTCCCGGCAGAAGAGATGCCAAAACGATTTAGACCAGGTTGGATACCTTTTTATTTTCCTTTACAATGTCGAATGGACGGTCATGAATGTTACATCCGTTGAACAGGACCCCGCCGTCAACAAATCAAAGCCAACTTTATGTTGCCAAAGTCGCAATATAATTTAGTCAGGTACAGGTGGAGCGACTAATTATATGCCGCATACTGACATTGATACTGGATAACGAAGTCCACTTTCATGTACAATGTTAACTCTTGTTTGGGCACACCATTTGAGGTTATGACAGGTAGCCATGATAACACTTCACGACTGAACTGGGCTTCCATCATACCGGCTGCTAACATCATGGGGGGAGATAGCGAATTTCCATGTAGCGAGACGAGACCCGGTGTTGGTGATTGATAACAAACAGTTATCAACATGGGATGACTATTCGGCGGTACTCGTTGACATGAGGTGACGCGCCAAGCATCAGGGGTATGTTTGAGCCGCACTAAAAGCGAAGCCGGGTGCGGCGGGAGTAGGAAAGTACCGAGTGATCGACTCTGCCCTGGGCACGCTGAGACGAATTTACCGAGCAGTGCATTGAAAGCATGGTTTGGTATGTGACTACTCATTAATATCCTCCGTCATCCACTTGGCGCCCAAACCCTTCACCCTCTCCACTTTGGTGGAATCAGTGTCCCACCGGCGTCATATCCGCGCTCAAGAGATGCCATCATCAAGGCACATATGGCCCTGCAGGACCTATGCAGAGTCTAGGTGCTGTCCCATCTCTCGTTGATGACATCTGTCGTTGATTACAGAACATCACGAGTTTCCTATGCTCGGATTCCTCTTCTCCCTGTCTTCTCCGAAAACGGGTGGCCAGCAACAGGGACCCGGGACATCCGGGCTCAGAGGACCCGGAGTTGGCTCCACTCGAGACGGCCCGATGATGGACACGAAGTAGAAATTTCTCTGCATATTCACCGCAATATTCCCGGATCCGGTCACCTGTCATTCAAATTTCGGTCTGCGCCTCGCCAAACGCTCTCCTCCACTGCATTTGGTGGTTCCGTTTCCACCTGACTTAGCACATGAGGTGGAAGGGCAGGCGGATTCGGTCCGGCCGAACGTCTGAAGATATGACGCTTGGTGTGACAATTGACGCAATGACGACAACAACGTGATCTTTGATGCTAGCTGATGTGTGGAAAGGCAGTCGTGAAGTACATATATCAAAGCCCAGCCCTCCTAAGATCGTATGTGGAGCCAGTTGCTGAGTATCAACATCTTGATTACATATTATTGAACACTTCACAATCACACAATCGCCATTATGGCACCTCCGAGCATCCACGAAGAGCATGATGAGATTAAGCAGAGCTCGAAACCCGTGACCGAGCAAAGGGTAACGTTGCTAGCATGCGCCCTGGGCGCTGTGGCAAGTATTGGTGGTTTCATCTTTGGTTATGTCAGGTACTGTAAAACCATGCCTCTTGATAAGAAGCTACTTTCCATATGGGAAGGGATGACTAGAACTGACACGCATCTATAGCGGAGAAATCTCTGGCTTCTTCCTCATGAGAGACTTCGGTGAACGATTTGGACAGATAAACGATGACGGCACGATCGTATTCAGTGCCGCCCGCCAAGGCACCATCACGAGTCTCCTCTGTATAGGCGCCTTGATTGGCGCCCTCGTCGCCGGCAAGATGGCAGATTCCATTGGACGACGCCTGACGATTTCTGCATCTGCCTTCTTCACCTGCCTGGGTACAATCATCGAGATTTCGTCACGGTCGAGTTGGGTCCAGCCGGCCATCGGTCGCCTCGTCACCGGCGTGAGCATCGGTGCATTGTCTGTCGTGGTACCCATGTATCAGTCCGAGAGCGTACCGGCCAAGATCCGCGGTGTAGTCGTATCTACCTACCAGCTGCTTATCACCCTCGGAATCTGGACCGCAGCCATGGTCAACTGGGGCACCGAGTCGGCCTCGTCGTCGGCTTCTTGGAGGATTCCCAACGGCCTCTCCTTTGCCTGGGCTCTTGTTCTTGGCGGCGGTATCCTCTTCCTGCCTGAAAGCCCGCGTTACGCCTACTACCGCGGCCGGACTGTGGAGGCAAGAGAGACCATTTCCCGACTCACAGGCATGGCGCAAGACTCTGCAACGGTTGAGGAGGAGATAGCCGAGCTCGAGAAGCAAATCTCCGAGGAGAAGAACAGCACTGCAGACTTCCGCTGGACTGAGATTTTCACCGCCCCGCGCATGTTCTATCGCACGACCCTTGGTATCGTGCTCATGGCCGGTCAGCAGCTTACAGGATGCAACTTCTTCTTCTACTTTGGAACCACCCTGTTCAAGTCCACCGGTATTGAGAACAGCTACACTACACAGATTATTCTTGCATCAGTCAATGTATTTTACACCGTTATTGGGCTGTGGATCATCCAGCGTTTCGGCCGCAGGATCATCCTTCTGGTTGGAGCTGGCTGGATGATGGTCTGCTTCTTGTGAGTCGCCAACTTCGCTCTTTTCTCAGAATTGGTCGCTAACTTCCCTCACAGTATCTACGCTTTTGTTGGCCACTTTGCTATTGACTCCGAGAACCCTATGAATACGCCTACTGCCGGCACCGTCCTCGTAGCCTTCTCTTGCTTGGCGATTGCTGCCTTTGCCGTCAGCTGGGGGCCGCTCGCCTGGGCTGTAAATGCCGAGCTCTTCCCTCTTCGATACCGCGGGGCCTGTATGGGTCTCGCCACTGCCGCCAACTGGTTTTGGAACTTGTATGTGCCCTCGATCCTATGATTCATGTTGAAGAGACGCTAATGATGATATAGTTTAATCTCTTTCTTGTAAGGATTGCTACAGCCTTGTGCAACACGATGAGATTTCCTGAATACTCCTGCTAACACGACTCCCTTCTAGTACTCGATTCATCACCGACGACATTGGCTACCTTTACGGCCTTGTCTTTGCTGGATGTTGCGCTGCCCTCATGGTCATCGTCTTCTTCTTCGTCATCGAATCCAAGGATCGAACGTTGGAAGAGATTGACCTGATGTACATCAACAAGGTGAACCCGATCAAGTCGGCCAGCTGGACCAAGGCGGACATCAAGGAAAACCTCAGGGAGGGCCGCGAAGAAGAAAGCTCAGCATGAGCTACGACCGATTGGGAGATAATGACCTCTTATAACAACTGTATCATGAAACATTGTAGCATATTATAGCATTGGAGTTGGTACTTTGGAAGGGTGGATAAAGGCTGATTTGGATTCCATCTCACTCCTCAGCTATCAGTGATTTATCTAAATTCAAATGGCGATGTTTAATTAAGATATTGAATTTTATTAAAATAACGGAAAAGATGAATTGTATATTGAGATTATAACTGGTTGAAGAAATAAAGAAATGTATCTTCAAGGAGTTATACTTTACTTCATAACTTGAACAGCTTTCCTTTTTATTTATGTTCACATTCTTGGTATAATATAGTTAAGTAATTTAATTATTGAAAGTAGGCGACCAAGGGGGGGCGCGATTGGCATTGGTCGCGACTTGAAGCTGACTGCGCCCCAAAGTGCAGAAATGACGTTGCCTACCTTACCCAGAAAAGAATACCTATTACCCCTCACCTATCTTGAATCATAAATGATACTGTTGTCAATAAATAGCTCGTCTATTAGGCCCCGACGTCGGACTTTGAGCTCATAACTATCAAGTGTCATATCTATCTCGAAATGTCTCTGCAGCTCCAGTTTGAAGTCACCACCGGCGCAATCATCTCCGTGCATGTTGTACGCGAGCTCCTCAAGGCATGTCAAGAGGATGACCTGCAACCTCTCACAATGAGCAGCCTGGAATCCTTCGGCCAATGGCTCGCTATTGATCGCGATCGCTTATCCCAGGGGGAGGATGCTCTAGGTGAGAGCTCCGATAAAAGTCGCGTGGTTCGATTCGCAAACAAAGTGTTTCTGGGGACGCATAGCCAAGGCATCATTAGCCAAGTGCGCAAGAACTGGCACCTTACGGCCTCCTTTCTCTTCGTCTGCACTTGTACCACTTTAGATCAGCAACAGACGGCGGAATTGGTGCACGAACTCCTGAGACTTACTGGCGCAGTAGATCGCAATGGAACTTCAAGGAATGACGTGACGAAATTCGTCGAGAGGATTGCGGGATGTGGGAGCTTCCTCCCAGGTGAATCACCATCGGACGTCCATAATATGATTGCTTCATCTGCTGTGTCAGCTGGACTGTGGAGAGAGACTCCCGGGGTGTTCGATCCTGTGGACATGGTTCAGACCGCCCAGCTACTCTACGAAGTCTTTGGAGCCATGGCAGATCAAAATGTCAAGCACGTTATTCTGAAAGGAGGCGTCGGATGTGTGTGGTTAGCCTCGCTGTTGAGTTGGTTGCGGCCGCGTGAAACAGTCATATTGGGGCCGCGAAAGAACCAACTCTACCCAAAAACGAGAGAAGCGAACGCCGAAAATGCAGATCGACTGTGTGTTATATTGGAGAGTGACTCAAGGCACCCTTACGGCTGCTGGACTGTTGAGCAATGGAAGTCAGCGCCAGATGAGAAACTCTCTGAGCACACGTTGGAACTATTTCCAAATTCAATCAGTCCAGCAGGGCCAAAGCGTTTTCATTGCCCGCTGAAGTCAGCGAGAAGTTGTATATCATGGCAAATTGCGGACCCAGGAGCGGAAGAAGCAGTCGGGATTCTCGCATCAGTGCTGGTGACACTGGCCGTGGAAAGAGGGATAATACTTGACGTCAATAAGTCTAGGATCCCCTTCATTGAACTTGTCTCTAATTGGTTCCTGAACCAATACACAGAAATTATGTCAAGTTTTGGTTGGGCTGGCTTGGACGAAAAACATATAGGCCATGTGCTAGAACTTCTCCAAAGCAAGCTTGGTGAGAAACAAGCCAGTTTCGGCACTCCGCTATTAGCGACATTCCTATTTGAAAGTCTTGAGGGCTGCAGCACATCGGTTTCTAAGGTCAAGACGACGGACAATGGTGAAGAGAATGGACGCTGGAGCCAGGATGTTATCGATATTGCCATCCATCTTGCCACAGAGGCTCTGGCTTTTAGTCTCTGCGAGGAAAGGCCTCCGAACCCTCAGTATCATTCACAAGGTCGTTTTTCTTCGCATGGTATCCTGGGTGGGATCGTTTTCCAGTCTGGTTGGGACTATTCACGATTGAAGAGGTTTTCTCTCTCTGCCATTTTAGGTGTACACCCTAGCAAGGTTGACCCAACCGATTTGGCAGTATCACGTCAAGGGTACGTTGCCTACACACCCTTGATAGATGGCAACAGGCCTTTCACAATGTCTCGACGGACCGCGGCATGTTTCTGTGTTTCCCCGGGGCTCTTGAGAGTCAAAGGTACCTCAAATACCTTCCATCATCTAGTAGAAGGAGACATTCACCGATCACCCAGAAAGAAATCGCAAGGCACGAGCCGAATATCCTTGATCGGGTCAGACGGCCGTGTACAGCGTCTAGATGAGACTATGGCATTTGATGACATGGAATCAACTGTTGAACATCTTATTCATACATCAGACAACACAATACACCTAGCTTCTGAAATTGTCAGCACAAGAACCAGTCGCCCTGGAGATTTGCCACCTGGTGTAGGCTCGGCCCTTGCAAACAATGTCACGGTCAAGAGCAGATTTGCTGTCTCCTGGAATCAATCGTTCTCGACAATCATGGCGGCAGTCCATGCGAACAGGGACACCTCACGGCCCGCACAATTGGAAAAGCTTGGGGAAGAATGGATGACGAGCGGAAGATTCGATGAATTTAAAGTTCACTGGCGACATGTTGGCGATGAGTTAGAGGATGAGGAATCATATATTACGAGAACCGCAGGAAATGAACTGCTCCGTTTCTTTGAGGCCGGGCGACTTACGAAATCATTGTACGCTGACAGTTTTACTCTCATTAGGCAGGGCCCTGTTTCCTTGATGCATTGCATGAAAGTAGCCATGCAGGCATGCGAAAAGGGTCCCTATAAGCGCTGGGCAATTATTGCATAATATATTTAATATATCTAAGTACCTAAGCACTTTAGTAACTTATCTCTGGGTCCATATTGTTGGGATTTGACTTATTATTATTATAAAGGTTAAAGGTTCATCATCCCTATAGCTAGCTAATAAAAAAAAATACGCTATTTGCTAGAGACAAGGTTATTAAAGCTTAGTTAAAGCTTAGATGATCTTGCCCCAAAGCGGTTGTTCAGGTTATCAGGGTCTCTCAGCTCTTCAGGTGCCACGAGGTCTGACCATTATTGGCTGGTGGTATCCTCGTGCTACAGGGGCTTGGGGACCGTTCAGCGACCACCGTTCAGGGCTTCAGGACCGATGGAGACGCTATTTGATACGGGATCGCGTCTGAGGGGCTGAAACCACGAGATTGGAACCGTCTCGTCTCGCCTGTCCCCAATCACCGCCTTCACCCTCTCCGCCTTCCTCACACCCGACCGACGCCTCGTCGAATCACGGCAAGCCGAACGAACCCCTGAGTCCAGCCTCGTCTCCAAAAGCTTCATCATCATGCCCGCCACCACAGGCAGCACCGCCGCCAGCGCGCCCCAGAAGCAGGCCCCAATGGAGATGGGCGCTCGCGACGGCATCGTCGTCGCCCAGCCCGTGAGTTGCTCCTCGCTCAACTTCCACCAGAGCCGCATCTCCTAACGCCTTAGACAGACCGCCGAGCCTCTCCCCAGCGCCGACCAGCCGCAACTGGCCCTTCGCGGAGGTGAGCTGAACTGCGGCTTCTCTTGCTGCGGCGGATCCTGCCGTTTCCACAAGAGCTGCTGCTAGGCGCGACGACATTGGGACAGACGAAACACGATACGAGACGAACCACCGAACTACTATTTTCTCTTCTTTCTACCGAACAAATTTATTTCCCGGGCGCATTTCCTGCCTACGAGTCCTAAGAGCGAGCGAGCGAGCGAGTAATATGCGGTTTGAGGGAGTAGACGATTCGAGCTGCGGATTTGGTGGCAGTCTTTTGGAGCAAACGGCATGGCATGTTGGCGAACTATGTTTGCCATGTTGGTTCTAAGAGGGGGCTTCATTGCTTTGGACAAGATATATACCTTACGAATACATAAATCAACGACCCTTGAGCTTCCCACCCTCGTGCGCGGTGACGATTCCAATCTTCTTGAAGCATCAGGCATAATCTACCTGTGGGCTATAGATTATCGGCTGCTGCTGGTAGAATCTAGCCTCCGCTTTGCTAGCCACAGGAGAGTGCATCTCCTGGCCCCTCCCCACAAGTATCGGCTGTTGTCCGTAGAATATGCCATCTGATACGGTGGAGTGCGATACGGTAGATACCGGGGTGTGCATCTCCTGGCCACCCCCCAAGAGCCCGGCGTTCTCGCCAGGAGGAGGCGAAGGCTGGTTTTCTTCATTGGCCCCATCCGATCCTGGCGGATTGAAGAAGCACCCGAACAGCCTGGAAGGACCGCGATGGTTAGAACTATGCCAGGACATACGATAAGCAATGGACAGTGGGGGGGCTGAGACGTACAGAAAGGAGCCGAGCAGGACGCCTCCTAGGATTGCTGACCCTACGGCGGCTTTCATTCTCTCCTGGGCTCCCAAGTCTATAGAGCAAGTCTATCAGTATCGTCTCTGGCAGAGGCATCAAGGGAGTGTAGGTACCGCTTTCGAGACCCAGCCCAGGCGTGTTGTCATTGCCAGAGGACGTTGGCTGGGGAGCTCCCGTTCCGTCACTGGTACGGGTCGAACGGGCTGTGCTGGGATTGCCTGAAGTTGCACTGGTTGGGGGCCGTGTGCCAGTAGATGTGTCCATCGAGACGGGGATGGTAGTTCTGGACTCGGCGCAGCTGTAGTAGACATACGACTGCGTAGACCAGGTGTAGGTGATGCACGCGCTCTTGGAGCCGGTGCTGTGTCGAGACCAACCATATGATCAGTATTGCTTTGCTAGATCCTAGTATAAGGAAGACGTACCAGATCCTGGCGAGCTCGTCATTAGTTGACGTGTTTTCCAGGCATGTCGTGTAGATCTGACAGCCACCGCTGCCGCAGCATCCGGCGTGCCCATTCCCGCTCCATGACATTCGAATGAAGCCGCAAGTGTCTTGACATGTCAAGGGCCGCGAGACGTTGCCTGGTACCAGTGTAGGGTTAGTGGCGTTCTCTGAATTGCATTTCCAAGGTCCCAGAATGTCTGTATCTTGCCTTGAATGTATCCACAAGTATTTGCTCCGGCGCGTAGCTCAAGCGCCGGTGCGTCTGTGGTTGCGAGGCTCGGCAGAGTGGTGATGGTGCCTTCGACGGGGCCCGTCGTGGAGGCAGACAGTTCAGAATGCCCTGTCGCCAGTTGCCAGAGGCATAAGAGGAAGGCAGCAAATAGTAGTTTTATGCTTCCCATCTTGTCAGTCGTGGGGAGCGGTGTCTGGAGATGAGTGGCATCAATCCAGCAGAGTAGATGGCCCGTCTCTCATATCTGCCCACCTCGCTCGAGCAGTTCTTGTTTCTCCACCCTCGTCCGATAGCCCTGAGACAGCCCCCGATAGAGTTGGTGTGGAGGAAGCGGCTGGACGATGATCTGGGCTTGTTGGAGTCTAGGCGAGCCGCCATCTGGGCCGTTGAATGGACGCCACTCCAATAAACACATGCAGGTCAGCCGCAATGTGCCACCCATCCCTGTTCGAGGCCTTGCGAGGCGTCTTTATTTGCTTGGCTCTTCACCTTTTCTTTTTCATGGTTGATTTATTCTTCTCCTTGCCCGTTTACTATGGCTTGGTCCCTCCTCCCTCCGTCATGGTGGCCTTCACGTCACATCTTCGGATGAGCACACTCAGCAATGGCGGACTGCTATAAGCTCACCGCCGTGGCCGACTTCACCAAGTATGTCGAGACCTTGTCGGACGAGACGGGATATGAGGACAGCAGACTCCAGGAATGCAAGCCTGTGATCTGCCAGGCCATCTATGGCATCGGCAACCCGGACATCTCGGGCATTGGCGTAACCAAACCTCACCACCACTATCAAGACGAGATGTCGCTAACAAGTAAACACAGGTCGCCATCGGCTACATCTTAGGAATGGCCCTCGGCTTCACCCTCGCCATCCTCCTCCTCCTCCAAACCCGCCTCGACCCCCCGCTCCGATCCATCCCCTCGCAGGTCCTCCTCACCGGCCTCCGCAGCTTCTTCAACGCCGCCGCCTTCTTCTCCATCGCCGTCCAGATCGCCACCATCTCCCTCCTCGTCCAGAAAGACTTCGGCATCGCCACCTCCGACTTCGGCGCCATCGAGGCCCAGATCGCCCAGGCCGTCTCCGTCGTCTCCATGCTGCCCCTGCTCTACCCGGCCCTCCTCTTGAGTAGCATAGACTCCTCCCGGTCCAACCCCCGCCTGTTCCTGCTCAACCTCGCCGCCGCGCTGTCCTTCTACCCCTTCCTCTCCCGCAACCTGCACGCCTTCGGGCCGGACGACTCCCGCCCCATCGGCGACGGCTCGGGCAGCGACGTGTCGACGGCCGACTGGGCCAAGGTGGAGAGGCTGTGCTTCGCCGACGGGCTCGACGCCCTGCGCGACGACACATTATACGCCGCCATCCCGCCCCTCGAGCTCGCCGCCTCGCTCGTCATGTACCTCGCCACGCTCTGGCAGATGGGCGGGCTCGTCGGCGCGCACTACTCCCCCGTCAAGGACCAGAAGCGGCACGCCGTCGTGGTCGGCGCCGGCCGCGTCGTCCTCTGGCGCAGGAGGGTGGGCGAGTGGCTCCGCGGGCACCGGCTCTGGGCCGCCCTGCTCATGCTCGTCCCGCTGGGGCTCGCGGCCCCTCTGCTCTGGGTCATCTTCCACCTGCGGGGCCTGCAGGAGGAGCTGGCGAGGAACGTGGAGGAGGACTACGGGGGGAACAACTGGGGGTTTGGGCAGATTGTGGCCGTGGTCTTGTACCTCCCCGTGGCGGTTGATATGTTCTACCGGGGGAGGTTTGGATACCAGGTCTGAAGTCTTATGGGAGGTAAGCCTGCTTGTTATTTTTCAGCGTTATGGAGGATAAATGTTTGCGAAGAGGATTAATTATTAATTAGACTTGTTTTGCTTGTTTGTTACATGAGTGTAATCATCTCTAACCGGCTTATGCATCCTTTTCCCGTCAAATCCAGTCCTATTACCATGATACAGCGTTTATTCCACCTTACAGAGCAACGAGGGCAAAGACACCAGCAGCGACGGCGGCGAAAATGCTGCCAGAGGTCTTGACACCGGCGCTACCAGGAACAGTGGAAGACGAGGCGGTAGCAGAGGCAGAGGTCTGGCTGCCGGTCTGGCTAGCTCCAGAGGCAGAGCTGGCGGGAGTAGCCGCAGAAGTGTCGGAGGCAGTGCGAGAGGAGGAGGTTCTCGAGGCGCTGCCGCTGGTGGTGCGAGCGCTGCTGGCGGCGGCGGTCGTGGAGCAGACGGGGAGGTCGGTCTCGGTGAGGCTGCCGCCGAGGAGGCTGACGAGGTCGCTGCACTCCTCGAGGACGGAGGAGACCTGGCTCGAGTGCGACTCGTACCAGGTCTTGATGTCGGAGGCGTACTCCTGCAGGTCCGAGGACAGGCTGGCGGCGAGGGTCACCTCGCAGGGGCTGGCCAGGGCGCTCTGGAGCTCGCCGTCGAGGGCGGCGGTCATGAGGGACGGGGGAGGGGTTGGGAGCGCGGTGTAGAGATCGATGGCGGCGGAGCTGCAGCCGGAGGCGATGGAGACTGAGTCAAGGTCGTCGGCCTGGCGGACTTCGAGGTCGCGCTTGAGCTTGGGCAGAGCCAAGGGGTGGGTGGCCGAGACGGTGGCCACGGCGGCGGCGAGGACGAGGAGACGGGACTGCATCTTGGAGAGCCTTGTGATGATGATGTCTGGGGTTGAGGGGGAGAGAGTGGATGGACGAGATCGGTGTAGGTGTGACACGTTACACATGGAGAATGGAATCACCTTGCTTTATATGAAATAACAGAAGACTGCTTACCATATCTGTCCATCGAGATCTCTCACTCGCTCGCTACCGAATCCCGGGCATGAATCCACCTGCTGGCATTGCATTGGGCTGCCTGATAGAGTCTGGGCTGACGTCTGACAACCCTGAGCCAAGGAACAGGAACAGGTGAAAACTGCAAGGGCCCATCGTATGAGTCCACCCCTAACCGGCCTCAGTTAGCCCACCGGCAGCAGCTAACCGTCGTACCTTGCAGATTCACGCATTTCGGTGCAGAAGAGCATGAAATCGTGATGATGGGGCGTGAATCTGCGAGTGCCATGCATGCTCTCCATCCTCTGTTCTCGATGAAAGGAGACCCCATGCTACTAATGTCGCTGGATTATGCTCTCGACTATTGAATACAACCCGTCCTGTGGCTCAACGCCACTCGTTGGGAGGCGAGTCAGTTTCGCCTGTCGTAAAATCCACCGGTGGCCTTGGCTTGGATCTGTCATGCACTTGCGGGGCCTAATCAATCGGCCAAATGTCACCCCAGTCATTTTCTACTCCTTCTCATTCTGCTCTTCGGTCCATCCAGCCTTCTAGACGGGCCTTTCACATGGTATATGCAAAAAGGGGGGACTAGTGCTGACGGGCGACGGCAAACATCGGCTCCCAGCGAATTCGTCGGCATCTTCCGACCGTGAATGGAGCCACCTTAGCCCCAAGAAGCAGTAGATCATCAAAAAGTATTTCTGTGATTCAATACTATGTATTTCTCATGGCTGCGTTCACGCTCATACGAATCGGTATTGTAGCTGGATAGCTGGATAAGTGTTCCCCTGCGAGGCTGTCATCACTCGTTGCCGCAGTCCCGGCAGTATTGGTCAAAGGAGATTTGACGCAAAGCCGGTAATTATTAAATTTGCCAATCTAGGTCGCCTTTCCAGCCGCAATTCTTTAGACGGGTAGGGATGGTTTCTCTGATATTCAAATGAGTCACTGACATAATTCTACTTGTATATTTAGATCGAGCTTTGTGTCGTATCATAGCTCTTGTTCTATCTTGGCTTTAGCCTAGAATAACTGGCGCGTTACCTGACGAAGAGAGAGGCGCCGTATTCCAGGTGTATGTAAGGACCTGACGACATTGAGGCTGTCAAGAATATCATTTCCAATTAACAATAGTGAATCCGTCTTACAGAAACACAGTATGGCTATTTCAAACATGAAAGAGCAGAAACGCGGTTCCCGATCAAACCAAAGGGCTACCCGTTAAACCTACTCCTCCCTACTCTGCGATGACACTTCCCGGTACCAGTTCTCCTTGGGGTCCCCGAGACATTCACCCACAGTCAACGTCCTGAACCCTTTCCTCTTAATCGTCTCCAGCATATGCCTCACCAGAGTGTACACCCCATGGTACACGGTATCATGCTCAATAACCAACAAACTGCTCGTCGCCGCATCAAGAGGCTCAACCCGCCCGTCCCAGATCCCAATCGACTTCTTAATCTCCTCCGGCCCGTCATTCAGATACCCCGCCGTGTTGAGATCAAAGTACGCGACGTGGTACCCCAGCTCCGCCAGCCACGCATCCGTCGTCGCGTCGCTCATCGAGTGCGGCGGCCGCATGTACGTCGGGAAGTAGCCCAGCAGGTCCGCCAGCGCGACCTCGTTGAAGAGGATCTGGTCGCGGAACTGCGCGGGAGTGATCTGTGTCAGCTTGTGGTGCGCCCACGTGTGGCTCGCGATCTGGTGGCCGTCGTCGGCCATGCGGCGGATTAGCACCGGCCAGGGCGTCGAGGGGTCGTTGATTGCGCCCTTGCCTGCGTTGCGGCCGACGACGAAGAATGTGGCCTTGGCGTCGTATTCCTGCGTAGCCTCTCAGTCTTTTGTTCTACTATGTGTTGAGTGAAGGGGGGGAGGGTTACTGCAAGTAGATCTAGAAGATCCTCCGTGTAGTTCCACGGGCCGTCGTCAAAAGTCAGGGCGATGCCTCCCTTTACTGTACAATCGTATATGGCCTTACCATACGGGACGGAGCCAATCTTGGGACGAGGCACGGAAGAGGTGTCAGGTCCTTCTGGGCGGATGTTGGCGTCACACGATGGGCCGTAGTCGATCTGGCAAGTGGGAGATCTGCAGAACTGAGAGCCTGTACCGCACCATCTGGAACGATTCTCATTAGACTTGATTCTTACAAAGCCTTTGGAGATTAATGAGCAAAGGATGTCCACGTCTTACCCTCCACTAGAGCAGCACTGGCCTTGGGGACAGGACCGTGCAACCTCGGGACCGCATCTCCGATCTTGTCTAGCTTGTAGCGCAGGTAGGGCGGGGGATTCGGCCAGATCCGCAGCTGGAAGGGTGACCTGTAGTGTCTGAGCGATCAGAGTCAAGAAGGTTACAAGAAGAAGCCCCTTCATTTTCGCTTGGGACGAGGTAATGGTGGTGGATGAGAACTTGACAGTAGGTAATGGATACAGGTAAGGGTGTGGCGCCTCTTATAGATGCGTCCTGGTGTCTAACATAGTTCGTATTGGTGTTGACTTGCATTGATATTCTCGGGTCTTTCCCAATTGAAGATGAATAAAGTCCGATATTGCAGCTGTTCTTCATGGTACAACCTCAATGAGCCGATGTGCCATCCCCAATTACATGTGCCTACCCTACATCCCGAACTGCAATGCCGGAACGACTCACGATATGGGGCAGCAGCGCAAAATGATACACGATCCCAGCTTGTTGCACCATTTAACCCGAATGCGATGCTTATGGACATGAATGCCCCGATCCCTAGAGAAGACAGCGCGAGCGTGGAAAAGGCGATGCGCATTGCACAGGTTCGTTGGCAGCATATACGAGATGTCCTGTTCCCGCAAAGAATCCCAACGTCCCTTTTTCTGCCCTCTCTACAGTCTGCACCATTAGCTACCACTCGGCATAAACAATGCCCGTTTTCGTGCAGATCTTTCGTATGCTCTATGAACAAGGTTGCACAATGCATCAATAATCGGAAGGTTGTCCCAACTCGGGATTGAGAGGGGAAGAGAACTAATGCTCCGTTTTTCATGCGCAAAATCTTCCCGGGAGCTGCGCCGCGCAGAACCAACGTAGATCTCCCTCGTTTTGTATGGTAAACGTTGGGGTGGTCGGGGTATTTGCGGCAGATACGAAAGGTCCAATGCATTAATTAATACGCGACGCGGGAAGTAATCTGCGCCGCTTCCCACCGGTAGTGGCCGAGATTTTTGGACAGTCATCTGCAGGCAACTCAACTGCGCCAAGCTCGATCATAGATCAATATGCCGAGCATCATCTTGGCATATGCTGACCTCATGCCAGGCATGTCGCCAATTGCGTTCACATCCAACAAAAAGTAACACATGCTCGTCAATGAGCGAGAATGAACAGTAAACGAGGGTATATGATTCCAAGCTATGCTATGCTATACATGGTATATGATATAAGCTGCACGAGATATCCGGCTGATGCAATCCGAGGCCACACAGGGCTAACCGCCCGACCAGAGAGGTAAAAAAAATCCAGTCTTAGACTCCATGAGAAATATTATATACGATACGAGTAGCTGGCTACCGTGTAGGGTATAGAGACTAGAATTTTGATTTATTATATACTTATTTTTTCCATTTAGGCCTTGGTCTCGCTGACGGGAACCTCAGCGTCGGTCTCGGAGTCCGAGTCCTTGGCGAGGGTCTGGGCATCAGTGAGGACAGGGTTCCTCAGGGCAAAGGCGAAGCCGATGAGCAGCGTGCAAAGGGCGATACCAGTGATGCAGAGCAGACGCTGGGTCTGGCCGAAGGCGTGGACCATACCCTGGCGCTCGGGGGTGTCCATGGAGTATAGGGGGGCGATGCCGGCGGGATAGCCGTAGACCTCTACTGCGAGGGTCTGGTTGGTGAGCTGCTCGGAGAGGTAGCCGGGGAGGACCTGGGTGTAGATGGCGCCGGAGACGGCGTTGCCCAGGGCGGAACCGATGTTGTAGGTGGCTAGATAGATACCGGTCATGACGGCCAAGTTCTCGTGCTTGAGCTGGACCTGGAGCGAAGCCTGGGCGGGGTAAGGGAACATGCCACCGGCGACACCGAGGAGGACTTCGGCGGCGATGACACCGACCTTGGCGTTGCTGCCCTCGGTGTGGCTACGGAAATGGATGAGGAGGCCGAAGGCGACCATGAAGAGGGCGGTACCGGCGAGGATAACATATTTGAGGCGGCGGATCTTGAACACAACGAGACCCATGATGGGACCGACGATGACACTGCAGAAGGAGTAGAGACTGCTGACGCGGGTGGCCATGTTGATGTCGAAGTCAAAGGCAACAATGAGCATGTTGTAGAGGTAGTCTCCCTGCATGTACCAGACAAAGTTGAGCATGAGAGCTATTCCGAGGGCAGCCCACACACCACGGTCCTTCATGAGGCGGAATGGGACAAGGGGATGGGGCGCCCTTAGCTCCCAAATGATGAAGACGGGGATGCAGCAGAAACCAATGACCAGGGGAGCGATGACGCTGGCCGACTTCCAGCCATTGCTGGCAGCGAGGGTGAAGGGGACGAGGATGAGGTCGAAGACGGCAATGACGAGAATAATGCCGGGGACGTCGAGCAGCCAAAACAGCTGGACGAGGAAGTTGCCCATGCCTAGGCGCTGGAAGGCGGACTTGTAGTCGGGGAGGAGACCCATCTTCTTGGCGCGGCGGGAGACGAGCCAGAGGGTGACGATGAGAGGAAGGCAGCACACGGGGTAGATGATGCACCACATGGCATATCCCCAGTGGACGGTGGTGCCGGCCAGGACTGAGGTGGCAATGTAACCACTGGCCCAGGTGTTGATGATGAAGGGCAAGGCGGGGATGTAGGAGAAGAAGAGACGGGCACGTGTCGAGGTGATATCGGCGACCAGGATCTCGACCAAGAGGGTGATCATGGTGTATCCGATCTGGTAGATGGCCGTGCCGGCCGCGAAGGTGGCCACGTTGGCCGAAGTGGCGAGGACGATGGTGCCAACAATGTAGAAGACGATGCTGGCGAGGATGAGCTCAACACGGCCGAAGACATCAGCAACCTTTCCGGCAGTGGGCTGAGTGGCAGCACCGATGACGGCTCGGATGACGTTGACGGACGAGATCAGAGCCTGGGAGCCGGATTCACCGAATTCACCGGTGGCGTAGTTCTGGTAGGTGTAGCGGAGGGTGCCATCGAGACCATAGCAGTAGGCGATGAGGAAGATACCGAAGAAGATGAAGATGCGGTCGGCGAGGGTCAGAACGGAGGAGATGGCCTTGATGCGGCTGACACCAGGCGACTCGAGGCTCTTGAGGCTCTGCATGGTGTGGGCAGCACTTTGCTCAGCGGCCGGGTGCTTCTCATCGTAGGTTGGCGAGACGGGCTCAGGGGCGCCGCCGGTGACTTCGGTCGTGCCCATGGTTGGCGGCTGTGTCTTGAAGTTTGAAGCTTAAGACAGAATTAAGATAAGATGGTGGTGGGGAGGGGTATTTCAATTAATGTCAAGGGGGAGTAAAGGAAAGACAGGTCGGTTTGGTTGTATTAAGCAGGAGGATGCGACGATCCCGCCTATTATTATACCGGAGAGCGGATGGGGGAGAGAAAGAAGCTAGAAACCCAAGATGACGGGGAAAACGCAACTCTAAATGGGCAATCGAAGCTCTGCGATTCTGGGCCGTCCATCAGGACCCATGGAAAGCTCCATCCGCGTTGGTCAAGTACTGGGTACGCGAAGCCGCAGGGTCTGAGACATGGATGGGGATGCTACATCCGGCCTTCTCGTCCCTGCACCCACACTCATTACGGACCGTACCCTTTTCGTACCTAGTTACCTCTGTGTCTGACGGACCTGTCGAGCAAGCAAGCGTAAAAAAAAAGTTTGCCCTTCCTTTGCTGGGGAGGGGCGATTGATTAGATCAGAAATCAGCAGACCATCCACCCAATGGCCTGCCTGACTCCATGGATGATGCAGGGAACATGTGGCGTCAAACTAAGGAAAATTCTGTTTTATCAGATCCATCCTGTGTCCTAGTGGCGGGTCGTGAGTCCCAAAAGGGAGGCCTCTAGCCTTCTTGACATGCTGGCGTGGTGATCAGCCCATGCAGTGTGTGCGAGTCTGACTGGCGGCGAGGCCGAACTGCCGATTCAGCAGTTAGGTGTGCAGGCGAGCCTCCGCTTAGTTACCATCGAGAGTCCGAGACTCTGGACACTGCATTCCTCCGCCAGCTTGTAGCCTTACTGCCCACACTTTGGCTCTTCCAGTGGGAAGCTGTGCGTAATGCGGCTGCGGTTGGTGTCCTCTCGTGTTTCAGAGCCAGATCCGGAAGCTGACTTCCCCATTGAGGTGACGAGATGAAGAAGGGATTTAATTACATCACGCTTTCCACTGTCAACAGAATGGGAAGGAAAATCTACACCCAGCTTGGGGAGTGGACGTCCTAACCATCGCCTCATTTGGGTTCACGAGGTCGGCGTGCTCTTGAGAGGATCGGTTTGAGCCGGGTAACGTAGTGCGACGGCCATCACCAACGCTCAATTCTTGCGCGCGCCATCGGTGCCACCACGATGGGGAGGATTTGACTATTGCTTTGAAGACGCGTCATGTGGAATTTGGCGATATGAAACAGGATTCGCTAGTTAATTTATGGCTCTGATTAACTGCGGCGGTTATAGCAGAAAAAAAGACTATGGATCCGTTGCTGCTGAAAGCTCCCCGGACATTTGGGATCGGAGAATCCTTCATGGTGACAGTAGCGTGCTGCAGGTCAAAGCAGCCCCATTCTTAGGATGGCAATAATTACGTACCGAGTAAATACCGGAACGCTGATGTTAATTATAGGGCGAGAGGCGTGTGGCGAGCCCTGAATATGGAACAGCGCAATTTGCAGCATATGCCAACTGCTCGCCGAAGACGGAGCACAGCAGACTGACGGGAGACATCTTCGGCAGGCAACGATTCTTGCATCCAGGGACCCAGGGATCGACCATCATCCCAGTCCAGTTCAATCTACGGAGACGGTTTGCCGTTTTGGGAGGCGAGGTGAGACATTGATGTCGGTCGCGTGTGCCGGGAAGCATCTGGGTATCCAACAGAACAGTTAGCAAGTTCCCAGCTTGAGCGGCGGACGAGTGATTTCTCTCGCTCTTCCTCTTCTCTCGCTCACCTTTCATCTCCTCCTCAGTCGCAGTGTCTGGGCAGAATTTTCCCTACTAAGAGGACCAAGAGGAGTGAATTGCGGATCAAACGGCTCGCTAGTCGCCCATCCTTGGCTAATCAATCAACCAAATCAATCAGACTAGCTCCCATCTTGGCTGACGGGCCGTTTGCGGACTTTTCTCAGCCACTCAGGTCATTTGTCGTCCCTCTCTCTAGCCATGAATCAGCCGAGGTGGCTCTGGCGGCCGATGCTTCGTCGGTGCAACTACACGTACTGGGAGATAAGCCCATGGGAAAATCTTTGGCAGGCGGTTGATCGGAGTCACGCCGACAAACCTACTGTTGAATAGTCTGTGTGGACCGAGGCTGATCGCGCGTGTCCGTCGAGCGGCCATTCATTCCTCTTTGACCTAGCGTTGGTCTTGTTGATTTATCGGCACAAAAGACAAGGCCTTATTAGGTATTAGAGTTTTAAAGAATGACTGGCTGATGGCAAAGCACCGGGAGGGTGGGTTGGGTTGCACTCGCCAATGGCCCTCCCGCTGTGTGTCCCTTGCCCCCTGTTCCTCGCTCACGTCTGACTCTTCCTGGAAGGTGCATGAGACGGCAGATTGCTGGCACTGAAGCTGTTGTTTTCATTCAAATCACCCAGGCCCAGCCGCTTGACAGCCAATTGGTTGCGACTCGGTTGGATCGGCCGGGTCGGATCGGTTCGCGGACAAACTGAGTGATTGCTGCAACCCTTCATCGATCGCGCCTTGGGCAGGATCGAGTACCTAGCAATCCGATCAACGATATTGCGACACATGGCGAGCGTATGAAGCAATTCGGCGGTACACATTGCGCCTAACGCAAGCATCACTGGGTGGTTTGCGCAGCGTGGATGCCATTTGACGTGATACGGCACTCGGTCGAGAATGGCCCGAGGAGTCGAGTACCGACAAGAGTCTCGGCGGCCGGGAGACTGGTTTGATGTAGCTCGAGACTGATCAATCGTTTGACCTCGCGTCCAGTGTGAATGATAGCCCCGTAGCCTCACATTCTAGAAACCTTCCAGCCCCCAGCTTCGGCCCAAAACGCGAGCACAAGGTCTCTCGGATCGCGGATCAAACCACGCGTCACGAACCCACGATGACGCTGCAAGGAGATTCATAAGCGAATGCGTCACTCCTGTTGGCCGGCAGCTTGTCCACGGTGTTCTGTCCGTCCCACCACTTCATTTAAAGACCGCCAAAGACCGACAAGTCCGCGAGCGGGAAGACAATCCACTGCTCCTGCCTGCAGCTTGGAGGTTTGCTCTTTCCAGCCGAGCGAACCAGCGGCCGCCTGGAGTCGATCACGTAATCACGCAGCTCCATTATAATTTACCCCTCATCGCGTCTCGACATTTGGCGGGGCAGCTGCAGCTTCAAGCAATGACGTGCTGTCCAGCACCTCTTTGGTTTGGGTTCGTGTGTGGCATAGCAGCACATCATGTCTAGGGCAATGCGAAAATCTCGACGGCACTGATAAAAACCCCTCGTCCCTCCTCCGACTCCTTGCTATCTCCTTTCCTCCCATCTTCTCCCCAAACTCTCAGCATCATCCACCGCAATGTCTCTCGGCAAAACCAGCACCCTCAGCTCCGGCCACACCATCCCAACTCTTGGGTTTGGCACCTGGCAGTCTGCCCCAGGTGAGGTCGGCAATGCTGTCTACGAGGCTCTCAAGGCCGGGTACCGCCACCTTGATCTCGCCAAGATCTACCAGAACCAGCGCGAAGTCGCCCAGGGCATCAAGAAGGCCTTTGCCGAAGTCCCTGGCCTGAAGCGGGAGGATATCTTCATCACCTCCAAGCTTTGGAACAACAGCCACAAGCCTGAGCTCGTCGAGGCTGCCCTCGACGACACTCTGGCCGAGCTCGAGCTCGACTACCTCGACGTATGACCCTCGATCCGAAGCCCACGTCCTGGCAGAACACCAGCCTGTGATCCCCGACCGAGAAATAATGTCTAACGCAACCTTTCTATAGCTCTACCTGATCCATTGGCCCGTCGCATTCAAGTCTGGCCCCGAGCTGAACCCTCGTGTCGCTGGCAAGGACAAGGAAGCCGAGATCGACGACAACGTTGGCCTGGTCCGAACCTGGAAGGGTATGTTTGCCCAATATATTTGCTTATCTACGCACATACTTACAAAACGACAGCTGTGACCCAACTTCCCAAGTCCAAGGCCCGATCCGTCGGAGTTTCCAACTTCACAATTGAGCAGGTACGTTCACTCATGCCACCTCCACCTGATTGCGCACTCAGCTCTAACGCTCCCCTGCCAGCTCGATGCCATCATTGCCGACTCCGGTGTTGTTCCCGCCGTCCACCAGATCGAGCGACACCCCCGCTTCCAGCAGGAAGAACACGTCGAGTACGGCAAGAAGAAGAACATCCACATCACTGCCTACTCGGCCTTTGGAAATAACGGCGTTGGCGAGCCCCTGCTCATCACCCACCCCGACATCGTCGCCACGGCCGAGCGCCTCTCCAAGAAGCTTGGCAAGACCGTCACTGGTGCCCAAGTCATTCTCGCCTGGGCCCAGATCGGTGGCAACAGCGTCATCCCCAAGTCCGTCACCGCCTCGCGCATCCAGTCCAACTTCCAGGAGATTGAGCTCGATGACGAGGCCATCGCGGCTGTGAAGAAGGTTGGCGAGGACAAGAGACGCTTCAACATCCCATACACATGTAAGTTTTGTTCTTTCCCTGCCCGGCAATGGTCGAGTAGCTGACAGGTGGATGCAGACACCAACCCCCATTGGGACATCAACATTTACGGTGAGGAGGTCGAGAAGCCCGCCACCCACAAGCCCGTCATTCGTGTATAAGGCGATCTATGCTGGAAAAACGATCTGGGGGACAGAGAAAAAAAGGAACACAAGATGGAAGGTATGGCCTGGAGTCTGCTGAAGTAAATGGAGGAGGCCATTCCGATAATGGGATGGACTATAGACAGGGTCAATAATCTTAATATCCTTCCTCCAACTCCCTCTTCCTTATCCAGTGTGACAAACTTCCCCTCGACTTGAGGTTCCCGTATCTATAGAGCTTTGCCGGTTCCTTGCCCACCACTTGACCTCATTCTATGCTTGCCTACTTCTTCTAGCGAAGAGGCTACATGAAGTTTATTCTGCCAGCCGCATGAGTGCCAGAGGACCCCACCAACCATCGGCTCTAACATTCCGAACACAGGCTACGCCATAGTTTGGAATTACATCATATTTATGCGACCGTGTTGACGATGAGATGTTTGGACACTACAGAAATGGAATCCAGTTCAAATATTGTGTTCATTGCAGCATCTGTGCTTAATTCGGGTATGCCTGATACGTGACCGGGAACTCGTGCACTCAGTAGATACCGGATACCCGAACCCTGGATAGCCTATCCTCGACCGCACGCGTATATAGCTGGAGCAAGGCATCAATGGGTTGGCAATATAGTTTGGACCGGCTTAACGAACGAACAGTCTCTCTGCCTCTTCAACCACTCAGCTCCATCTCATCATGAGTCTACAGACAATGAAGCTTGTATATCAGCCCGATCCGGCGTCTCAGGATCTCGTCTTCTCATCATCCTCCCCGGTCCCGAAGTTGACTGATCCGGACGACCATCTCGTCCGTGTCAAGGCTGCCTCTCCATGTCGTCACGAACTTCTCTGGGAAGCTACGGATACTCACCTGTTCGATAAAGGGCGCACACCGCCCCGCGTCCCCTGTCCCGATGGCGCAGGCGTTATTGTCACTGCTCCTACGCCCAATAGTCCCTTCCAGCCCGGCGATGAAGTCTTCTTCTCTATTGATTACACATCTAGAGCTGGCTGCTTGGCTGAATACACGATTGTGAAGACCGGCGAGATGGCTCTGAAGCCCAAGACGTTTGGATGGCCTGCCGCTGCAGCCGCGCCTCTTAGCGCATTGACGGCATGGCAGGGCCTCTTTATACATGGAAACCTGGCCGTTCCATCTCCCACATCTCAGGAGGAAAACGCTGGAAAGAGAATTCTCGTAACAGGTGCGGCGGGATCTGTGGGGTCATGGGTTGTGCAGCTCGCGGCGGCGGCTGGGGTGACATCCATCACTGGAGTGTGCAGTGCATCAAAGCTCGAGACGGCGAAATCCTTTGGAGCGACAGAGGTTTTATCCTACGCATCTTTTTCTACCCCTTCAGCAAACAGGTATGACCTTATTCTCGATACAGTCGGGGGCAATGCGCTTAGAGACTGCTGGTCGGTCATCAAGGCGGATGTTGGCGTTTTGTTGGCCGTTGGTTCCGACTACCCCGAGAATGTGAGGCCAGAGGGGGCTCCCAATGTGGCCAAGAGCGAATGGTATCTCGTGAAGCAGTCAAGAGATGATTTGGAGGCTGTTGCTGCGTTAGTTGACCAGGGGAAATGCAGAGCAATGGTGGATAGTGAATACGCGATGGAAGACTACAAAGCCGCCTTTGAAAAGGTTTCAGACGGGCACCCCAATGGGAAAGTGGTTATCAATATATCTTAGAATCAGGTTTGAGTAACATCTAATTAAATAAGGAGAGAATGGATTCATCTGATTTCTATACGATGTCGGGTATTGGGAGTGTTTGCATTCAGGCTCCGCAACCCTCCAACGACATGAAAAAGCTGCATACGTGGACATTTTTACTAACCAGAGGCTAATGGGTATGCTGTGTGCAATCTAGCTGAGGTAGAGCCAGATAAAGCATTGGCAGATTGCGTGGGATAGAACATGCGGCTAGACATTCTCCGATTGATTGTTGGCAAGGAACCAGAAGGCTGTAGTCTATCAGCCGATTTCTAGCCTGGGTCTCTCCGCCGAATCTCGTAGTTTGAGCAAATAAAATGGGGTTTCAGGCTAAGTGACAACATTTGATGCCTCGGATGATGAATCCCAAGCTCGCTGCTCAGAACAGCAGGCATAGGCGAGTAGATACGGTAAGGTTTCTGAAAAGTTATTTGTCCCGTTTTCTATTATGGATTCGAAAGCGCATAAGGGATATAATAATCATACAAGAAAGAAAGTTGTTCAATACTAAGAAATTAAAAACCAAAATTGTATTTGATGTGTAATTTCAAGCCACCTTTACAAAAGGGAATCGCCAAGTCCAACAGTGCTGGCTGACGATCCCGAGGGGAAACTCCCGAACAATTATTATACGTAATTTAATTCATATACAAAATTTAAGTCTAATTTTGGGTGAACAAATGCTTCACAGAATCTTCTGGATTATGTGGTAAACACTCTTAGACGGGCGAGGTTGCAGACCAAGTTCACGGAATTTCCACGCTTTACCATGCCGGCCCTGTCCCATGTCCACGGCAGTGCCACGGGATCACTTGGTCAATCCGAAAGCTACATTCAGAGTCCGAGTCCATGTCTACTGCTATTGACGGGGCAGGGCCTTAACAATCCTGCCGTTTTCATAGAAGTGCTGTGCTCTCCATGGCATTTCCGTTTGTTAATAAAAGTGAAAAGGTCAACCCCTCGGTTTCTATAGATAATATGGCAAACAGTCAGCTACCGTGCTTTGATTGAATTGAAGTTTTAAGAACAACGCAACTGGTAAAGCATGGACGACATCAGCGTCAGCCTAACTAAGCAAAGCGACCCAAAAGGGGCGCCTAGCATGCTCCGGATCTACGGTAATGACGCCTATCGGGCAAAGTTTCGGCGATCTCGACCCATCGATGCCCCTCGTGCTCGATATACAGGTTTCAAGAATGAGACCATAACTCTTAAATCGGGCACCATTCGTCGAGAGGGTGCGCTTGCTCTTCCTCGCGACATTGTCTTCGAACGTGATGTTGCCGTCACGCTTCGAGACGGAACCACCATCTACGCCGACATCTTTCGTCCCACAGAGGACAAGAAGGTCCCGGCAATCGTTGCCTGGAGCCCCTATGGCAAGCAGGTTGGTGGTATGTCCCTCTACGATGTCCCCCACCGCGTGGGTGTCCCGCTCAGCGCTACCTCTGGCCTGGAAAAGTTTCAAGGACCAGACCCAGCCTACTGGGTTGGCCAAGAATACGCCATCCTCCACCCCGATACTCGCGGCGCCTATGCCTCTGAAGGGAACACCACCTTTTGGGGTCGTCAGCTCGCAGAGGATGGGTACGACTTTATCGAGTGGGCTGCCCAACAGCCCTGGAGCTCTGGGAAACTGGCCTTGTCTGGAAACTCTTGGCTGGCCGTCTCACAGTGGTACATTGCTGCAGAGCGCCCGCCTCACCTGACTGCCATTGCCCCCTGGGAAGGGCTTGCAGACCCCTTCCGGGACATGGTGAACAGAGGCGGGATCCCCAATCTCGCGTTCACAGAGGCAGTGATTGCAACATGCATGGCCGGTAATACTTTTGTCGAGGATATGCCCCAAATGGCCATAGACCACCAAACAATAAACGAGTACTGGGAGGATAAAGTTGCTCGTCTCGATCGCATCTCCGTTCCGGCGACGTCGTCTCGAGCTACTCCAACCCGATCCATACCCACAGTACACTTGCTGGCTTCTGATCCATCCGCTCGAAAGACAAGTGGCTCAGAACCCATAACACGTTTGAGTGTCCAGACTATTACAACCCAGAGAACGTCGAGGACTTGAGGAAGTTCTTTGATTACTATTTGAAAGGGGAAGATAATGACTGGCAAGCTACTCCCCGAGTGAGGTTGTCGATCCTTGACCCCGGACATGCAGACACTGTAAATCGTCCCGTGGCGGAATGACCAGTCCCTGGGTATCCTGCCAAGAAGTTCTACCTTCATGCAGACCACACTTTATCCAATCAACATATGACGACAAGCAGTAATCTCTCATACGAGACGGAGACGGAGAACAGCCGTATCACTTTCTCACATGTCTTCGAAAAGAAGACAGAGGTGGTCGGATACATGAACCTTCATCTGTGGGTTGAAGCTGTTGGCTCTGACGATATGGAGCTCCTAGCCTCCGCTGAGAAGCGTGACAAGGACGGGAACGTGCTGCCAAACGCGACTGGAGAGGCCCCCATCACCACCGGACTCCTACGCGTCTCACACAGGGCATTGGGTCCTGAGCTCTCAACAGAGCTTGAGCCCCGCCTCACACACAATAAAGAGGAGCTACTGTTGGCGGGCCAGATCGTTCGGGTAGAGATTGGGCTGTGGCCGACGGCGTTGCGGTTCCACCCTGGCGAGCAGCTCGTGTTGACCGTCCAAGCGGCCCCCAAGCCGCCTTCCAATGTAGATATGGGGTTTGGTGTTTCCATGATACCCGTTCCGGCTCGCGGTGGAACATTCAAGCCTGGCGAGAACGTTGAGATGATTGAGCTTGGAGGCGGGATGGATTCGCAGCCTGAGTTTGTCAACGCTCAGCGGGTTGAGAATCCAGCGAGCAGGAACAAGGGGACACACGTGTTCCATCTGGGTGGCGAGTATGAAAGTGTCTTGCTTGTGCCTCTGGCTGAAGTTTCGTAATGGGGTTGGTAGTCGATCAATATCATGCAGTGGGACTCTCGTGTCTAAGAATTGAATATATAGCAACTGCCAAACTACTCTACTCTTCCATTCGTTGACAAATATATTGAAGTCGATGGTCGAATGTTGCGCCTTAAAGGCTACGATGAGCGTTGGCTTGAGGAGTTGTTGATCACTGAGGACAACTGTGACAACTTGAATGTTATGGATTGTTGTAATATGGAAGGGACACCACCCTGAGTTGTGAACAACAGTCATGTAGTTTTTATGCATATCGGAACCTCTGTTGTCTTTGTTTCCCGATACTTACGTATCCCAAGCGGTTCTTTCGAAGCATGAACATAGTGAGGTTTGAGTTGTCGGATCTTGGTAGGCCTAGTGTTCCTCATCGCTCTATGTTTAACTGCCACTCAAGGGCTATATTGGAAATGGCCGGGTTGCTTAAGTTGATTTGAAAGAATTATGGCGGAGAGTTGTCGGCTACGCAAGTCTGTCTGAAGGCCGGCAGCGATGACTGGTGGAAATGCCAGGACCTATATATATAGAAATCGCAGTTGACACGAAAGCAGTATGTTCGGAATGGGTGATGGAAGAATAGATGTCCTCGATATAAGCTGTTGTATCGCAACTGATATTCGGAAAGTAGACACACTGTTGTTTCGGAGAAGTCATGAATGGGTAGATGACTTGAATACACAGCCGGCCGTCTCCTCCTTCTCTGGGCTGGAACGTTAAGCTTGCTGGGAATTGAATTCTCCCCGTTCCTATTGTGAGAGCTACTTCAGGTCATTGCTCTCAATAGGTTGTTGTGTAATCGCGGTCACTCGGAAGGGGAGCATGGAACGATGTCTGGAATCGAGTGTCACGAAGGGAGAAGGAGCCTCAAGGTTTGGTCAACGAAAGCGGACATGAAGCATCGCCTATGAGGTTCGGTACGTGAGTGGTCACAGACATAAGAGAGGTTTCCCTTGATACCTAGACAGAGGATTATACATGTTGAGAATGGGTCTGGTTCTGGTGGGCTGATCCGAGTACAGTAGAGTTACTTCAGTCCGGTCGGCCGGTCTGGCTACAGGTAGCCCAGACATGTCCCGCTATGTAGCCAGAAAGAAGACCTCTACCTGGGCATCTCTTTTGGTTCGGTCCGCTGGTCGGTCGGTCGAGGGATCGGTTTATTGGCGGTGGCGGTGCACCGGGCTGCGGCGAGCTGGGACCGAAGCCTACGGCAAGCCCCCGCAATTCCCGGCCCCAGATTGACGACAATTCGGGCGCTAGACTATCGCAGAGACGGCCGACTATCGCGCAAAAGCTGAGGTTGCTTCTGCTGCTGTTTCTGGGCGGATAAATGCGAGTGTGCGCGTTGAGATGCAAGATGGCTGCTGGACACCTTGATGGACGGCCGGTTTCGTTTCTGGCCTGAGTCTGGTGCTTGTGAGAACCTTGATGGTTCCGTCTGCGCACCTTGATGGTTTCCAGCGCCCGCGAAACCGCTTCTCATTCGCTGGGCGTCTGTTATCTTCTGGCACCATCTCCGCCATCGAGGTGCCTCACGTCGCAGCCGGCCTCACATTCATGAGGGCGAGGAGGCGGTTGCGTGCGCCCAAGCCTGCATTGTGTATGCTGCGTCTATGTATGTATGGTTATCTGTCTGTCTAGGTATCTGGCCGTCTGTCAGATGCGAAACGACGCCGATCCAACAGTATAAAGGGTCGACGACTCCCCGCCATCTGTCCTCTTCACTCCCGGCTTTCTGCTCGCCAGTCTGCCCACGCTTCCTCCAGCGTCTCATATCTGTGCTCTGGCTGGTCCTCTTCTCTCCTGGCGCTTGGCCTCTGTTGCCCTCACGGTGAGTTTAGATTTGTCTTCGCGCACATCTCTTGTGCTGAGCCCTTTGCATGCTGTTTCCTGGAAACTGGCCATCACATAACCCCTTTTGTCCGCAAAATTCTCCTCTCTCTCTGCCTTTATCCCTCACCCTCCACTGGCTCCTCTCTCAACACAACACAGACACACAACCCCCATCCTCATTCGGCGCCCCGTGGGACCTCGCTCACCAATAGCAACTCTGCCTCCCGTGAGGCTGCTGTTGGCTGATCACCCCCTCTTTTTCGGCTAACGGAGGTTGGAGTTGGGCTCATTTTTCGCCAAACAGAACCGCCGCCCCCATTCGTCATCGCTCGTCACCGGTCGGTTCCCCTCAAACTGCCAACGCATAGCTGTGTTCCTTATCTTCGTTTCTGTTGGCTGGTGCCGCCTGACCTACCTCATTATCTTATTGCATTACTCCTCCTCGACCAGTCAGTCCCCAGACGGCCAGACGCCTTGATGCACGCACACACACCCACCCACCCGTGCATCACGCTACTGCTAGGACCATCCCTTCCGCCTCAGGGACGGCGAGCCCGACTTCCCACTTCCGATATGCGCGCTTTTCCATCCATCCTGGGGGACTCCAGGCACGGCCCATTCCTCGGTCGTGCCCGTTCCAGTTTCGCATGAAAAGACTTTCCTGCCTGCGGCCTCCTCCACTCTGTCGCTGCACAATTAACACGGACTTCTCCATCCCTGCCTTGACCCCGATTTTGCTCTGCTCCATACGTACATGTATCGCCAAGTACCAGCACAAATGCCTCGTTTCTGACGGTGTCTATCGGCCCATCCCGCTCTGGCATCCCGTCTTTGCCTTGATTGACCCCATATACTTCACACCTCACACAGTCCCCCCATGCAACTCCAGCTAGTGTGTCACGGGGATGTGATCTATCGCCTACTTGGGCTCTAGCTCACGCCATCCCACGAGATGAGGTCACAAGGTCATGAGCTGGCAGCATCGCGTTCCGTCTACGAACCCGACTGATCCGCCCTGGGTATCCCTGACCTTACGTAAATACCGACTTGAAACGGCTTTATCATTAAGTGCAGAGTTGCCTGGTATCATCACATTGTGGTTCCATTTTTCTGGGAGTGAGTATCAATAATAGCTCGTCTAGTAAAGCACAGTGAAGCCCAGCCCTGTTTCTGATGACTGATGCTTTCTACGCTATTCCCAGGGGAAGAACAAGCCAAAATATTACTGGTCTAAGAAATGCGACTCAAAAGGCCCCGGCTGAGCCCTTGGCCCATCTTGGCGAGAGGTAAGCTTGCTAACACTATCATCTTCTTGGCGTGTTGACGCGTGCTCTGCCTTACCCTCTTACTAGGCGCTGATGCTTTTCCTTTCACGTCGAGTAGAGTGCCACACCCAAACTGAAACTCTGCCGAGTAAGCACTGCATACATCTCGACCGATGGCGCTATCTTGTGGGAGTCCAATGACGGAGAACAAGATCGATAAGGACTCGGCGCATCCTGTTGATCTGCTTCACTATGCATGACCTCCTGACACGCTGCAACAGATCCATGCCAGCTCCATGGCCCATCTTCTAAACCTATTGTGGCATGTTCTCAGCCTTCCAGCCAACCATTGGCGCCGAGTCCATAAGTCAGCATGACCACCTCATGGGGAGGAAGACGGATGGCTCTCTTATCCTGGTCCTGCAAGCCGCCGGTGGAGCTGCACCTGCGGCTTTCCCTCTTCGAAGCTTCAGCTAGCTGTTCTATTTAGGTAGTTGGAATGATTCCACGAGGGCCCCCACCGTCCAGGCAAGAGGTGGTATTACTGCAACCTCGCTCTGGCCGCATACCTTCGCTTCCAAGCTTCTTGGGTCCGGTTTAGCGTTTCGTATTGTACACAGTAATTGTTCCCTCTGAATCGACTGTCCTGAACATATTGAACGCTATTTCCGTGTTCATCTCCATAGAAACAAAACCTCCTGTCATACTGTCAACTGATCTTCTTCCCTTTCCGGGTAACTACGCCGCAGCACCCCGAGGGAACCTTCCCCTCACCCCTCGCGCCCTCTAGCGAACGAGACTTGCATGTGAAGCACACCGGTCCTAGTCTTGGCCAATTACATCTCCCAACACGCGGGGGTCCGGTTCCTGGTGGTGGTTCATTGGACGGGTTACCACACCACCAAGAATTTAAGAAATGCATACCAAGATGGTATCTCCGTCCATAGCAGAATCAACAGCACGGTATGACGAAGGCTATTCTCTTCCTACGTGAATATGTACATTCATAGACATGTCGCGCATTCATGCAGCAGGACCGTTCGGGCAATCGGCTAGGCCCACACACAAGGATCAGCCCGAGTCCTAGAGAATGCCCGGGTTCACAGTCTACTGCGACGGAAAGGAGCTAGAGGGTGGGTAGGCGAGGGAAGGGAGGGGCGATCAGGTGGCGTGGTACACTGAACACCTGATGGGGGTATACAGAGCTCCAGCTCCAGTTCGATGTAGACGTGAGAACGAGAATCAGAGCTTCGTGTTGGATATAAAAGGCCTCGAGTTTCCTTCCTTTCCACTTCCGATTCCTTCCCTCTTCATCCCAGCCAGCTTCAGAACATCTCACTACAACAACAGCAACCGTTTCTCACCAGCTTTACAAGCAACCCAATCTTGACAATGTCTCCCTGGTAAATCTTACCTGCCTACCTTCCTGTTACCACTGCCTTCGTACCTCTTCTTCATTCCAAGTCATAACAACTTGGAACCGAGATCGAGAGTTTCTTCAGTACCTCACCTACCACTTCACGACCAGTCTCACTGATACTTGTGATCCTATTAGCAACTGCAACACTTGCGCCTGCTCTGGCAACTGCAACTCCTGCGCTTGCACCACCTGCAACGTAAGTCACCTCCTAAGCAAGCAACACCATCTCCCCTTCGAGCCCTGTCGTCCTCCCCCCACGCTTCATCCAGAAGAAGCTAACCGGTGAAACCCCAGCACTAAACATGCCCTACGCACATGCACCCAACCCGCCCATGGGAGCTTGCCGTGAGGCCCCGTGGGAGGAGGTCAACCGACCCAGAGACTGGTACCCAGGCTCTGCATCGCCCTACTTTCCCACGGCCATGGTATCTGCAAGAACTACTTTTCTTGAAAGGAAAAAAAAGACAAAAAAAAACGGGTCTGGAGTGATATGATATGGGGGTTTCTTGAGTGGGCAGAGAGGTAGATGGGTACTTTGTTAGAGAGCTTGGGAAGGGAGAATGTTTCCCGGACGAGATAGCCCGGTGGCCCAGCTACATAGCCTTGCGGAGAAATAGAGCTCTGTCTAGCAGCAATATCAAGGACTTCATCTTTTTTCGAGAAGACATGAGAACTTGAGACATCGTGAATTGGCGAAGTAGATTCTTGTGCACATTCGCTGCTGGTCAGCGCCAACTTGGTGTGGCTCGGGGAGCCCTGTATCTGCATACACACGGAGAACGCTCCTCTGACGAACGCCTCTGACAATCCATTACGTCAACCGGGAGGGCAGTCATCGTATTGGCTACCTGCAGGATTCGGTTCGGGGAGCAGCACAGACAAAGGTCCGACAAGTCCGTGAGCGGGGAGGGAATCCACTGATTCCGCCTGCAGCTTGGCGAACGGGTTGCCTGGTTTAATTCAATGCATGCCATGTTTGAAGCTGCGGTCGTGTAACATGGTGGCCAGCTGCAGGCAGCGGATGGGGGAAATTGCGCCGTACCTAAACCAGGTATTCGTTGGCTAACTTTTGTTTTGTTACGCGGCATCGGTCAGTTATCGTGAGCCAGTGTGGGATGGACAACAGGGCGGAAGAAGCATTGTGCTGTTGATCGCCGTTTTTTTGAATCGTACTTGTCCCATGGAATGTGTGACACGAGGACAAGTCTGAAAGCCAGGGATGGCTACAAGCGCTGCCTCTCGTCAACACCATGAAGACCCCGAGGCTGCCAGCTTTCGGTCTCTTTCGGTCTAAAGCAAACGCACCCCCACGCCGAGACAGGATCTCTCAGGAATTTGGCCTCTCAGACATTCCGGGGGCTGCTGGCACATGACCCAGTAGAGCTGAAGGCGCCCTTGTGGAGCGTGAGAATCCGGTTCTTGATTCCAGCCACAACCGGACAGCACAGGCAAGGCCTGGTAATCTATCCAGTCTTCTTCCCTTGCCGCGTGACCTACTTATAGACATTGCACAAAGTGGCAAACATGGTCGGAGAAACATTGAAAATCGACAGGAGAAGAGTAAGACTAACTCTAGGTGAGTCTTTAGCTAGTTTCACTGAAATCAGGCCATGTTGAGGAGCCTGTATCCCTCTATACGTTAACAGATCCACAAGTCTACCCATTTACACTCTCTTCCTTACACAAGTCACTGGTAGAAGTAGTTCCGTTGCCAGTCATAGACGTTGAGCCTATCCCTCTCAGTCCATTAGGAATATCTCTCTTTGAATGCAAAGCAAAGAGATGTTAACTCGACTCTCGTAGCTATCATTCCTACAGTTCTCATAGCAAGCCCATTTATGTCTACCATTATATCGCTACTATTGCAAAATGTTGCTTTTCTCTTCCCCTCTGTACGATGATTCAGATGTTTATGCCAAAAGCCCTTCTCCCCATGGTTTCGAACGAGATAAGGCCGTTTATCTAGTCTCAAGCATAAGGAGGAGGAGAAGGCCAAAGTTATAGATCATCGATAAAACGCTAGACATGCTGCATGGCGGGCTCGTTGGACGCCCTCGAGTCGAGACTGGAGAGTCTGTTGATAAGCCTGGATAGGTAGACGCTGGTCCGATCAATCATGGTGTGTCGATAGTATGTGGGAGGTATGGCGAGAAGCTTCGAACGAGTAAGACCTACTCAACCTGGAAATATACATCCGTGCCAACGAAGTCTTCTCTCGCCAAGTATATAACACGCGACTGGAGGGGGAAAGTCTCCAATCACGCATCGTACATATTGTTATTTTGCTCGGAGCCGACAGCGTCGAAAAGGGCGCCTCTTCCGTAATCTTGGTAGGTCATACCCTGTCTTTATCTTCGCAAGAACAAATACAGTCGGGTGGTCGCTAAACTCCAGATGAGATCGAGCTTGAGGTGGTGTAGAAAGATTAGCCCCAGGTCATCATGAATCGATCCTTCTACACTTTCAAAGACTCTCGTTGTTACTCTGTAGCACGCTCGTCCAAGGCTTCAACATTCTTCGGCGAGGCACCAAGGGGGCAGGTGGTTAGATGCAGGAAAGCAATGTGCGTCCCAGCAATCGGAGTAGTTATCGACTGCCCTCCGTGTCATGCTCTGTGGCATATCAGGGGCACTTCTTGAACTGCTGCCATTGATGGAGCATCAACTTCGCTCCCCTCGTCTGCATTTTGTGTCGAAGCTGGTATGGTATATCGTAGTGATTTAGTTCTCGAGTGTTCGACTCGCTCTCCGTGCGTCGAGCCGGTCGTGCTCATGATCAGATCTGCTTGCCTCCGATGATGATTAACGTAAAAGCTTGGGACCAACAGTGCAACGGGTCTTGATTCGAGGTGTAAAGCTCCCAGAATAGGTGCCTGGGCTTCTGCGTCTCAGCGTGTGACAACTTCGTCGACAAACCCATCCTTGGAGTGGCATATCCGGGCGCGACGGTGTTGCACTTCGGTTCCCGCGGCACCTGGGCGCGGAAAATGCAACAACAGGCAACGCCACAGAATGAGCGCGAGAATCTGCTCCGCCCTTTGCCGTGAAGGATGGCCGTGGCGTCGGCGCGTCGAGGACCTTGTTGGTTAAACCGAGACACGCGCCTGAAGCTACCTACCCTATATGTACCAGCTTTCCCGGGCTTAACCACTATTTTCTCTTCGTAAAAGGGAATCAAGCTGCGTCCGAATTAGGTTAAATTGGTAACTTTATGTACTCAATCTAAATTTATTATTTTACTACTATTGCCATTTGAAACTCGCAATCGGTGCTGAGATACCTTTCGAATCACTCAGTCATGACATGAGGTGTGGGAGAAAATTTTATACCACACATGCATGATGCATTGTGCGGATATTCTTGACTCTTGAGATGCTTAAACTTTCGGACAAGATGTAGGTCTTAGAATCTGCTCCGTGCGAAACCTAACTAATCTTATCATTCCAATACGCCGGAAATTATAGCTCACATAAAAGAATCATACATGAACACATGTTGGCACTCGGATCCAAAGATGCGTTATAGCAGCAGTTGGACTACTGGGTTAATCTTGACACGATTTCTGATTTTTTTTAGGACATTGACACTTTCAGCAACTCGGTTAGGATCTTCTTGTACAAAACATAGAGAAAACTTATAGAATAGGACCGGTTTAAGCATATGCAATCGATAGAGGTAGTTTGTATATTGGTTCTACTGACTCGGACCAGTTGTTGTCAGACCCTTTGGTAGCAAGGAGAAAAACAAAAACCATGTCCATATAAACTGTATATGGGGTATTAATAGTGAGTAGAAAGCTTACAGGTGGAACGGAGGGCGTCGGAGTTCTAACATTAGGTTATCTATGAATCGGATGGTCGGGCCGGCGTGGGTATGTTCATGATGTGACGGGCCTCCGATTCACGGGGTGTACAATAGATAGGAAACACTTCCGGTCGGCTAAATTCTCGCTGGAACTATGAAGAATTATGCATGGTTTTGAAAGTCTTAATTATCTATTAGCGGGATTCTGCTGTCAGAGGCAACTGAAAGGTCTAGTATAGGTTCATTCTGGCCATCAGATGACCTGATGAGGCTCGTGAGGAGAGAAGAATTAGCCGATAACATCTTCTTCTATAAGAGTCAACATGGAAGCTGGTGATAGGACTTTCCTGATTTTCGACTTCTTCAGTACTCCGAACTCCTGTGCCAGATAAAACATTAACAACTTCTAGTGTCTGCCTGATCCGTTGTACCTACTCGGAGTGGGGATCCGGCGATCGGCAAAGATGCCCGGAAAAATCGGATGGCGATGCGTTCTCAGAGAAAGGCGTTGGCTCTTATTTTGCTAGACATTATATTCCCTAAGATTATGTCTCATGTTTTCAATTGATGCTGGCTTGTCTGATGTTAAATCCTTAGCCCAGTCCGCGGTTGTTTATGAATGCATTGTGTGATTGAACGCTCGGATGCGCCTTGTAGAGCTCTATGGGGTGTTAGACGAACTAGGGCCCATACCAATAGTTGCATTACCACTTTCCTTCCCTGGATAGATTGTGTAGCTCCCGCTTGATGTAGCATCGATAAAGCGTGACCCAAGCAGATCGTTTGATGGGTCTCTCCGGTTATATAAAGAAGACCAGCTTGCAATCCCTAGAACTTTAGGCCAAACTTGCGCCATTCTGCCTGTCTTCCAATAGGCTAGTTACGATGCGGCTTGCAACCATTCCCGCCCTCGCTTGGGCCTTTGGCTTAATCGAGAGCTCCCTTGCCGGCACAGACGCCAACCCATCCGCTTGTAAGTTACCAGCAATTCCGGACATTTATCTTAGCTCCGGCTTTGGTGGCGACTATGACAGTGCTCCAAGCCTCGGAACGATGACCGGATTCATGATCTTCGTCGACTTTATCGACGGGGTCGCAAGTGAGACCACCGAGTCTCTCAGGGATATCTTTATCCCCGAGGGCCCCGACTGGTTCAACACCGCATCATTCGGTAAATTGAACCACCAGATCACAGCGGACACGTCCAAGTTCTTCCGCATGCCCAACGACACCGAGTCATATGGGTTCACTCGCGGCTTGACATGGGAGGCGCACAACCGGTACATCCAGGACGCCTTGCAGGCGTATGAAGAAAAGTGCAAAAAGCTGAAACCTGTTGATATCCTGTACGTCGTGGCCACGAAAAACGCCTCGGCCATCAGCTTCTCGCCGACTTTCATGGGTCCCGTGACGACGCGTTCGGGCGTGAAGGTGGCAAAGAAAGCAGTGACGATTGGATATGACGCATACGTGAAATGGTTCTCCAAAGTGTTGAACCATGAATCTGGTCATGCAATGGGTCTTGCAGACTACTATCCATTCACTGGTGGGGAGACGGGAATGTATGTTGGAGGCTGGAGTTTGATGGGGTATATCAACGGGGCAAGTCCCGACTATTTCGCATGGGATAAGTGGCGTCTAGGATGGCTTCAGGATGAACAGGTGGATTGTGTCTCCCAGGCCGGCAAAACGATACATACGCTCTCTCCGATGGATACCCTGGACGGAAACAGTCCGATCAAGGCCGTGGTGGTTAAGAAGAACGACACCTCTGCCCTCATTGCTGAAGTGAGGTCGAGCAACGGCAACAACGTTGGGTCTTGTGCCAAAGGAGTGCTTCTTTACACGGTTGCAACACACGTGGCAACTGGGACAGGCCCAGTCATTGTGCTCGACTCCAATCCGGCTTCGATTGGATGCGATGGTACAGCTTTTGGGAATGCACCTTTGGCACTTGACGGGTCTGGTGCTAGCTCTTATACATCTTCTGAATTTGGTGTGACGATTGAGGTGGTAGAACAAGAGGGCGAAGAATATGTAATCGAAGTAGAGCTTTTATGAAACGAAGAAATGTGTTAGAGCTAGTGAAATGTAGTTCCGTCTTGATCGCAAGTTTCTAATGCAGACAGAAGGTTCACCTTGAGAAAATAGCCACGGTTCCTAACTCTGAAAATTTGATCCCAATGTGGAATGTGCTTCGACAACTACGTAAGTCCATAAAGTTGTTTACAGTTTTTGCTTCTCCTCTATAAGAACTATCATGTGTTGTTTATTTGTTGCGATTGTATAGGCTAGTTCTCTATAAAAATAATAACTCCGGGGAAATGCTATTGAAATCTATGTGGCTTCTCTTTCATGTAGGCCTCTTCCAAGTCCCTGCCTGACGCTGGGATGCCTTTGAGGTATTCCTCGTTGAAATATATGAATAAACAGAATGTGGCATCTTTTATCGAAATAAAATTGTCCAAACGTGCATGCGCATGCTGTTCATGTTTGGTCGAACCGTGGTGAAGGGGAAGATGGCCCGGCGGCCTGGTCGAAAGAAGGTCACAAGCTCTTTACTCTTCGCGATATCTTGTCGGAGCGTCCCTTGACTCGCCATGCTTGACAAATGAGAGGAACAGCGGAACAATACCGTCTAGCGATAGCGAAAGCAGAAGCAGCGTTGTGACCAAGCAATAATGACCCCGACGATCGCAACAATGACTCCTGCGATTGACACGGCAATTCCAGCAAGCTCGCCCTTCTTGATACCGTTCCATGTCCACTCCTTCTCCTTACTATTATCGTTATCTGAGTCTTTCTCGTCGGCCGCGGATGTCGATAATGGTGCGTTCGACGTGGTAGCCGTGCTGCCGGCACGTTCCGACGTCGATGTCTGGAATACGTAGCTCGTGGGCTGAGCCCAGGGGTCGCTCCACTGCGTCTGGCTGGGAGGTGGTTGGCTCCAGCTGCTGGATTGGCTGCTAAGGGGTGTCCAGACCCATGTGCTCATGGCCTGCGTTGTTGCCGGAGGCTTGAAGGTGGAGGTGGTGGTTGTCTGCCATATCGAGGAGGATATCCTTGAGGTTGTGGTAGTGGAACTGGTGAAGAGTGACGTCGAAAGAGACTTTGAGCTTGTGCTACTAGAAGTACGAGGCCCTAATGTGGATGCCTTAGACGTGGGCTGAGCAGATGTAGGCTGGACAGTATTATAGAGCTGGGAGGTTGCTGCTGCGTTTGGTAGAGGCGATGCCCAGCAGCATCTGCAGAGACAGGACGCAATGAGGACGCAGGTTGTGAGAAATGACAGGGGAAACATGATGGGCCAGTCTGCGGGACTGGAATGCAGAGTAGTAGAATGATGGTCGAGATATGTGTGGGCTCTAGGATATCTTTAAAGGCTGGGCTGGTGCTGGGCTCCTTCAGCGGGCCATCTATATTCACCTCGCCCACCTCCCAAGCCCGGGGGCGAGTGGGCGATCTGGGGAGAGCCGTATAAAGAGGTGCACGGCCGCAGTAGGCCGCTGACGGGCTTCTCTAAGCCATCCATTTATTATCGAATCTCATCCCTGAAAGTCCCAGGAGCTGAAAAACGATATCAAGGCTGGAGCCTTGTTCGCACAATGTCGAGTATGCGCTACATGCGCGTGGCTGATTGGGTCTCAGAGTTGGTCGACTGGCTAGAGAGTAAGCTGAGTAGGACAGGCGACCACCTGACCTGAGCTAATCCTGCACAAAAGCAAATGGTCTACGGGGACGATGCTCGCGGCCGAAGGAGCCTTTATCGTTTGAATGTTCCCCGTTGATAACAGGATTCGATACAGTAAACATCACATTAAGCGAATGGGCCTTGGAGATAGATCTTACGGGTTTACCACAAATGAGGATGCTAGGCCTACGAAACTACTACTGTAGACATATGATCAGGAGTTGCAGTTGCCTTAGTTATCCCCATGGAACCAGGTCGACAAATCTATGGTAGGCTACAGCACGGTGGCGTGTTGGATCCAATGATTTGTAGCAATAGGCGCCAGCACAGCCCCTGCGGCTAGTCTCACCTGCATCAACCAAGTCAGCTGAAGGAGGGCTGAGTTGGTGGCCTACAAGACTGCTTTTGACCTGTCATTTTTTTACTCAATGACCGAAGATAATGGTATTGCCACATCAAGCCTTAGTTCTAGTATACTTCTTGTATATAAATAAATACCAGCTAATCGGTATGGTTCCGTATTCCTATTAAAGTTCCTATCATACAACGAAATATCGCTCCGTCGCTAATTGACTGCTTGATGAGGAACAACGTACAGCCCTTTCATTTGGTATCCCTGACTCCCCAATAAGCGAACGTAAATAACAGAAATAAATTAGGTTTTGGTTTGAGGGCTATCTGGTATACTCGCAGATAGGTACTTAAGCTGCCTAATCACGTTTATTCCCCATATTGACCATTCATGCGTGAACAAGAGAAATGGGATCAGAATTAGAGCCATATCGATCTCATTCCAAATCAAGAAGCCATCCAACTATTGGAGGGGGTCAACAGACCTGGATCGAATTAGCATCCCATTGGGTGTGCCGCAACCCTTTATCATTGTCAGGAGGACGCGAGTAGGTAATTTGCACTAAAGTTTATTCATTATCCTATAGAAACGATAACCTTGCTCACAACCGCGCCAGTACGCCCTGCCACCATTATATTGATGTTTTGAAATTTCTTTAGATAAAATACTGTCTGTCATACCAAGGCCTAAGGGCCTTGGTTGCGATTTCTTAGGCCTCTCGAATCCTTCGAAGAAGCTGGCCTATTCCGCATTGTCTGAAGCTCACAATGGCTACAGATGTTCACCATGGAATCCCGGCTTGATGACCTGGAAGCTGCGCGAAATTTGGAAAGACGAGTAGCTGATTGAAGACTCATAAGAATGAGTCAAGGTTGTGACGATCCGACACATATGGCTATCAGCGGAATCAAAGCTTGCTCGGACCGGGATGTTGGCCCGGGATTGTGCCCACTTGGGAACTCGTAAAGAAATCTTGATGCTCGAAGCCCAATCATTTTCAAAGTCCTGTTTCATCCATTGATGACGACTCTAATTGTATGTTTGAATGAGGCCCTATTTCTGTGGTTCTAGAAGGGCATTTTTATGTATCTGTTGATCGTAGAAGTGATATTGAAAGGCTCCTGAAGGCCTCTGAATGACGGAAATAGTGATGAGGGTTAAGAGGCTTCGCGGAAAGGAGCCGCATGGGTGATAGATTGAAGCTGACACATGCCTCTAAAAGACATTGGTTGAGTCAACGTCAATGACTTTCATTGTTCTGTCTGGAAGTCGATCCAGACGGTACCGAAGAAGAGCCTGCTCTAGCATCGGCGTTGTGGCCAGCCCCAAGGTGTTCAGCCTCCTCTGTCCCATGGTACGCTGAAAGTAGTTAGCATTGCGGGATACAATTTGCACAAATCAGAAGGGTTATTTTATACCTGATTCCTTGCAATGGGCCTCGGAAATCGAGGCTGCCCTATACAGAGGCCCCATAAGCTCTCCATGGAGATGGGCGGCATCGAACGAGGTCAGTTGAGAGGCTGTGGAACCATCGTAATACGCGAAGGGTGCATGTGTTCTGTGTACGGAAATAGACGAGAAGCAAGCAGCAGCTACTTGAAAACTGGCTTTTCGGGCGACTGGAGAACACATCAGTCAACGCCTGCCGGGCGGTGAGAAGAACACTATCTTACGAGGAATGACAACAGGTCGAAGGCTTCCCATGGTGGATCAACTGGGTGGACAAGTAAACTAGCAATAAACAATGACACTTTAGGATGGAGTGAGGATACGTTAATATTTATTAGCAATGATTTTTTTTTTTCAAACGGCGGAATTGGCCGTGCCTTTGTATTTCATGATTATTACCCCTGCCGTCACGCGTTTGAGAGGATGCTACGTCAGAAACATGAGATCTCTACTGCAGGTGATGGAGCTCCGAATTGACCCGATTATCGACCTATGCGATGAGAATTTATCGGCACCTGTAAGTCCTTATCATTGCTGCCTGCAGAATGCGAAAACATGTGATCTCGGAGTGGGAATCGGATGTGCACACCGCATTGACTCAAGGCGGAATGTAATGCACAATCTGTACCCTTGCACTCGCAGAACTGGATCACGAGCCATCACTCGTTGATGATTTACTCCTCCTCGGCGAAACTGTTTTCACATGCCCTAGGTAAAAGTAACTAGTAGCCAACTTTAACATTGCCAGATGTCATACTGAATGCCATGTTCGTGCCGCACAAGTGCCAATCATTCTTGAATCGCGGCGACCAGGAGAGTTGTGACAGCCCCAACTATGTGCGAGAAAGACACGGGCGTAAACGGAGGTAAAAGGAGGCGTGTCAGAACCGCTGGCGCTCGCTAGACGAACGAACCTTTGTCCCTTTCCATTGGAAATCTGGAAACTTGTAACGGCTCGCAAGGAAGATTTAAGCCGTTATGGGTTGTGGATCAAGTTCACTTGGTAAATACAGCTTGGCCAATCAATCTAGTCCACAGCAAAGTCTCCCTCCAACAGCCCAAACAAATTCAGGTTGGCAGAAAACCAGTTCTCGGCGCCCATGGTCTGAGAAGGCTCACTGATTAGTCGAGCGTCGGACAGGTAGTGTTCGTCGGGGACTGGTAATAGACCCAGCTGGTTGAGGTAGCCAGTAAAGCTGTCATCAAGCATCTGAGCTTCTGGCCCCTCGGTGGCTTTGGTTCTCGCTCGTAGATAAGATGATGCGACATTGTACAAGGTTGTAGTAATGGAATGAAGCTGGTCAATCGACTCCGACATGTGGCGAACGGGTTCGAGGGAGGCGGTGAAGTTTTGAAGCATGTGAAGATCATCGGGGTCTAAAGATTCGAAGACGTGGCAGAAAACAATCAGGAGAGGGGTGAAAGGGGTGAAGAGTAGGGTCCTGGTGAAGGTGTTGGTTAGCACTCGCATACATCGTAGTGAGGAGGAGCACGAATCAAATTACCAGTGGATGTAATAGGCCTGCGTCTCCAACCTTCCTTTAAATAGAACCATCAACTCTTCGTGATAACGAAAGGCTGCCCGCGCGGTTTCGATATATTCCGAGCTCGGTGGCGCATCAACACTTGAAGACCTGGGTGACTCACGTATGGACCGGTAAATGAGAGTCAATGTCGACAGATGACACACCACCTCGGCAAGAATGAGAGTACGTCTCCCCGTGCCACTTCCAAAGTCCTCGTTGGTTGAACCATGAACTGCATTTTCTGGTCTTTCTGCTAGTGCCATAAGCTGTCGCAAAGACCGCTGCGTTGCCTCAGCAAGATTCACCGCAGATCGGACCCTCTCAGCTGGTGTTGCTAGAAGCGCTTGGCGACTGTACAATTGGTCATATATCCTGCCCTGAATTTGTGCGTGTTGGACCCATATGTGTTTGATAGCTTGCCATAGATCACCCATATCGACAACCGTGTCGCTTGATGTGCCGACGATATCTTGGTCTGGCAAGGCAGATGGTCTCCCAAGCCGCAATGCAAGGCCTTTGTCTAGGATGTAGAGGGCGCCGAGGAGCTCGTGATTGATCTTGTGGCCGTCTCTCTCGGTTCGTTTTGGGTACAGGGAGTGATATCCAAGCTCCTGGCATATTTGTGCTGCCGTGCTAGACATGCGCCATGCTAAGGAGGGCCGTGAAATCTCTATGGCGTAACTTACCTGAGCCAATAGTCACATCAGTTTCAAGTTGATGGGTAGATTTGGTATCTGACATCTGGGGGGTGTGCAAACTTACACCAACGAGCAACGCCTCGATGCTCTCATCGCATGTTGAAACGAGGAGGCCCAGGCTATTTATCGCCGTGCGCAAATTGCCAGCGCACAGATTCCGGTACTCGGTGTACTCGTCCCTGACATCCTGGCTCTTGTCGAAGCATGCCCTCTCGGTAAGCATATAGTATAGCCCTCCATTGACGATTGCAAAGGATGACAAAGTGAAAGGCTCTGTAGCAAAGTAGACAGCGCGGCAGTATTCGGTGAAGCGCTCTAGGGTCATGAAGTTGAAGGTTGCAGCAAATGCAGGAGAGGGGTGCTCTACCCAAGGGGTCAATACACTCACTTTCGTCGAGAGTCTGATGAAAGGAGAGGGCGTCGCTTACCCTTGGCCCGCCGGAGTAATGGCAGTGCAACGTTTAAAGGGACCAGTGGGAGGCTCAGAATGGACGCTTCCGGGAGGGTCTCTTGGTCTGGGAATTTTAGTTCACTGGCCACTGGCTTTTGGTGGTGCATTTGCACCATCCGATGGAGTGCTGAGAGCGCGGCGTCGACATCGGGATCTGCTCGAACCGAGGGGGTTTGCTTGACGGTGTTTTCGACCATTGCACCTACATCGAGAGTCTGCGCAGCCAGGGTGGACCTCGCTGGTAGTACAGCTTCTGCATCAAGTGCCGGTGCGACTGTGTGTGCCGGTGTTATTGAGCAGCTTGGCGGATCTGTGGCAGGTTTGTTCGAGTTCTCGAGGAGCTCGCGCAACAGATGCTCGATGCCGTCCAGTCGCTGCTGGATACTGTCGATTTTCTCCTCGCTAAACCCTTCAGTACCAACTGTCCAGCAACGGAATATCCATATTCATACAAGATGAGGTAAACTTACTACTGTGCGGATATGAGAACACGCTGGCGAGCCCCCGAGTGGCTCTGGCCAAACCCCGTTGTGACGCAAGTCTGCTGTGTCGCCTGGCAATTGGAGCATGGAATGTTCCTGTCGCATTTCACCTTTCTTCTGCGACAGGGATCACACTGCCAGAAAGTCGCCAGGAATTAGCTTTCCGAGAGGAACCAGCCGAGGTGAAGAATCCATACCGCAGCACGCTTGGTTGCGGCCCTGTCCATTGCTGCTCCTGGACTCCCTGAGCTACGACGTACGGTCAATCCAATGACCCAGAAGTCTCCGATTGGTGGATGGTAGCTTTCAAGATACGCGTTCGGGCCCGCGGCTGCGTGAAATGTAATGGAGCGAGGTTGGATTCGTGCTGGAGAAAGTAGAATATAGGGCTGGCTCGATCGGACCCGCGGGCCCGAAGTCGAGGTGCCACAACATGTCACCACATCAATATCACTGGGCCACTTGCCCGTCTGCCAAATTAGACGACCTCCATTTAATGCCTTTCCAGTTGTTTCCAAGTTGATGCACACACAAGCCGGACTTAACAGCTCCCCGATAACCCGGTGTCACCCAGACCATGATTGAGAGCAGAAATTCCCTTATTACCAAAAGCTGCAAAGACCTCAAGGCCCTTGGACACGGTGTTAAGGAAATATCCTCCTGTCTCCGACTGCCATGCAGACGAGTGTTCGGTTCCGCGGGACCAAATATGTTGTTTACAGCAATACACGAAGTCCAGGAGCACTATATATCTCGTGGCAGCTCGCATCTATCTCTCGTGTATCTCCAGATCACACACCCCGACTTTGACTGCATCTCTCTATCTGCCCATTACTTCTAGGTTGTACATTTCGATTTCAACACCAACATTTTCTACCATGTCAAGCGGCAACACGCAAACTCGCAAGCTGGGCCAGCATGGGCCAACAATTCCAGCTATTGGCCTTGGTCTCATGGGGATGTCGATCTTCTATGGAAAGCCTGGTAGTGATGAGGAGCGTTTCACTCTGCTCGACAAGGCCCTCGAACTTGGCGCCACCCACTGGGACAGCGCCGCGTACGTATACTCATGCACTCTTATCCTGTACCATCATATGCCTAACTCTTGGCGTTATTAGTCTTTATGGAGACAGCGAAGTGCTATTGGGCAAATGGTTCAAACGAACCGGCAAAAGAGACCAAATCTTCCTCACCAGCAAATTCGGCTTTGCTAAAGGCTTCGCCGACCCAACCGTGATTGACAGCTCGGGAGAATATGCCAAGAAGTCTTGCCAGGAGAGTTTGGACCGCCTCGGGACCGACTATATTGATCTATATTATATGCACCGCGCAAACCCTGCCACCCCAATCGAGGATACTATGCGTGGGCTGGCGGAACTAAAGAGGTAGCGTCCTTGCCCTTCCATTAAACCATGGACCACCAAATCTTCTGACTCTATATGCAAGGGAGGGCAAGATCAAGTACATCGGCTTGTCTGAGGTCAGCTCTAGCACTCTGCGACGCGCCTGCAAGATCGCCCACGTCGATGCCGTCCAAATTGAATACTCGCCATTCGTCCTGGATGTTGAGAACTCGGTCGGCACCCATCTTCTCAAGACCTGTCGCGAGCTTGGAGTTGCCGTCGTCGCCTATTCGCCACTGGGACGAGGTATTCTTACAGGAGCCTTCATCACTAAGGAATCTTTCCAGAAGGACGGGGACTACCGCACCATCATGCCGTGGTTTCAAGACGGCAACTTCGACCGCAACGTGACACTCGTGAACCAGTTCAGGGAGCTGGCCGACAAGAAGGGTTGCAAGCCTTCACAGCTAGCCATTGCCTGGCTGCTCAAGCAGGGCGACGACATCATCCCCATTCCTGGAACGAAGCAGATCAAGTACCTCGAGGAAAACTGGGCTTCTCAGTACGTCCAGCTAACAGACGAGGATGAAAAGGAGATTAGAAGATTCGTTGAGGCAGCTGAAATCGCAGGTTCTCGAGGGGCACCAGGATTCACAGACACCGCAGAGGAGAAATAAGCCAAGAACATCGAACATTTAGATGATCTTGAACGGCATTCTCCAAGCACAGTGTAAACGCGCAGTGAAATAGCAGCTAGATTTTCCTAGCACCTGGGAAAATACAATGAAAGAGAACACAGTGAGAGCTAGCCTTATGCAATATCCTTCAAAGCCGTAGTGTCACTAGCTCCCACGGGCACGGCGGCTCTCTCCATCATAGTGTTGATGTAGGACTGAACCCAATTTAGAAACAAACAGCGAAGACAGGGTTCGATGGAGCCTCCTCCTTTTTATCATAATGCTTACGAACCCCACTCTAACCTTCATACGCACATACATATCTGTGTATCCGTGGGGACACGACTATAAATCTTGGGTTGTGTCAGTGGTGGTGCCCCTTCTTGTCCCATCACAAATATCTCCGACTTACCCACAGTATATCAACATGGCGAGCTCAAAAGGCACCATCCTTGTTTTTCCGGGCGCAAATGGAGGCCTCGGCTGCGGTATTGTTTCTCACATCATCTCGACTCCAGAACTCGCTCTCTAGCATGGTATCTATGTTGTACGTGATGCTACCCAAGCCTCAGCACTCGACTCAGTCCTCACCCGGGCTCCAAGCTCGCACACTTATCGCATCGTATCCCTTGGTCTAGCGAGCCTCGATAACACCCATGGGTGGCACAGACACTGCTCTGCAGAGCTGGAGTTAAACAGCCATTAAGCTATACTCACACGGATCATAATGCCGAAAAGCCCAGCCAAGTCAACACCGGATTAGAAGTATCCTCATTGGCAGCTAGCCAAATAAGATATGTGACAATGGAGCATGATAAGCCAGCTCTCTTGAGCGGTATTCTTGTCGATTTTCAGTTTGATACCTGGGGGGTTGGTAGTGATATCAATGCCTTACATGACGCTATTCGACAACTGAAGGCTGGGCTAAATTCCATAAAACCTGAGGCGAACATCTGGCAGAGATGGTTGTTGGGAGCTGGAAGTAGAGTGGGTTGCGAGCCGAAATGGAACAGAGGGAAGAAGCTTATCTCCGATGGAGAGAACCTAAATCCTGATTTATGAACAGATTTCTTTCGTTCATTTTGGGTGAAATTTATTTGAACAGCAGCCGAGCAAATACTACTATTATACAGGGCATGCGTTGTTTTTGCCTGTTCACGCCATGAACCCAAAAAGGGACGACAGGAGCAGCTTAAGATGGGTGTATGATACAGCCCATATCAACTCAAGCACTCCGACCACAGTCTCTGGCAAAGACCCCTTTTTGTCCGGCCAAAGCTTACGATGACATCTCAACTTTGATAGATGGTCAACGTAACCTCGACTCGTGTTCAGGATCTGTTAATCAGGAGAAGAGAGTTGTCTAGCCAAAATAATGACCCTGATGTGCCCGTCAGAAAATCATGTATCCGGTCAGTGTCTACCTTTCCACATGGATCGTCGTTATGGGGAAGCGCTCACAACTAGCTTCAACTTGTGAAGAAACTGGAACCTCTTGGGGCAGGAGGAAGGCTTGGTTCTCAACACATAATTTATGTATGGCTTTTTTCTAGACCTTCATATTGATATATAAACCTGGTTCCCCCCCCTCTAAGCGTGAGCAACGCTTTAACACTGTTTTACTCTTGAGAATTTCTACTAGGGACAAATGGATACATTGTCTGCCGGTTTCGCTCTGCAAGATGGTCCACGAGTGAGTGCTGACGATCTTTAGTGATTACTTGCTACCAACGACGAAAAGTAAATTGAAGCTATGTAAGGAAGAGTTGGCTAGTAAGTCTCAACCCGGTTACCGAGCTTGGCGATATGTGCTTGTCGAATTCTCAACGCCTTTCCAGCCTAAAAAGCTAAGCCCTTGACCTGGTAGGGGCGGATGTCACAATAGCAGGTATGTTTGGCTTGGCTTCAACCCCAAATCTCCACATGCGCCAAGAGCACTGGGGATCGTCCTCGGAGCTCCGAGTCTTCTCAACGAATTACTCGTATTCAGGGCTTAGGGCCAGGCCCCACGCTTCTCCCGAAGCAGGCCTTGGGTTTCATCTGATAAACCATAGTTCCAATAAATGTCACTTTAGCCGTGCGAAATTTTCAATTGCTTGACAGGGAGCTGGTGGAGTTCAGCAGGCGGCCGACGATGTCCACGTGGGGTCTTAATGCATTGCCGCACCAAATCTAGCCATGTAGAGACATGAAGCCAACCAGAAGCCGTCTGATTACCTCTTCCCCTTCTTGACGCATGCTATATTTCGTCTTTTATTCAGCAGAAAATCGCAGCTTGCCTTTCACGGTATATCGGCCGAGTGTCAATCACATATAAAACCATAGCCGTAATAATATTACCCAGACTAAAGCGCATCAAAGGGGCCACGTGGATGCGAGAAGAGGCATTTAGAATTTGTCCAATTCCTATCCCTTCCAGGGTTGGATCAGATTATGCGGATCAGATAAAAAAAAGTTCTCGTTTAGTTTAAGCTTAGGGTTAGAATTGCTAGAGCTAGTCTGCCTAATGCCTGAAGTTTTGAGAATGACAGACCAGCCCCCCAAACAGCCCCTCTTATCACGGATATCTCCTTCCAATACAGCATTTGAGCAATTAGCCGGTTTACCGTTAGCTGGGGTGAGAGTCGCTGCCGCCGTAACGCTAGAAGGTGTTGTTGGGTACCGGCTGTCGGTCTTGACACATTTTTTATCAATCACTGATCAACAAAGGCCCACTGCAAGATTGGCAATGAAGGATAAAACCGGTCGCGTGGTCGCTTTTCCGTCTGTCCTTGAAATTGATCTTCTAGTTTCATTAGCACTCTTGACGTTGAGGATCTCTAATTACCTGGATAACATTGGCCTATCATGGCCGCCAAATCCTCCTCGATAGTGACGAAAGGTATTCATCAAGAATCTTCACACACCAAAAAGAATACACTGTCTAACATGAAACTGTCGCAATAGTCACCACATTCTTCTGGGGAGACACTTCCCTGGAGGAGAGACGACTGATTCGTAAACTTGGTTTGTACCAGAACCCTTGCACCTTGAGCTCGCCATCTAACAATCCGCCTAGATTTCTTCATTCTGGTAAATTGATTCGGTATTAATAAGGAGGGGAGGGTTTGCGCTAATTCTGATCGTTGGGAAGACATACTCCTGCCTGAGCTACTTCTTCAATTACCTTGGTATGTACCTGGTATTTGCATTTGCACCCTAAAGACCAGCAACTGACATCCCCAATCTAGACCGGGCGGCATTCGCCAACGCATATGTGAGTTTGAAATGAGCGGCACGCCTATTCTTAAGCACTTCACCAATCTTGGCCTGTTTAGGCGGTGTATTGATGTTGCTTTTGACTTAGGTCGCTGGCCTGAAGGAGGCCCTCAACCTGGATGGCAATAAATATAATGTTCTTCTATCTATGGCCTCTGCGGGGTATGTTTCTATCCACAGTCCCCTCCTGGACTGAAGTTCATACCTCAGGATGGAAGTTGACGGTTGATAGTATGCTGGTTGGCCAAGTCCCCAACAGCATTATCATCCACAAGATCCCCCCGCGTATTTGGCTCCCTTCGATGGTCATCCTCTGGGCTGGTCTCACTATGGCCGGTGCGGGTTGCAAAACTTATGGTCAGCTCTGCGCCGTTCGTTTCCTCATGGGCTTGGCCGAGGCTAGCACCTACGCTGGCTGCATCTACGTAATGGGCTCCTGGTAGTAAGTCATGAGCATCCCTTCTCTGTTTCTTAGCTTTGGCCTGACCGAATTGTCCTTTAAAAACAGCAAACCAAACGAAATCGCCAAGCGCACTGCCATGTTCACTGTGGCTGGGCAGGTGGGAAGCATGTTCGCGGGCGTCATGATGGCTGCCATCTACAAATCCATGGAAGGGCGCTCTGGCTTCGCAGGCTGGCAGTGGGTTTTCATCATCGATGGCATCATCACCTGCCCCATCGCTATCTTCGGCTATCTATATTTCCCCGACCTACCGGAGAGTACTCGTGCCCGATATCTAAGCGAGAGGGAGCGCAAACTTGCCCTCAGTCGTCTCCCTCCCAAGAAGGAGGATGGCCACAGCATTGCCCCCTGGAGTCTGACCAAGAGAGTTTTGGGACAGCCCGCTTTGTGAGTGCTACCGCAAATGCACCGTCAAAACGTGTCCAGAGCTAATATACCATTCATAGCTATATCTGCTGTGGTTTCTCACTTCTTTCAGCTGCTTTGCAGGCATACTCCGTCCAGGGATTGATGCTACTCTATCTCAAGAACCGGAAAGATATCGACGGATACACTCAGGAACAGGTCAACACCATGCCTCTTGGAATCCAAGCCATTGGAATTGTGGCTGAATTCGCCGCAGCCGCCGCCATCGATCGTTTTAATCTACGCCTCTCGACCGGCTTCGCACTCTTGGTTATTCAACTGATTTGCACTATCGTTCTCTTGGTTCCCCAGATGACCGTTGCTGGTAACCTTAGTGCACTATACATTGCCGCAACTGCCTATGGTATCAACCCATTGTTATATGGGTGGCCCAGCGTTATCACGGCCAGAGGTGGTGACGACGCGGCTCGAAGTGTCATTATTGCCTCCATGGTTGCCAGTGGCATGCTGCTCTACACCTTCTGGGGTATCGTGGTCTACCCAGCCAACCATGCACCATACTGGAGAAACGGTTATATTGCCATGATTGTAGTCATTGCTTGTCTGAGCGGTTGGATCTTTCTTCTTCGTTGGGTAAGTGGCATAATTCGCATCGAATGCATAAGCCTCGTCTAACAATCAGTAGCTCGATGACTATACCGCTAAGAAATATCCTGCCGATGTAGATAGGGCCAGTAACAGTGTCGAGGAAGAGCTCAACTATTCATCAGCAGAGAAGGGGCCTGTTGAGCAGACGCGTACACTCTAAGATAACGAGAACAAGGCCAAGCCGGGTTGTCGACTTCCACGCTCAATGAGGGTGGCGACTGTAATGGCACCTGTCCAGAAGCCCGACCCGTTTTGATAAAGCCCTACAACCATTTGCTCTTTGATTTAAACTGCGCCACCAGCTATCAAGGAGAAATATTAGCCGCTAGTGAATCGGTGAGCGGCTGAGGCTGAACCAAGCGAGCTTCTCGGTCAGCATAAACATAGCAGCTTCACAGGGGCTTGGATCTACTTTTGTCAGCCTATTGAACAAATTGGCCCACCGTACTGGATACATGACATGTGGTGCAAGGATTTGGAGCGTAAAGAAGTAACAGCGCGCGACTCGAGAATTCATCGGCACCACGGTTCCCTCTCCACCCGACTGCATGGATTGTAAATAGTAGCCCACTAGCCTACTGGATTCTACCCTGCTCAGTATTGATATGCATACTATGACGGTCTGGATCTCATTCGTGCTTACCCTCTTCTGGTGACGGACAAGGCGATGCTTTGTTGTGGATCATTAGACCCGATCTAAAGCCCCGGAATCCTGGTGATGTTTGCGTGTCCCATGCTAATACCGCCATGCTTTTTATCTCATTCGTTCTAGCTCTACGCAAAATATAAGTTGAACGTATTCAGTACGCTCTTTACTCCCAGTCGAAACGACAGAATGGGTGGAATTTTGCCACACATACCATCGATGCGTTAAAAACGCCCGCATTCATGGAGTGGTTATGTGTCTTGATGTTCTTTATCTGGCTAACTCCCTCCCCCCACGGAAATGAACAGCTGGAAGTTGCAGAAAGACATCATTATCGACTTAGGTTTCGATGGTAAACTTAGACTCCAAATATCTCAACATGGAGTGCGTTGTGTTACCAGTCGACATAGAAGCCAGTTCGACCGATTGCGAGAACATTGCCGGAGGAGCAAAAGAGGCAACATTGACGCAAATCGAAGAGGATGACACCTGGGACAAGGACCCTGAGAATCTCCTGAACTGGGCCCCGAGAACCAAGTTAATACAAATTGCTATGCTCTCATCTGCCACATTCCTTGGGTTCGAAGTCTCCCACCATTCTCTTCCTTCAACCCCTTCCTAGTCTGGAGTATCTTTCTAACATGGAATCTTCAAAGCTCTGTCGCCACAACCATTGTCAGTCCGTCCGTGGTCTATGTGATGGTGGAATTCTCGGTTTCTCGAACTGTCGCCATTCTTTGCCTTGCACTCTACGTCTTAGCACTTGCATTTGATCCTGTCATCGGTGGACCTTTATCAGAAACGATCGGCCGTTAATATGTCTACATCGGCTATATCATGACAGGCGTTCTATTTACGATCGGTGCCTCTCAGGCCACCAACTTTGCTACACTTTGTGTCTTAAGACTTTTCTCCGGCTTCTACTGGGGTCCTACCCTAGCTGTCACAGCGGGTTCGATCATTGAGGTATTTCGAGCTGAGGCAAGAGGGCCCGTAAGCGCAATAATTGTGCTGATGGTTTTCCTTGGCCCTGGACTAGGGTATGTCTGAAAGCCTGGACAGTCCTTTTCCCCCTAGACTAGTATCACTGACATTCTGCATCAGGCCCGTAATAGGAGCGTTTGCTGTTAGTCGACATGGTTGGCGTTGGCCATACTACTGCCTTCTTGTCATGTCTGCGGCCCCTTTGACACTTTCTATTCTTTCTAAGGAGACCTTCCACCCTTTGCTTCGAAAAGATTCGCCAAGAGCCGGGGTGATCCTGTCCCCTCCTCCCAGCCACTCTCAGTGCGTCTCAGGGAATTTGCCCTTGTCGCTGTCATCCGACCTGTTCGAATGCTGGTCCTCGAACCTATTGTTACTTTCATCTGTCTCTATGTTGCTCTTGGCTTCGGCACCCTGTTCAGCTTCTTCGCAGCAGTGCCGTATACTTTCGCATCTGTCTATAGGTTTGATGTTGAGCAATGTGGTCTTGTCTTTCTTTCTGTGGTGATGGTGCTTCCTTGGACTTATCACAATCATGCTCTGTGATAAGCTGATATACCAGAAGAAAGTCAACCAGTTTCCGCCCAACAAGGTACCTCCTGAGCACCGCCTCTATGCTGCCATGGTTGGCAGCTTAGTATTGCCGATCGGATTGTTCTGGTTCGGGTGGTCGGCACGGGCTGGCGTGTCATGGGCCAGCCCTGCAGCGGCCATATCATTCTTTGCTTGGGGGAACATCTCCATCTTCATCACCACATTTCAGTATAAGACTGACACATACACTGGAAACGTAATTGCCAGCGCGGCCAGCGCCAACAGTTTGGCTCGGTATGGATTTGCCGCAGCTTTCCCACTCTTCACCGTCCAAAGTAAGGCAGAGCCCAGCCTTTAGCCCCGTGGTTTCTTACGTTGACTGACCTGGATGCAGTGTACCAAAAGCTGGGCATCCCTTGGGCTAGTAGCCTTTTGGGATTCTTCTCCCTTGTGCTATTGCCTGTTCCCTGGGTACTGTTCAAATATGGGCCACGCATCAGGGCAAAGAGCCAGTACGAGACTATCCAATACAGCTAAATGGTAGCGTCGTGTGGCGTGATCGTGGTATCGATTTGTTGCAACCGGGGAATAAACCAAAAACGACGGGAGATATCCGTAAATAGACAAATCGAACTTCTTAGATCTGATTTCGATAACAATTAGATCTGACACAACGTCATGGGGGGCTCATCCATGCAATAGACCCCAATGATTTACGCCACCTTTCAGTAGCCAAGAAATAGTTTGTGATTCAGCGCCAAGCTGATCCGACCAAGGTGGGACCCCGAAGCCCGATCAAGTAGGATCTCCGGGTCCTAGATCCAGCTTCACATTGAACAAGGCTGGGCTCCAAAGGTTTGCATAACCGAGGTGGCTCAGCGCACTGCCCCCGCCAGTGGGAAGGTAGTGCACTCTTGGGGGGTCCTACATAAGACGGGCAAAGCGCCTGCCAACCACCTGCAACCCATTGTACAGTATCCATTTCTACACCTAAAACAGGGATAAATACAAAGAAGAGGTTATCGCATTGTCATTCGTTTTCTTAAGCCTGTCATTTCGGGGCGACTCTTCGAAGTATCAATGTTCGTATAGTAGTTTCACCTTTCATTTCAAAAACAACAATCAATATGTGAAGTATTAAAGAAAGAAAGATAAAGGCAAGGACAACCCAAACGGCTAGAAAAAGAAAAACACTCTTGGGCTACTTAAGAGACGGCTATTCAGGCACCTAGGATAGAAACGATTTAACCAAGGTCATAACATTAGAATTTACCACAAAGTATACCCCAAGTTTCCCGATAACGGCACTGCCCGATCAGATCGCAAAATCAGTCCAACTGTCAGACGTTATAAGTCACTGCCTGTCTCCATTTATTCCTTGACCCTTCATATCTGAAGCCGTCAATGTCAATATCATTGGCAACAATGGTCAGGGAGCCATTTTCCTAAGCAAATAGGTCCATGGGCTTTTCTGGACCATGTTCTGCTCATCACTCGTCCTCTGGAACTTGATCTAGACCGTCGCCTAACCCTGGATCTCCATCAGCTTCATACATCCTTGAAATTGCCTGCCGCCACCATCCAATCGCCTTGTAAAGATCCACTCTGACGGCTGCGGAGGCTTCGGAGGTAGATCTCAAGCAAACTGATTCAAGTAATTTAATCCTGCGATCCATGTCCCCCATAACCTCCATAACATCTTTGTACTGCTTGTCAATAGACGCCTTGTTGTCAGTGAACGGCATCTCCGTGCCGTCAAAGAATTCATCGAAGAATTCAATAACATCCCGTTTACTTGCCTCCGCAAAGCATGGATGAGTTGGTGGCACAGCCAATAAGGCCAATTTTAGCTTTGACAAGAGGGCTCTCTTTGGGCATGATTACGGTGCGATTCTCGTGGGAACCCAGCGTAGCGCATATTCCTCTCATACAATAATACTAGTGGCTTTGTCATCACCAAGGGAACGGTTCCCAATGAATGTCTCTAATATATATACACATATATGAACTTCTAAGCCTTTCCATAATGTAAACACAACGTTGTAATCTAAGACTTTCTAGATCATGATATGGTGGCGATCACAATTGAACTCGCCCTATTTAGGGTAGGTACTAAGTACCCTGATAATTAAGGTGTGGTTATCTAGAAGGTGCATATGACGATTCATTGCTGCTACGATTATACCATAAAATGTTCTCCTGCAAAGACCGGGATTGTGAGGTCATTTATTGGCTTGGCTGTCCCGCCTGGGTGTTGGGCTGATTAGACAACAAGGGTGCAGCCGTGTTATGAAATGCCGAGGGCATCGACATTGCTGCATTGTGCCATTGTAACTTCAAAGGTTGCGAATCATTTGCATACATAGCACATGACGCGTTCGCCAAGCCGCGTCCCGTTGCTTTTCGGCGAAGCAATAGACCTGGGGTTTGCGATGGAGACCGTCTTGCATGAATGAAGTGAAGAACTGCGCCTACAGGGAGCCTGTCGCATCACACCACGTCTCAAAACAGTCGTCGTCCAAAGTTCCAAACTGATGATGACGCCTTGGTAGTCCGCCAAGACAACTGCTGCGCCACTGTCACGGTGTTGCATGACTGCCTGCGCACGCGTGGCTAATTTCGAGATGAGTCACCCTTGAGCCAACTTCTCCCTCGAGTTATCATGCAGATGACTTTCTTTTTTAGTTTTCAACATATACCCCTAGCTCACTTCCAGCATGCCACAGGCAACCCCGCAAAATTCACCAGCGTTGGCGGTTGAACTCGAGGGCGATGCTCTCTGGTACCAACCTGGAGATGTCATCATCGGCCGTGTTGTTCGGAGATGCTCTACGAAGTGTCAAAGGGCCATTCTGACAGTCTCACTGCATGGTACAGCAAAATCAAAGTTCGCTAACAGCGAAACCCAACATCGGGGCCGGTATACGCTCATCGTTGGCTCTCGAAATAAGCAGCAGCTTTGGAACGGATCGGTTCACATCCCTGAAAGAGGGGATCAAAGCTGGCCATTTACTTTCACCTTACCCACCCATGCAGACAGTCGCTGTCTTCCCGTGAGCGTAAAAGAAAATGAGAAGAACAGTTTCGTTCCTTTCAACAACGACGTACCGCTACCCGCCTCCTTTTCAGGAACATCTACAGGCGAGTCGAAGGAGGGGCTTATTGATTATTACATCCAAGCCGAGATGCAGATGCATGCTCACGGGACCGCCACCGCCGTAACGCCAGTCAGAATCGAGCGTTACAATCCAGGTCCGCCCATTCAGATACGGATGAATCTACTCAACACATTGCATACAGTCCAAGGAGACAGCCTTGTACCTGGCTATAGCCGAGACCAGCTCACTACCTCACAAAAGTTCAAAAACATGTTTAGCAGCGTACCACCGCCCAAGTTAGCTTTTACTTTGCAAACATGGTTTCCGATCACCTTGCAAATGGACCAATCTAACCATGTGCCGATCAAACTTCGCGTGGTTCCCAAGTGGGACAAAACGAGCGAGGTTCTTCGGGACGTGCTGCAAACGTGTAGGCTTCGGACACTAGATATCGAGATCCAAACGCTGGTGACAATTCGGTGCGAAGGCCATTTACACCCTTTCGATACAGAATGGAAGTGGTGCCCCAAGGTAGAGGGAAGCAGACAATTTGGCCCGAGGGATACACCAGTTGAAATACCTTTTGGACATGATTCGGAGCCCTTGGATGTTGGAGAGGTGCTCAATCTTCAAATGAAGACTACCAAAGATAGAAGGGAAATAATGCCCTTTAACATTCAGCAGCTACATCCAGAGTTTACGACTTACAACATACGAACCAAGAACAGACTAAAAGGTACCGTGGAGGTTAAAATCGCCGATAAAGTTATTACCGCAGAAATAGACCGGGAGATCAAGGTCTTTCCGCCGGCTGATGATACCGGAGCCCCTCGCAGCCCAGCCATTGATAATATAGGTGCGACTTCATCGACCTGGAACCAACCTCCGCCGCCATATGAGGAGTCACAAAATTTCGAGGAGTTGCAAGGAGTTAATTAACACGGTACACGTGGTTGGCATTGGAATGGTCGGAATCATTTTTGTTCTAATCATGTTGGACTATCTATATCTCATTCCCCTTTCCTTTCCTATGTTCTCTCTGCGAGTCACTTCCTTCCCAGAGCTCACACAGCTCGAGCCCGTTATATACCCCGATTGTGAGCCATGAATATCAGTCTCATGGACCTTTAACTTGGATGAATGATTTTTTAAGCCCTAGAACAGACTTTGTCCTATATTTATCTCTGTTTTCTCGTTAAAACGCTGACCCAAGTCTTAAGCTTCCCAAGCTCGTAATTCCTATTCAAATATGTGAAAACCCTCAACTGCGTCCGTGATGAAACCATGGGCAATAAGAATTCACCCAACACTCTTTTACTCAACTTATAACCTTTGAAGTCTGAGCAAAAAGGACGGGTGGGAGAGTTTGGGTGGCTTGGCTCTCACTGTGAAAGAAACACCAATAGAAGATGCCAGACACGATATCCAAACACACTAAATACAGGTAAAAAATAACAGTTTTTTGTCCCCCATTACATCATGTGTGTGGGGCGTTGGTCATCACAAACAAGCCACGTCATCCAATGGAGTGTTGGCATTTTGTGATTTCAATCTCATGACTGTGGCTCATTGAGTGACTAGCAAACGGGGCTTATAGACGACCTGTTGGTTCCGTCAAGGAACCAATCAATGAACCCCGCAGCTGTGTTTAAGGACAAAATGACTTGGCAAATGAAGTAGCGTTTTGTGCCAAGCGATTGCAAAAGATTAATGAGCCGGTACTCACTCATTCTTGGTGAAATGGGCGATGTTCATGAAAGTGAACATAACGTCCGACAAGATTAAATTGCGTTGTCAGAGCCTCAGAGTCTCTGCGACAATTCCAACGATCACACCAAAATACCCCTCAATCATCTCAGGCTCCCCTCTTTTGCAAATCCCAAGACAGTTTTGACAGAAAACCTACATTGGACGCCATGAGGTTGCTTGACGTCAAATCGAGAGAGCTTCATGAATTCTTGGGCTCCCAAGTGCCCAATTACGCGATTCTGAGCCACACGTGGGGTGATGACGAAGTCCTCTTCAACGACATCCAGCGGGGGACTGCGGAAAAGCGACGGAGCTACGATAAAGTCATTAACTGCTGCCGCAAAGCCACTGAGGATGGTCTGCAGTGGGTATGGATTGACACCTGTTGTATCGACAAGTCTAGCAGTGCCGAGCTTTCCGAAGCTATCAACTCCATGTACCAGTGGTATGCTGATTCCAGTGTCTGCTACGTGTATTTGGAGGATGTTGAATTCGGTCTAGAGCACGGCCTGCTATCCGACACAATCTCAATCAAGCCCAGTCGCTGGTTCACGAGGGGCTGGACCCTTCAAGAACTTCTTGCCCCCTCGTACGTCAAGTTCTATACATCTAATTGGGTTGATATCGGGACCAAGTCGAGCCTGGCCAAATACATATCGAGTATCACCCTCATACCCGTACCCATCCTCCGAGGACATGATCCATCCAAATGCAAAGTCGCACAACGGATGTCTTGGGCAGCAGGCAGACAGACCAGTCGGCTCGAAGATCAGGCCTATTGTCTGCTTGGTCTCTTTGGGGTGAATATGCCTCTGTTATACGGGGAAGGCTCACGATCTTTCATTAGGCTCCAAGAGCAAATTATGAGACAGGAAGAAGACTATAGCATTTTTGCTTGGGCAGCAAGCCACCAGCCCCCTCACTTAATGAGAGGCATTCTTGCATCGTCGCCGGCTGAATTTGGAGAGCGTGGTGGAAATGACGGTAGTGGAAATTTAGATTACCGCCCTGATCCCTTCATCCATAGCCAAAGCGATCAATCGATGCTTGATGAACTGGTGAATCAGAAGCAGCTTACTGGCGAAACGCATGATCAGTCCTTCCAATGGAGAAACGCAACGCCAGGTATTACCCCATTTGAAATACTTCAGATCAAAAAGCAGATGGAGATTATCAACCACGACTTCCAGCATTCACCTACCGGATATGTACCGCAAAATCCGCCTGAACAGACCAGCCGAGGCCTCCGCATCAGCCTTCCTATTCTCGAATCAGCCCATCCTATTATTCGCCTCGCTTGGATTCAGTGTGAGTTTAGTAATCGGCTACTCTGCATCCCACTGAGAACTATGGCAACTGGTACATATGAACTGTCCTATCGGTTTTCTCCAACCTCGCTCGTTAGCGTCGACAAGTCATTGCTGCCAGAATTTAAATTGCAGCAATGTATTTTCCATCCCTACGAGGACTGCTCCCGGAAACTTGGACCTGGGATCCCATGGTCTTCTCCGGGAATGGTGCGGACTTGTCTGGAAGACTCTAACCTGCATTTCATCGGCTTCTGGCCACCATTCACCGTTGGCGAGAGTCAGTTCCCATTTAATAAAGGCTCTGAATCGCACATAGTGGCTGTGATTGATTTGGAGTATAATGCAAATTCAGTTCGCAGCCGCTTCCGAGCTTCGTTTGGTATTGTCAACAGTGTCCCTTGGTGCACTATAGATCAGGACGAGGAAGATAAGGAAGTCAAAAGTCTGCGCTCTGTATGGGATGAATACGCTCACGCGATGCCGGAGCTCTCACATACGCTAGGAGATCGCGTTTCCAAGACATCTATTCGATCCTCCAAAGTTATCCTGAAGGCTTCGATACATCGTGATATGTTGGTGCCACGCGATGAAAATTTATACGTGCTTAAGGTTGGAGTTTATGATGCCTCTTTAGAGCGCTCGAATTTTGTTGCAAGTAAATGAGATTTAGGATAATACAAGGAGAATAAAAATTTTGTAGTCTCATGAGGGATGAACATACAAAGGGATACTGGCAAAGCACGCGTACGCTCCGTGGTTGGAGGTTGGAAGGGTCAACGAATAAGAGTAACTCGATCCGCTGGTGTTCAAAGAGGCGCTACTGAAATGTGAAAGTGTAAGGGTTCCTCCATGAACCATAACAACCACGAACTCGAATCATGAAAATCCATAACCAACTACCTACTTAGCTTATTATCACACTCGGCGAATGAGACAATTCTTCCTAAAGCTTTAAGCGGAAACCCTATTCAGTACAGCTATGCCCCTGTTCCCACACTCACTTTACTACACAAGCAGGTCCAATGGCCTCTTTCTGGATGTTTGCCCGGATTTTTGAACGCCTCTAGCCAGCTAAGTCGCCGCCTTCTATCAAGAACCTTCCGCTCGAAAAGAACTTGGGCGGAAACCCTCCGATCAGCCGGCATTCGAATAAGCTTCCGTGCTTGGGTTAAACGAAAGGGGGTTAACTACAAGCGGCTGACACTAAGATGCAGCCAATGCGAGATCCGTGGTCGGATGGATCGGGTTCCATTCATCACAAGACCAAATCGTCATTGTCGGCCAAAATCGGGATATTATCGTGGTCGAGAGGGTTATCTCCAGCGCGTAAAAGGGTGCAAAAATCCCCGTCAAAGTCAACGAGATCAAAATCAACATCGTCTTTTGTGTATCTCTGACATTCGTCCACTTACACAATAACCATGTCGTCAAACTCCCAAATAACTGGCGGCTTCCTAGCCCCCAATAGCATACATAATTGCATATGCAAACACAGCTCACTGGAGCGAGTCGACTACGCAGACACTTTCTTGCTCACACTCGCCCAAGATTGCCCCAAGAGACTACCTGAGCAATGGATCCGCGCCATATTTGGAGATGTTCCTGACACTGAGCAAAAGTTCATATGGACTGGCCTCCTTCGTCTCCCTCTACTTCTGGAACGGTCGCCGGCAACAGTCGCAGGATGGAGGATTGGCAAACAATCTGAGGATGGGATTCAGATTGAGAATCGGTCATGGTTGTTGTCCGCCAATTTGATTGTATACCAGACCCCCGACAGTGTATCCCTGGCTACTCTGATACAATACAACTCATTATTGGGTCGAATCTGGTGGACAATTCTGTCAGTCGTGCATCGCAGTTTCATGCCGTCGATGCTTCAAAAGGCGGAGGAAAGAATATATAAGACCATCTAACCAGTCCTTGATGTATTGGCCTCCATTAATTCTGTCTCTCGGAGCACGGTGTAGAAGATTCTCACAATCAATGTGGCCGAACCTACATCATTTCTGGTGGCAAACCCAATCTCCCTTCATTTTACTCGGCCTCATCAAATTGAGGATGTATGGTTAAGGAGAGCTCACCAGCTCAACTCTGTCCTAATTAAATCGATAATTCCACTACTACGATAACTGAAAACATTTGCTCCTTTCATGAGACCATACACCAATAGCTTCTTTCAATTCTCTATCACAGACTACAACTGTTAGAGCACAGCCTAGGCTGCCGATTATCAAGATAATAAGCAAAGTAAGGTATCTAGTTCATAGCGAGACCTCGCCAAGCTCAGTTCCTATCTATCACTTAACATGGAAAGTGATGACTGACAGCGACTTTGCAGTTTGGCGAAGCCTTATACCTTTCTGGCCTGTCTTCAACACATTCTGCCTTATTTCGCGCACGGCGGTTCAGCTTCCCACTTACGGAATGATGGTAATAGGGATGACACTCAATTCAGCCAATGCAGGCCAGGCACGCCTCAGATATATTAGTTGCGCAGAATAGGGTGGGGTCAAGATGTGATGGAAGCACGACATGGTATGAGTCGCAATCTGGATGCAAGCATCCCAATCCTCTTGGTTCAATTCGTTTCCAAAGACCCGGCCCTTGTTTATGTAGGAATAACCGGGGCAAGTATCATTGTCTTTCTTTTGCAAGCCCCGCAAGGGTTAGGCAGTTTTATGTTTTGTCTCTTTCCAAGGATCGAATTAGTGCTCACCCCCCCTGGTACCCTTCGGCTGTCATAATTATGCTTGATTCCCCAAGCTGCATCTGGAAAATTGATCCTCTATTCTCTTCTCACCTTTGTGCTCACCTTGAGACGTGATGGCGAACTCTTCTTTTGAGTCATGGACATATGAGGAGCAGGAGGAGTACCTCTACCAACCGGCGATGGAGGCGCCTGAGGGGCTGGTGTCCAACTTGGATGATCCGCCCCAGGAGACTTCGCTGGGTTTCTCTGTAACAGTGGCCTGCACAGTAATAGCTGGATTGGCGTTGTTATTGAGGATTTACTCATACGCATTCTTTCGCAGGCGTCTGGCGGTCCAGGACCGTGAGTGTCACTTCATCGTAGTGATATACATGTTGCTGTTATTCGCAAACTGACTTTGTATTTCCTTAGTGCTGGCATTGTTCGCGATGGTTTGTCTCGAAAAGCGATCTAATTATCCCGACGCTCGCTCTAACAACATATAGGCCACGTTCGGCGCCATGCTTTGGCCAGGCTACTTCATGACATACATCGGCGCTCTCTTCGTTCATCAATGGGACATAGACCGTTGGACATTAGCTGACGCATTATATGTGCGCTATTTCTTCCTTCCCCGCTTCTCTTTCTCATTCAAGTATTTGCAGAATCAGAGTATCTAATATCGTCGATTTAGATGGGCCACATCGCCGCTACCATGTATATCCTCACCATGTTCTTCGCCCAGTCCGCTATATTGCTCGAATTGATTCGTATCTTCATCCCCGGAAATGTCCATATCTTCGTTCCCGGGCACACCCACAGCAAGTTCTTTTGGGTGTGCAGGGGCACACAATTCGTGGTCGCCATTTACTGGATATCGGTGTTGATTTTCCAGCAATTCTGGTGTCGACCTCTAAGCAGGGCTTGGAGCCCATGGGCGTCGGGATCATGTATTGACAGAAAGGTTGTGGATAGGCTCTCCGCCTATATCAACATTTTCATCGATCTCATCATCTATATTCTGCCCCAGACCATCATCTGGAGGTTGAACTCGTCGATCCTAAACAAGACTACCCAATCGTTGGCCTTTTCCTTTGCTTTGATGTAGGTTGCTAGATCATGCTTCCTTATCCATCGTTCATTCTGCCCAAAAAGAATGACAGAACTCAATTTCTACGAACCGTGGCATGCTAATCTTTCGATTACAGAAGCCTTGCACTTGCTATCGCTCGCACCCACAACATGCACTCCTTCGTATACGATGGCGACACAAACTACAGTCTTTCCTCTGCATATTTGTGGGCACTCGGCGAGTGTTTGAGCGTCATTCTGGTGTACTGCGCACCGTCCGTCTACCACATTATCACGGATCCGAAAATGCCCCCCGGCACCTCATCGACGATTCAGTCAGCCAGAGACAAATTCCGAAGCAGTGCTACGAAATCAACATCGACGAGCAACGGAAATAGATGGCAGGGAACCAGCTCAAATCATTCTGGGCCTTCCAGCCTACCGCACGAAAACCGGTACCAAAGGATGGAAGATACCGAGCTCTCTCAGCTATCTACAGCCAGGTAATCATGAGATTTGGTAAGACTAGTATAATGCCATTCTCTTTCCACGAAGTAAAACTCATCATCGAATATACTCGCTCATCTCCCTGCTTGAGATCTCGAGAACATCTTATCAAGGGCGGTGCGGTCCACATGTCCCTGACGTCAATTCCGGAGATAAAGGGCTACCAGCGTAAACTCCAAAATGGCCCCATCGTTTATTGCATGCCCCTGTAGCGACGAACGATGTTTACATGGACACGTGTCCCAAGAGAGCCTCAAGCAGGTTTAAGTTGCAGTTTGAAACAGCGACTGCCCTTTCGGGGTCTAGAAGGATTGTGTACATAACAGCTAGGGTTCCTAGAGCAATCATCCTTGGCTAAGTCAGCTTCTCCATCCCTGTAGTATTCACTGATAAATTGATACATGCATGTCCCAGTCCCCATTGTGACCACCTGCCAGAATCTTCAAAGACCTGCTTAAATGGTTAGGTGAGAGAAGGTTAAAATATCATGTCAGCCCTAAAAATGCCCAGAACCCAGACAAACAATGAAAGGGAGTTTATTGACACGGATGACCTTGGTAAAATCTAGTGCCAACGTCATCATCTTTTCTACAAGGGCAGACTCAGTTGTTGGGAGCTCGAAAGGAGAACCCACAGGGATCAAATTGCTCACGAGAGCATCTTGAAACAACATGTCAGCACCCACTCAAGATTAAGAGTTGTAGGGAAAACTATAATCCGCCTGTCCATCGGATATACAGGTTAACCTAACCTAGACCTACGGATGAATTCAATTGGACTTGGACGAAGCTTGAGCTGAGATCTTCGGTCCGCGGGTCCCGATGCCAATGACCGTCCAAGTGTTATTTCCGGCTCCTACAATTGGGAACATGGCACGGAGTTAAGTGAACCTCATGAAGACGCAAAGACAAAATGTCTAACGACGGTATACTGAAATCGCATATCCGGACATTTCTTCATAGCATACTTCAACTTCATCCAGCATAATTCAGGCAAAAATGGTCAAGGTTGCAATTGCGGGAGGAACGGGCGTCATGGGCAGGACCCTGGTGGATGTCTTGACTGCGTAGTCAGCCCACGAAGGAAACGTCTTGACTCGAAAGGTATTGCTACAAAAGACCTAGACTCCAAAAAATACACTGATCTCTCAACCTATCACAGGCTTTAAATCCGAGACAGCTATCCCACATGTCTTGGTTGATTATAACGATGTTGAGGCTCTAATCAAGGTTCTAGAAGAGCATGAAATACATACTATCATCAGTGCCTTCGGCATCAACGGTACTTCGCTTTCCGTTTCTCAAGCGAATCTCATCAAGGCAGCAGAGAAGTCCTCTGTAACGAAGCGCTTCATTCCCAGCTCGTTTGCTATCAAATATCCCGAGAGGTGAGTCTAAGCGATCCTTGGTCATCCTGAAGGCTCGTACTGATAGGGTCACGCAGCGGTACTCAAATCCTTCCGCCCCTCCAATCCTATTTTGACTCTCTGGATCTCCTTAGACGACCTCTCTTGAACGGGCCGTTGTTCATAACGGCACGTTCCTAGAGTCACACTACAACCATGGAACCCTTGTCATTGATATCCTGCATGCGAAAGCAGGCATTCCGGGCACTGGGGACGAGCTCATCACCCTGACATATACCTTTGATGCTGCACGTTTTGTTATAGCGGCTCTTGCCCTGCCTGAGTGGCCGCGTGAACTTCGTGTCGCTGGTGAGACGTTGACCTTCAATCAACTCATCATCTTGGCAGAAAACGCCACAGGGAAGAAGTTCGACGTCAAGTATGATTCCCTGGAGACTCTCAAGCAATCCCGGATTACTGAGCTTCCTGGACACATGAACGACTACAAGAAATATCCCAAGGAGGTACTATTACCATTCCTATCCATTTTCCAGCGGTGGATGGCGGAGGGTTTCGCGTTCATCCCTGTTGAGGGTTCTTTGAATGAGAAATTCCCCGATATTAAGCCATTGACAGCTCAAGAGCTGATGCAGAAGCATTGGAAATCTCTATAATGATATTCAGGCAGCTTGGGGAATAGACTGCTGAAACAACGGAATAAACGTGGATACTAAACGAGCAAGATTGCTCCAAGAGAATACCCTAGAAATGAAACTGAATGAGTCTCGGTTCCTGCTGAATACTACCAAGACAATGAGGAGCCCTTTCTATTTCCCCGTCCCATGTTATTAAATTAAATGGTAGCCAACGTTAGACATCCTTGAATGAAGTCTGTATCTAGCATTTCTACAACTTGTTCTGGCGAAACGTGGGAGTCAACCCACAGCTGGGTGGAGGTGATGTCATAAAATATCTTCTCTGCCATGAATAGGATCGTACGCTTCACAAGTTAGAGAAAGTGACGTGATAAGCCAATAAGTTTGCATTTGACTTGTGCAAGATTTTGCGCTAACATGAAGATATCTCGTAGGCCGCATATACATAGGTTACTTAGTTACTTAAACTTCTGGCGCCAGCAGCAGTTGAAAGAATACACAGGAAACTTGTCGAATTGATGTTCATGCTTTGACTGCTGCATTGGACGGGGATTCTCGCAACATCAATAGCTCTGTAAATTGCCCATCCAGCACAACAACCCTGTCAATCTCCTTGAAGCCAAAGCGCTTATATATTGGCACACCGGGGGGACTAGCTTCCAGATAAACATCCGCAGCCATTTCATCCGCGCGATTTAGGCCATATCGCAGCAATAAACCGCCAGCTCCCTTGCCCTGGTAGTCTTCATGACAGACAAGAGCAGCCAGGTACCAACAGTTTCGTCCCGCCATGTTCTTTGTCCTTTGCGCTTGCAAGTATGGGAAATAAAACGCGGCCAGTTCTTTGTTGTCTCCTGAATCAGGATACAGTGGTCGTGTCGAATTGGGCTTGTTGTTCGGGCTGACCCAGTTTGCAAAGGCGATGACTGGCTCGCCAGGGAGCTCGGTAGCAACTACAGCGACGAGGTGAATATCCGAGTCACTGAGCGCTTCCTTAAGCCCCTCGATCCAGAATCTGCGAACCGCTGGCTTCTCAGGAAAGCAGAGTGCCATCACAGCATCGTTTTTGAAGCCGGAGAAGAAAACGTCGGTTAGTTGTTCGACGTCAGACAACGCTGCAGGTCGTAATTTTAACGCCATCTTAGCTACTCCTTTGATTCAGTATGGCCTAGAAGTGTGTGAGATAATGATATACCCTAAGCTAAAGTCACACATAATTTGTGCGTTGTCGAGAAGATTTCAAACCCCCTCTTGAGATTGAAATTCCACGACTGTATTAGTCAATCGTCAGCCAATTTACCTAATAGACTTCTTGGTACAGCAGGGGTGTTGCATGATTCGATAAAATAGATGCGGTACTTACTAATGGATTTGAGATACTACCTATTTAGGAACTTAGAAAACCCATCGATATATCTTCCCTCTTAGAGAAGAAGTCGATGGGTCCAAATAGCCTGAATAGAAATAGATCCCACCTAAGAAAATTAGTATTACACATCTTGATGGGTATAGGTGTATAGCTGACTTACTCTTAACTTGATGCGGGCAAGCAGAATACCGGGACATGATCTGTGTGTAGTGAATACTTTTCTCAGTTTTGGAAACTAAGGACCTAGAATGATCAAGTGAAACACAAGCTAATGTAGTTTATGACAGTAAATTTACACACCTGGCTCTCACCTGAAACTTTATTAGTAGTGTCCTTCGATTTCCAATGGAGTGTATGGCTCTTCCAAGAATTTCTCTTCATCGGGGCTTAATTCTTTCCCTCGAGCACTCAACGCATCGTCAATTCGATCCACCGTGCTGAAACCGATGATAGGACTGCAGACTCTCCTCAGAGTCCATGCTAGTGCCACTTGACTCATCGTCCACCCTTTCTGTTCAGCCAATTTTTGCACCCGCTCGATTATAGCGAGAGACTCCTTACGAGTAGCCGAAGGGTCCCCGCCACCATTAGCTGAGCGAAGCGTGCTTCCCCGAACAGAGACAGGGCGGGCGAGATTTCCTTGAGCTAGTGGACCCCAAGGACATAGTGCCACACCCGTTGCAGCACAGAACCTGTGCATTTCTCTTTCCTCCTCTCGATATAGAAGGCTGTAGTGGTTTTGCATGGCAATGAACTTGGTCCATCCGTGCTTCTCGGCGCAAAACTGCATCATAGCGAACTGATATGTCCACATACTCGACGCGCCAATGTAGCGGATCTTGCCAGCCACGACAAAATTATGCAGTGTCTGCATGGTTTCTTCAATGGGTGTATAAGTATCAAAGCGGTGAATCCAAAACAGATCAATGTATGTTGTTCCGAGACGTGCAAGGGCACCCTCTACAGCATTGATGAGAGAGATTCGCGAAAGCCCTATACGGCGTAAGAACAACGCTTGCGAATGAATATACACATGAAAAAGGAAAAGGTTAGAGGAGGGAGGATAGTGAATCATACCAAACTGATTAACATAGTCTTTACTCTTTCTCAGCTCATCCATGATCGGGTACGCTGCAAACTGTTTCTCTCCTGTAACACCCCAAGCTTTTGTCATGAGGACCAATTTCTGACGAGGAATTTCGTACTCTTTGATAGCTTGCCCAATGATCCGCTCACTATCGCCATTGGAATATACGTTCGCCGTATCCCACTATTTCAGCTTTAGTCAGCAAGCCATGGACACGGTCAAAGATATATATCGAAGCCTTTTACAGTATTTAGTCCCCTGTCGTAAGCGGCCTTGAGCAATGGCAGAGCTTTTTCGGCATCTATGACCCAATCGGCCCATTCACGGTTTCCAATGGACATGCAGCCCATGATTGGAACCGAAACGTGGAGACCAGAGTTCCCGAGCCGGCGGTACTCGGCCTTGGTGTTTTGCAGCGAAGCAGCAACGCTCAGCGGAAGACCTGAGGAAGTCATCATGAAAGTTGGGATGCAAAATAGTAAAGTCCTATACAGACACTGGTAGTATTTGATGGTATTGGGATGACAACTGACATCTCAAGCAGCTCAACATGAGCCGTGTTCTGGGTCGGCGAAGATATTATCTGCACACGGTGGAGACAGTTAGGTCGCATCTGATATGAAGTGCCATTTCTGGTAATAAATAATAGAAAACTTGGCGTTGCCTCTGAAGTCTTGAAATGTAACGTTAGGTGTGAGTGATTTTATGCCTCAATAGGAAATTACTGAATGCAGTCTGATTAGATCTGGTGGGATCGGCTATCCAATAATGGCAGTAACTCTGTTGCCCAGACTCAGGCTCTTATTCGATCAATTAAGGGGCACCTCACTGCTGTCCGAAGACCAAGCGCCACCTACAGCAACCCGTCCAATTCTTCAAGGAGATACGGATCTGAATCAAATCAAGACGACATTTTCCTGTGGCTAAGGATATCGCTAGAAGTACTGGCATTGGTTACATATGTCCTTCAAACACACGCATTCGGCCCTCTTCACGAGGGAGTATGTGTATTAGAGTAGGGGTAATCCCATTAGGATCCAGAAAGGTATATCGCGTAACTGCATATATGGTCAGAACAACTTCCATTTTCGGTCAACTGTAGCCAAATCCCTCTAAATCCGAGATATGGCTAGCAAAATGCGTAAAAGTCTCGGCATGATAAGATTCGTGTTATTTAACCCCCGATTAAGACTTTTGGTGTGGATTGTTTAAATGCCGAGCAACCCATTGAACACGACGGGAAACCACTCTCATTTGTTTCCAAATATCATCTGCTAATTTCCCTCGGCCAGTGTCGAAGGCTTGGAACATTGAATTATTGGTCTATCTTGGCTTATTTATTACGCAAATGGCGGCTATCGATGCAAACAGTGGCAGCTATGCGCCGGAGATAATTGGGTACGCAGAGCCTTGGATAGCCGCACCAGGGGACTCAGTCGCCATTAAAGTAAGCTACTTCCTTTAGATGATGCAATCCTCCCTTGTTTGAATTCTATTCCTAGCGACTCTGTAGGAAGTAGAACAAGTGACGGCACCACTCATTGTGTTGAGATGTCAGGTCTGACATCTCTATTTGCTTTGTTTAACCTTATACTCGAACTCTCATCCGTATCCACGGCAAAGAATACAATCGAGCTAATATATGCAGATTTCATGCACAGAGTCCGAGTATAAACATCGTACAGTTCGTCTGATTCAGGGTATCGACATCGACCACTCTCCAGAGAAGGCCGAGGAAGAAGTCCTAGAGATCCCTCGTGGTCATCAGAGGGGAAGATTTCAGACAGCCCAACAAGGTTCATACGGGAGCATCCCCAACTGGGGCGCCCCAAACATGGCAGAAGGCCTTCGGGTATCATTCTATATGCAGCCGTGGATGGTTGAATGTTCTCATGCACAAACTCTGATTTCCACGTTAGATCCGATCACAAATACTGGCTTCTCTATCACTTTGAACACTAGTGGATCATTGGATGTTCATATTGGAACGAAGCAGGGAGTCGATGTCATCCGCACTGAGCTGAGACCCCAGAACAAATGCTGGTCGAAGGTCAAGGTTTTATTCACGGGTCAGAGACTTCAGGTCAAATTAGTGCATTTACCTTTCAGAGTCGAGCCGGTACCACCCCCTGCGGTATTCGAGCAAATACTGGACAAGACAACGACAGTGTTAAGTCCGAATCCTCTTTTAATCGCAGCGACTAAGGCCATATCTTCTCGCAGCGGTCCAGGTTGCCAAGGACCGCATGTCACCGAGGTTTTCAATGGCCGCATTGACCGCTTGAAGTTAAAAACACACGACCAAAGACGTTTGGTCCTCGCTGAATACGACTTCTCTCTGAACATGGCGGGCGACCAGATTGTTGATGTGTCTGGCCGAGCTCATCATGGCGTCTTGATCAACGCACCAACTCGTGCCGTTAAGGGCCGCGATTGGGACGGCTCAGAATGTGACTGGACCCGAGCAAAATCTGGCTACGGTGCCATCCACTTTCATGACGACGACATGGATGATGCTCAATGGGACACGGATTTTGTCATCACCATTCCTCGTACAGCTCGATCAGGCGCGTACGCGGTTGAGGTAGAAACGGTCAATGGCTTAGACAAGGACTCCATCACCTTTTTCGTAAGGCCAAACTCCTGGACATCCGATAATTCTAGCAAAGTCTGCCTCGTCTTTTCAACATTCACGTACCTCGCTTACGCCAATGAACGGCTGTATGACACGACCCGCCAGAACACTGCCGACCTTGGGCCGGGCTTTGATATCAATAAGTGTTTGAAGAGCGCAGAGTTTGATAAGATGCGCCACCGTAGTGACTTGGGGCTATCTTGTTACGACCGACACAACGATGGCTCTGGTGTCTGCTACTCCTCTGCTAAACGTCCCATTCTAAACGTCCGTCCAGGTTATATAATGTGGGCGTTTTCCCGCCCGCGCGAGTTCTCTGCAGATCTTATGATGGTCGGATTCCTAGAGCAACAGGGGATCCCTTATGAGATTATAACGGATCATGACCTACACATCCGTGGAGCCGCAGCACTTCACGGTTTTAATACTGTTATCACGGGCTCGCACCCCGAATATCCTACTCTCAAATCTTATAACGCCTACAACGCCTTCTCAAAAAGTGGCGGCAATCTGATGTACATGGGTGGTAATGGCTTCTACTGGGTGAGTGGCCTCGATGATAGCCGTCCGCATCGATTAGAAGTGCGTCGAGGCGATACCGGAGTGCGCCCTTACAGTCTGCCCGGGGGGGAGCACGTGAATAGTCTCGATGGGCAGAGAGGGGGCCTGTGGAGATCCCGAGGTATGAGCTGCAATACACTGTTCGGAGTAGGCTTTTGCGCCCAAGGAACTGGCCTTGGTGTACCGTACAGGCGTACTGAAGCCTCCAGGGACCCCAACCTCTCTTGGATGTTTGACGGTATAGAGGGAGACCTCATTGGAGAGTATGGATTCGGGGGAGGCGCCTCGGGTGACGAAATCGATCGGTATGATGTGAGAAATGGCAGCCCCAAGGACGCTTTGGTGTTAGCCACAAGCACAGGTCACAGTGATGATTTTGGCATTGCGATCGAGGACCTCAGCTATCCCGCATTGAACACACTGGGAACACAGACGAAGCTGATCCGTAGCGATATCGTCTATTACGTCGGCTCCGGAGGCGGTGCAGTCTTCAGCGTAGGCAGCATCAATTGGTACTGTTCTTTGGCGTGGGATAAGTACGACAATAACGTGGCCAAGTTAACTGGAAATACCATCAAGGGGTTCTTAGCAGGTAACAGATAAGGCTTTGATCAAACCACATACAGTAGGGCACTTTGTAGTATCATATGGGCATCCATCTTGAACTACGGTAAATGGGTGAATAAATGAGATGAAATAACATATTATTATAGTAGGTTACAGGAATGCCCTGGAATATGAAGCTCGACTCATTTCTCCGGCCTAGTCACAGGATGGCTACCGCCAAACATGGTTCTGCTCAACGGGGCGTGAAGCATCCGCGGTGTTGATAAGCTCGATAGGTCCATCTACGTCGCTCACTGGCGATGCACGTCCAGAATTTAGCTTTCGTAGCCCCGAAAGTGCAGAGCAGAAGAGTAGAGTGATGACGATGACATTATCCCAATGTGTCAGCACCCTTTCGATTAGAAAGAACCACATCGGGAATACCGATGGCCCGGGTATGCCCTTCATCGAGGTAATTTGTGAAATGCCGCTGGTGATTACTTTCCAGGTATGGCGCAGGAGGGAGAATGCACTGGCGGCAAAGAGCAAACCGGGTGCCTAAGAGGTGGTTAGGTACAGATACTCCGTAGTCATGGAGGTCACGCGACCAACTTACCGTCTCATTAGGCGTTGCGCCAAAGTCTGTCCAATATCTCACAACGACGACGACGGACATTGCGGACGTTGAGAACAGCACGACCTCCATTATCAGGGCCGGGACATAGACGGCATAAACATACCCCGGAATAGATTCAGATAGGTCGTAATCATTACGATCGTACAGAGCGACATGAAATGCGATAAAGCGTGTAAGATTGAGCGATTGGGAGATGATGAAAAGAATGACAGCTGTGAGCTTCGTCGCCTTGCTTCCGGTTGAATACAGATCGAATGTTAGCTTGAACTGGGTCATGAGAATAGCTGCTTGCGTCAGATTGACCAGGAGTTCTGTGACCTCCGGAAGCTCGGAAACGGCTTTGTTGGTTCCCTCACGCGCCGGACGCTTGTCCCGCGGGGGGGTGACAAGTAAAAAGGCCTCCGCTGCAAGAGAGATGATTAGATATCTGTTGAGAGATATGGTTAGCTATCCAGGTTGATATGGGCTACTTCAGGATCGTGGCAGGACTCACATGATGACCAAAAAAGCAGTTGCACGGATCCACCGGGCACTGGTTTGGCCTTGAGGGCCCAGCTTGCCCAGCTTAATAACTGATACGGCGCCATTGATGAGCGCGATGAAGAGCGCAAGACTGGTGAAGGCAAGGCCGATGGCGGACAGTTTGTTCCCGTGGTAGCCCATCCCAACTAGGCTCACATCGCTGATCACAGCCTTATGGCCCGTAAACCTGCAAGGCTGGGACGGACATGAGAGGTCATTCGCGTGACTGAACGCGGGAAAAAGGAAGGATGGTGGGGGACGTTCGGAAGGGGCCACCTCAATCTTAAAAAACCTGGTATTACATAACATTGGCAGGGTGGTTCGTGCCTGTGCCCCTGATTTCAGCCGTTCTTAGAACTCATTAGGGGAGACACCGTCTGGTAGTTTATTTTTGGTGGAGCACAGCCACAACTAGGTAAGATTCAGCAGCTGAGGAAGAACTTTCACTTTCTTCCTGAATTGGATTGGACTGGGGAGAGTGAAGGATTCAACATCCTCTGACCAAAGTACGGACCGAGACACCTACAGCACGAGAACGCTGGATTAGCAAAACAATCGACCACCAAGAGAAGTAGAATAGCCGGCTAGATGGTGGCTAATAGGTTCAGCGTTTCTCCTAACAATCAGACCAAGAAATTACGGAAAGTATGTTATAGGAACGGAGTGAAAAAACCTCAACTTGGTAGGTGGAGAAAGCCAAGAAGATTGTATCAAATAAATGAGTAACAAAGACACTTCTAAAAAATCTAGGAAAGACCAATAACTACCAACTTGCATAAGGGAATGAACGATTATCTCAATCAAAAACAACCAACAGATGGGTTAGCACCTCGATGATTGACTGGTCCTGCCTTAGATTATATCAATCTCCTGATAGTCGGCTTGATCGAACAAACGAGTACCGCAGATGCTTCCAGGGCCATCCGACCGTGAGGTGAACACCCCAACCCTAAAATATTGACCCGGCTCCAGTGCTGGATGGATAATCAGGCCCCAGGCATGACGATTTGCTTCACTTGTGCAGCATTTCATGCAGTGGCCGCAAATAGGGCAAAGTTTGTGCGAGGTCTCGCTGGACGACACGTCGGAGTCTATATGGAATTCATGTTAGTCCGTTTTCTTTAGTTTGCGTGTAAGAAATGATCGCCTCATAGAGATTGAACTTACCGGTTTCATCGTCCGTAATTTGAGGACTGCTCCCGGCGCAACCCGACTCGCAGCAACGGCTTACCCCTTCGTCTTCGTCGTTTCCTGTTTCAGGTTCGACCGTTTCTTTGATATTTAGCAACGCTAATGAAACGGTGGATTCTTCAACAGCAAATGGTTGGTGATTTTTACCGCCTGGTTCTCCGTCGGTGGACTCTCCGACGTGACTTCTATCGCTTCTGCCGCTCCCGCTGCCGTCGTTGCCACCCTTATTGTATTGCTTGTCAAGATAATGAGTTGTGGGACGGCCATCTTGCAAACGGCGACAAGTGCTTCCAAGCAATAGCAGGGACAAGTCATGGCTGGATTCCCAATCACCGTTGACCGGCCAATCCAATTGGCAGGTAGCAGCATATGCTCCATCAACACGAATTTGAAAGATGTCACAAGTTGTGAATATGTCATCATGTATCTTTGACAAATTGGACTGACATGTGATAACTTTTCCCTTGATACGAGCCGCTCCTGCGAGAATTCTTCCATAAGGATCTTGTCCGGCGGGTGTCGTCCAGGCATCCGCACTTTTGACCATGCTGCGGAAATGGCCCTCATTAAGCACTTGATGGAAATTGATGCCGTGCTCTCCAGGCTCAGTCCTGCTTAGATAACTCCACGAGGGAGCGATGTAAAGACGAGGAAATGACAGATTTCTCAATAGAGTCTCCCGACCTTCCTCCAGCTCATAGGTTACGGAATGCCAAAGTAACCCTCGGAGAAAGTCACGTTTCCAATGCCCAGCGACATAAACATCGTCATGATGGCTGATGTACTCTCTCACGATACCTGAGAGCGACGGGAATACGTCTTCTGCGTTTGCAAACTTTTTCTTCCGGAACCTAAGTATCTTCGAATACCAATTGCTGAGTGTTGGACGTATCCTAAGGGTAAAACTGAATGACGCAGAGCTCCATCCGTCTTCGGTGAAATATTGATTTCCAGTCCTAAGGAACAACCGCGAGTTCGTGAAATAAAGCGCTGCTTTAGACATCTCATCTTCCTGAAATGTCCAACCCCGTGTGGACCATGTGGTGTCTCCGAGAAGGTCGTTTCTATACAGAAACGGCACAGCGCCCTGATGTGGTAATCTTTGGAATTCCAAGGTCAATTTCCCCGAAATTTCCGAATCTAGCAGTGATAGAAAATTTAGATCAAGCCTATGCTGCTTCCTCTGCAAAAAGCTGGTATGGGTTGAGTCGGAAGATAATGCACATATGGTGAAGTATGAATTGCGGTAAACTCGGTGCATCATTGTGGTCTCTCTTTCCCAATCGATTGGGTCATCTTGGATGATACAGAGAGCGTCTATCCAAAGATACCGGATGCCAAAAGTGTGACAAACTTCAATGGCATCTTTGAAAACTTTCGTCAACTCGTGCAAGGGGATTCCTTGTAATGAATATTGTTGAAAAGTCGATTTCGTTGTCGTTAGCTGTGGAAGAGCCCCCCAGCAGTAGCTGAGGGCACAATATGATATCGTTCCTGTTTCTTTTGCTGTTGATACCAGACGAGGATTTGGTGTACCGGTTTCTCCGATGTCAAGTAGCCTGGTCGGAAGAAACCCGTGGTCAGAATCCTCCTGCCTAGCTGAAGTGTGGTCCAGGTTTTCCAATAGGTTCGTGGCCCACAGAACATTCTCTTTGCATAGTGCCACCGGCTTTGGGGTGCTGTATATGCCTAACCATTGAGATATTTGAACTACCCAGCGTTAGAATAACCGCCTGGAGAGAAAAGCGATGCTTGCCTACAATCATCGGACCCAGGGCTGAAGTATATGCCATACTTCGCTTCTCCATCTGTAACATGCCCTACTATACCGGAATAATTGCAATCCCGAGTTATATCGCCCTTACCCAGAAAGGTTCCATCGTTGAACCAGTTATGTGAAAGATGTATATCTATAGGGGATTCCTTGAACTCAACCTTGGAAAGGAGAACTGCCTCCCGGAGGTATTTGCAGAATATGCAACCTGTTTTGATATGCGACTCCTGTAGTTTGGGGAACTCGGGCGGATAGTCAGACCAACTGGCTATTGGAACAAGAATCTCTTCCGAGTTCCCGGTTTTATCGGAATACTTGCTGCCATCTGGGAGTCTGCGAATATAATCGCTGAGCACTCTGTCATCGAGCTGGATACCCTGACATTTCTCACAGAGGACATTGTCAGCTCGGTCCATTGTCTGCATTCGGATGCGACACGGAATGTACCGAGCCTGGCCGATTTAAATGTGCAAAGACTTCAGGCGAACCGGGTTCGGGGAGAGAAGGTGGCACAATCAAGTAAGGGGGCGGTCTCTGCCTGATGAGAGAGGTGAGGCACACTAGAGGGCAACGTATGATTGCGAACCACCCCGCCTAGGCTGACTTGCCATGTCATCAATATCGGTCTTGGCCATAAGTTTTGCTGACAGTTTTAAGCGGAAGTCATAGGCAATGTCTCATGGAACTTTTGGGATCGTATCCACTCACCTGGCCTTTTCTTCTTCTTCTTTTTGCAAAATTGATAACTATTGTTCCATTATTATTATTGATATACTGACGTAACATGCATGGAACAATCACGCAGTGACCTGCCTATAAATTCATTAGACGCTGTTAGCGACCACTGGAGAATCAGCTTGTGGCCCTGATGCAATTCAGCCCCGTCAAGTGGACCTACCCAGCGATTGGTGACATCCAGAAGGAAATGCCTCAGTGACGCACGCTGATGCGTTGAAAGGAATTTTTCGGTGTTCTCTACCGCCTAAAACCTCAGCGTACGGCTTGAAAGCGTGAAATCCGCTCTCACTGTGACCCAGCATTTACCACTGTGTGGCATCCTCCGACATCCGAAGAAGTCATGGAAGTCCAGACTAGGAATTTCGAACAATTGTATTTCGAGTTCTCTGTCCAACTGCGGCCTTTTGTTTGTTTATTGCTCAGTTTTTTGTTAATGAAGATCTGCCAATGTTTCGTCTTACGAAGTTGAGCTCTTGTGCCAATTGAACGGCATAAACGATCATGAGGATGTAGAGATAATCAATTCATTCCTTAGTAGGGTTGAGTCTCGAGATACTGTTCAAGTATCCGTCGTTATGAATGAAGCTCGGCCCTTTAATTCAATGGAAAGGAGGGTGTTGAATTAAAGAAAGTTCGAATCAAGTCGCGCGCTTCCTCTCTAGCTTCCTCTGCTCTTTTCTCTTTGCGTCCTCCTTTCTAACTTTCTTCTTCTGTTTCTTCACTGTAGCAGCCTCAGCATCATGGATCCGAATACGCCGTACCCGCCTCTCCGCCAGTGCATCATCGCGTTCTCTCATCTCCCTCCGCTCTTCCTGCTCTCTGATTTGGTTCTTGCGAGCTTGTTCCTCCTCGAACTGCGACTGCGTCAATCCGTTCTTGAGCCTTTGTGTCCGATCGAGCGCCTGCCTTTTACGAGCTTGTTGTATTCTTGTCTTCTTACTAATGGGAAGCCCGTAGAACTTAATGGTAGTTTTTTCTCCAGTTGGTAACGTGATTCGATGCGTCTGGTGATGTTCGTCTAAACCGGGCAGGAGTTTGAACGTTTCTTGGTAATTGGCTAAGCGTTCCGGGCTGGCATTCAGACACTTGGTCTTCACAATTGTGTCGACATGGATCTTAAAATTGAGCTCCATTTCCCTGTAAAATTCGGTTGCTCCTTCTGACGTCCAGCTCTGTTGCCTGAGTGGCACTGTCCTTGAGCACCGGGCAAATACGTCCTGCTGCCCGGGGTTTCTGTAAGATGGGGAAAAGTATCTGAATTGAGAAGGATAGCCCCAGCCCGAGTTCACGTTAATGTATGGAAGAAGGTAGCTAAACCGAACAGCTTCGAGTTCCGTCAGATGCTCTGCGAGAAGATCCCACTGCTCGATGCTGAATAATGCGGGTTTGAGATATGGCGGCGGGAGCTCTAGCTTCGCCAATCGTTTGCATTTCCTCACCGTCGACCAGAATGCTTGCATGTTGGCCTTGCTCCGCGATAAGCTATACGGAATTGAAACATGGTTTGAGAAGCCGGTCGCGTCCGGGTTCAAGATGCTGATGGATCGAAGGTGGTTGCGGTGTTCATCTCGCAGCCTATGGCCAACAGTGGCAATAAATTCCATCGCGTCGAGGAAGCAAAATGTGTTTTGCGACCAGAAAATCGGGGCGGCGAGATGATATATCTCACGGCTCACACCTAAGAGCCCGAGTCCAGTGCGCTTTGCACAATTGCAGCGATTGCCGACGTTTTGCTTGAATTCTCCATCCGTAGTCTGCCATATATTGATGGAAAGGTTGAGGAATGGGGGAATCTCGGTGCAATTGATATCATTTGGCTTGTACCGGCACTCTGGTTTATGTCGTTTCTCCCACTTGGGGCATTCGATGAGTGCGAATTCATATATGAGGAGCTGAACCTCAAGGGGAACATGAAGAAGTCCGAGCTTCTGAGGCCTGAGCCTCCTCCCAGGCGAGGGTTGTATAGAAATTGTCTCAAGCATTTGTCACAAGGCCCAGTTTCGTAAATGATGTGATTAATTCTCAAGTACAGACGTCGAAACTTAGGTTCTGTCCGCGAGTTATTTGTTTTGGACTAATTCGGCCCTCACTATCATGAGATGTGCCAAAACGTTGGCCGAATGAGTCATCGTATTCAACACGAGCTTATACGGGGTTAGTCAGAAGGCATCCCATAGTATTGGCTCAACGGATGACTCCAATGCTAGTGTTTTGCATGAACATTAGTCCAATTCTTTACAAACCTCTGTTTGAATAGCGGAGACCATAGATATTTGAGTGAGACTGGGGACAACATAGGCGAGACCTTATATGTAAGCCCCTAAAAACTTCAAGTAAAAGATGCAGCAATCAAATGAGAAACCTTTCTGGGGAAAAAAAAATTCAAATATGATTTCAATTTAAACTAAAATATAAAAAAATGAAGGGAAATAGCAGAAAGAGATATACAAGATGGTGAGGTTGGCGACATCCAGGTCGGTCTGAAGCTTCACTCCATTTCAGTTCCAATTTCCTGACCCAATTGCTTCCGTAAATCTGACACCCTCCCTGCCCCCCACCATGGCTCCAGACTTAGAAATCCTAAGTACTCCTGAATCTAGCTTGTAATGGGCCATGGAGTTTCTCGTTGTCTTAGACGGCGCTTGTAGTATTGGCAGTTGTTGCCGTGTCCGGACGATGTTTTGGCTCGACAACAGGGTCTACAACCGCCCCGGTCCGCTCTTGGCGCAAGAGGAAACCTTCGGCCACGACATTGCACATCAAGAAGAATCTAAAGGAGAGGTTAGTCATATGAAAACCACCGTATGGATTGAAACTTACAGCGCGAGGAAGTCAAACGCGATGATGGTCTTCTTTAGCGAACACCTGCCTGCGACTGTCGAATTCCTTACACACCTTCCACCAGCCCAGTCCTGGGTTGCGAAGATGAACGAAGTGAGCCACAGGTATGAAAAAATGAGATTGACAGGCATGAAATGGCCGCGATATCTGTTGATAAACGGCAAGATTGACGAGATCGCATATAGGATAAGCGTGATTACAGCCTGGGGCAGATGGTTAGTTTACCACTTATAGGGTCATTATCCGCGACAAGCAGTAAATACTTACGATGACCAGTTGATAGATAATATGTGTACTATGTGGCTTGGGCTCCAAATGGACAAAGTATGCGGTAATGCCTGTAACTATTGCGGCGGAGGCAAAGATCAAGAAATGGTTCAAGGAAATCAGTGGCCGCAGAGGGCTGCGACGAGTTCGACCAGTGGTGTCCCCGGCGCGAGATCTTCCGAAAACCATCGTGGCTACTGTGATAAGAATCGGGACTGAAGATAGTTATAATCTGGCTCGATGTCGATTTAGATATATGTGATAGACAACGTTCACATCAGTTGCTATGGAGCGATAGTTGATTAGGAAGTCGACACATATATACGACTTATCTCCTAGAATATCCCCAAACTTCCAGTGCTATCCATGACGTCTTGAAGGCTCAACCCCCCTCATGATCGTCTCGAACTATAACAAGGAAGAATGGAGCCTACGGACCTTGTGATCCGTCCTAGCACACCTATTGAGGGAGTGTCGGCAAGTCGGATGCGTCTCGCTGAGAGCGGCTACCGAAGAATGTATAAATCCGTTCAACACTGGGCATTAATGAAACCCCCTGCAGGAAATAAAATAATGAATTCTGAGTGCGATTCTTTATCATGCACAAGTGTGGTGATGAGAGTTCCTTGAAATGGCCAAATACGATGCTCTTTACGCCTATATCATCCGATTCCACCTACTCAAGCCCTCGGTATTGTATGATAAATGAGAGCTCTCAGGTTTCTCCGTCTACGGTCCCGAGTGATCCGATGACCATTACAGTTCAGCCATGCCACCATTTCGATATTGCTAGCGCCGGCAACAAGCCAATAGTACGCTCACGAACTAAATATCAGCCACACAATGACGAAATACCATTGTTCCAAGTCCCATGACCGACAAGAAGGCTGTTTGAGAGGCAAGAAGTCGATGATGGCGCCCAGATCAAGCCTCAATCGAGATTCGAGAAAACATCTGTGGAAACGTATGTAGATCTGTTCCTTCAGGGGGATAGCATTAACATTATCTCTTAAAGCGTCGTCACTGACAACCATCTGCTACCGGTAGGTTTCATCGACACCAATTGCTGACTCTAACAATCCAGTCAACCTTGTCCATCCAGTACCAGCAGGCATATTCCTCCGTTTGCTCACCATTGCACACCCACACAGTTTGCCTGAACTTCATATTCCTACGTGACTTTCGATTGATCAATGTAAAGTAAGAGGTGGAAACTTATTGGGTAACTGTTTACGATGGAACCCAGGCCAAGCCATGGGCGGTCTGGGTCTGTTTTATTGTTGGGTGTCCAAAACGTGTTGTAGTCTTTGATTGACTACCTTTGGGTGATGATAGTTGCCGTTCATGGAGTGAATAAGTAGCTTCATGTAGTAGATGTTGAGGTACAGGTGCGTTCATCTCAGTAGTGGGCCACCAAGCCCAGCAATGGTCCTGAGGTATCTCAATTTTCGGCTTGGCCGCTGTATCCAATATATGTAGCGGCATGATAAAAATTGATGATTTCAAATCTCATCAAATTAATAAGTTTCTACGTTTTCTGGTGCACATTTTACCATAGTCATTCGTTTCTAGAAAGTTATGGGCTTTCGTGTAGGATGCTCCGGAACCATCAACTATGTTCAATCGTTAAGCTATCTAATTTCGTGTTTCTTTGGCTTTTGATAGGTCATATACTGAATCTAATTCGTATCGAAACCAAATGAATGCTAGATATGGTGAGATCATGCCTATATTTAGCCATATTTGTCGACCTCTGGTAGTGCATTACATTCAGTCAGGATATTCTCAAAGGCAGGCTGTCTCTGATATTGTAGATAGAGTTTCAATGGGTCTAACCGCTTGAAGAGATTCTCATGGCTTCTCAGAGAGCCGAAAGGCAAGCTTTCAGTCAATAAATGCAGGAAAGACGAAGTGTGACCTGACCGCAAATTGGAAGGTTACAGTTGTGATTATAGACTATCTTTGGCTACCAAGAGCCTTAAGTTTATCTTCTACCAGCTTCCCAATACCTACATGGACTTCTTTTACTGGATGGTAGGAATCGAAGAATAGGTGGCGTTCTGGGTCACTGCAAAGAGAACGTTCTTGAGTGCCATAGGCCCCTTGCAGGCACGCAGTTGGTGGGCATACATACTTTTCATCAATCCCGTACTCTTCAGGGTTGGCTGCAATATTGCGGAACAACGTTTGTGCCTCAACCAACGCCGTGTTCGCATAAGCAGAGTATGCACCCACAATGTTCCTAAGCCCAATGCTGAGATCGTCCATATAGGACTTAACATTATCACTCTGGTAGCCAGAGGCATTGTACGTCCCTGGAAATGTCTCGATGTCGTTGTAGTTGCCCAGAACAATGTTTCTAGCCCCTATCACGCTAGTGAGTATAGATTTGATTGCTAACCGTCGAGTCGACAACTCACCAGCACGATACAACGTCTCAATATTTTCGTTGATCCAGCTGGTCGTCTGTGAACCAGTGACATTGGGGTTGAAAAGAATCTCGTTGACGCCGGACCAGTGAACAAACACATCTCCAGGTCTAGGCACGTCCCACGACAAGAACGACGCAATTTGTTCAGCCGTGGAGGGCACCGGGATTTCCGACTCGGGCCCTGTACGTCCTTGAACGAAGCCATTGTTTGTGGTAGCTCCGCCAGTCGCGATGTTGACAAGCTCAAGATGAAGGGCGTTCGCAACGTGTTCGTTCCACACGGGCCCATCCCTATCGCACTCGTTAGACTTGGAACCCAGATGAATGGCATAAATGGACTTACGAGAAAGAATGCGCAAAGTATGAGGGGTCCGACGGCCATGTTGCATTGCTTACCACCCATGATCCATTACCATTATCGCTAAAGCTGTCACCAAACACTATCAGCCGTGTAAAATGTGTCACATCTCTATTCACGATCGAGAGTGCGATCGAATAGCTAACCAAGTACAAAATGGCCAGTGGCAGTGATATTTCCGTCTTCATGATGGCTTGTAGGAAGTGGAATCATTCGTTTACAAGAGGAGCTCGGGTCAGCCTGAGTTCTACAGTGCATGATACGACGGATCCGGCACGTCAAACCTCTTTAAAGTTTACCCCTTGAAGCCTAATCACCGACTCACGCAGCGAGCTTGGGTGCTCTACCTCCTCTAGCATTCTTTAGTCTGATGGTCATTGGACGGTTCGGCGAAAGGTTTGAGACACCGATTCGGCGTTCGGAAACGGCTTAGATTAAGCTGACGAGGGTGTCTCAGACGGTGGCCTTAATCCTCCGACGCTTATGCGTTCACACATACTATCCATCAAGCCATCGGCATTTCAACAAAGGACCATAATCTTGGAAGAATATTTCCGAACTAGCAAAAGAGCTTTCTACAATATTCCTTCAAGTATTGGCCTGTGGTGATCCTGCCTCTCGCTTACAAGCGTTAATCGGTTGGGTAGCCAGAATGAGACACGAGCCAATGGTTGACTTCCCATCGTTTGTTATCCCTGTTTCATTCAAGGAATGGGGTGAGTCAGACAAAGGATGAATGGGTTGAGAACGGTTATGGGCTCTCTTAATAAATTCTCAAAACACAAATCTTTTGGAATGAAAGAGATGAACATATTTTCTGTTTCAGAGAGTAGAGCAGTTCAGAATCTGATGAGACTTCGAGTAGAAAGTAAAAACCCCAGCAATGCAAGACGCTAGACCTGACATCTCGACACAATGACTGCAAAGGCAAAAATAAGCTCTGTTAGCTGCAGCCACGTAGAAGAAACTCTATCAACCTTCATACGAATAACTCACTTGCCATTGGGATGATCTGCTCGTCATATCACTATTTATTTTACCCTCTTTCACCTAGCTTCATACTCGTTCTACACCACTTCAACACACGGATCAAAACAATGACTACATACCTGAATACCCATATGCCAGTATTCTCCATTCATTGATCGAATTTACTTTCAATCATTTGATATTTAATCGCAAGATGAAGCCCTCCACTTGCCTCTTTGTCGCCTTACACTACCTGGGCTTGGCCTCTGCTGCGTCAATTGCCAAGCCTGATGATATTGTGCAGAATCTCGAGACCCGCTATTGCTTCAACCTTGGAGAGGTGTACGGCGATGAAGAAGGCGAGGCCCTCGTCGTGGCCCGGAAAGCTTGCGAGAGTGACTTCCACGGCACCTGGAAAAGGACTGAATACCGAAAACGATGTTACAACCTCAGCCGTCACAAGCATGTAACTTTTTTAGTCCACCTCTCAGACAAGAGTCCCGACCATGTTAAGAACCTTACTAGTGAGGAGTGCTACCGCAGGCTCTCAGATCAGATCTCCGAATGCCCGCAGGGGAGTCATGTGTGGCACGGAGTCTGGCGCTACAAGCAAGTAATCCTCTTAATATATATGCTAAGTTGTAAAATCCTTTGTTCGCGTAACTGACCATTTCAGGCTCGATCCTATTCCGAAGAAATGCCCAGGATGGGATGAGCAGTAAACTAAAACAATCAAGTGGATTGTTTTGTTTTGAAGATGGTTTTGAACGGTTATCTAATATTTTGAGACCTGTTCCTAGGTTCAAAATGGCCCCGTTACTTTCTGGGGAGGTCGTACCATTTACTCCAAATAATGGAGATTTACCCGATAGGAAGAAGAGTATTCTTGACAGTATCCTTTATTTTATAGAGTGGCCTCTTAAACTCTAAGATTGGGTCAAGTAATTGAAGCAAGCTTTCTACTTCACACTGACCTGCCGCGGTTCACATGTGCGAGGATGGATGCCATGTGGTCACAAATAACGCAGGTATACGAGTAGTGCTCGGCATTTGAACCACCCTTATCGCGTTTCCATTTTATTTCGTCCCATAGCTGTCAAGATTTGATTTAGACCACATCACAAGGTCGGTCAAATTGCTCCTCAAAGTCGGGGTTGCACACAGCCCGGATGTTCTCGGCCTCGTAGATTAGACTCGCATAGATCTGGCAGCCTTCGCCACCCATCACCCGTCCTACCTCCTCGCTCCCGCCATACTTGACCACTCGCCGTGCCATGCCCTCGGCCACAATTTCGTTGCGGCTCGGGTCGTTAAGGTCGGTACCGTTGCGATACTTGGCATGTCCCGCCACGGCCGCATATCCGAGACGTCGAGCATACAGAAAAGCCATTTGTTCATCAATGGCGTCGATGTACTTGCGGGCACAGGCCAGTTCATCTGCAACACTGCCGCTGGCCGAGGTGCAGATATCTGCCACAGGGACTTCGGAGAGGACGTTCACATCGTATGGGAACGAGGTCTGATTGCCGGCTCCAGGATAGTTGGAGGCCGTGGCGTTGGTCGAAGGTACAAAGTGGCAGGTTGCGTTGGTAGATTTGCAACTGGCTACCACGGCAGCCAGGAAGGGAGTGAAGATAATGGCAGAGGTGCGCATCTTGGCTGTTTGGCGTTTGAATATCGTAGCTTGAGGGCTAAAGAGAAAGACTTTCCACGTGGAGGACGGAGAGGCAAAGTTATAATCGGAGGTACGTCAGCGACGATGCTGCAGGGTCGTTTAGCGGCAAAGCCGGCCGAGAAGGCAATCCTAAACTCAGCACTAGTCGTCGTAATCGGCAATTGAGGAACGTCAACAAGGATGAGCTCTAATGAAGTGCCGGGGTCGCGTGTTTGTTAGAAAGTTATGATTGGTCAAGAAATGAAGGCTTCCCCATCATAGGTGAGATTTCTCATAACCCTACCCTAGAGGTCGCCTCAAGTCAAATGAAAGGACTCTCGCTTTCCCCCTGATTTTTTGGACAATACTTTTTACTGTGAGCCAGGTTAAACTAGACAGCGTTTTAGCTAGAAAAGAAATGATTTATCAGATTTCAAGTGACCCATCCAGATTCTTATATCATGTTGGCAAAGTGTAGAGCAATTGGTTGATACTGGCTTGTGTACAAAGCCTTTGGAATTAGTTCCTCGCCAGATCTTAGATGTGCTTCCGAAATATGTTGACGGGATATGTAATGGCACAACACCAGCCCTAAATAACTATCACGGTGACTCAAAGAGTAGAAGGCCCTATGACTCCAATTTCGGAGCGGGAACTGCGCCACGGCAGTGCCATTCAACCTTTTGGATATTGCCCTCCAGGCTGTCAGTGATATACAGAGTTTTACGCTCAGGTCCTCCGAAGCAGCAGTTCGTCAGATTGATGCCGGGTGAGCCGCTAATAATTCGGGCCTTGGGAAGACCATCCGAATCGACAACAAAGATAGAGCCTAAACTGGGGTGGCAAACGAAAAGACTTCCTTCCTCGTCGAGAGCCAGCCCATCAGGACCGACATTCCCGAACGAAGTAAAGAAAACCCCGCCCTTGGATGTGGTGCCGTCTGGGTGGAGGGGTAGCCTCCAAACCTGGTTGGCTCTGGTCATGGCGACATACAAAAAGCGCTCGTTCAAGGACAAGACAAGTCCGTTTGGAGACACACCGTTCTCTACCAAAGTATCCAGCTTTCCATCTGGTGACAAACGGTAGACCTTGCCTGTCTGGTCGGTGATGCTCGTCTGACCTTGGTCGGTGAAATATAGATTGCCTTTTGAGTCGACTATTAGATCATTTGGCCCCTTAAATCTTTCCAGGTTTTTCCTGGTCAATTTCGGTTTGACCTCTCCCGTTTTTGGGCTGAATTCAAGGATTCCCTACAGGGGATTGCGTTAGCTTTGGGACGATGCCGACGGCGAGCGCATTACCTGTTTGTAATCTGCCACCAGAAGGGTTCCATCCTTTGTACCAACCAAACCATTTGGTTCTCCGTCCCATTTGCAACACACAGTTACATTCTTCTCGCCATCTACCTTCAGTATCCGGCCATAGGGTATATCGACAACATATATGTTCCCTTTGTCATCAACCACTGGTCCCTCGAGGAAGATGTGTTGGAAGGTTCTGGCAAACCCGCCCGTCCACTCCGAGTCTTGCCCAAGACACCTTTTATTGTCGGGGATACGCAGGTATACTTCGGCTTTGATCACAGGCGGTGGCGGGTAGAAGTTCATGTTGGCTGATTGTTTTCTTTAGGCTTTCTATTCCTGAGAGAAAAGAATAGCAGGCCCGAGACTATGGCGCAAAATTCTTGTCCGTGTTTCTTAGCCAGCTATGAATTTTTGTCTTCTAGGTTGAATCTGTATTATTGTCCGATCTCGGTCGCCTTGCTTAGGAGACAGGGACATCGGGTGCGGAGGAAGAGAGGATCCAGACACTTCGGGTCACCACCGACGAGCTCACCCCAACCAGACCAGATTTAGAACTGATGATTGACAGATATAAATCTCGTACAGATTAGCAGTGACATGTTAATGATGCGGGGTAACGCACTAGGGAACATGAATCGCGACAAGTCTGGGGGAAAGTGCCGGTCTTTCCTAGTGCAGGCAACACCATTGCGAAGGCATCGGAGGAGGTCCGACGGGTGAACAACCTTATGGCTCGGGCCCGGCCCGACGACATCATTCTGCCCCTAGTCCATTCGATCTAATTTTCCCATGGTTGAATCATTGGGTCGTATTGACGGAGGACCTGCGACTGAACTGCTAGTTCTGTCGCGCTCTACAGGCAAAGTTCAACGCGGTGAGTTTGTATCGGACTTGTAAGAAAGGCACGGTTTATGTTTGCAAAGGTGAAATTAAGTGCCTTTTTCTTCTTTCTTATCCTTCCCACTCAAGACCGTGCTGTGCTAGTTGCTATTACGGTTGCTCTGAGGAAGGCGGCTGCAGAGTGCTGTCTCGGCTAACATCCAGGGCGGTGTTGGGCCCCGAGTTTCCCCCTTGTCATCTATCGGACGTCAACGCGATGCCTTCAACACCAACGCCTCCTTTCTCCGCACCGCCCCGTACACATACTCCAGACTTACCCACTTGATGGGCGTTCTATATGCCCCCGCTCCTCCGCTTTCATGTGGGGAATCCCGTAGTATAAACAGTGAGTCGACCACGTCTTGTTTTCTAATGTGTTAGCAAGAGCGTGTGGTTCGTAGCTCTCCAAGCCTTTACCATCACTGCTCCACCACAGAAACAAAGACCCTTGATCATGACGAAACCAAACATGATTGCGGCCACGAAGAAGGCCATCAAAGACAGCCCTCGGGAGATCTTCAACTGGTATCTCATGGTCTGCACCTGTATCTGGAGTTTCTCCGGTGTTGCGAAGGGTTTTGATGAAGGTTCGTTGAGACTTCTATGTCTCTCTTAGGTTTCCAAGCTCTCACACTTCCCTTCTAGGAAATATCGCCTCGGTTGTCGTTATGGATATTTTCCTGAGCCGGTTCGGTCTTAAAAATCAGTCCGATAAAGAATTTGCGTCTACAAAGGGTTGGATCGTCTCCATTGCCACTGCTGGTGCTGTCTTCGGCTGTCTCGCCTGTGTTTGGCTCACTCAGCGATTCGGCCGAAAATTCACGTTCCTCATGTTTACGGTTGTTTATATTGGAGGTATTTTTGGACAAACATTCAGCAATGGCAGCATGGCGGTTCTCTACATTACCCGAATAATAGCTGGCATGGGCATCGGCGCGACAACAGTGCTACCGTCGATCTACATCGCAGAGGTACGTTGATCTTCTCGAGACTTCTTATAACAGAAAGAGCAAACACAGCTGACTTTATTCTGTTTCATCAGATTGCCCCAGCTTCGATTCGTGGACTATGTACCTTGCAATATACCTGCTGTCAGCAACTCGGCGTTGTTTTCGGCTTCTTCTTCAACTACGGCGTCACTAAGTACCACTCCGGCACGAATTTACAATGGCAGCTCCCAACAGCACTTCAAGTCATCCCGGCTGTCATTTGGGGCGTGGGCTGCTTCTTTACTCCTGAGACACCACGATTCCTTCTTATGAAGAACAAGAGATCTCAAGCGATTGCCACACTGTGCAAATTCCGAGGGCTGCCAGAAGACCACCCTTATGTCCAGGCCGAGTTCGAAGGCATGGAAGCCCAACTTAACCATGAGATTGAGATCGTCGCAGGAGCAAGCACATTTGATCTGATCAAAGAGACCTTCACCGACTTACCCAATAGACGCCGCTTTATCTTGATGTTCGCCGCCCACGTCTTCAGCCAATGGAGCGGTGCCAACGCCATCACACAATACAGCCCAACAATCTTCGGCTACCTAGGAATCAAGGGAACGGAGTCCCGATTTCTGGCGACTGGCATCTACGCTATTGTAAAATTTGTGTCTGTCTTGCTCTTCTCCGTCTTCGTCATCGACTTCATCGGCCGCCGTCGCTCTCTCATGACGGGTATTACCATGCAGATTATAACCCTAGCTTACGTGGGAGGTTATCTCGGAGTGACAAACGGCTGGTCGGTTGAAAAGATCGAAGCCAGCGCTTCTGCCATGGGTGCTAGTCGGGCTGCCATTGTTTCCATCTACTTCCACGCCGTTGCTTGGTCCATCGGGTGGTTTTCCATTCCATATCTTGTTTCGGCTGAGGTCTTCCCACTTCGCATCCGCTCCATCAACGTCGCCATACTGATGGCAGTCCACTGGGCCATGTACTTTGGGTGCTCCAAGGCAATGCCTTCTCTCCTCGAGGCAACTCAAAGATTCGGCGCCTTCATCTTTTTCCTGTCCATCTGCTGCGTCTCCCTGGTATACGTGTTCTTTGCTATGCCTGAGACATCGGGCAGGTCTCTGGAGAGCATGGACAAGTTGTTTGAGAGACCGTGGTATACAGTTTATAAGATTGCTTACCCAACGGCCGACGATTTGAAGCCCCATATTCGGGCGCAGCTAGAGGACCTAAAGGATGCAGTCTCTATTACCTCGAAGCACATTGAGGAGCGTGTTTGAAGGACAAGATACAAATTGAGCTGAGACTGGAATGTATTACTACGCATGTACTTATATAACATGACCCCAAACGAGTAATGCGACCACTCTTCTTACGCGCCATCACATCACTGTATTGTCCGCTTTTTGTCATAGAGGTCTTGGAATCTTTACAATAGCTTCTCAGGATAATGGCGACCAAGTTTCGGCCCAGGTCTGATTATGGCTCATGAGTAGGGGCAGGAGCATGTGATATTATTGAATTCATTATAATAACCAAGAGTTTTAAATCAGATTGACTGAGACTCTATCATTTGATGCTTCCGGAATACAATCAATGTGTACCAAGTTCAGACGAGAGCCTCTTTTAAACTAGCGATAGCTAAAGAGTACGCCTCATCTCTTGCCCTCTCTGCAACAGATCCCTTGGCACAGCCTTTGTCAAACCCGTGATTGACATCATCAAACATGCGAGTGACCACCTTTCTATGCCCGTTGTCCAGCTTAGAGGCGAGCGCATTCCCCTCGGGCGCAAGATTATCCCCAGCAGCTGTCAGGATTGTGACGCGCTCTGGGAAGGAATCTGGGTCTGCAAACTCGGGTGAGACCCGCGGGTCGCTGCGGACCGCAACATCAGGTACATAGCAGTCGTTGAAGATGCGCGAGATGCCGGCGGGGACGGGCTTGTTGGACTGGGGGGCAACCTTCTGCTCCGGATCTGCGGCCTTGTTCGTGACGGGATAGAATGCTACTGGGATCTTGATGTCCATCATAGTGAGCTTCTCTCGCAGCACGGAAGCGGCAACCAAGGCCAGATTCGCGCCCGAGCTGAATCCCGAGACCGCGATGCGCTTCTCATCAAACAGGTCTGAGGATGCTACCCATCTCAAGACGGCCTCGGCGTCTTCAATGGCCGCAGGGAATGGATCCTCAGGGCCCTTCCTGTAGTCGGCATCCACCACGTATATACCACATTCCTGCGCGACTCTAGCACACCACAGATGATCGAGACCGAACCCCGGAAGCACGAACCCGCTCCCGTGCCAGTTGACAAGGACGGCTGGGCGACGAGCAAAGTCGATACCGGGAGGTGTATAGACCCATACGTTGATATAGCTTCTGGCGGAGCTTCCAGGGATCCTTCTGAGCTTCCTCTCGGCTGGCTCAGTGAGGGTGTACCCGGAGACAGAACGTTGAGCAAGCCAGGCCACAGTCCTGAAGAGGACGACGGTGCCTTTCAAGCGCAGATACTGGAAAAAGCTGAACTTGGCCATGTTGCTGCCAGATCTCGCGGCTCTCAGTATTGCACGATGGAACGGTGCTGATAAATTGAGCAGAGAGCAAAATGGGCAGCATATTGCACTTGAAATTATTCTGTAGGCGACAATATAAGGCGAGAGCTAATACGAAATACGCTTAGAGCGACCGGCTGACCAGCTCTAGGCTGCTACAAAACGACCCAGTCAATCATCATCCTATTATTGCCTGTGTTTGTCATGAAAATCTGGTCGGGTACCAGTTCCAGCCGCTTGAGCCCATGAAATAATCTACAACTCCTGCCAGTCGTCCTCCATGTCCTCCATCTCTGCCAATCCGTCCCAAATGGGGTGTACCTTGAGGCAGTACGATAGTCCGGGCTTCAAGTTCTCATCGCATTGACTGGCATTGCCGAGGGACGGGTTTATTTGTAGAAACAGGTCCATAGTTGTAGCCCTGTCAGCTGACACCACCATCTCGGCGCAACTCAATCCCTTCACTGCTTCGATATACTCGGCGCAACTCCTGGTAGTGCCTTTTGCAAGCTCTGTCAATGGTTTCGCACGGCTGTTCGATTTGTAACCATCACCGAAGCCTCCCGGGCCACCCATGTAGCCGTTTCCGGGGTGTTCACTGAAGCTGGACTTCATCTCGTCGATAAACTTGCCACCTGGAGGACTGATACAAACGACGTGACCCCAAAAGGGGTCTGTACTCCAAAGGTTTGTGCAGCGGGAATCGAGCATGAGATTCCAGTCAATAAGATCCAACCATCCCCCTTCGCCGCCAGCCATACTTATCTCGACGCAATTGGCAGCCTCATGCTCTTGGACTGTGTACGTAGTGCAAGCCTGTGGCAGGCAGAGTTCCGTTCCACTCTCAATGCTACGACAGTCAAGTAGCCGGGGGTTGATGTAGTAGAGTGTTGCTGATGAGATTGAGTTAGCTAGAGCAATGCTATCGCAGGTATCGCCTTCCTTTGTGGCGATAGTCTTTCCACTGAAGCAGGCCATAGGGAATGAGCTTTTATCCGGAGGGGATTCCTGGCTTGGGGCAATCGGACTGTCGATACGACACTCTTCAAATAAGGTTAGTATGAAACGACTAACTATAGTAGAGACGAACAATACTTTTATTTACAAACTCGAACATGGAAGCATATTCTCGGTCATATGCGGAGTGTTCAGACTTTTGCATCTGACGCAGCTTTTCCCCATAACAGAATGAGCAGAGCTCTTTGTCTGGTATGTCTTCGATATATTTGTACTCATCTAACGTATCAATGATATCTAGTAGATTTTCTTGTTTAGTTTTCCTCCACTTGAACAACATAGTAAAATCATGGGGACAGACTCACGATTGCAATACTCGCCCGACTGTTCATCTTTGAGGCAGGTTTCTTCCCAGCCCATTATGATCGAGTCAACAACGGACACAACAGTCATGTCTGGAAGGAGATTTGGCGAGCCTGCACAAGCCATCTCTATGTTCTCCCGAGCTGTTGCCAACGCTTGTTTGCACGACGGAGCGCAGACAAGGTCAGTCAGCCCACTGTCTCCTAGCGAGCCGTGATATTCTCGTCGTCCAAGCTCATCAACTCCCTCGTGACGTTTGATTAATTGCTTGGCGGCTTGTAGGCAGTTACAGTCCAATTACACTAAATTAAGAAGCCTCTGGGGGATTGTTTGAAAGCCGGCATTCTCATCTCTCAAGACTGACGTGGCAGAGACATGATACGGTTGAGCTACAACCATAATGAAAACGACCAAGAAGGTAACTAGGGTAAGATGAGCGGCGATGGCCATATTGGTAGATTTGAAGAAGAGGAGTTAGCAAACGTAGAAACAGTCTTATTTAGTACATAGGAAAAAAGGTATTTTTTCATCTTCAAATTGCCCGTCTCGGTTCGTCGTGCCGTTGATTACATGTACCTCGGGTGCGGCCAAATGGGGCTGGCCGAAATGACCATAGTTCAGTCCAGGAGGCCGTCAGATATCCAGAGAGCAGTGAGTGGTCAGTCATGGTACCTCGTATGAATTTACGGGGTCAGAGGCCAGCCCCTTGGCATTCAGATTGACCAATTCCCACGCGAATTACTAGCTATGTAACGCTGTTGTCGAAATAGCCACTTATAGTCAGTACCCCGAGGTATTGATACTCTGAAGCCTTTGCAGAGAGGTGTTTTAAATAATATAGCTTTGCCCTGTTAGTGACACAAGCTAAGCACTCATCAAATTTGGATGCAAAGCATCGACAGTGCTGCTCAGTTGTCCACAGGCATTTCTATTGTGGCGAACTGGTCATTCACCAGACAACTTTTCCGCAATAGTATGCATTGGTCAAGAAAGCTGTCCTCTGCCTCAACGTTGTCATTCGTTCGGATGATATATCTTCCCCTAATCTTCTTGGTGTTCATTTCCTGCCTTGCTCAGCCTTCTCATCAACAAACAACAGAATGCAACGGAGATTTTTGCGGCAATGAGGTACCAAAGAGACCACAGTGCTCGGTCAATTCTACTCCGGTAGCCCGTATGATCGGGTACTACGAGCCATCGTTATTTTCTGTACGAAAATCCTCTCAGAAATCGCCTCCATGCTTTAGGATGATACCTGAGCAAATCCCGGGCCGTCGATACACGCATATCATCTTTAGGTTCGCCACCATCGACCCGCGTACGTTCAAAGTCAGCGCCGGGCATGTTTTAAGGGATGACATACAACGTGTGGCAGGATTAAGTTCTCCCAGGCGGATATAAAAGTCTGGGTGGCTTTTGGTGGTTGGGCATTCAGCGATGAGGGTCCGACACGGACGACCTTCAGCAGTCTCGCCGCCTCGGCCGAAAAAACCACCACCTTTCTGGATTCATTGGTTTCGATGATGAACAGATACCGTTTCGACGGTGTTGATATTGACTGGGAGTTTCCAACAGCGAATGATCGTGGTGGACGTCCCGAAGATTACAAAAACCAAGTTGAATTTATAAGCAGGCTTCGCTCAAGAATGAAGGATGTCAAGAAGGGTGTGTCGATGGTCATTCCTGCAACCGACAGATATCTGAAGGGCTTTGATCTCAAATCATTGGAGCCTCATGTGGATTGGTTTAACCTCATGAGCTACGATCTGCATGGCTCCTGGGACATCCTTGACAAGTCTACGGGACCTTGGGTCAATAGCCACCCCAATATGACCGAAATTCAGACGGCGCTGGATCATCTTTGGCGAAGTGACATCAGCCCCACCAAGATTACCATGGGAATGTCGTTTTATGGCCGAAGTTTCACTTTAACGGATCCCAGCTGCCATCTTCCCGGATGCCGTGTTAGTTCGGGCGGCAACCCGGGCGAATGTTCAAATACTGTGGGTGTTTTGCATCACGAAGAGATTGAAAGAATAATGCAGCAAAATCATCTTGAGCCCACTTTACATCCTGAGCATGCCGTCAAAACTGTCTCGTGGGGTAACCAGTGGGTGTCATTTGACGATGCAGATACATGGCGCTTAAAGGGGGACATTGCCCGGAGCCAGTGCATCGGCAGCTTCGCAGTGAGGGCCCTGAATCATGAAAATGACAAGGAAACCAACATCGAGGCACTGAGCCTTGCTTTAGATCATAAACAGATGGAAGCCCCAAATTTCAGCAATACCAGACAGCAGGGCAACGTGTGGCGCAAAGCCGGCCCCTCAGCAATGTCGATGGTCAAGCTGTTTTGAGGGATGTCCGGTGGGTTTCAAAGAAGTGCGGGATGAAGGGCAAAAAGGCATCATGACGGACAAAGACATCTGCAGTGACCAATACGGTAGTTTGGAATTCGCCCGATTCTGCTGCCCGGCCACTCAACCCTTGCCAACCTGCACTTGGCGAGGACATAGCAGCACCGGAAATTGTCAACCCCGTTGTGATACTGATGAAGTTGAGGTTGGGTCTCGCAGGGCTGGGTGTAAGAAGAACCACCAGAGCGCTTGTTGCAGTGCAGCTGACGTAACTAAGGCGTACGGCGAGTGTTATTGGACTGACTGTCGAGTTGAACCTAAGCAGACATGCAATGGGAGATTCGTCGTTTCGTCGACCTCAGGCTGGGGTGGTCACCAGTTCTGTCAGAAAGGCTATTCCAGGGGACTTTGCTGCAATGACCCGCCTCCCGCAGCTTTCGACACCGACTGCAAATGGGTTCCCAAAGCTGGTCATCTGAAGCGTGACGTGGAGGGCCACATATGCGAAGGTTCGTGCCCTCAGGATTCGATCAAGCTATCGCTATCGCTTGGTTTCCACGATGTGCCAGGTCGGAATACCACCTGCTACGGCTACAGTGCTTATTGTTGCACGGAAACCGGGCCCAGATTTAGCAACATGGATGATCTATTCACGGCAAATAGCGTAAAGAACTTCAAGGCAGAGATAAACAGATATATGCGTGCAGTGAATGCTACCAAGCGCGGCGAATGTGGTGGATAGAAGGAGAACGACGTTTCAGCGGTTTTCAAGTTGCCAAGTCGACTTTTGATGAGAATATGTGGTTAGAGCCAGGTAAATTGAATAAACAGAGATATATGTTTCGACTACTTGATGAGATTGACCAACAACAGTCCACTCTATCAGGACAGGGTTGTATTCTAGTCCGGATCAACTATATCAATCTTGAACAGATTGATATATTTACTGTTCCTGTGTAGATACAAGTTTAGTAGTAGCCTCCCCAAGAAAGTACGGAGGCTCCGAGCCCTCAACCGTCGCATAGATGGCGGTGATGGCATCAGCCACATCGGCTGGTAGGGGACCAGCCTCAAGTGCATCCAACGTCTTGTGTACCTGCTCTACCTTGGACACCCCGAAGGCAACTCCGTCGCCGAATTTTCCATCTAGAGCGCTGTGGTACGCTGTCCATCGGATTGCAGCAGCATGTCCGCTGATGCCATGTCTAGCTGCAGCGTCATGCACAATGGCGGCGGAGGCTCGGACAGCGGCATCCTTATACAGTGCATTGTACAGTGTTCCGGTAGCATTCTATGCTATTCAGTGACTGCTCTTACATAGAGGTTTAAAAGGACTCAGTTCTCACCTCGCTATCCCATCGTGTCGATGTAGCTACATTGCCGTTGAAGAAGCCACCTGCAGCCGGGCTGTTATGCCAATCGTCAGCTTCTCTACCAATTGAGCGTTGAAGCGCTTTTGAATTAGGTCCAATTCCCTTACCTATAAGCAACAAACGCGATTCCGTGCTTCCTCAACACTGGAAAGAGCTCTTTCTCGCCTCCTCTCACAATTGGATTGTAGTGGCCCTGAAACACTTTGGGCTTATCGTAACCCTTTTCTTCGCAAATCTTGATGAATTGTTCAACCTCGCTTGCGGCGTAGTTAGACAAACCCCAGTGCTTGAACTTTCCCTGTTGTTTGGCCTCGTGGAGTGCCTGTGCTGTCTCCGCAAAAGGTGTCTGTCGATCCGGCACGTGGAGATACATGGTCTCTACGCTGGAGACGTTGAGAGCCTTGAGCGATTTGTCGATGCTGGCGTGAATTTTGGTTGCCTCGTGAGCTCCAACAAAGCCGTCTTCAACCTTGGTGTGGATGACAAAGCGGCTGAGGTTCTTGGACTTGCCCAGGCGATCCTCGCTGGAGCCCGGAGCGTGGAGGGAGTAGTTGCGGCCTGTATCAAGATGGTTATATCCGCGACTATGGAATGCGTCCAATAGAGCCTGGACATCCTCTGGTTTGTCAAATGGTGCCAGTGGGCTCTTGGTGCTATCGCCCACCTAAGAGAGATAAAATGGTCAGTGCTGAATTCGACACAACCGATCAAGATATACACACATGGTGAGTACCAAGCAAGAAATTGACGGGAGTTTTAGAAGTCATGTTTCTCTGGGAAGATTGCAATAGTTGATAGTAAATTGGATATCAGGGGAGCTGTGTCAAGTTGATATTGTGCTGGTGTTCTCATCTTCACGGTGGATGGACAGAGGTCTTTATAGGTGCGCTGATGGCTCGGAAACACTGATGAACGCCCCGACCAAAAATTTCAATTAGAAATCAAGTAAAAATCGGCTGCCAATAGACTTCTAGCTGACCTGTTTTCCCGCTATTCCTGATAGCATAATGTGGGTTGGTGTATCAAAACATCCGCAAGTTTTCCGCAAACTCCCCGCATTGTTTCCCCGAGCCCGCACATCGACCGATGCGCCGGTCTGTCATGGCCGAACATGAGACCCGCTCTTCCATATTCTTATTTTTATTTCTGATGTCAATACCTATGTCGAAGATGTCATAATCGGTCATTAATGCTACGGCCATTGGTACAAGCCGGGCGAAACAGCCACGCCAGTGGGAACTGCTGGCATGAACATATCTACTTAAGAAAGCTCTACAACGGAGACTAATATACATTAGAATATTGGCTTCGACGTATCAAATCGACGCTCCGTATTTTCTTCAGCAGAGTAGCAAGGCAATGTCACATCGAAACACCATTGATGCCCGTTTGTATATAAGGTAGGCAAACATAATCCGGAGCTAACGTGCCCCTACGTAACCATACAAAGAACCGAAGGCTTTCACCAAAAATATTATGTGTTAACATTCACAGACTGGTTATGTTGATAGAAGCCGAGACAGTAGTTTACTGCTTACATCGTAGTGCGAGATGCTCACTTATTTTTTTATCGATTTATTTATCTTTACTAGGCTTCGATAATCTATCCCAAGAATAGAATGAATACTTCAAAACATCTAGTTTACTTAACGCACACTTAAGCTGACAAGCCGTTCTGGGCAAGGAGGTTGGCAGTACCGCTGCGGACGCCAGAAATAACACCAGAAAGTGCAATGCCTTTCAGGTAGTCGCAGAGTCCAGAAGCGCTTTGCCCTTGGCTAAGGAAGGAAGCTCCCAGACCAGCAATGTGAGGCGTGGCCATAGAAGTTCCGCTCTTGGTGCCGGTACCACCATTAGGGACGTCACTCAGGACACCAACACCCGGTGCGAAAATATCGACGACGGCGCCATAGTTGGAGAACGAGGCAACGACATCATTGCTATCCGTGGCACCGACGGTGCAGAGGGATGGCTCAGATGCGGGGGAAACAGTGCCAGCATCAATGGGGATGCCGAAGATGTTACCGTTGCCTGCGGCAGCAGCGGCGAAGTAGCCAGCGTCGGTCAGAGCCTTGGCGGCATCGTTGACGGCCTGAGTTTTGCCACCACCGAACGACATACTGACGACGACTCCGTTAGGGCAGTTCCTGTTAGGAACGTCCTCAATGACCTTCTCCATTCCGGCGATCATAGATCCCCTGCGTGTGGTTAGAATGGTAATTGCCTCGACTGTTTGCTTCTTGTACTTACGTTGTACCGCCACCGGCGGCGTTGAAGGCCTTGATGGCAAAGAGACTAGCCTTCTTGGCAACTCCGTAGGTCTTTCCAGCGATGGTGCCGGCACAATGGGTTCCATGGGAATGATCATCATAGTCGTTGTCACCATAGACTCTGGCAACCCAGGTCACACGGCCCTCAAAGTCCTGCGAGGCTATTGTCAATACGCAAACATAGAATTTCACAGAAAATGATATTGCATACTGAGTGGTTGGCATCAATACCAGTGTCAACGACATAAGCGCAAACACCTTCGCCCGCATTATCAGGGTAAGTGTAAGTAGTGCTTCCGGGGCTCTTGTTGGATAGACGAGCTAAGCCCCAGGGCGCACCTGTCTGGGTAGCGAAGATCTGGGCCTTGGCGTCCTGCTCAATGTAGGAAACCTAGATTCGGGGTTGGTTAGTTCATGTATGTCTGGATTTCAATATGTTACAGTCTAATACGTACGCTAGGGTTGTTGCGAAGAGAGTCGACTTCCTCGTCGGTCAGAGAAGCCGCAAACCCACCGAGATTGTTAAAGACATACTCCGCTTCGCCGGCAATGTTGCTAATGGCATTGCTGACCTCGGAGATCTCGGCGCCCTTCTTCATAATAACAATGTACTTGCCCTCAATGACGTCTGCGTCATCCCGGGTCATAAGAGGAGCCCGATTGAGGGGAGAGGCCGCAGCCAGAGGCAGGGCAGCAAGAAGAAGCGAGGAGCGCATGTTGATAGAATGAAGAGCTAGCGTTTGAGTGGAAACAGGCGAATTGGTTCTCTGCTGAATGAATTCAATTTGACTGAGAGCATAACTGTCTTTTATAGCTGTTCTAAGGATCCACTACATATTCATTCGCGACCAGACGTCCGTGATATGCCTCAGGTCTGGTCTATCCCTAATTAGCAGGTGATGATGGTGGAGGGGGTGAGGCAAAGGAGTTGCCATTTCCATGATGGTGGCTGACCAGCCCATCTCTCAACATTTCAAAAGGCGCAGGACCAGAGATAAGCTGAACGAGGCGCTGGAATCACTTTTGGTCTTGCCTCGTCTCTTTCAATTTGACCTGCAAGGTTGATCTATGGGTGTAGGGCATCGGCATTCCCCAGTATCCCCACGAATTGAACTTCTCACGCTATCACCTTGAATGCCTCATCAGATTTTAGCTCAGTCGAATTAAGTTAATAGTTGGCGTCGAGGCCGAATTCCGCTGCGGAGAGCAAGGATCTCTTCGCCAAGAAGCCATGCAGGCAGGCTGGGGACATTTGTCGCCATCTGCCCACTTGTGACCATTAACACAGCCAAATATCTATGTAGCTTCTTCATTGGGCACCCTAATCCGAAGCGAAGAAAGGGCGCGGTTTTCCCACCTCTGCACATCTAACGGTGAAAGTCTGGGCAAATACGACGCTGACCAACACGGGTGTAGCTGCGCCTTGAGTCAGCGAGCGGAGAAGGATTTGGTGCGTCAATGGGACGGTCGAGTCGAAAGAACCTGAGCGGGGAGGATCCCGCTTCGTGTTGACAGCCGCGTTCACGTCAGACGGCAGATAACAAGCTCAACGGGGACAAATCCCTTGGCAACAGAATGTCCCTGTGACCGATCTCCCGAAATGGCACGTCTTATGAAGATCCCAGCTGAAATATGAGCCTAGGCCTTTATCACTCATCGTTACTAATCACCAATTGCCGCTTCAGACCCGGAGAACCCAGGCTTTCTCGTATACTAAAGAAGGAGGATGATAACGAGCCGTATATACTAGGCAGGGCCACTCAAACCAGGTAGATAATCATACGTGAAAGTCAAGATCTTCCCAAAAACTTGTTGGCTAATCAATTCTGTTGAGCACATCATAATTGGTTGAGATTTGAGATAATTATTACACAAGAGAACTCATCGTGCTTGGTCTTCCCATCTTCTAAATTGATTTTTTGGGGTTTCTGTGAAACTCCAGTTTTCTACTATAACCGGCTCTTAAAGTAAACTATTGCCCTGATAACGTGATAGAAGCGTATTTTATCGACATGAGCAGAAAAATGTAGGTTTATCATGTCCAACCTGGAGCTGGTGCAGGGTAAGCTCGCGATTTGGGAACGTCAGATGAAAATCGAGTGATGGCGCATATCGTGTAAACGACTATTCTGTCTAATCGCCAAAGGTTAGTAGTTGGATGGAGATCTAACCTGGATGGGTTTTAATTTTCTTTTTTGTCTTCCCTTTTCGACAGGAAAGTGGCGACTAGTAACCAGGTTCGAGGGTACAGAAGATGGGTGTTAACACGAACGCCATTGAATTTGACGTAAGGGTTAAAAGTGCGTATGAATGAAGCCTCTGGTAGAAGAAATTCTTAATCCATCAATGTATAATTAATAAATCTATATCTCTTGCTCGTTAAATACATTATTGAAGTGTATAGCCGGCCATCACACTATCGAAAAAGGCAGAATCAACTCCCTGAAATGCCCAGTCGTTCGCCTCCGCTATAAGGTCCGGCATCGCAAAGTCCAAAAATACCATCTCTGCGTTCTCCTGAATCATAGAAGGGTTGTAGTCGGAGAAAACTTGTTCTTCTCTCTCAACCGGATGCCGGGGAAGGTCGAAAGTGGCCGATGATGTCGTGGCTGGTTCAGAGGCATGGCCCAACACATGGTTCAAGTCTGGTAATGTAGGTAATAATAAGCTGTCTGTTGGAGTGGGAGAGTTCGGTTCGAGCCACACGGTTCCGAAATATGGAATTTTGAGGTGAAATGCTCCATCCATACCTCTACCGTCGGGGTTGCAATTTTCATCACGCACACTACAGCGATAGATGCTGCCGTTCCTGGCCGCCGCAGCCTCCAAGTCAAGGAGCTTTCGAGTGAGTTTCGCCGTCTCCTTTGACAGTTCATCATGATTCAACCGGTTCAGCTCCTCGAGGGTCTCAACAACCTTTTCTGCCAGATTCCGGTCCCCAACGCGCTGGTGAGCAGGGAGCCAAGTCGAGTTACGGCCGTGGCCACTCAAATGAGCAATGAGGAGAGTTAGTGCTGCAGTAAAGGCGCAAAAGTCCACTAGGCGGCAGCAGTAAACGACGCGCACAATCGAGCGGAAGGTGATAAATCGGCTCAAGACCTCCCTGCTTGCGTATGTACACACTGTCTTGCTGTATTCGTATCGAGAACCTGCATCTTGGCGTAGTAGGTATGGCAAATGGACAATGTTAAGCATATTGTAGTGAACAATTTGCATCTGGGCACTGATGACTCGGGCCATGACCTCGTCAACGCTCATTTGCGGGTCAAGATCCATGGGCGTCCACCATATGCTTGAGACGCTGTTGGATACTCGGGTCAGGGTAGCATCTATCTCCATTGTCGTTTTGAAGCTATCTTCTCCGCTGTGTTGTCCTCGATTTATGATAAGCTCGCATATGTCAACCTGCGTTCTTTCAAACCACTCGGCATCAGTTTCGCCAGATGTCTTGTCGTGGGATCCAAACTTGGTATTGGCAATGGATGTCGGCATGCCAAGAAGAAGGGACAAGTATCGCTCGAGGTACGCCAAATGCGCCCAAGTCACGTCTCCCGAGACCCGTGTCGCTGGGTCGTGCTGTTTAAGCGAGGTACGTGACCCTTTGCGATGCATGCCCATGAACTGAGCGAGGGTCGACGCTCGCCGCAGACAGACCAGAGCTCGCCGGAGATTACCGCAGTTTACAAGATAGACGGCCTCGCAGATGAGACACTCAAGGCCTTCGAGAGAGTTGAGCAGCTCGTCGTGGCAGGTAACCAAACTTGTGGCAAGGTGGAAGTAACCCTGCTTGGCCTCTTCAAGACTTTGTCGTAGTTGCAGAGATCCTCGGTCAAATGACGGGTCTAATTGCTGCATGCAAAGGCTGAGATGTAAGAGCTTTCTTGCAAGTAGCACCGGGTGAGCAGTCTCGGGAGGAATGGCTGATAGGACATTGCTGGATAAAGATTTGCCTTGTTCGAAGAGCTCACGGTACGAATTGCAGAGTGCTTGGAGGTAGATGGTGGCCCTGCCAGCCTCAAATAGAACGTTTACGTCGTCCTGACATGGAAAAGCCGAATGCAAGGTCCGACATATGGAGAAGAGGTGAGACGGCGCGTACCCTGTTGGTCCCGGGATTGCTTCAGGCCGATAAGACTCCCCTTGGGCTCGGGGTGCCGTTCCCCCGGGAGAGATACGGGACGGTGTCTGTAGGCGCGTTAGCCTGGTATGTCTCAACCAGAATTCGAAAGGAAGATAATGTGTCACCTTTCCCTTCTTTGAGCTCTGGGCTTGGGAATGTGAATAACCACCCTCGTTGAAAAGACTCGGATCCGTGTCCGGGGTTTCCATCGACGGCCTACCAAGGGAAGGTTGTGGAGGAGAGGCGTCGCTCAGGATGGTAGAGCCATCGGACGAGAAAACCCTGTCAGTTAGTCGCTGAAGCATGCTCTCTATTCTCTCTAGTCTCTCCCCCGTTGGCGGATCCTCTTCGCGCCTGGAAACAGGCACGTCCACAAACTCTTGGCCAATGCAGGCCGTCCCTCGGCGCTGGCACCCCACACAGATCATCGCGGCAGGGTTTTCGAAGAAGCATCTCGTCTTTCGTCGCTTGCCTACCCACAGCGGTCAGCGGCACTATCAGGGCTAGTGAGAAGGAGAGGTGAAGGCGCCGTACACTCTGCACAACTGTGTGTGCCCTTGCGCAAGATCCGCCTCGGCAACGACATCGAGCCGGTCTCATTGGAGCTAGAACCTGGTTGATCCATCGGGAATAACTTGATTCTGGACTGCTCGCAGTCATGGGCGGCGGAAGATCGAGCGAATGTGTGGGAGGAGTCTGAGGGCCATTTCTCGGCCGTCTTCCGCCGACATTAATATATTCATGGAGCGCCATGATGAGATTTTAGCGTCTGGCTTAGCTTCGAGGCGTTCTCACGAGCAGTGCCAATTACCCCTGACTCTGTTGATTGTTAGTCCAGGGCATCTCTCAGTGAATTCTGGCGACCTACGTAGCTACTAGGAATATACTAGCCCCCAAAAGGAGCAAGGGCCTAATGATAATCAGTCTGTTATTGGTCTTGTCATTTCATCAGTCAATGAACTTGCCTAGGTATGATGAGGTGAGAAGGGCCAATGTCTTTCGCATGGCCGACAAGTAGCAATAATAAACTAGAATGATTTTCGGCCAAATAGCCAGTTCCCAATCCCTTTTCTCTTTCAGTCCAAAAATATGGCCCTATTCTTCTCAAGAAACGGCCCGTCATACAGAATTTGACGGCTAATTTGACGAAGCACTGCACATAGTTGTATTATTGGTAGTTGGTAGTTGAGCACAAAGAAGGATTGAAAATGAGCAATGCAAAATATGCCAAGTTTAAGAAGTACGTGCGACAAACAAAAAATAGAACCAAAACAAGCACATTCCCCGACGAAAAATCAGGGCAATACTTTTTTGCGTTGGAATAGGGGCCCTCCTCCGCCGTCTTCCGCCGAACTGGGACATAGAAGAGGCGCCGGCATAAGATTTTAGTGTCCCGCGAAGCTGAGCCTCGACCTCGACCTCTCCGATAATTGGCCAACTAGGTCTGGTCATCATTAGCAAATTGGCCCTATAAGGCTGATCATATCGTGAGACGGATCATCGTCCGCCGCTGTGCGTGTGTCGACTCCCGAGTTGTGTCGAAAGCTGTACCAGTATATATACCATTGCCTCAGCCAAGATGCTTCAAAGTTCTTTCAATTTGCAAAACAAAGCTTACTCCAAGATCAATTTCGCATTCTACCGCTCCAACCAATCGACCAGTAATCAGAACTCATCATGTCTTCTTCTACTCTGCAGCAGATTCTGCTTCACCCGACAGGCTGGAAAGCCGGCTCTGACTTTGAGCCTAAGCGCTATCCCCTCTCCCTCATGGGCCACGTCATGCCCAAGATCTACGTGTTGGTATCAGAGGTATTTGCTCTTCCAGAGCTGGCAGACACTCAGGGCAATGAAGCCATTACCAAGAACTTGAAGGCCGGATTAGAGTTCGCCATCTCTCGTTTCCCTATCCTAGCTGGTCAGTTGGAGATGGATACAGCCAGTGGCCGAATGTGGGTTTCTACAACAGCCGAGACCAAGGTTCATTTGCATGTCAAGCACATGTTGGGCGAGGAGGACTTCCCCAGTTACAGTGAGCTGGCTTGTAAGGATGTATGGCTCCCCTCCCCTCCCAAATCTCTATAACCTTTGCACCACAGAGTAGAGCAGTCGCTGATACTACCCCAGTTCCCGGCCGCCTTGCTCAAGGGCCACCGGCTGCTCCCAGAGTCAGTCACAGCCAAACAGCTCCACTCTCCTCTGGGCGACAATAACGAAGATGGAATTGCTGCTGCAGCTTTCCAGCTGAACTTCATCCGAGGCGGCCTCATCATTGCCATGGCTGTTCACCACTCTGTTTCAGACGGTCCTGGTTGCGATGGCTTTCTATCTACCTGGGCGGAGAACAGTGTGGCTGCTTTGAACAGAACACCTTTCATTCCCAATGAGACTCCCTTCAGCCTCCACGGAACTAAATTGGACACGGAGAGCACCATTTCCCCTGACCAAATGAAAGAGCTTCAGGAGGCACTCCCCGTCGTTCGCGATGCTAAAGGTCCAATGCAACCGCCTCCAGCCGGTTTCAAGATGCCAGCCCTCGTGTCCCACATGTGGCACTTCCCCAAGAGCAAGACGGAAAGTCTCAAGGCCAAGGCATCCAGTAGCGGCGATGCCAACTGGATCTCTACCTACGATGCAATCATGGCAATTCTGTGGAGCAGTATCACGCGCGCCAAAATAGGCCTGCTGCAACCCGACAAAAGTGCCAAGGCAACTCTCGTGCACGCCGTCGACACCAGAAAGGTCTGGAGCCCGCCCCTCCCAGAGCGCTTCCTCGGCGTCGGGGCTACTGCCGCACGATGTGAACCTCTCTCGGTTCAAGAGCTGATTGGAACGGAGAACCTGCACAAGGTTGCGGCCACGGTCCGTTCATCCATCAAGGCGGTGACACCGGGCCATCTTGAGCGGCTGCTGCAATGGGTCGAAGGGCACGAGGACAAGCGATGGTTGGAAATCAGTATCAACTCTTTCCTGGGTCTGGACTTGGGAGCCTCAAGCTGGCAGGGAATGAAGGCCTACGAGAGGCACGACTTTGGGTTTGGACTGCCCAAGGCGCTTCGATGGCCCAGCCCACCCTTCGAGGGGTTTGTGTTCTTGTATCCTAGCCGGGCTGGAGTCGAGGGCGCAGAGGAGGATGAAGGCATTGAAGTCTGTGTATGCCTCGAGGAGTCTTGCCACAACAGATTGATGGAGGATCAGGTCTTGCTTGAGTATGCTCAGGTGAGAGGGTTGGAGTAGCGGGATAATCGGCTCGGGTAGTAAATACGTCTGCTGCTGCTGCTTTGGTGATATCTTTCAATGCTGGTTTCCTTCGTACTTCATCTTTCCGTTATTTTCTCGATAACAAAAAGAATGCTTGTATTTATTAATCGTTTTTAAAACAAAAATGCTTTTAATTAACTTTTCCAAAATACTGTCCGAACCGATACTTTACAATGATCATCTTTCCGAGTATGATGTCGGCCATGCTAGGCTGGCAGTGGCCATAGAATCGGCTGGTAAAGGCTGTTTGGGATGCGGGGAAATTTTCCTATCAAAGTCAGCCAAGCGATCTACTTTTGAGGCATCTTTCTAGTCTCACAGTTCTTCGTTGGTTAGTTTTGATTCTGAAGAATCATCCAAGTCCGTGAACCATTCGTGGTTCAAGGCCGAGGAAGCGGAGGGTCGGCGCCCGGGTGATGGAGCCAATAGGCGTTTAACGAGAGTTTCTGCTGCACCGCTGACATCATATTCGTCGAGAATTTCTGTTGGGAATAGTTGATTCCCGTTCACGTATTCCCAGAGTTCGTGGGGATCTTTCATGATAACTTGGGTCGTCAGCAGTTGAAACATGATCACCCCAAGAGCCCACAAGTCGACAGCGTTAGTGTATATCTCCTTCTTTTTGGAACCTTTATCGTGTGACTTCTCATCTGGAGGGTAGATAGCCATAACCTCCGGGGCAAGGTAACCCCTCGTACCCGCGAACGTACGGAATGCCGTTGACTCCTGTTCGGCCCTCTTGGAAATGCCAAAATCGCTTATCTTGACCCACCAGTTTGGTGAGGCTTCGGAAACGAGGATATTCTATAATTATGATCAGCTAAGTCTAACGTATCAGCCTGATAATAGTGGTATGGTCTTACTGCTGGCTTTAAATCCCTATGAGCAAAATTGCTTTTGTGCATGAAGCGTAGGCCTTCAAGAATTTGATATACTATCTCCTTAGCCTCAGGTTCCGGGAAAAGACGATTCAAATAGCGCTGAAGATCTCCGTTTTCAAAATACTCCATTGTAATGAAGATAGTATCGTTGTTCTCATACCAACCATACGACCTGGCGAAGCAGTGCACATACTATGATTCATTTAGTTCACATGAGCTCCTTCATTGGTGGTTAATGAGCAGGGTCATACCTTTGACTGGGAGAATTTCGCGATTGCTTCTAATTCTCGGTTGTATTCGATTGGGACGCTTCCATCCTCGCACTTTCTCTTGGCTATCTCCTTCACCGCACGAAATCGGCCAATATTTTCATTTTTACCGTCGACGCACTCCTGGAGCCAAACTTTACCGAATGTGCCGCTGCCAATTTTCTCACGTCGCTTCCATGTCTCCTCTACTTTCCTTGGGCGTCGGCGAGTCCTCCGGCCCGATATATACAGTGTATGTTGAACAGAGTTACCATCATGATCGATAAGAGTGGTGTCCAACTTGGAGTCCTGTACCAAGTCGTTATTTCTTAATCTGGATGAAACGTCCTTTGCTACCAAAATCGGTGGATCCTGTGAGCGTGGCCTTGCCTGGTTTTCTTCGACGACATGAGGTTTGTTATCTTGCTCCGTCTTCTGAGGCTCTGAAGATGCATTAGCATGAGGATGTGAGGACAGGATGTTCTCTTCGTCGGCGTTTGCTCTTCTTGATGATTCTCTCGGCCGTGGACTTTGAAAGGCAGAGGGCCCTGAGGTTTTCAAGCTTTTTTCATCCTTGAATGAACTTCTAGGCCTAGTCTGGTCTGGAAGCGGGACAGAAGTTCTGGGGGGTTTCGTTGGAATTTGAGATCTCTCGTATTCCACTTCGTATTGTACTTGGGCTTGTGAGCTCTTATTTTCTGACAATTGAGCGCGTGATTTCTTTGAAAGTCGAGGTCTCTCGTATTCCACCTTGGCCGGCGAGCTGCTTTTTTTTAATATGCTTTTTAGTTGAGGAGGTGATTGGCTCGTCGGTGCTGCCTTCGGCTTGTGGCTATCAACCGGCATGGGATCTTCTGGATTTATCCGAGGTGACCTCGATGCCCTAGCTACAGGGATGTATCGCTCATAATCAGCATTGGCGGCACTTGAAATCTTGTATGCTCGAGAGTGCTCTTGAGAACTCGTTCCAGCTAGCTGGGTGGTAGCAATTCTGTGTGTCTCTGGATAGGAAGGGCGGTAAGCTGGGCCTGGCACAGGATATGTGTTTGACGAAGGGGCCCTTGGGTCTTTTTTCTGCTCGGTGACCTCAACGACGCCCGAACGCCCTCTGCGCCGCCTGGGAGGAGGTGAAGGGGATAGGGAGGAATCCGAGTACATTGAACCCCCGAAGTCGTAACCGCTGGATACTCCATCAAGTGTCTGTTTCCTACGACTCTTCCCAGCAGCTAGACCGAGTAACGCCAACATTGTCGTAAAGCGGGAGATTTTCCCTGACTTGGACGGCTTCTTATCGATTTCTGGTTTTGGAAACACCCTCGCTCTCTTGCGGTGCGCGACAGTCCGCCGCCCATGCACAGATCCTTCAGAATCGGATTCATTGGCAGTCGATTTTTCTCTTTGTGTCTTAGGAAGGAAGATCTTTTCCACCAAGTTCGTAACAGTCGTTGGTCGCTTCTTGGGCGAATACTCTGCTGATGCTACGGATGTAGCGTCGTCCTCAATATTCGAGATGGCTCTAGCTGGGGGCGGAAACCATCTTTTTGCTGTTGTTGTTTTCTGATTCGGGTTTGATTTAAACCATTCCTGCGCCGATGGTGCTTCTACCGTGTCAGCCAGGCTGCGATGAGCCTTTCTTGACATTTCGCGGGCCTATGAGCTGTAGAGTAGAGAAAATTGATATATTGTGTGATCCAGACCCAAATGACGTGGGCAAAGAGGCAATTGTCATTTGGTAACTGGTGCTTAGGTATGAGATAGCGAAAACACCGGCCTCCTGACCCAGGTTTGAGCCACCCTCTTTTGGATGCGATACCTGTATCAAGTCTGAGGTAAATCACTGTGAATGAAGAGGAGAAGGGTTGGTGGTCAGCTGAGAAATAATATTTGTCGCAAATGTGAGGGGGGCTGAGCTGAGCTGTACTCGCTGCATGTCAGCAACCAATGACGATGAGGTCTGCACGTGCTGTTGCATTCTTGTACCAGACCAGAGGTTATCCCAGGAAAATTCAATTCATAAGCGATTATGTGATTACTACATTTGGGGAGAGCCTGGTGAAGCATGATCGAGCCTTCATTCCTCGAGCTCCATACAGGAATCCCGCCCTCCACTGTAGCAAAGACTTTTCGAAAATTAGTGGAAGGTCTAAAAGGTCCAATTGACATGCCTGCTGAAGAATACCAAAGGAAGATGCAGATAGAAATCGCACATTGAAGCCCCGTAAGATGGAAGAAACAGACGGACTGTCTCATTCAGTCGAAAAAGCTGACAACAGAAAAGAATAAACAGAGACAGCTAAGTAACAGCATAAAATATCTACCTAAGGCTATTCTCTCAAACCCTACTACAGATGATTTCGAAGAGGAGAGTGACATGCAAGAAGGAAAAGAGATGTTGTATCCAGCTGCTTGTCTGCTTGTCTTATCTATTCCCCATTGCACTACGATCCTAAAAATCGCATTGGCACAGCCTGCAATTCAAACCGGAAAGGATTCAGCTCAGTGAAACAGAATCTTGTACAAGGATATATGGAGTGCCTACATGTAGCTTTCACTGAATACTGTCGATGTTGAACATGTGTTCCTGACGAGGCTGCCTGTGGCTCGGGCCAGAGCATCACACCAGTCGGGATGAGCTAATAATCAATGGCTCGGAACGTTGCAACGAAATAGTCTAGCCAGAGAAATCTGAGATCCGCCTCATGAGCGATGGCACTCCTCACTCCGCTCGCGAGTCTCTGCCGATATTGCGTCTGTGGAGCCCACGTGGGATTCCGTAGCGCGCGCGTCTTAGGGTGCAGGAACGAAAAGCCATAGCAGGTTCATCTACCCAGAGGCGATCGGCCATGGGGCTGCTTCTGGTGGTTTGCTTAAGTGTGAGACGGTTCGAAAATGAAAGGGTCGGGCTAACTTCATAGGAATAGCCCTCCGCATCAGCACAGGCTTCATATTCCTCATGGGACAGGCTAGTCCTCCTCCATACCACCCACCAAGTCTTGAGGGTGGGCCTGTAACCAGAATGGCCAGGGGCTAAGTCCTGAATGACATACTTCGCTCCCCAATGGGCGCGTGTCTATGGATCGCGACGGATCCTTCCATGCAACCTGGGCATCCAGACTGTTCATCACTAAACCAATCGGCCGTTGGATGGCGCGATGGGTCCGATATCTCGTGCCAGTGATCCAGAAGGATGCTTGGGTGCACGAAGAGACCGCTCCATTCTCCCTAAAAGCAAGAACTCCTCTCGTTTGAGGCGTCTTCTGTGATGTGGCATCTAACTCGCTGTCTGCGATGATACCGCTCGACCAGCCAACGCAGAGAGCCTTCTCTACGGCGGTGGCATTCATCGTCCTGACGTTCATTTTTGTAGGATTGCGCCTTTTCCTACGCGCGCGAGCCAAGCAGCTGTCTTTCCTATCCGATGGCCTATGTCTTACCTCGTTTGTTCTTTTCTATGCTTTCGTGGGGTTAATGCTAGAGTGTACGTGTCATCTACAAACCATGTTCCTGTCACGCTGCATCGCTTCGTAATTTATTGAAGCTGATTGACGAGGGCCAGATATCCTCGGAAGAGAAAGAGAATAGAGTTTAATAATAATAATAAAGCTGTCAGGGCCTGATAACTTAATATAATAAATATAAAAGCTTGAAAATATAGCTTTTCCTAGTCTATCTAAGATATAGTTATATAGTAGGAAAATTCTATAAATCTTTATATAGTTAAAGATAGTATAGCTTACCTGCCTTTAGAAATAGCAGGTTTAATCTTCTAATTTAAGCAGATACTATATTAGGAAATCTTCAGCTCTATTATTACTTACTGCTTTTATACTAACTATAAAGCAGCTAGTTCCCTACTACCCCTACTATATATCTCTATAGTCTCTTTTTTTCTTTTATTTTCTAGCTTTACTATTATATATCTATTACTCTTAGCTTAACTATAATCTAAATAGTATATTTATATTTATTAGCTATCTAATCTATAAACTATCTCTATTCTCTATAGTTATTATTTATTTAATATTTTTAATATTATACTAGAGATCTTATTTTTTCTACTTTTTTATTATAAAGTAATAACTCTACTAAGTATTTAATATTATCTTACTATATAGCTAGACTAGTATCTTAAAAATAATTCCTAAAGATAGTATAATAATCTTTAGATAGCTAATATTAGCTAAGATTATATATTAAATAATTAAATAGTATAGTATATTTACTATTTTATCTCTATATTATTAGAGTTAATAGATTATCTTTTAAGTAGATCTATAAATAGAAGAGCTATTAGCTCTTAATATAAGCTAGAAGAGCTTAGATAGATATTAAATTAGCTATTAAGAGGCTATTTTTATTTCTAGATAGTATAAAAGCTAATCTTTAGCTATGGATTTTAAGAATATAACTTATAATCTTTTATATTTAATTTTATTATTCTACTATAAGTAGTATATTAAAAAGTATTTTTATAAGCTCTTATAACTAATTTACTATAAGTAATTAATTAATTAATTAAATATAAATTATATTAAATATATAATTAATTTAAAATCTATATTCTAAATATATTTTATTTTTCTTCTTTTTATTAAAATATAACTATAAGCTAATTTAATTTTTCTTATAAATAATAAAAACTTATAAATTTAATAATATCTAGTTTTAATAATTTTATTTAAATTATCTTTAAAAATTATATTTTTATTTAATTTATTAAAATTATAAAGAAAATATTATTTAAAGAATATATTTCTATACTATATTTAATAAAAATAAAAAACTAAAGATAAAAGTTTTATAAATAAAAATATAAAACTATTTATTATTAATAAATAAATAGAATAGTTTTTTTTATATTAATAATTAGAAAAGTTAAAATATTAATATAAAGCTAATAGAAATAACTAATAAGAATTAATTATATAATTAAATAAGAAAATTTAATATTAAAAAAGATATAAATAGTTTAGATTAGTTCTAAGTTTTTTTATAAATATTTATCTTTTAATATTACTTTCTAAATTTATAAAAATAGAATAATTTAATTAGAAAATATAAGAATATAAGTTTAGATTTAGTATATTAGCTTTAAAAAAGCTAGAATTAAGAAATTTATATAATATAAAGTATTTTAATTAGAAAAACCTTATAATATAAAAATAATAGAAAAATAGTTTACTTTAAGAAAAATCTAATTAGTTATTTTATTTATTTATTTAAATAAGAAATATAACTTTATAAGAAAATATATAAATCTTTAGAAAAATAATAAATTATTTATATAAAAAATAACTTCTTATATTTATATTATTTATTATTTAAACTATAAATATTAAAAATAATAAATTAATAAAGTTATATTATATAAAAAGTTAAAAAGATTTTTTATTAAATAATATTTATTTAAAACTATTTAATTAATTTAATAAAAAAAATTAATTAATTAATTATTTTAATAAAACTTATAAAATAAAAATAATAAATAAATTTTTTTTCTTTACTAATTTTAAAAGCTATAATAGATTATATTATTAAAAAATATTAAAAAAAAAAAATCTTTTAGAAATATTATTACTAGCTTTAGAAAAAAAAAATATAATTACTTTATTATTTTCTTTAATTATATCTAATAATAAGAATTTAATAAAAATTCTTATTAAATTAATAGATAATAATAAAAGAAATAATTTTATAATATATTTTAAAAAGAAATTTAAAAAGAAAAATATAATTATCTATTTAAAGAAATTTAAAAAGTTTTTTAAACTATATAATATTCTAAAGAGAAATAAAAATAAGATATTTTAAATTAATATTAATAAAAATAAAAGTTTATAAATTAAATTTATTATAATATTAAAAAAGATTAAAATATAATTAAAAAAGTATTTTTATAATATTATTAAAACTAAGATATTTATTATATAGTATAACTAAATATATATAAATAGATATTAGATTAATATTAAATTTATATTATTTCTAATAAAAATTTCCTATAGTAGTATATATATATTATATTTATAGAGATAAATTAATTTATAATCTTAAAAATAATTAACTTTTTTATTTCTAAATATATATAATTCTAAATTAAATTAAAATAAACTCTAATATATTAATACTAAGCTTAATCTAATCTAACTAATATTCTAATCTAAATATAATTAAATATAATATAAAATTTAAATAATTAATTTTTAAAAACTATTTTTATTTTTATTAATTTAATATAATATATAATATACTAAAACTATTCCCCCCTTAGGACCTATAGCTAAGTTATATACTTAGCAAGCTTTTTTTAGAGTTTTTAGAGATATTATTACTTTACCTTAGCTTATATAAATAAAAAAGTAAAAAAAATAGAGTTAAAGGTTAGATATAGACTGAAACTTAGTTAAAAATAAATTATATAGATCTAGTTATATATAGCCTGATCTTAGGATATTCCTTATATATAGTAAAAACCTTAAAAAAAAAATACTAAAACTATAAATTATATATTAAACTATAATAAATTTATATAAAAAAGTAGTTATTTTTAAAATATAATATTTACTTAAGCTAATTTTAATTCTCTATAAGTATTTATAATAGTTATTAGTAGTAAGCTATATAATAAAATAATAAACTAAGTAAATATAATTATTAGATTTATATTATTAAAAGTAGTTTTATTATTATAAATAAGCTTTTAACTAATTAGAGAGATATATAATAAATATAGTTAGTAAATAGCTATATTAGATTATTTTAAATAATAGTTATTATTATTTTAAAGATTTTATTAATAGTATTAAATAAATTCTAAAAAATTAGAATATTTATATTAAATATTATAACTATTTAAGATATTTAGTAATTAATTAATAATATAATTTAAATAATTAATTAATTAAAATAAGTTTTAATAGAAAAAAATATAATTATTATTATTAGATAATAAGCTTTCTCTCTTAGGAATTATAATTATAATTAGACTATTTATATATCTAGCTATATAAATAGCTTTTATTATTAGAGTTTTTAAAATATTAATATCTATATCTAGACTAAAAATATAATATCTAACTTTATCTTATAGAATTAAAGATTTAAATATAAACTATTAATTATATTTTTAAAAAAAATTATATAATCTAGTTATATATTATCTAATCTTAAGATATATTCTTATTTATAGTAAAACTAATAAAAAAAAAAAAAACTAAGATATTAAATAATTTATATTATTTAACTAAAGATTTATTTATATAATAAAAGTATTAAATATAGCTCTCTAATTAAATAAATATTATCTATATATAATTACTACTTTTATAATTATAGAGTAATAAGAATAAGAAATAACTAGTAATTTTTATAAATAGATTATAGCTAGTAATAATAATATAAATATCTTATATAAATTAACTCTATCTAAAGCTTTAAAATATAACTATTAGATCTAAATAGTAATTTTAAGAGAATTCTTTAATATTAATTAGTATTATATTTATTTATAATATAGATTAATAAAATAGAGAAATTAGAATTAATTTAATACTATAGTAGAAAACTATATATAAGAGTTTAAAAATAACTCTATAGAAAAATAGATAGAAATCTTTATAGTTTAGACTATATAACTAGTTCTAAAATATAATTTATAAAGTAAATAATATATTTAACTTTATAATTATATAAGTATTTTTATAGCTTAAGCTATATAACTAAACTCTAACTATATTATTAAAATAAAGATTAAAACTACTAATTATAATAATAATAAGATAGTTAATATAGAGCTAGTTTTAAACTCTAGTTAAAATTAATAGAATAATAATATAGTTAAAATACTATTTAAAATATAACTAAAAGTAAAACTTAAAATATAATTAGAAGAGTTATTTAATAAGTTTAAAATAATAAAACTTTTATAACTAATAAAAAAAACTCTTAATCTTAAATTTATCTTTAAAGAGTTTTTATATAAACTTAGAGTATCTCTAAGTAAAGCTAATAAAGATTTATAATAGTTAGATTAACTTATACTGAATAAGGTCTAGGGTAGATTAGGGTTAAACTAATTAGAATATTATTCTGAGTAATATAATCAGATTATCTTAGGCTATATAATATAAGTTACTATTAATATATAAGTATTATAAAGCTAGTAATAATAGATATATAGATAATTATATTAATAACTATTTAAGAGAGTATTCTATCTAGTAAAATAAATATATATATATACTAGGGAATTATTAAAACTTAGTAATAATTTATTATTCTAGATTATTAGAATTATTATAAGATCCTAATAATCTATTAATAATTAATTAGAAAAAGTAAGATAATCTATATAACTTTA